TATTATAAATATACTTATAATTTATTTATACTATAGTTATTTAATTAATTAACATTAATAATATTTATAATATATATTTATAAATATTAATTTAAGCTTTTTATTTATATTTATAAATATATAAATATATATTTATATAAACCTATATAATTATAAAGGCTTTATAATAAAGGTATACAATTATAAAAGAAGTTATTATAAAAGCCTATTTTTCATTTATATTATAATTAGCTTTATAATTATTATAAGTAGTAAAATTAAGGGGGTATATTAAACGTTAATGGAATTAAGGAGCGGGTTAATAAAGGTCTTAAAATTGTATATATATTTAGCACACCGCTTAATTGCCTTTCAAATAGAATTTAGCTAGTTAAAGCATTCAATACTACCTTAAACTAATCCCTCGAACGCACTGCAGGAGCCCTGAGGCCCACCTACGTCCGAGAAGCAGTGTATCACAGAAATAATTACTCTGGTTGAAATTCGAGTGTCGACTGGCTTGGAAACAGCTCACAGCTAAGCTCGACCAGCGGCTTCTTGATATCAAGACCCACGAGATGTCCCGGAAGCGCTTCGTCAATTATCAGTTGGCGTATATCCTGTGCGAAGCAGTGGTGGATGTCTCGATATCTAGCACTTGGGCTCTTGAGGGATCGAGAATGTCTGCATAGATAAGATGTGAGAGAAGGTGAGATTGGTGAAACGGTAAAAGCCAACCGATAAGGAGGACTTGGCGACATTTCCTCGTTTGCGCTGTGGTTCGGTAAGTTCGTCTGCCTCAGCTCCTTACAATTTGCGCAGACCTATAACTAGAAGTGACGCTACAAAGCTGTGGTACTTGTCATGGAATATTCTTCTAGAGTCATTCAATTGGTCACTCAACTCTTGTTAACTACTCCTAAATCCATCTTCGGAATTTCCAGGCATTCGTCACCGCCATGGCGTCTTATTGTAGGGCAGGGAACAGAGTCTTGCATTTATCTTATAATGTTAGTCAAGCACCAGTCTACAGCCTACTAGAAGTACGATCTTGTAGGAAATTTTCCTTTGTTACTTACGTAACAAATAAAGGTGCCACTGTTACCCGTCTAGCCCGTCCGAGGCATGGTAATTATTATTACGTGAATGCCTATCAAGCGTCATGCAATGATTAGGTACTCTTCATGAAGTATACACTAAGGCGTAGAATGGATATCGAAGTGAATGACTGTAATTTTACACTACTTAAGGCACCTACAACTAAAGAGATATATAGGTACTAATATGCTTCAATAGGTATTTGAATAGCTTCGGGTACTGAGGAAAGAGGCGATCAACGGATATAACACTTTATATTTATGATAAATTTAAAGAACAGGCAACGTTCGTCTCTTCTTAGTACCTGTATAGGTCATTATTATTTTGTATCTATTGTACGAAGTAATCCCGAAATTTCGAGATCAGAGCTGCCTGATGCATCCAACTGCACCACTCCAATATATGTCGTCTGGAATATCTACCTCGTCGTTATAGAGCCACATTACGGCCCGTTTTACGTAAAGAACAAAAGCAAAACTCAGGGGGCACGGGGTCAAATTGGTGTTAAGAGGTGGCAGAATGGTGTTAACCCCTATTCAAGCATCTTGAGTTGACCCCGTGTGTTAGGCAGGCACTAACACCATCAAATATAATGCATGCGTATCGGAACATACTCAAAGCCAATCATTGGAAGTTGATTCATTGGAGACTCTCAGCTCTGACCAATAGATGAATAATCAAAATATATCATGCAATCCCAGGTTCTATATCATGCGTCACCATCCCTAGGGCACAAGAAACCTGGTTACGAAAAAGAAATGCTCGATCAAATGCTCTCTAGGTATGTATAAGCGACTATGTCTTACCCCATCCGTCCGGGCGTTGCACCAATTCTTTAGACTAACCTCACTGAATTCGATACCCAGCCCGCTTTCTTTATGACCGCCCACCATATCGTATGTTCCGGGCTAGTTTGAAGTGTGTATCAACCCAAATACTTACCGCTTCAAGTTGCTCAGCTGTCCAGTGGGCTCGAGGCACATTGTAACTCCAAGCCGAGGGGCCAAGACTAAGGTTTAATATATTTTAAAACGCTTGATCGCATCGTCTTCATCTGCCCATTTCAGAGCAGGAATTATCGCACTTGTCGAAACCGACGCCGTTAGACTATACACAGTATAACGGTTATGATATATCTCCACCTGAGTGCGGTAGGAATAATAGGCCCAAACTGCTCACCACTTATTATATTAGAGTCTTCAGGAGGATTTGGGGGTAGGTAAAACCTTTTGTCCTGCTGTGATCCAATATCTCCACCCAGGGCTCCGCACCAGCCTCCATCCCATATTCAAGAATAGAGCTGTTGATAATACCTGGAAAACCTTCGGAACTGGCCCTAAGATTGCGCTTGAATCAGTGTGATCGCTCATTGTGAATGGTGTTGTGACCGCGACCATAGCATCCAAAGCTTCCTTGTAGATAGATCTTTTTATACATGTATATCCTCCCATAGTTATACAGATCTTTCTAGTGTGAATAATTAACAATTGGGCAATTCTAATTGTACTCGGTAGTAGAGTTCATGTAAATCTTTGATGGTGTGTATTTACCTTGGCGGCAACGGAGTATAACAAGAGCAAGTGACTGGGCTGAGAATTGAAGCTATTCAGATTATAATGATCAACTAGGGCTGCATGAGTCCTTAACCAACCAACTCATTCTAGGATGTGGGTGACTTGACTCGACTCTATATACAACTGGTCTGCCAGCCCTGACCGCCTAGGGCTCATTGGTTTGTTTCATGAAGCGAAACCTGTATAATCTCACTTTCCAATATTGCCTGCATGTCTTCGAAGATCATGAACACCCTGCAATCGCCTTCTGTACGGCCGAAGCGCAAGGAGAATTACATATCCAGCTTGTACGCGTGTGACACAGAGCTAATATCAACATCCTCACATATCAGTGATATCACAGCTGTGCCGCTTTCGTCCACTTCTAAAAGCACTTCTTTTCCTGCTTTGACCTAGATCATAATGTTTACTATATATCTAATATTTGGTCGGATCCCATTGAGGGACTATGCTAATAGAAGAGTTGAGGACTTCATCTTACTCCACTAGGGCCGATTAGCTAGTTCTTGTAGTTATTGTCATTGCGAATTGAAGTTGGCATCCACAGCCGGTTGAAAAGATTTCGAAGGGAAAGGGGTGGTGTTGGAACTTATGAGCTTGAGCTTGCCAGAAATAAATTTAGAATTCTTAGACTTTTAATGATTTCCGACCTGAGAATTAGGTATGAGCCGTATGAGCCGAGCGCTTTTTCAAATAATAATCTGCCCAAAGCCTCGGAGCATCTCATGGATTGTCTACATAGTCGTTCCTGACAACTTGGAAGATTGTGTTCATATTACGTATGAGTCCACGCACACCTTCTTCCACTTTTTGAATTATCTACGGCCGGGGCGTCGATATGGTCTAATGTGGCACTACGACCATGTCCGAGATGACACGGTACGAATACGGACATGTCGAACCTCAATTTTATTTGCGCCAAAAGCCAAGGTGCCTGCGATTTATAGAAGGTGATTGTCTCTTGTATCTCAACGTTGTTGGGAACTATTTCGTACCGGTGGGATAATGGATAATAATTTATTGTGAATACGTTTTGTGTGTTTCGGTCCTCACGGATAATTTCTTTCGATCCGAAGGAGCCAGACTCCTCTAATAATGGCACCTTGCACGGCTGACCTGGCAAGCTATAAACACATTTTCAGTCACCGAGGTTGTTCATGACATAGCGTGATTGGTAGCATATTATGCTGAAGGGATTCCATTGTGATGAATCGTAGAGATTTGCGAGCTGTAATCTTGTTTCGAAGCAAATGGCCTGATTTGCTTGATGCAACTAAGGTAGGGCTACTATTTACCCTACTAGATGTGTTGATCCAGCTATATTCATCCCCGATCTTGACCCAACGTGTATCCCAAATCTTGGTGCAGCGCTTATGATATTAATGAAATGGGCGTTAAGAGGGAAGTGTGATGACGCTGTATACTTCCATGACGGAACCTGAGAATTGACTAAATAATATTAATCAAAATACCAAATGCTTGGGCTCTAGTATAAACAGTTGTGATAGGTAATTAGGAGGTAGATCAAAGAATGCGCCTGGGCTTATATTGGTTATTTTTAACCCTGATCCCCGTGTCAAGTCCCACATACGTCACATGAGCACACCTAGCCTCTTTACCGAGCAATTGTTAGTTATGTGCGTGCATTTTCTACCGGGTCTACACAGTAAATTCTTGTTCGGATAGGCAACTTATCGGCGCGTCGCATATAACGTTCGTTGTACCTTTGATCTCATAGATGATGACGATTTCTGAAAAGCGGAGGGCGCATTTGCGTCTCACAGTCTAGTCTAATGGTCCCAGGCAAGTATAGTTGCGCAGGGACCCTAACCTCCAACAACCAATATCCATAATTCGCCAACCTTCGGATACAATCTTCCCCTGCTCACATTATGGCGTCGCTTAAATTAGAAAGGAGGGCCTCTGCCATGGCCGCCTGCGAGCTCCTTCGAATAATCTTTCCTGGGCGTATTGCCTTTCCAGCTGATGCTAACTACGGCTCTGAAATGGAGCTTTCATGGTAATGTCGCACTACTAGCATCACATACTGCAAGACATGTCTATTTAACATCTCATCAGGTCGTCAAATTGCTGGCTTCCCGCCGCTTGCTTCGTGCGCCCCGCTGACGCTAATGGCGTCGCCCAGGTGCTCAGGGTGGTGAAGAAGACTGGGGCCAGGTTTGCTGTTCGCGGTGGTGGACAGAATTTCAACCCTGGTTTCTCTAGCGTCGGGGGCTACGGGATCGTCCTCGACCTACAGGACCTCAACTCCCTCTACCTGGAAAACGATAAAACATTGCAGGTTGGTGCTGGGAACACATGGGGCCATGTCTTCAGGTTTCTAGACCAAAGCGGACTATCTGCGGCTGGTGGCCGCCAGAACAATGTTGGAGTCTCTGGTTTCCTTTTGGGAGGCAAGTGACTCCGTTGTTCATCACTTCTGCTTCAATACATGGCCGCTCATCTAGTCTACTCCTCTAGGTGGAATGCCGGCATTTCCTAACCTTCATGGCCTGGGCGCCGACAATGTCAGGAACTTCGAGGTGGGTTGCTGCTCTCACGTGGTGCTGCCATGTGTCGCGCGACGAAGACTAATCATCAAGTTATCAGGTCGTGCTTTCTAACGCTACGATCGTCAACGCAAACGCCTACGAGAATGCAGATCTCTACCTTGCACTAAAGGGAGGTGGTTCGAACTTCGGTAATCATTCATCCTATGATGACACTTGTGAGACCATAGGTATATGATATTGGACAACTGACGTCACGAGATAGGGGTTGTTACACGTTTCGATATCGCTACATATCCTATCATGACCGAAACGACAATTGCAACATTTAGGCTAGAGGGCTACCGGGAAGTGCTTTGGACCGTAGTGCAGGCACAGGAAGCGATGGAGAAAGACCCTAAAATTGGCATGTTTCTAACTGTCAACCCTGGATTCATAGCTGTGGGTCTACTTTACGCAGACGCGATATTAGAAAGGCCTCACGTCTTTGAGAGCTTCTTCAAGCTCAAAAGCCTCATTCAAGTCGTTGTGCCAACGACAACCGGAACTATGAAAAGCCTAGTGAACGCAATAGGACCCCTGACACCCCCGACAAGGTACAAATTAACTCGCAGAGCCATGGTAACATCGGCTGACCCATACTCTACAGACGCTTGATCTCTACTGTCACCACAAAAGTATCCTACGATTTCTACCTAGCCGTACATCAATTTTGGCTTGATACTGCGAATCATCAACCGGGAATTGATAGCTTGTCATACAACATCCAACCAGCGTCTCCGGCTACTGCTCAGCTAGGGAAAGACAAAGGTGAAAATGTGTTAGGACTCGAAAAAGTAACCCAAACATGTATGCCCTAATTAACCCCCCTTTTCCAACACTAGTTCAATGTTTTAACGCGGGCTGACTTCCAGGGTGGTCCTTTGTGGCCGAATGGTCTGACTCGGTTAACGATGAGCGGGCCTCTCAGGGGTTGGATGTTTTGCAGCAGGGCATAGCTAGGCTAGCCGAAGAACAAGGCCAGAGCCTGGACTTCCTATCTATGAACGCAGCTAAATACTCACAAGATGTACTGGGGAGTTACGGACAGGAAAACGTTGCAAGGCTTTCAAACACTGCAGCAAAGTACGACCCTGAGGGATTTTTTCAGACGCATCAAAACGATGGCTTCCTTCTGCGGAAAATTTGAACATACGTACATACTACGTAGTGTCCGTGGGGTCAAGGACAGGGGTGCCAGATCGCGGTGGCAGGGGGGGTGAAAGGTGCAATATATATATATATACTTATATATACGATGGTTCACCTCTTACAGTAGTGTATCTGCGGCAACGGCTGTATCCGAAAAGTCTCCGTTTTACTGCTTGAGGCCAAGAGGTGCTAAAGCTGTACTGTTCAATGCTGAAGGCTGCTTTAGTCCATCCTCTCCAAAGTAAGTATGCAATGATTCCTCACCATGAGAACCGTTCGACCGAGTGGTAAGATCTCACCTGGCACTTTATGTTGTATGCAACGTGAATGCAAGTAAGCCTGCCCCAATTCGCTATAACCCGAATAATTTGCCCGCTTTCATGATATGTGTTGGTAGAACCGATAGTAACGTCAACCATGTAGTTGTTAACAACTGTAGTCAGTCGCATACATACTACTTAACATGGCGCATTATCGTGGAATATGGTATGTTGGAGTCCAGCTTAGACCAATCATATGGTTTGCTAGCTGCAAGAGGCTGAGGCTGTCACATCTCTCTCGCAAACCAGCCGGGATAAGACACAGCATGGGATACATTAACCCAAGCATTAGCTGGCACCATCTGACGCTCGGCAACTCGGCTCGATTATCTGGCCCCACTGTCGTAGTAGCGATGATCTTGCGATATCTTCTTAGTGATTGATAAGAGGGTAATCCAACTTACCTATCCTCGCCGATTTCTACGCCCTAGGTAATTTGCTCCCTATTCCATTAGCTTTGCACAACATAGAGACTTGCTGTAGATGCCTGCAAATATTGTGTGAGATACTGAATTTAGTATATTCCTTCCTGGACATTCGCGGCCATCGTCATTGGGTATTAAGTATGGCCTTGCTACCGTATCTCGCCCATGACTGGTGGCGGCACAACAGATTCTGGCGCGTGATCCTCCCCTTCGGTACGACGCTGCTTATATAATCCCATGTGGCAGATTCCATTCGATGAAACCTCGTGGAGTTAGTTCGCGAATTGATCCATCACCGTTTCAACTTATGCATGCCATTTGACGCATGCGACATAGTACTTCGTATTAGAAGAACAACGGCGAGCTACTCGGATGTATTGCCGTGCTATGGCGTATGGTACTGCTCCACCTGTGAGCCCTCCTTTTCAAAGGAGCGACCAGCTGAACCGAGAGTCCAGTTCTGACTTAGCTATCCGGCATGGAATCAGAGACGTACCAACTGAGTGGGATGATCGCATTAATAGTGATCTCAAGGCTACGATACTGGATGAGATATACCCCTCTCTGTGGCTCGTCGGACAGAGATCCCCTGTCCATGTTGATCCGCTGCACAAACAAGTGTTGAAGAACCGTGCCATCACGATCGCCGAGGACCCGAAACTCCATCTCGTGTGGTATTATAACACGGTTTATATAAAGCCCCTCCCAGTCTATCTTTTGAACCACGCTATTTGGGAAGCACATCTTCCCGAGCCGGTGGGCGAAGCGCCAGAGCATCGATCACGGTATGATAAATATAGAGCTGCACTTGGATTCCTCAGAAGTTATGGTCTTTTGATACGACACGAGTCCGACTTCATTATCGCCCAACGGGCTAACTTATTGCCCAAGTATGTATCGTTTCAGCGGTTTCAGATCTTTATTCAACCGTTTCGATCATGTAGCGACGACCAAGTATCGCTCCGTTATCAGTATGGACAGCTTCGCCTTACCCGGTTGAACTGGGCGGTTCGCATCATCAAATTCTATCGTATTATCAGCCGAAAACAAACGCAGGAGCGACTCCCATGGAATTACCAAGAGCAACTCTGGCAAACATCACAACATATTCAGAAATACGCTACTCCATTGATATTCGTATTTGCAGTGCTCTCGCTCATCCTCTCCTCAATGCAAGTTGCCTTTGCTGCTCGTGAAGCGACGACCTGGGACGCTTTCGTGCGAGTTTCGTGGGGGTTTTCTATCGCTATTCTTGTCTTTGCTGCCACCCTCGGTGTGCTGGTCATCGCTCCCGTGCTTCTGGTTGTCATAGTTCATTATCGTTCAGCGGTGAGACGTCGGACACAATAAACACGTGTCGGGGTCAAAAGGTTGATCACCCTGTGCTTTACATCCATAATTTATTATCTCACAGAGCAGCCTGCCAGGCTTGTGACGCTAGGGACAGTATAAGCAGGGCTTAGAGTTTCTCTTGATTAACCCATCGTTCCGCAAATAGGGCAACCAGCCGTGCCATCTTCACGCTCTATGCAATCTTAAGTGACACAAAAGCTCGACCGGACGCGGTATTCAAGTTGATGGATATTTGAAGTGGGCATTAGCAATCCAACGACAGTGCTTTTTCATAAATTCACAGACCACTAAGTGCTGCTAGGGCTGCTGGATCTGGAAGCCCTTCAGGGCGTTCAGGGCCATAGAGTAGCGTTGCTAGAAGGCTATCCCCATACTAAGTATGTAAGTTATTGGCTTCTTGGTATTCTTGGCATGCGAGGGACTTCTGCACTGAGAAGCAATGAAATCGCGATCGCGCTCATCTGCCCGTCATTTCACAGGCAGGACCGCCGACTGCTCTAGCTGAAAGGCAGCGGTGATTACTGCTCTTGGGCGCCGAGGCATGGTGCAATGTGAGATTAGGTAGTATCATCGCTATGTTTAGGCTGGACAACGTCCTCCTTCAGAGTCCTTTCTACCTATAATTCGATTATCAGTCCCTGGCTACGTGGGCATTTTCATCGCACTTATTCAAAACTTATCCTCTTACTCATGTTTATCATCGCTCGCCGAAACTCTCAAAGCTCGCCCCTGGAGGTTTGCTCATGTAGAGCTCCGATGACTCTAAACCAGTCATAGAAGAAAGAAGATGAGACGAGGGTTAAGCTCGCTTATGCCGGATTAGGTCGACAAGACGCACAAAATGCGCCTTTCCCTGAACTTCGCCACCCACTTGCGACCAGGGGGGAACAAGCGGAAGAGAAAAACTATGCTGAATGTTTATTTCTGATTATATGGGGGGAGCGGAGGTGTGAACCTCGATTTGTCGCATCTTGCTTAACCTACCTGCCTACTGGGCCCCAATCTGGATCTGAGGCCACCAGCTGAGAAGTTCACGTGTGATCAGTACCTAATCTTCGTAGTGTGGATGTAGTGCTAATTGTGCTTAGTCCATTTATGGCGTACAATGAAGTCGGTACATAGTACTAGGAATGCACTTGTATTTTACTAGAGCGTCCGAGTATGGAGCTTTCGGCGTCTTTGGGTCGGGCCTGGATCGGCTTGGAATCCGACGCCGAACATTTGGTGTAGATCGGCCTAGTTCGGAGAGGTAATGTAAGCCAGTCCGCTTGAGTCGAGCTCTAGTACGAATGCCGCATCCGCACTTCAATGTAGCATTCTATTTATTCTATCTTTACAAAATGGCAGCACCGAGCGAGATCAATGTTTCGGATGTCACTGGACGATGGGCCCTCAACCGGGCCCTCTCAGATCAGCTGGAGCCGTTATTCACACTGGTAAGTTCGTAGATCGCGATGCAAAGCTACAATTACTCATGTCGCTAATGTTACTAGCAAGGTATCCCATGGATCATCCGTAAGGTGATCAATTTCGCATCGCTTGAGCTACAGTATACCAAAGACCCTCCCAGCGATCCGACAGCGGCAACGAGCTTTTCCTTCAAGCAGACTGTCCGGCCCGGTGGATTCGATACGATAAACAGATACGTCCTTGACGGCGACAAGCGAACAGACACCGTACCAATCTTCGGCGAGGTTACCATGTATGCTAAATATCTTAACCGCGACGAGGTCACATTAGAACAAACTCTGGGAACAGGAATCCAGGGTGACGCGGAAAAGGACGTGGCAATAATAGAGGTTACTGAAAGCAAGAGTATGGGCTGGAAGGCCGAGACTGTATGGGTATTTGAGACAATCGACGGAGAATATCGCTTGTGCAAGTATAACAGAATTTGGAAGGGGGACCAAAGTGCAAAAGCCAAAATGGTGCATGATTACATTGGGCCACCCAACTAAGGCGTTAAATTCTTGGTTGAATCAATCGAAATAGGTTTGAGAAACATCACAGTGAAACGTGATTTACTTGTATCAAAGTGATGATCACAGTCACAGCGTGTGTGTCGCATACTCATGTCTCGAGCCAGCTATTATTCAAACATACAATGCAGTTGCTTCAATACCGATGGGTACGCAATTGTTTACGCAGCTTTCAACCCGTAATATGACGTCACTTGATGCCGAGAGGGATAACGAGCTTTGGACTTGTTCATTTCTAAAACAACTACGCCTTCACTATTTTGATATCAACCACAGTAGAAGAAAATCCAAGCACTATGGCAAGTTAGTACCGTCTATTCCAGGCGACAAAGATGACTCACAACCTTCTCTTCTGCACAGCCGAAGAGGCCAAGCCCGTAAAAGACCACTTCCTCATATTGCACCAAGACTAGAATTGACATGATAATTACATTCAGTTCGTCCCCAAGATTCTTGCATCTGAGCAGGCACAGGGGATTTATCCATATGCCCTTGTTGAGTCGAGTCAAGGGTTCCAGCCGGGACAGCCATATAGAGACCAGCTACGAAAAGATGATACGTTCAATACTGATTTCATCGGCGCTTCTATCAATGACTGCGGGGCCTGGGCGCTGAGTAAGGAGAACAACAAGTACTTATACACCGATACCATCATTACTGTTGACGCACTGAGCGTAGAGGACGAAACGGTCACTTTATGGGTTTATCCCCTCCACCAAGACGCTCCCTTTCTACGCCGCGACCAGGAGCCTGAGATTTGGTATCCGTTTCGAGTCCATTATACAAAACTTTGGCCACTTTTGGTTGAGTTCTTGGACATGGGTAGACCGGCTGATACGTACGGGACATTATTCATGCGCAACGAAGAATTTACTGATGCAAATGGGGTTTTTGATTTTGATAAAGCCAATGAGATCATCCTTACTGGAAATGGAGGGTAAATTTTGAAGATCAGTATTGGAATCGGTGCAACGAACTGGAAAATAGATTATGACGTAAAACACTCCTAGAGCGTAGCAAAAATTTAGTTCCGTGACTCCTAAGGGCGATGAACGTACCTGATGTAATAATATAACAAGGGCAGTTGAACTGGGCTTGGAACTGAGGATTCTGATTACAATGATCAACTAGGGCTGCAGTAGTCCTTGACCAACCAACTCCTTCTCGGCTGTTGGTGGCTTGAGATGACTCTATATACAAATGATCTGCCAGCCCAGACCGCCTGGGTCTCTAGGGTCTGTTTCAAGAAGCGAAGTCTGTATAACCTCACTTTCCAATATCACCCAATATTGCCTGCATGTCTTGGAAGGTCATGAACAGCCTGCAATGGTCCTTCGTACGGCCGAAGTGCAAGGCGAACTGCATTCTTCAACCGGCACAGAGGTTACACGTGTAACAAATAATCACGAGCAGGCATAGACAGAAACTAATGAATTGCAATTTAATTGAGGTACTCAGCACATCGCTCAATTAACTGTGAGATAGAAACCCAGCTTGCTAGAGCACTCAATACTACCTTGACTTGATCCCTTGTATGCCCTATAGGGCCTGTGAGGCCCCCGGCAGTGCAAGAGAAACTCTTTCTACAAATATTAAATGCAACGGCCCAGAAACAAGAGTATGAGTATCTTTTTTTCCATCTAGGAATGCCTCCTTGTTGTGTTCGGGGGCAGGTTTCATGTCATATCGTGACACAATCTCGGCCACCACTCGACGAATCTCTATGAGCGCTAATCGTTTCCCAATACATCCGAAGGGGCCTATTATAATAATTAATGAACGTCAAACGTATTGGGAAGGCTATTCAATCTTACCAGAGCCAAATGGTATGAAAGCTGATCTATAGTTAATCAATTCGGGACGTGTGGTCCAGCGATCGGGGATAAATTCCAGTGGACGGTCAAACACTCGAGGATCTATTGCCACGAAAAAGGTTAGTTCACTATTCTTCAACGTTGTGTAAATGCCTGAGCTGCCTATACCTCGAAAAACGGTGTATTGAGGCACCTGCACGATTGTATTTCCGGGGATGAATTTGTTGCCAATGCGTAAGCCTTCAGGAGGCGTTACTCGTTGATTGCCAGATGGTACAGGTGGGTGTAGTCGCAGCGTTTCGTTGATCACTGCATCTAGGAGATTGACTGTTTGCAAGCTCGCAGATGTTAAGTCGGGAAGTGCGTCAAATTCCCGTTGTAATGCTCGCACGAGCATCGGGTCATGCGCAAGGTGAAAAAAGACGTGCGTGAGTGCTGCAGCTACGGTGTCACTACCGGCGATAATGATTACATGGGCATCGCCGTGTAGATCGAAGCGATCCTTTCGAGTTTTCGCACTTTTATTATATGCCTCTAGAAGCCATGAGAAGATATCAGGTTGGTCTGGGTCGTCCTATACTTATACTGTTAGTTTGTGTGGCTTAGGAATAGGAGTCTAGCTTTTGTACCTTGGCTCTTTCATTGATTTGATCCTGTACCCATGCCCAAAACTGTAAGTAACTGTGATTAAGAAGCGGGATTCTTTTGAGGAAGGGTAGAAGCCAGGGTAGATGAGAGAAAAACGCCAAGTTGTACACTTCCCCGCGGATGGACCTAAGCGCGTAGCCCTCGTTGCCACCTGCTAACATGTTTGATGACTTATTAAATGCAAGACTCTCCATTATGTCGAACGTGAAGAAAGTAAACCATTTGGTTATGTCGATTGGTTTAGACCGCTGTTTGTTGATGACGTTGAGTAACTGGCTAATCGCTATAGTTATCCGAGGATCATATCCGAGTAGCGCTAGATTCAGCAAGGGGACACTCTATCAGCAACGGGTAGTATCGACGACGGGAAAGAATATGGCTTGTACCTTTGGTACTAAAACCTTGATCCCACACTTTGCGACGCCGGGCGTGCTCTTCCTTGTCACGTATCATATTAAGGGGGGCTCGAGGCTCTAACAATGTATACCAAGGACCTTTTGTAGTTGGAGATTGGTATCCGTGTATAGCCAAAACAGCCTCTGGGTCCGCAATGGATAGTTCTGATGGGCCTTTGATCGTCAGAATCGATCTGATGCTGCCAGTTTTGATGTGACTTACCGACGCGAACGTAGTCTCCATACTCTTCGTGTAGTTTTCGGATCTCCTCGAACAAGTGTAACTTCTTGATTGACCGTTTCGTGATATAAAAATTAGTGAGTCGGGCTAGAAAGGGGCCTGGGTACTTCGACAGTCTGTGATAGAATACCCGATATACTAGAATACTCAGATAAAGCCCGAATATGTGACAACCTGCGAACTTGACAGCCTCAAAAATGGGCACGCGAAACTGAATATGGGAAACGGACACTCCTGTAAGCAAATCGCAAGGGTCCCGGGCCACCACGTCACGGGCCACCCCGCCACGCGCTTTTTACGCAAATTCGCGTATATAAATCCCTATATCTAACGTAGTTAGTTTTTACCTTTTGACTTTCTTTTTATATTTAATTAAATTGCCTTTTTATATTAAATTTTATAATACCTTTAATTTTTAAAAAAAAGCGTTATTAAGGTATTATTTATAATATTAAACTTAATTTAAATATTAAAATAATAATATAAAAATAGAATATTTTTAAAATTACTTTATAATATTATTTTAATAGAATTTTAACTTAAAAAAAATAAATTAAAGCTTTTAATCTTTTTTATTTTATTTAAAATATTAATTAATATATTAAATAATTAATTAAATTAAATTAAGCTATATATTATTATTAATTAAATTTTAAACTTTTATAAATTTTATATTTAATAATATTAATATTATTAAAAAGGTTTTTTTATTATAATATTAAAGCTTTATTTAATAGAATTTATTAATTAAAATTATTAAATTTTATATAATTAATTATTTAAAAGTTAATAATATTATAATAATTAATATTAACCTTTTTTAATTAATTTAAAGCTTTAAAAATTATTAATATTTTAAAAGATTATTAATATAATATAAATAAAATAAAGGTTAAATAAAGCATTAATAATAATTATTAAATTATTTATAAAATAATTAATTATTTAATATTTAAAAAAGATATTAATAAAAATAAATAAATAATAATATTAAAATATATTATTATTAATAATTATATTTTTTTATTAATAATAATTTTTAAAGGTAAAAATATTTAATATTAATAATTTTTATAATAAAATATAAACTTATAAAATAATTAATTTTTTTAAACTTTATTTAAAGGATAGTTTAATAATAAAATTATATTAAATTAATTTAAAAAGGTTTTTATATTATAAATTTAAACTTAATATAATAATAAATAAATAATATTAATATATAATAATTATAATAATTATATAAATAATATTTTTTTAATAACTTATATATTAAATAAAATATAATTAATCTTTTATAAACTTTATTATAATTATATTATATAGGTATTAAATATTAAAATTTTTAAACTATTAAAAATATAGCTTTATAATTACCTTTATAAATACCCTTTAATTAATTTAAATATTATACCTTTTAAAAAAAATATATTAAAAGTATTATAATTTATAAGGATTAATATTTTAATGCTTAAATAGGTTAAAAATATATAAAAAATAATTAAAATATTTTTATAGGATTAAATTAAACTATTATTTTTAAAATATATAATATTAAAAAAAATATTTTAAAAGTTAAATATAAAGCTTTTATAATAAAAAATAAACTTAAAATATTAAACTTTTTAATATTTAACTTTAAATATATTATAATAATACCTTTAATAGGTTAAAATCTTTAATAAAGTTATTAAAAATTTATTATAAATTATTATACGTTTAATATATTAATATAAAGGTTAATTATTTAAAAGGCTTTAAAGGTATTAAACCTTTAAATTAATAAAATTATAACTTTTAAAGCAAAAGTTTAATACCTTTAATTTAAAGTTAAAAAATTAATTAAACTAAAAAGAAAAAAGGTAAAAATAACGCCTAGGTATAAATTTATAAAAATATTAAATATATAAAAAATTAAATATAAGGTATATAATAAAAGGATTTATAAAAACGAGGTAAATAATTATAAGGTGTTTAAAACCTTAAAAAACCTATTAAAGATTATTTAAAAGGATATTTTGGAGCTTAAAGATTATATTATAGCTATAACCGCCTAAAAACAGCGATCGCAATCGTTTTCGTTAAAAAATACAGCTTCAATTGAGTGGTGTTGGGTGGGTGGTAGGGTGGCCCATGACGTGGTGGCCCGGGACCCTTGCGATTTGCTTAATGAATATCACGAGGTAAAATATCAAGACGAAATGCGACACTACGTCCCATTCGCCCACACGAAATACCAGGACATGAGTCGAAATGCCGCTGGCAGTCGCCAGAACGTTGGTCAAATTTGCTGACATTCCGCTTCGTGGACGACGAGGATCCGGGTGATCTAGAAATTTTAGTAATAAATGTCGAGGTAGGCCAACTTCCCAAGCTCCAATATACTGGGAAGGTCGCAACAACGATACAGCAGTTTAGGTGCCAGATGCTGTCCACGTGATTGTATCTAAATGACTGCCAGCTGTTCGACAAAGCCACTCATATGTAGCTGGCTGAAACTATCGAATACGATCCCATAAGCGCCACGATCCTGTTACGGAAAAGCAACTGTGTGGCGGCACAAAATGCAACCAAATACGCACTCAGGACCACTAATCTAGGATAACTATGGGACTGGAGATGGCATTAATACACAGTATGTCGTTCATCCCAGCATTTGCGGTAAGCTAACGTTTAACATCCTCGAAACGGATATGACTATTATGTACGTTGTAGCAGAGCATATTTACAGCGATATTTTCTGGGGTTTCTTGCTAATCTCTGTATTAACCTAGGCTCTGATGCTAAGTTCCTAAGGGGCCCCATCACAATGTATACCATAAACAGTAGTTTTTTGGGGTGACTAATCCTGTAACTGAACTATTATCGCAACTGGTATGCTAGAGGACTGTATTGGCGGTTGGAGACGATGAAATGAAGAATTCAATTGCACAAAAGTAACCCCATGGTATTCCCATGGCACCCCTCAAGCAAAGTTTGTGGGGGGCACCACGGGCACTACCTACATATGTACCCAGACACTCCAAATCCCATCGCAGGCGTTCCTTGGCACCCAGAACAAGCATATTATCCTACATCAAGGGTTGTAGCTAAGCCGAACAGCGTCCGCGGGCTGTGTCCACGTAAAGTTATCCGGGACGTCGACGGCTCGCACCTTCAACCAGTCCTGCAGTTTACTCCAATCAACACACTTGTGGTGTGTGAGGCCGTTGGGAGTCGGATTCTGGTGATCGAGGACCCAATTATACGGGATAATGCCCGTGTCGAACTGGCACATGAGACTCTGCCGGATGTAATCAACACAGTGCTCATAGTGTCGCTCGTACAGCTCTGGAATCATCTTCTTCTTGTCTTGTGTCTTCGGGAAGTACTCCATGTAGTGGTCCTGCCAGATGTAGTGGAGGCAGTGCAGCTGGTGAGTGCCAATAGTGGCTGCAATGTAGCCGCCACCAGACTCCTCGGGGAATTGAGCAGACCAGTCTGGGTGCTTCACCTTCAGAATGTCCTCTTTAGTGACGCTGATCATGCCATCTATTACAGGCACATTAGTTTGTAGTTGATAGACATCGACGAGTATGGGGGTGTGCGTATTGTTGATGTCATGACTACACCTACATTTCATGATATCGTACCATGCCTTCTCAACTTCCTCAGTAGGTGGTCCTGTCCAAGGTGTCTGATGCCAGAGGGAGCCATTGAACATCTTTTCAGTATAAGGATGCGGAACTACCGCATCGTTCACCGGAGCTACACGTATTTTGGCCCAAGGTTAGCTCTCTGACTCAGACATGGTCTCGATTGGATGATCTCACAATAGAAATTGAATCTATCCCAACAAGCGCTCTGGGTATTCTGGTTCGCAACCTGTGTGTAAATCAACAAGCCGACTATAGCGAGCGCGCTGATTCCGTGGCCGGTCCAGTGCATTAGCGATTTGCGCGCTTTGGCCCGGCCGTCCAAGCTGGAGCGGTAGACGGCATCGTCTAGGAATGGTCTGTCTGACTCTAGAGACGACTCGCCTGACAAATCCTTATAGCTGTGCTTTTCAAACATGTCGACGATGGTGAAATTTGGGTTGCCAGATAGAATTGGTGATGTCTGGCGAGGTGTCAGAGAAGAGCAACGATGTGAGGGGCACCTTGGTTGTAAGAGGAGAAAAGACAGCTCTGAATTGCTATGAAGGAGGGTAAGAGGAATATGATAATCAACTCCCGGTAGACCGAACAGCAGGTTTCGTCGGTCATAGGTCACGCATACCTCATTCTCCTCATTCTCATATATCCGAACTTTTACTCGCGATACGCGCTTAAGGACTTGGTATCTGCTGATTAATTGCTATAAGGTCTGTTTAATCACGAACGCTGCATCATGATTGTCGCTGCGGCGAGTCACGACGTTGCAATGTATGCACGTTGCAGTGGATGTGCTGTCAAACCTAGATCGAAACTCCAACTCTTATCCAGACAAGATATTAACAACTCGGCTTTTCTCCAATCAAGACAACATATCAGTACGCTGAGTATGGATGAGTGAGACCCGGTGACATGAATGAATGAAACTGTCGCAGTCGGGCCGGAGCCGCGGATAGCTGGACAACACATCATCGTTCTCTCTTTGAGGGGAAGTTCCTGAATAATTGGGCGTCAAGTAATCTCCACACACTCTCAAGAAGCTTCCCCTCCTCACCGGCATACTGCAGCTGTCGCAAAGTGGTCTCTCTCCAATTTCCGGAAATGTATGGGATATTCGAGTTTTGTCTTCGAGATATAACCTATACCCGAGTGAAGCGATTGTGATGCTTCGAGCGTAATTATAAAAGACGTGCAATTACGCCCCTTTCCAATACATTTTCTAACTCCGCCATCCACCCTACCTTGTTAACTCGTATAGTTACTACTAAACCTCAAATCTTCACCATGCTTGCCCGTCTGTCTATCATTGCCCTTACCCTGACGTTGGCGGTGGCACGTCCCGCCCGTAAGAGCACTGCCCACTTTCATATAACTAGAAGGTTGCAACCTAGTTAACAGAGCCCTTAGACTTCGAGACGGACCCTATGTTGCAGGTCGGCGAGAAGGCTGCTTCATCTTACGCAGAGAGCAAGAGAGCCCATTTCGAAACCGACCCGATGCTGCAAGTTGGAGAGAAGGCTGCTTCATCTTACGCCGAGAGTAAGAGGGCTCACTTCGAAACCGATCCAATGCTGCAAGTCGGCGAAAAAGCTGCGTCATCCTACGCAGAGAGCAAGAGAGCTCATTTCGAGACGGACCCTATGCTGCAGGTCGGCGAGAAGGCTGCTTCGTCCTATGCAGAGAGCAAGAGGGCTCACTTTGAGACCGACCCGATGCTACAGGTTGGTGAGAAAGCTGCTTCTTCTTACGCAGACGCCTATAAGAGGGCTCATTTTGAGACGGACCCCATGCTGCAGGTCGGCGAGAAAGCTGCCTCCTCTTACGCAGACTCCTACTAGATAGGGATGGATGCTGCGGCGCAATATGACGAAACACTCTCATAGCATATCATATGGATAGTGGAGATAATTGACTCGAGTTGTGTGGTTCGATGCAGACTGCAGATCAGAATGTCTATACTACTTATGTTCCGTACCATTCTGGCAAACCTTATCAATGACCCCGTGCATTTATCCCTTGGCTCCAAGATCCCCCTCCTCTAGAACTTGAATCTTGGCTCGGTGCTTGGCCCTTGTAGAGCACCGTCATCACTTTAATGACCGTTTCACCTACGTGACATTCTACAGTATGAATCTAAATGTCCAATTAAAATATCACTTTAACTACCATTTCACCTCCGTGACATTGCTGACCCAGTCTTAATCACGTGCTATGTTTCTTCTTACCCATGCTAGTGGATTAACTTTGCCAATACCTAAGCCGTTACCCAAGGGACACCAAAGCTAGTGTAGCTTTCTGTACTTGCAGTTATCTGTTTCAGTGGGGTACAAATGTGAGAGATATCTATACTTCTAATTGGTCATATAAAGTCTTGGCAAGTCACGGAGGTGAAATGGTTGTTAAAGTGATAGAAGCATCTTGCATCCATAATACCTACATTTATAAATCACTACACCAGTTTCATCGTCGTCCTAGGCAGAGGTTAAAGTACAGGTGATGTTAACCCATCAGCAGGGGTAGAAAGAACCATAACAAGTGATAAGAACTGAGTCAGCCATGTTAAAATGGTACCGGTAGTTACTTAAAATGATACGCCCAGTTTGTTGACACTTATGTTGCAATAAATTTGGCAAAATACACCATCAATTCCTAAGAAGTCTCTTTCCAACCCTTCTAGATTATTCCCTGCCTTTCAGCCCTGCTAGCGCTGATACAAACCCTTGTTTTCTGTATTGTGCTTACGTGTACACTCGAGGTCCTGGAAGAAGAAGGCCCGTCTACCTACATAGTACTTCACTCAAACTGGTCTAGGTTGGTTAAACGCATATATTGGGGGGGGGGATGGGCCTTAGGAAGCCTAATTGCATACGCTTGATCAAAGTCAGCCACTGCGCGTAGGCGTACGTACGTAGTGCGCCTTTATTAAGCCAGCTACGCAACTAGACTCCGAAGGCTGCCCAAACCCATGGCCCAACATTTGTTCATTTTTTTTATTTGGGATTGAGGAAGGGAAAAGGGGTCAAGGGATTGGACCTTGGCTAAAAAAACCTCCCGACCACCACTAAAAACCACCCCCTTCGTGGGAGGTGGAAAAGTGAGGTGACGGAGGAAAAACCCACGCCGCGAAGACGCGGCGCGGTAGGCCTTTTTGGGAAGTAGAACCAATTATTAACCAGAAGGGAGTGGCAATAAAAACAACTTACTATAGTCACTCTTCAACGATGTATGATAAAACCTTGAAAGAAATCTGCATAGTATTAAGATCTCGTAAATAATACATACACGTTTCTTTTAGTATGTGGCTCTTGAATCTGAATATGTGGTGGTAGATGAGGCTAGGCGCTAGGAGCAGTAGTTGAGTGTGATAATATGAGGAGTGAGTCGATTTCACCCCCCTTCTGCTGTAACTATTCCTAACCTCAGGAACATGGCGATCCAGTAGGGATTACTAGTAGTATGACGATAAAGGTCACGATACGAAGATCACGGACTTATGTTCCGACTAAGCCGCCTTGCTTAGTGTAGTACGCCACTATTAATCCGGCAGGTTTAATCACGGGATCTATCCGCACGACCCCTGGTTAGCTCAGTGACATTGTCACAGATTCACGGCAGAGAAGCTGTCGTATCTTTTTAGTGGCCATATTTGCTTTCGCTTTTAGTTCGCGTAAAGAGATAAAGTTTGCGCCCAGTAAATTGCTCCTTGTCAAGTGTTTCTATCCCTAGTCGCTGACGGCCCACCTATCTGAAGTAATTATCCTAACCCCAGCGCTACCCCGGCTTGCCTAAGGTACTTCCACCAAAATGATTGCGCGAAGGAGTTTCTTGCCCAAGTCCTATGTATACCTAGGTGGGTAGGAATGTAAGGTACCGCAACATAAGATAGCTTTAATTGGCGTTTAGCCCTTGTCCAGCCACCTTGGCATGCAAAGGAGCGATTTTAGTTGTCTGGACAATGTAATGCGAGCGCGCCTCTACACTACTATTGCTAGGATATATAAAGAATTGTCATCAGATCGGCTTATGTGATCGTCAACAGCGTGTACATGATAAAAGTCGCCCATCTCCTGAAAGGGTCTCACGTAACAGACACTTAAGTTCGGGATGACACGGGCCTTAGGCCCGCTATATATAAGCAAGCGAAGTCTGACTGTCTTGGCCGCGAGAAAGGAGGTTCTCCTCTTTCCGCAATTATAACAGCCATTAATCGATACTCCCGCAGTACGGACCCCGATAGACGGAATATAGACCATGGAAACACCTGATACACGGAACCTTTCTGAGAAGCAAAGCCTCGAGGCGCAAGACAGCGACGGAAACGGGTCGACCTCGGAAGGGAACACCTCAAGCATCGAAAGCCGCTCGAAGCGGAAATGGAATATTTTCCCTCCCCCGCCGGTCAAAGAGCCTGGACCACCGCCAGATGGCGGCCTCAGGGCGTGGCTTCAAGTCCTCGCGGGACACCTGGTGTGCTTCGTCACTTGGGGATTGATTACTAGTTTCGGAGTCTTCCAATCTCACTACGAAGAACTGCTTCACGTATCGCCTTCGACCGTCTCGTGGATTGGCACAATCCAGATCTTTATACTCCTCGCGATCGGGACTTTCTCAGGTCGAGCAAGTGATGCTGGTTTCGTGCACCAGGCTGTCCTCTTGGGAACAGTTCTCATTGTTTTTGGCATGTTTGTGACGAGTGCCGCCACGCAGTACTATCAGTTCATCCTCGCCCAAGGCGTCGTCATTGGAATTGGAATGGGCATCTTGTATATGCCGGGTCTGTCGGTACCATCTTCGTATTTCAAGGAAAAGAAACCCCTCGCGGTCGCCATTGTCGCTTCCGGCGCCGGGTCGGGTGGCTTGGTGTACCCAGCCATGATCCAACAGCTGCTTCCTCGTGTCGGTAAGCAAAGCAACTCGCCGCCTCCCTCGACACGAATAGCTCCGAGAATAAACTGCTTACTGACATGATATAGGTTTCGGCTGGACGATCCGAAGCATGGCCTTCGTGACCCTTTTCATCTCGATATTTATCAATCTTCTCTTGCGCGTCCGCGTCCCTGCGCGTAAATCGGGCCCGATCGCCGAGTTGGGCGCTTTCAAAGAACTCGATTATGTGTTCTTCATCATAGGCTTTTTTCTCATTTATTGGGCCGTATACTTTGCTATTTACTATGTTAGTGTCAACGCGTACCTTTCCAACTGCAGTAGTTATTGATTGCACGGCTTCTTTCTGACCTGCTCATTAGATTGATCTCTATGGCCACACATATGCCTCTTTCACCAGTCTTGATTCCATCAACCTACTCCTCATCACCAATGCGCTCGGGATTCCAGGTCGCATTTTGCCTGGGTTCATCGCGACGTACTATTTGGGGCCTATCAATACGGCAATACCAACCGCAACGGTGGTCGCTATCGTGTTGTTCCTTTGGCCTGTTGTCGCCCATGAAAAGATCCCCTTGTACGTGTTTGCTGCTGCGTACGGCTTTGTAGCAAGCGCCATCCAGTCGTTATTCGCTGTAGGACTAGCTGCACTGACGACAGACCTAAGTCGGCTAGGCACTAGGATGGGCATGGTGTTTAGTGTCGTAGCGTTCGCCAGTCTGACCGGAGTTCCCATCGCTGGCGCGATCATAGAAGCCAGCGGAGGGCGCTATCTCGGTGCGCAACTGTGGGCGGCGAGCATCACGTTACTTGGGGCCGTGGCTCTGCTTGTTGCGAGGGTAAGCAAGGTGGGCTGGGCACGGACGAAGATTTGAAATTGGACCTTTACCACATAAAGACTTATTTTGGGCGGTATGATCTCGCCTTCATACCTTTTATCCGTCACCCACGATACCCTCTATGTCGGTGTCTGTCCGAAACGGGAATCATCCCCTGAGATACCGTCACTGTACCAAAATATGTGCCAAAATGTATAGAGTCTTGAATAGATAGCTAATAGCCACCTCCCACTGAGGAATAGGGGACGTTATAGAAGATAGAACTTGGGGACTATTGTAGCAGCTTTCCACATGTCGCGTAGACGGTTGGAATCCCACACCCGGCGGCACGCGCCGGCCCGCGATATGCAGCTAACACATTAGACCACCCGCTTATCGGGGAAGGATGACGCGCCGTTATCAACTCCAACAAGAGTAAACGACTACTTAGATACCGTACTGGTATACTTACGTAATGCCACAAGATCAATTGGAGTGACGACTACTGACAGGGATGTCTGTCGAGCTCTCCCTGCCATGAAAAACCGACCTGCCGTTAACTCCATTTGAGTCCATCTTGATATGGAAATTCTATAGAGCAGCTTACACGTTGCAGTACCAGTCACAGGGACACTTACACACTAAGAAGCACACCATCATACCCTAACTAACCACGGTATTGCGTCTTCGTGAATGATCTCGTCTACGACTATAACATGGTCAGGCACTAGAAGCTCGCAATATCTATAGTTCATCTCGATTGCTCGATTGTAGTATTTCGTCCTCGTGCCGTGCGTCGATTTGATTGCAGCGATCCATTCCGACTGTCCATCTCAACAACCAACCTCTCTAAAATGATGATCCATTTTGGGATTCCGTTTAGAATTTGGTGTCTATCAACGCTCTCAATTCGAGTGGTACATGTTTAGTATTCAGGTACAGTTCAAGGCTCTGCAGCCTCTACGGCATTTCATAGCCTTCATCAAGTTACACCCACCGCGTCCGCGCGAAGTAACACACCGAACATCCACGCCCCAGCAAAGAATGTAACGCCGAGACAGCATAGAATAGTAGAATTATAGGGTTGTTAAAGGGTAGTGTCACTCCCACCCTAACTCAACCTGAATGCTACCTGGACACCGCTTAGCCGCCTCGGCGGCTGCGCATGCCTTTCTAATAGCGAGCTGATAAAGCTATAAAAGCGTAGTCTTCAAAAATACCGACCAAGCAAGCAAGAAAGCGCGCACCCTTGGTAGATGCCGACATCTTCACTTGGCCTGTCTACATAGACCCATGGATGCGCCATGCCTCTTCGACGACTTTTGACGGGATAGAGGGAATCTCTCACCCATCTTGGTTGTTGTCAGACTAGTCGAATATCTTGTATCTTGAGTCTAGGTTGTGACACAGTCTAGTATTTCATCGCTCGAGGCTTCACCCTCGCCCCCCTAGCTCGTTTGCGCCCTGCATGTGGACGGGGCGGTTCGAAGGCTGAGTGGGTGGCTACGAGACGCCGCGGGGTAGGCGTCGTAGAGTACTATGATGTGCCAATCGGGATTATGTTACCTATTAGCTAATGAAAGTGAACACCTACCGCATATAGGGTCGCTCAGGGCCGGAACGACCACTTGTCGGGGTATCGACTACGCTAGTAACCCGGTAGATTAACGGTTCTGTTTCCTTCAGCATGGTGTACCGATGCAGTCAATTTGCCGATGGTAGAACGGAGGCCCGGCGGCTATACATAGTAAAGTCGGAGACCGTAGCAGAACCTGCAGGGCCGCTACACCCGGCATGATCAGTCGGCACATGCTCTCGTGTTAGTTACTAGTAGTGCACACAAATGTTGAAGAGTTGGTATAGAAGTCTATACAAGTGGAAGTTCTGGGAACCAAAAATGAAACCCTTTGTCCCCCCTTGCCTAACGCAAGAATGTGTTCCTTCACGTGCCCCATACGGAGGTCGAGGTCGGTTATGTCTATCACCCCTAGTATTGGCCTACCATGCCAAGCCTGATGTATATTTGCGCCCCAAATCTACATACAGTTGTAGCGCCATATCCACGTCCCATTTTATCTCTTGCTTGCTATGCCGAGAGCGATTGCTGATTACATGAATGCGACGATGCAATACCGATATGAGTGATGGTTGCAATAAAATAGGATGGTCCAACGGTTGATCCTTCCAACTCTTCGTTGGGGCAGGAGGACATCCGGATACTATCTACATGAACAGAAGGTTCTCACTCGGGAGGATGTCACACATCAACTCCTGTCATTAGCCCAAGGGATTTGCCCCTGCCCTTGCGGTCTACAGAAAGAAAAACTAAGCATAAGATGGCCGAATAGTTTATGTGACTGGATTGCGTCTTTTGAAAGTCTTGACGAAGATATTGGTTACGGCTAAGTCCATAATAACCTAGAAGGGCTCCATACATGCGAGGTGGCCTTGTAGCAACCTTATTCAGCTGCTGCAATCAAGTTTACTGTTATCCTATGCCTCGATTTGCAGCAAGGTTTACACACAACCTTTGCAGGGCATTACAGTAACGGCCTTAAAGTTAAATACTTGTTTAGATAAACCTTTTGTTCTATATAATTTATCTGATGTTACTGACCTTGGTCGACACATTTTTTCTCTTCACATCCCCGTCTCTCCTTCCCTTCCTCCCTCCCTCCTCAGAGTCATTTATTTATCTACCCAAGTTCTCACCACTGCTCTTCTTTATAGCAGTCTCTACGGTCGTCTTCAACCTAATTACACCGATCGAGATGGAGGAGTTATTCTTCGGAATTCTGTACCGGGGTTTATCCGTCGGGATTGTCATTGCGATCGATAAATTCGTGGTTCAACGCCGCGACGCGGTTGTACGAACAGTGCGCCGACTGCAAGCGACCCTTCACATTCCAACCTGCCTTTCATTGGTTAGCGACACAGCTCCGGGCATAACAGATGAGTCACTGCGAATTGGAGCTGAGATAACTATCTTCTCCGGAATAGCGTCCCTCGCTCTACTCGCCGTTGTTCCATTAGCTGGAATAACCGAACGTTTCTGGTGGCTCGTCGCGGCGATTGTTGTTTCGGTTTGTCTTACAATCTCCGTTTGGATTTATTTCATATGCGCAAGAAATAGGTTCGATCGAGGCGAAAGAGACATATTTGAGAACCGCAGTGGAAACAACCCGGGTCTTCGGAGATCCATCGGCTGTGCGTTAGGCGTCGTGTAAAATCGTCAAGGGTTAAGTCGCAATGATGCAGGCGTCCACCTTGACTACGTCCATCGAACCACCGCTGCTAACAGGAACCGCTTTGTCTTCGGAACGCATCCATCTCGACTATACCGGATGAAGTTGTTCGTGAAAGCGGGAGATCCAACATCTTACTTGACAGTGTAAGTCTATATTGGAAGATTCTTGCCAATGGCGCCATTTTCTTCTCATAGACCTATGAGTTTTAAATCAGCGAAGTTATTACTGCAGTCGTCTTTCATTCAATCTGCATTTATCGCCCTGCTACAAGTGAGTGTAAACAAAACTAACTATACAGTTTAGGTGTCGTTCTCCACCAAAACTTCTCACATAATAATCTTTTAAGGCTGATGACACCCGGCAAGATGGTCACGATGCTGACGCCAAACGGCGCGACCTCCAGTCACAAGGTCTCGGACAGAGTATTCAAGGCGGCCTAACTAACTACCTAGCCCACCCACGTGATGGAGACGTGGTGGAAATGAAAACCATGCGGGCACCGATCGTGGGGTAGGGGTAGAGATACGAGATTGATAAGCAAACCTACAAACCCAGGGGGAGTTGAGAACAGAGGCCGACGAGCTCATGTTCACGATGCGGCCGCGGTTGGAGATCAAGAGATCAGCAAAGGCCTGGATTGTCCGCAGAGGACCCCAAATGTGAACGTCGTGCAGACGCTGGGCAGCGGCGATCCCGATGTCGAGCACGGGCCGCACATAGCCCACGGCGGCGTTGTTGACAAGCACATGTAGCCCGCGTCCGCTGTCCGCGTCCGCTGTCCGCGACGGCCTGGGCGGCAGGAGCCACGGAGGCCGTGTCTCCGACGTCAAGGCGCAGGACCGTGACATTCTCGAGACGACTGAGAGTCTTGGGGATCTTGGCGGTGTTCCGGGCCGCGCCGGGCTAGGGCGAGGCCGATGGAAGACTATGACTGGTTCATCATATATAGGCCAAGCTGCCAAAACGGAGTGGCATAGCGCTGTCGTCCCTTAGAAGTGTCAAACCTACCTGTGGAAACTCCTCACCAAGTGGTGTCTGAGAGCCAGCACAGCACATAGTGCGGCGGAAATCGAAAATTGCGTAGGAATTTAAGGCCCCGGACTATCCTAAACGATCCACCGCCGCGCAGAAGCCACATCAACTGCTGACCTCACCGCCGAAGGAAGAACATTCTTCCAAGGAGACTAGAGTATATATATACAGTTGGACAAGGATTATAAGGAACACAGAAGGAATATTAAGGGGATGACCACTTGGTTGCAGGATACTATTGCCCCAAGCTATAGGATGGTTATCTTGAAGCCTGAACAAGAGATTGACGAATGGTATGATAACGTTTGCAAGATTGGTGCAGCAGCCCAGTCGAGTCTCCGGCAGGAAGCAAGAACGCAATATAAGGCAATAGTATCCAGGCCCTTGACGAAGGTTCCAAAGGACCTAGGATCATGGGTTACTAAGTGGGAGGCTATAGTGGCAAGAGGAATTGATAAAGGACGCACAGAGTGGAACGCTTCAGAGAACCTTATGGCTGACCTCGAATATATTCTTTAAGGGGTAATCCATAATTGGACCACTAGCTTTAGGATGTTCAACAAGGCGGCTATAGAGGCAGGGACCCTTTCGTACATCGATATAGCTGCAGGGCTTAGAGAGTACGTGTTAACACGCCCTTCACCCTCGGGGGTTGGAAGGGCAGCGAAGGGAGCATTCCCTATATATGCTACTAACGAACAGAACGAGAGCGAAGGAGAGGACCAGCCTCCTAAGAGGCAGGACCCTGGAGAAGGTCAGCGGCAATGCGGCAGAGGCCGAGGCCGGGGAAACAACAGAGGGAGGTTACTTCATAAATCCATTCGATGGTATATGCATTATAATAATTAATAATAAATTATTTTAAAAAGGGTTTTTAGATAAGAAAATATAATTAAAAGTTATAAAAAGGGTAAAAATAAATTAATTAATATTTTAAATAAAGATAAAAAGAAAAGAATTTATAACTATTTGTTTATAACTTATTTTAAGATCTATATATAAAATAATTACTTTAGGAAAGTTTAGCTCCATTTATAGCTAAAGGTAGCTACGTTTAACATAAGCTATTTTCGTTTATATTCATCCGCCTTATTTTTGGACTTTGGAAATCCTGATACCTTGCCCTCCATGAAGCCAACTTTGCAATAAGTAAATTAAAGAATCCTGAGCTAAGCTCATTAAAACTAAATTGGGCTTAAGTTAACCTAAGCCGGGCCTAAGCAAAAGCAACGAACCGTTATATAATCCTAAACGTCGAGATTAACATGGTATAACATAGAATGCTTAGGAATATAACCATTAATGGCGTAGCTACCAATAAACCGGTTTCCTGAATTCGAGTATACGAAGGGCATTTTACTCCATCAGCTCATGATGAGCTCTGTGAAGAGTTCGTATACCATCTGATGAATAGACCCCTTGTCAAATTGTTCGCACTAGGGTCCTCGTGAGTCACCGGAATATTTCCGGACATTGAAACCTCGACATCCTTGAAGGTTTGCATTGTTGAGTGACTCAATACAGGAGATGGTACTGTTGAGCTATGATTGAATGAGCTTAGCATACATGTAGAATTGCTGCCTCAAAAACGCGTTTCCCAGCATTTCCATGTACGCTGTCGATCCACATGATGGTTGACAACAGTTTCCGTGCCTGATCCCAAGTCTGAAGCTCGAGTGTGCCTGCTACTTGTCGTAAAAGGGGATGAAGCCAATCTGCGTCGCTGTCGCTGAGAACTGAAATGGAAGCAATAATGAAGAGCCAGAAGGCGAATTCTTGCGAGACGAATATATCTTTCCCATTCAATTCGAGAAATAATCTCTTTACTGAGAAGCTGAGGTGTGTATAAGATATGCCTAGGTGCTGCCACTGCAGGAACACGCTACAACATGAACATAGGAGACCTAACCGGATAACTTCGCTTATTGAAGAGGGCTCAATTTGCATATCAATCAATCGATACATGATCGAGGCCATGGAGTTAAGAAAGAGCTTCATAGTTATGCGCTGCTCCGAAATCGCTGCGCAGTTAATAACGGAACAGAAGTCGGACATGGTGTTCCATATTGAGGTGAGCCCGTCATGGTAGAACATGTCCGTCATTTGAGCTAGCTGTAGGCCGACATTCAAATTGCGACTGTTGTGATCGAGGAAAACGGACAGCGATGGGTACGGCCACTCATCGGCCAATTTGGGAAACAGGAGGGACTTTGTGCCACTATGTACCGCCAACCCGAGATCACATCTAGAAACTATCAGTGGCCGACATTATCATTAGGGGACACTGGTAGAATGATTACCTCAGAATCTCTGTTGCGAGCTTTTCGTTGCCTTCTCTTTCGAAGATGCTGAAGCCACCTCTCAGGTTAACAATTATACTTATTCCATTTAAGTGTTTTCTCGCAGTTTCCAGATCGCCTGTAATGAACGCCTGACTAGCTAATATCAGTATCACTGAAATGGTGCGACTAGAAAGCCGAGAATCCCCTTTATCTGAGTTGATCCGGTCTCGAATAAGGCCAAGTGCTTTGGTGTGGTGGTAATACCACGTGCGACGACTCTCACGGGATGTTGCTAGGGACAAGACCACATCATGATAATATAATGAGTGTGAGATGTTAGCATGGAGATAGGCGGCGTCGATGGCCAGGGGCGCGACCCAATGCTCAACCCTTCGTTCAAAGAAGATGCACGGCTCAATGGAGAAGAGTATCTGCTTGGCAATAGACGAAACTGCAATATCGGGGTTAGCTTAACTCCGGCTGTAAACGACGGGTCGTGATTTGCATACATCGAAGAACAATTTCGAAGATTTTAGGCTCAACGCTGTCGGCCAAAGACATGGTAGAAACCGCCGATCCTACCTGGCGAGGGGCAGGTAATAGTGGAACGGGTTGAGTTGGGGAGTTGGCGAACTCTGGGGCACTCCTGGACGGAGTCCGTGCAACACGGCTCACTACATTGCGATGCTCCTCCAGTTGCTTCAGCTGTTTCTGGCGTGGTCTACTTCCAAGCGACCGCCATCTGCCTAGATTTTTGCCTTTCATGACATGGCTTCGGATTGCCTTGCGATCGCTCTCGCTAAGGTGCCCGCAGCCCCCATCGGCGATAAAGTGAAGCTCTGTTGCATGTAAGTCCAAGTCGTAGGAGCTCGCTTGGTGGGTACTCAGAGAACATACCCATCGACTGTTTTGTCCGACTGTACCAGATCTCAGTCACAATTAAGAACCACGTCAGGGCCTTGATTCGGAAAACAGTAGGAGCGGAGAGAGTGAAGAGAACGTGGTGGAAATCAATCTGAAGAGGATGAACTTCATTCTCAAGTCGTCGCTTGACTCCCTAAACTTCTCCACTTGTATTATTTACTCTTTTAGGTAAGTGGGTATTTAATGCTTGGATGTGCTGCTATATTTGGATAGGCTGGCTGGCTTTTACAAGGGTAGTCCTTGATAGCCGCGAGATCTAACAAAATCGAGAGCTGCTCGTTTTTAGGGCAATAGGTGAGTTTTATATGAAAACATCTCAATACGATGGTCTAAAGTCTCTTGTTTTTTTGTGGTATATTCAATATTCATCTAGATGTCAGGCAGTGCCGTCATGCTATTTTGTATTTGAACTATGATCATAATTACTGGGTTGTAAGGAACAGAAGGACACTGAATACCCTTGAATCCAGGCCCTTTAGACATCGCGTAACATGGCAGGTTTTACTGTATATCTATACCCGTTTGGGCCGTTTAAGGCAGAGACCTCGTAAGAATGGACGCACCCTCTTCCTAGTGACTGTACGTTGGCTGCATGATCGCTGTTGACCCGCAGATATTGCTATCTGATTCGGGACGCCACTGATACAGGTTCGCCTAAGCCCCTCTGCATGCCTAAGGTTACGATTTCCTAACAACATTCGAATGAGATCCGTAATCATTGTTTCCCAGTTAAGGATTGTATCTCATGACATCTAGGGTACATTCATGTTCTGAGGCGCTTGGTGTAGGTAGGTAAGTAAACGACACGGATCAGCAACCAGATACTCTCCTTTTTCGGGTTCAGACGTACTGTCTACTTACTATGTTCATTACCGAAGTAAAAATAATTGGCTGCAACCATGCATGCGGGGTTCATCTAGATACTTCTATACCTACTATAAAGTAAGTCCGTAAATCCTTAGTCGAGATCTGTACTGACTGCAGACCTATGATGTCCTCTCGCCGTTACTAAGAAATGAACTTGTCTGTTGAGCGTAACATCGCATTCTAGTCTCTCTGTTTCTCATCTATTTCGACACAAGTAGTCCGGGATTTGACCCCATCGTGCAACCATGACCGGCTCTCGCGAACTCGAACCCTCACAAGTTCCATTCTTCCCCACCATATTCTTCAACAACCAGTTCAAAGCCAAACCTCAGTGGCCTACAAAGGACAAGAATCTTATAGGGAAGACTGCTATCGTCACTGGGAGCAATACTGGTCTAGGCTATGAAGCCGCGGTCCAGCTATTGGAGTTGAAGCTGTCGCATTTAATTGTAGCTGTTCGCTCAGTCGAAAAGGGGTTGCAAGCTGCAACACAAATGAGAGCAAAATATCCCGATGCAAAGATCGATGTTTGGGCTCTTGACTTATGCTCATACGATTCTATCCAGTCTTTTGCCGAAAAGGCGGACAAGGAGCTTGGGCGCCTTGATATAGTGATACTCAACGCGGGTCGTGCTCGCATGGAGCACCACAAAGTTGAAAGCACCGGCCACGAAGAAAGTTTCCAGGTCAATTATCTCTCTACGATCTTTCTTCTTATCCTTCTTCTCCCGTCGCTGAAATTCAAGCGTATTGCCGGCCACCCAGCCCACGTCACCATCGCCGGTGCCGCATTAACATTGGATGCCAAGTTCATTCACAGAAACGCGGTTCCGCTTTTCGCATCTCTAGATGCCCCCGAGAATTTCGACCGAGATGATAGCTACCGCGTAACCAAGCTGTTAGCTCAGATGTTTTTGTGGACTCTAGTTGATTACGTATCTGCCGACGATGTCATTATCAATATCGCTGATCCTGCCTTCGTTCGCGGCACTAGCCTTGCACGCGATCTAAAAGGGTCTTTGGTGTTCAGAACACTGTTCAGTCTGTTCGGGTACATTGCCGGACGTAGTCCAAGAGTTGGCGCCTCGTGTTATATTGATGCTGTGGTCAACAAAGGGAAGGAATCCCACGGGTGCTTCCTGATGTCTTGGGAGTCCCACCCCTTTCCAGGTCTCTTGTACACGGATGATGGCAAGACAGCGACGCAGAGAGTTTGGGAGGAAACAATGGCAGAGTTTGAATTTTCGAGCGCTCGTCAAAAGATTGAGTCCATGAAGGAATAGTATATGCTGGGCTGTTGGTGGCTTGACTCGACTCTTTATACAAATGGTCTGCCAGCCCAGACCAACTATGCCTCTAAGGTCTGTTTCAAGAAGCGAAGTCTGTATAACCTCACTTTTCAATATTGCCTGCATGTCTCTGAAAGATCATGAACAGCCTGCAATGGCCTTTCGTACGGCCGAAGTGCAAGGCGAACTGCATATTCAGCTAGTATAGCTTGTACGCATGGAAAAGGCAGCTTCTATTTCTCATCATGGATGGATCATGAAACTTGTATCGTCTTTTTTCTTTTAATTTATTGAGTTTCTATTTATACAGGTGCACTCCTTCTGTCAGCCTGCCACTGAACATTCTATGTATCAAGTATTATGATTTTTTAAATATACAGTTCCCATTTTCAGCTGTGAATACTAAGCCAGCAGAAAGCTGGAAGGTAATCTGTCACATTGAGACGGACTCAAGGAGCGGCTGAACTAAGGTCACAATATCGTGTATACAAACATACCACTCAATTGCCTTTCGTACAGAAACCTGGCTAGCTAGAGAATACAAGATCACATGATATGACCCCTTAGGCGGCCGGCAAGGATTTTTAGCCCGCCGCAGTACGGGAGAATTGACTCCATGAACTAAAGCCCCAGCCATTGTTTCACACGGGTAGGGCCAAATATGCAGATCGCCTACAGTCACAGGCGGATTCCTTGCCAAGACATGCAGTCTCGTATTAAAAGTGAGGTTATACAGAACTCACTAGCCTGAGACATATTCGCGGCCTTTAACTGTTAGCAAATCCCGGACCAATTGTATATCAAGTCAAAGGCAGCCACCATAGCTAGGAGCAAACTGGTGGCCAACAAGCAACTTTGCAGACGTAGCAGATTATTCTTCTGAATGTTTTTAATCGTAGCCTCTGTTATTAGCCTTTATTGCAATTACTGTCTTTACACTATCCTAGTAATTATTAATTTTATGCCTATTACAACTAATAATGATCTTCTGACGCTAGTAACACTTGACCAAACTTCTCTGTTTGTCGAGTATTAGCAGTGTGACACCAGTCAAGCGTCACGAAGCCATTGCGTGACCTTGACCATAAATGTCATGGCTGAAACATTGTCATACTGCATAATTATCGGTTCCTCTAAGGCATGGTATCTTTTGTTTTTTTCTCTACATTTGCGCTTGGCTACTACCTGTGGGTGGCACTTTAGCTTAGTGCCCCTGTGCAGCCAAGTCTTCCTGAACATCGTGACACCGATTGACAGGATACATACCGCCTTATCTAGGTCAGATATGATCAGCCGGCACACAATCACAATCTACCGGGAACGCACTAATACATCTCAATGTATCTAAGCCAGTCTCCCATCAAACAATTTCTTGCGTCTTCTCGTCACTGCTAACTTCGACCTTCCAAACGAACAACGTTCTTTAACACAATGGGCGAATTTCACGTTGGCTTGTTTGGTTCCCAGATCACCGACTGGACACCGGAAATTCTTTCAGCTATCCGCTCAAGCTTATTAAGTGATGAAAGGCTTCAATATCTCTGTCAAACCATTCTGGATCTTCCATCTCTATGGCCGCTACTCAAAGAAGACTTTGGGATTCTTCAGCAATCATCTAATCAGATCGATCTAGAGCCATTACTCTGGTTTGCTAGAGGTGAAAAACACGAGCCTTGCGAACTGAGCAATGCGCACTTCGCGACAATTACAGTCATATTCCAAATAATTGAGCTCAGTCGAATGTACAATCATGATCTCCCCCCTTTCAAAGTATGTCAGGGATCCCGCATCGGTTTTCTTTTGGCTGCAGCATTTTCATCTGCGAAAGACTGGGAAGAGTTCAAAGTTAATGCATGTAACGCGGTGCGATTGGCCACATGTATTGGAATTGTGATAGACTCACAGAAATATGGTTCTAAGGAAAGAACTGAAGCATACACTATTTCTGTGCGCTGCAAATCAGTGGCGGACAGAGCATACCTTGATGCTTGTTTGGGTAGCTTCGCAGAGGTAAGTATATTACTCGACTTGATCTGTGTAGCTCATGATTTAATTGATACTATGCATGTTCAGGCGTATATATCCTGCATTACCGATGACGACACTCTCCTGATAACCTTGCCAGAAACCCAACAAGAGAAATTTCGAGGACGGCTGAGCAAGTCGAATCTTTCGGTCTCGATCGTCGGCATTCAGGGCTACCACCATCACTCAAGCAACCATGAAACCGCGCAGAAGTTGATTCGAATGAGCATCAAGTATGCCAAGCTACTAGGCCTTCCTGACGCGGATAAGCTGCGACTTCCCTTGCGATCTACAGCAGATGCTCAAATCATCGCCCATGGTTCTCTCAGCGCCATAGCCATCGACCTAATGCTCTGCAAATGTGCTCATTGGTATCAGACCGTGAGAGCCAGCATAGAAAATTGTGATGGAGATCACGTTTCTTTTTCGGTAGTTGGAAGACACGAGGGGGTAATACCGCTATCTCTACAGCACAAGGATAACTTGACGAGTATGCCTTTGGATTCTGACCAAGATGAAGTAGCAATAACTGGCATGGCTTGTCGCTTTCCTCGCGCTGAATGTCTACATGAGTTCTGGCAACTGCTGGTCAAAGGTGAAAACGCATTTGGGAAGCTTAGCTCAGACAGGTTTAACACTGCGCACAATGTACGAGAGCCAAAACTATCTAGTTTCCACGGAAACTTCCTTAATCGCGTCGATATGTTTGATCACAGATTCTTCTCCGTATCTGGGCGTGAGGCCAAATCAATGGATCCTCAACAACGCTTAGCTCTCGAAGTGGCATACGAAGCCCTTGAGTCTTCTGGGTACTTCTCCAGAACGCCAAGTCCAGAGACAGATGTTGGATGCTATCTTGGAGTCGGTTCTGTCGATTACGAGCAGAATGTCATATCAGAAAACGCCAATAGCTTCTCAGCTATCGGAACGCTCAGAGCCTTCATCAGCGGTCGGATAAGCCACCTTTTCGGTTGGAAAGGGCCATCAATGACACTAGACACCGCTTGCTCTTCATCTGCTGTCGCCATACATACCGCATGCAGAGCACTGCTCGGCGGAGAGTGCACTATGGCTATTGCTGGAGGCGTGAATATTATTTCAAGCCCATATCTCCATCAGAATTTAGCTGCCGCTGCCTTTCTCCATCCCACTGGTCCATCCAAAGCGTTTGACGCTACTGTTAACGGATACTGCCGGGGAGAAGGAGCAGGTATGATCGTCTTAAAGAGGCTATCTAGAGCACAGGCAGACGGGGATAACATACTCGGTGTCATTGCGTCATCTAGTGTCAGTCAGGGGTCCAATAGTACCTCGCTTACAGCACCAGATTCCGCATCTCAAACCTCTTTATACAACAGTGTCCTAGCTAGAGGGTATATGGAAGCTTCTGATGTAGGATATGTTGAAGCACATGGGACTGGTGAGATTGCTCAGTACGAAGACCTGACTGGAGGCTAATAAGTTGATACTCTTCCCAGGAACAATCGTCGGAGACCCCATCGAGTATGAGAGTATACGTATTGCCTTGACTGGTTCCCGGGAACGGCCACTATATCTCGGGACAGTCAAAGATAATATAGGTCACACGGAGGCAGCATCGGGAGTAGCGAGTGTTATCAAAGTATTGTTGATGATACAACATGAAGTGATTCCAAAGCAAGCCAACTTAGTCTCCCTTAATCCAACCATGAAAACTACCCCTGAAATTATTGTTCCGACGAAGACATGTCCATGGATATGTCGCCACCAACATGTCGCACTTGTGAACAATTACGGAGCATCTGGCAGCATTTCGGCGTTACTGATACGGTCTCATTCGAAGAAGATCAAACCCAAACAAGCAGAAGAAAAGCAAGTAAACCCCCAATATGATTATCCTATCATGCTATCTGGAAAGACGGCATCTCATGTTCAAGCTTATATCAAGACCCTGAAGGCGTATCTCTCTCAATATGATGAAGATATTGACAGTTTTGCATACAATATCGCACGCAAACATAACGCGTCGTTTAGACATCGAGTAGCATTCACGGCAACTGACGCCAAGAGCGCACAAATGGCACTTGGCCAAATCTCTGATGATCGAATCCAGAACCCTAGGTTACCAATTGTTCTATGCTTTGGTGGACAAACGGGAAAGGCAGTCAAAGTCTCTAAACAACTATACGATAGTTGTGGCTTATTTCAACAACAATTGGACCAATGCGACGCAATATGTCAGAGTCAAGGTTTACCTTCTATATACCCCTATATCTTCAAGGGCGACGTTATTGATGACCCGGTTCACCTTCATATTATGCTGCTCTCACTGCAGGTTTCTTCGGCAAAGACTTGGATTGAATGTGGGCTTGAAGTTGGCACAGTGATAGGCCATAGTTTCGGTCAGCTGGCAGCTCTCTGCATTGCGGGCTCTATCTCAACAGAAGACTGCTTCCGCTTCGTTTCCGGGCGAGCACGACTCATTCGTGATCGTTGGGGTTCAGAGCATGGCTCAATGCTGTCGCTTGACTGTGTCGAGAGAGATGCTCTGGATATCGCCGACGAAGTCAACAAGCAAACTGACCGCGGCTTACATGTCGATATCGCTTGTTACAATGGACCACGGAGTTTTGTGTTGGCGGGAGATGCTCTATCTATCGCGCAAGCAGAAGCTGAGTCCCAAAAACGATCCATCAAAGCCACTAGACTTTCGATTTCGCATGCCTACCACTCTAGTTATATGGATAATATTCTGGAGGAATTGACAGGCTTGGCTGATTCTATCACTGTACAGTCGCCAACAATACACATAGAGACGTGTACTCTCAATCAAAGCTGGACTTCTTTTACAGGGGACAACATGGTCAGACACTCCAGAGAACCAGTCTACTTCAGCCAGGCTCTTGAACGCATCGCCACTCGCTTTCCATCCGCCGTGTGGCTCGAGGCAGGATCTCTCACCCCTATCATTCCTATGGTAAGGAGAGTGATCTCCAAAAGTGACAGAACAGATATTCTACTTTCAGTGGACTTAGCCGACGCCAGTGCCATTTCGAACGTGTCCCGAATAACAACATCGCTCTGGTCAGCAGGATCTGTTGCGCAATTCTGGCTATTTCACCCTAAATCTACAATCAAGCGCCCATATAAGTTTTTGAATCTGCCTCCCTATCAGTTTGACAAGTCGAGTCACTGGATCGAGCTCAAACTAGACCACCGCAGTTCTGAGATTTCTTTCGAACAGCCTAGCCTTATCAACCTCATAAGAAGCACTACAAGAGAAGGTTCCCTATTCCTTGTCGACACGGCTAATTTTATCTTCGACTTCGCAGTTCGTGGTCACGCAGTTGCAGGCCAAAGTCTTTGTCCTGCATCCATGTATATTGAATTAGCTGCCTTGGCGGCCTGTTCACTTGGCAATAATGATCCTGTCCGAAGAAAAGCAGTAATGATGCCGCATATTGAAGATCTGACAATGTCTGCAGCCCTTGGGCTCGCGGGACAGAGTGCATTATATGTACATCTACGATTAGCCGCTGAAGATAGTTGGCACTTTTCCATATTTAGCTGCGCTTCGGGATCATCGCAACTTATAAGTCCTGATAGCGGCACTGACCATGCCAAGGGCAAAGTCTCATTTATTCGGCCGGATTCAACGCTGCATGACAAGCGTCTCAAACCGCTGCAAAGATACGCTACGGAGGGGCTGAAGCATCTTGCTTCATTTTCTGATAATAGCGGTGTCCATGGTCCTTTGCTATACGAGCTATTCTCGCAAGTTGTCACTTACGCAGACTATTACCAGGGAGTTAAGAGGGTGTTGTCCTCGAAACATGAGGCCTATGGAATGGTTACTATGCCCCCTCAGCTCGCAGAAAAGGGGGCGGGGCATGACATCCATGGCGTCACATATCCCATTATTATGGATAATTTTCTCCAAGTTGCCGGCCTACACGTCAATTGCCTTACACCTCGTAACAAGGAGCACGTTTATGTCTGCACGGCCGTGGAAGAGGTTATAATCACGTCGAGTCTTTTCGCAGAGACGAGATCGAATCGGTCATGGGAAGTCTACACGCGATACGAATCTGGTGATTTGAAGCCAATGATGTTAACCGACATCTTCGCCTGCGATCCAGTCTCTGGCAAGCTAATAGTGGCCATACTGGGCGCAACATTCAAGTCGGTTGCACTCAGATCGCTCATTAGAGAGCTTACCAGAGTCAACCAATCACAATCCACCCGCGAGAATTCAAAAGCTCAGAATAAGGATTCTCACCATATCATTCCGCATGACATGATCGGAGACGCCAGCTACCAGACCAAACCTTCACTCCAATCTTATAAACTCCAACTCAACCCAATGGGGCCTTTTGAAAATAATTCAGGTACTGACACACTAAGCGCCTCTGTCAGTGAATTCTCCCCCCAGTCAAATAGAAGTGAGCATCAGTTGAAACTGATGTGTCAATTCTTTGCGGATATACTAGACGTACCGATCACGGAAATCACAGGGTCGTCAACACTAAGTGATCTTGGCGTAGATTCACTTTTAGTCAGTGAGATACTGTCCGAAATAAGGTCACGATTTAGTGTGATAGTTTCGCAAAACAATCTCCTGAACTGCAGTGACGTACTCGGCGTATCTAACCTAGTGTTTCCTGATCCGGACGTCGCAAGCACAGATGCCAATCTGCTTTCAGATCTTTCAACGAACAGTGATAGAAGTTGTCCGAGAGAAGCGACTAGTAGAAAAGTTCCCACACCTGAGTCTATCAGCGGTTCTCATGAAGCGACAGCAACCATTGCGTACATCGCTCGCCAGTGTTTCGCTACTTCTAAGTCTTCCTATGACGGTTATGCACTATCCACAAGGTTTAACGGCTTTTATGGAAAAGCCTTTGAATTACAATCTCAACTTGCGGTCAGCTATGTTGTCGAAGCTTTCGCCACAGCCGGCTGCGATTTAGGATCCATGCCACCTGGTCACGAAGTTGGCAGCATATCGTTCATTCCTAAGCATAGCAAGCTTGTTTCCCAGCTATACAAATTGCTAGCCGACTCTGGGCTAATACAGCAGGGAGCTGATGGCGCTTCCTATCGGACACAAACACCAGTTCCGACCTCTGAGTCTTCGATTTTACATCAAACGATGCTGGACCAATATCCTCAGCATGCATCAGAAACCCGGCTACTTCGCGCTACGGGGTCCAGACTGGCTGATTGTCTTATTGGAAAAACTGACCCCATCACCCTCATTTTCCAGGATGCTAAGGCACGTGATCTACTCGAAGATGTGTATACCAACGCACCTATGCTTAGGACCGGCACTTTGCTCCTTGGTAAATTCCTTGAAACTCTATGTGGGCGTTACGGAAGCAATCGAGAGCTGAGGATCTTAGAGGTAGGCGCCGGGACTGGGGGAACCTCGAAGCATATCATTGAAACTCTTGTTGGTGTTGGCTGTAAATTCTCTTACACCTTCACTGACCTGTCGCCTTCGTTGGTTGCCGCTGCAAAACGGAAATTCTCTATGTGGTCTTCATTCATGGACTTTCGAATATTGGACATCGAGGAAGAGCCTGATACGCAGATGCTAGGCCATTACGATATCATCCTTTCCTCAAACTGCGTCCACGCCACGAAGAATCTCGTAGCCACCGCTTCCAATATCCGCAAGCTTCTAAATCCAAGTGGAATCCTGTGCCTAGTAGAACTAACACGCAGTCTCTACTGGTTCGACCTCGTTTTCGGCCTCCTAGAGGGTTGGTGGCTTTTTAACGACGGCCGAGAGCACGCCCTAGCTCACGAATGCGTGTGGGACAGATGTCTACGATCAGCTGGGTTCAAATGGATTGATTGGAGCTCAAGCGAGTTGCCAGAGTCTGAGCTTTGTCGAGTCATCGTGGCATCTCCGAGCAATATGACCTCAATCATCGCCAACGAGGCGCAAATTGTCATAAAAGAGACTATGGTCTTCAAACAAGTAAATAACCTGCAGCTTCAGGCGGATATCTACTATCCCTCCAAGATCATCGATGCTAGCGCCAAGATGCCCATAGGTATGTGAATTGATCAGTGATTAATTGTAGACTCTTTTTCCTCTTACCAATATCCTAGCACTTATGATCCATGGCGGTGGCCATGTCATGCTTTCTCGAGAAGATATTCGCCCCGATCAGACGGATAGGCTATTAGACAATGGATTCATACCAATTAGCATCGACTACCGACTGTGTCCAGAGACGACATTACTAGACGGCCCTATGGTAGACGTGGTTGACGCTCTCGCATGGTCCCGTCAAGTGCTTCCAGCCGAGGCGTTAGCCCGCGAAGATGTGCAAGTTGATGCAGAGCGCATAGTCGCTGTCGGTTGGTCCTCCGGTGGCCATCTTGCTTTGACACTCGGATACACAGCGATCTCGCGTGGTATTCGGCCACCAAATGCAATCATGGCTTTATACTGTGCCACCGATTTCGAGGATCCATTCTGGGTTCAACCAAATATCCCTATAGGAGCAGGCCTCAGCGTGGACGACCTTGACGAGGAGTTTTGGACTCGTGGAATATTTGGTCACCCTGTAACTCGCTACAATGTGCCCAGAGCTAAGAATGCTCTCGACGGCTGGCTCGCTCCCAACGATCCGCGAAGTAGGCTCCTGCTTTATATGAACATGCGCGGGTGCACCTTAGATGTTCTGTTGGGTGGCCTAGACAAGCAGACACGCTCGGCCTTGAAGAAAGGGGCTGTGACTCAGGATAATATCAAAGCTGCCAGTCCCTTGGTGCAGATCAAGGCTGGTCGTTACAAGACTCCCACCTTCATCGTGCACCCCCGAACAGACGATTTGATACCTTGGCAGCAATCTGTGCGAACCTATGAGACCTTGTGCGCTCAGAAGGTTGAAGCTGAGCTGAGGATTGTTGATGAGGGCGCGCCGCATTTGTTTGATATACATCCTCGAGGCAAGGGTTATGAGGCTGGTATGAAGGCTGTTAGAGAGGGGTATGCCTTCTTGGCAAAACATGTTGGTATGAAGTGGACGTGAAGATTGACCATCGCTTATGGGCATGATGTATGAGATATAATTAATGAGGGTTGGAAGAAAGGAACTATTTAGGTATTAACCATCGCCCATTCTCCAATTTCATTTTAGGAAACGCCTGATCCGACCAGGGACATTTAGCTGTCGATTTTGATTATTTCTTAAGGAGTAACTGCTCGAATGTAGATTCTGTTGAAATCCCACGTGTACGTTCACGCTCGTGTGTGTCAGGGCCAGACAACCACTAGGGCAGAAGTTACCCCGAAGGAGTGAAGATAGTTCAATAGTCAAGTATATAAGGAAGCGGGAGGTCCCCTTCGGTATCAAGAAGGCCAGGGGTCAATAAAATCAAGCCCTTACCTACACATTCGACCTATCTACTATCCAGGTGCCACCTACTTACGGCCCAGCTTCACTTCGAGGATACCCAATCCTGACAGTGTGTCCCCTCTTTACCTAAAAGCGATACGGTTTCCAGACGAGGATCACATTGCCCGTTCCGCCTGTATGATGCTCTGGATCGCCTGTGGTGAAGTCCATATCTTAATGATGTTATAGCCGGCAGACTCGATGAGCTTTCGGAAGTCTTCCGCTTTTCGCTCTTTGCCTGCCACTATGCCCATCATAGTGAGATCGAAAGCAGTAGTTTGGGGGTGGGCTAGCTGATCTGCCATGATGTGATCATGAATCAAAAGCGTGCTATACCCCATTGCCAGAGCGTCCCTTTGCATAACCAAGATTTTCCGGGCGAAATCGTCAGACCAATCATGCAGCACACTGTGAATATAATATGCACGAGCTCCTAGTTGCCTTGTCAGCCCATTGCTTCTCAGACATTAATATAGTACTTGTGTTAAGGATAGGTCGCCTTGCCTGTTATAGGTTGCGGTGTGAAGAAGTCATACGCGACTCTATTGACGGTCTTGTTGCACTTGGCTCGCTCAAGGACGTGTGGTAAATCCTCTAGGTAGAGCCTAGCGGCTGTATCGGGATGCTTTTCGCGGAACTTCTCGATGTCGTGGCCAATATTTCCGCCCACATCCACAACTAGAGGCGTATCTCCACCGATATCTGTCTCAAACAGAATTTCGGGTGGAAAGATGTCGACCCAGCTTGCCTGATGCGCCATCACACTGCTCATCACAAGGTCAAAGGAAGCACCCTTCACGGGATGCTCGCGATAGTAGTGGAATAAGTCGCCTTTGAACTCCTTTGCAAATTGAAAGACGCCATTTGTAGGGTCCGATGGGGCCTTGTAATCGTGCTGAGCTAGGTATATAGGCAGCTTGGAGAATACGGGGATAAGGGCGTCATAGCTGTTGAAATAAACATCAGCTCTGTTTTTTTGATGCGAAATAAGAAATTCTTACAAGTGATTCATCCATTCATTGTAGACCGGGCTAGCAAAGGCGATGCTGAGGGGTGTTGGCTTGAAAACTGCGATCGAGGTTTCTTGTAACACATGATTTGCGGCTAGATGACCAAGAATCCGATCTAGACACAAGATAGGAATCAGTATAGAGAGAAGCCACACGTCAAAGGGGAAGTCATACAGAGTAGATCAGGTTCGCAAGATGGTATCATCACAGTCAGCTCTTGAAAAGTCATCTCCAAATGCCCCTCATCTTGCCATTTTTGAAAGAGATCCAGGTCATTACCAATTTTCAGGGCAGCACCCAGAGCCGGCTATCAAATTCAGCAATGCCAGTAACTATTTTCTATGGTTTAATGACATACCTGTCCCATGCAGGTTCGCATGATGAACTCCCATGGAGTCTCGAGCCTTGACACAAGCGCTTGGGCAGCAGCTACAGCCTCGGCTCGTTGTTCCTCGTTCGCAAAGGTACTCACATCGATTCGACTAATGAGTTTTGCAACATCCATTTCATTCCGCCCAGACTGTCCGCGGCGGCCGTCTAGTTCATCTACGGATTCGACCATAATTTATGATAAGGGCACAACGACGGTCTCCGAATTGGCTATAGATGATCATGATCTCTTCAATTCCCGAATACCACTTGCGATTATATAGCTGGGCCGTATCTACGCTGACAGCTACGCCGACCCCCGACCTCCCAAGATCTTCAGGGATGTCTCGTTTTCCAACGATCACCAGACTAGCGACTGTGATGACATTGTGTCACGGAGGTGCGACTGTGAATGAGAAATTGGCGCAATCGTTGGATACACAATCTACCACCGATCTGACACGCCTCAGTAGAACTATTTGCTTATTCTTGGTAACTCCTGTGTACCCATTGTCGCGTCACATCAACATGCTGCGTTTTCTTGCTCATGGAACTTGTGATGACGATGTGATATATGTACCGAAGTAAGCGCGCAAGGTAAAAACATTTGTCTACGCCTGGAGACAGGCCTCTTGCCACTGGGTGTCGAAAAAAATCTGCTTCGACGACCTCCTTCAAAGATATTGTACCGCGCAAGGTGTAGCATCGTGGTGAGAGTCTCACATATGTGTACATAGTAACTGAGTATCGTGGTGGGGTGGAGGAGTGGGGGAGGGGCGTTGAAGTGGTGGGGGATCCCAGCCTCAATGACGAGAAATATTTCATCATGCATGAATATCCTTCGCAGATAATTTTCTTGCATCGTGGGCTTAATTGACCTTGATGAGTGGCAGATCAGCTGCATGTTGTGTTGTCAAGACAGGTCAGGCGTCACCGCGTCTCTCGCCCTTCGTCCTAAAGTCTCAATTCCCGTAATAACAGCCAAGGAAAGCGATAGGCCTCAAACATTGCTGAGATTTTGAAGATGAACTATGGACTTCCCTTTCGAAGAATCTATTCTCCATGGTCTAAGCATCTAGTCCACCTAGGTACCTTAATCAACATGCAAGCTTCCAATCTACAAGTTGGAGGGCCCTCCGCGGTGACTCTTGACCTCGAAGCACCTCGCTCTTGTTTGATGGCGGTATGTTTGGACCAACATGATAACAGCAAAAACGTTCCTTGGAGCCCGACTATGGGCCGGTCCCGGTTTCGGTAGGCCTGCCGACCTAACTGCGGCACAATGGAGCCCGAGCCGACCTATGACTTGGGCATCTACGCCCGGCGCCCTTGTGTCCGCACCCGGAAGCGTCCTTGCGAATGCCTCTGATGGATAGAACTATGACTCAACTTTGAGATGAATGGCCCGCTCTAAAGGATGTGGACTATTCCATCATGCGCATGAAATCTAAGGGGCTTTACTTATGCAAGGCTAGGAAGCGCATCGTACACTAATCTTCCAACCATACGTATGTAGTATAAGTATGAGAGTTAATAACAAGTGATCCACCAACTCCGAAGCTTGGGTGCTTCGACTGGATAGCGGTTACGAATGCGCTTCTTGTCACAGTAAGTTCTCCAGGTGTCGTACGTCTTCAAGAACTAACATTGGTAGGTTTCAACAACTACAACGACAGTTGTTCATGAAGAGCCACAAGATGATGATGGACTAGGTAGGGGCTACATACAGACTATAGTAACACTTTTCCCCTCCTCCCCCACCATTGCCCAATGTGAGGACGGACGTGTCTTTTGTATGCGTTACCAAGGAGTGTGTTGGCACTTTCATGGTGTCTCTATTGGGTATCTACGTTGGAGACATGGGAGGCTTATCTAATGCTCACAATTACATAGTTACATGTAAGTAAAGGCCTTGACAAATGAAGCAATGCGGGATGATGGGCACAAGATATGCATTAACCGATTAGGGCTCGATTGGGCTAGCCCTGAAGTGGTAAAGTGAAGTCCGTATCCATATAAGTACAGACAAGGTTCTTGCGTAGTCTCCACTGTACAGAGAGGAACGAATTGCGTGCATTACTCGCCGAGTCACCAAGGTGGGTAGGTGAGGGACACTAGGCACAAACGAGGACAAGTACTTTTTAGATACTTTCAAGGTACTTCTCCTGCATCAGCATGCCGTGGTTGCCCCGGCACTGCCCGGGCAAACGCGACCTTGTGGCAGTCCCAATTGGCGTGATTGGTTGGCTTGCCTGGAGAAGCTGAAAACCAACCAGAACAGTCCGGCTGCGACAAAAAAACAAATTTCCACCTCACCGGCACACTGTCGTGAACAACTAGCGCTGTCCGTTGCCCGCTACCTATCCACTGTCCACTGTGTCCGCTGTCTGCTGTGCGCTGTGTTGGCTTCCAAGGTTCTATCTAGCTGCTGCCACTGTTCCCTCTTTTATCCCCAGTCCCAACCAAACCTCCAACCTCGTCAACATCGCAATCAATTCTCCCCCCCGCCTCTCAACTCCCCAACCCTCTCTCTACGTCTATCTTCCTGCGCCTTTGGTCGTCAATCGCCAAAAACACACATTGCCCATCATGTCTGTCCCGGCTTTCGCTGATATCTCCAAGTCCGCCAACGACGTATGTCTCCCTCGAGCTGAATCTGACTCAATAACCCCTCCAATATCCAGCTATTGCGCAATCTTCCTGCCAATGCTCGAATTTCCCTCACACCACACAATTGATGAATGCCGTAACTAACCTTTTCTCCCGATAGTTGCTGAACAAGGACTTCTACCACCTCTCTGCTGGCACCATTGAGGTCAAGAGCAACACCCCCAACAATGTTGCTTTCAAGGTCACCGGCAAGAGCAGCCACGAGAAGGCCACTAGCGGTGCTGTATGTCCTCCCGAGTCCTCTCTCCAACCCGAGTCCGTTCTCCGCGGCATCTCTAGCATATAGACTTCCCCGCTCGATTGGGCGTTTCCAAGAACGCTGGCTAATGATGGAGTTGTGGAATATAGCTCGAGGGCAAATACTCAGACAAGTCGCTCGGTAACACATCCTCCACTTCTTCTACGAACCCTAAAAAGCTTCGAAAAGTTTCGAGGCAAACAAAGCCGGTGCTCGTGGGCGCAACCGGTCCAATTGCGTTAATTCGCCGCAGTCGCAAATATAACCACGGCCTCGATTTGTTCTTGATCTTCGACAAGCAAATTCAACTACTGTTCAGGTTACTAATTCGGAATCCTGCCATAGGCCTCACTTTGACCCAGACGTGGAACACAGCCAACGCTCTCGACACCAAGATCGAGCTTGCCGATTCTTTGGCCAAGGGCCTCAAGGCTGAGACCGTCTTCTCATTCCTCCCCGCCAGCAACAACACTGGTGCCAAGCTCAACCTTACCTTCAAGCAGTCCGCCTTCCACGGCCGTGCCTTTTTCGACCTCCTAAAGGGCCCCACTGCCAACGTTGATGCCGTTATCGGCCACGAGGGTTTCCTCGCTGGTGCCTCGGCTGGCTACGACGTCCAGAAGGCTGCCGTCACCGGCTACAGCGCCGCCGTCGGCTACGTTGCTCCCCAATACAGCGCTGCCATCACCGCCACCGACAACTTGAGCGTCTTTGCTGCCAGCTACTACCACAAGGTCAACAGCCAGGTCGAGGCCTCTGCCAAGGCTGTCTGGAACTCCAAGAGCGGCAACACTGTCGGCCTCGAGGTCGCCAGCAAGTACCGCCTCGACCCTCTCTCCTTCGCCAAGGTTTGTTTTGCTTGCATGCAGTAGCAGTCACTAGCCAACGAGTCCATCGTATTAACCAATTCAAACAGGCCAAGATCAACGACCGTGGTGTTGCTGCCGTTTCCTACAACGTCCTCCTCCGCCCCGGTGTCACCGTTGGCATTGGTGCCTCTTTCGATACCCAGAAGATTGACCAGGCTACCCACAAGGTTTGTTCCCATTATTTGCTTCATATAAGAAAAGCTCCACGCTAACATGGGTATCAAACAGGTTGGTACTAGCTTCACCTTCGAGAGCTAAATGATTTAAAAAGAAAAAACGGATAGACGACAGTGATTTAGGGGTTTTATTCTTAGATAGGATGAAGACCCCGGGGAATAAAAAAATCACTAATACCCCCTTTTGCCCACCGTGTATCTTATATAAACCAGGCAGGTCTCGTTGTATTCCTATCAGCGACCTCTCTTGATTGTAGACTAGAACGGAGCAATAACGAAGATTACAATGCCTTGCGCAATGCTGCCTCTGTCTGTCTGTCCTAGTGAAAATTTGTCTATACATGTACAAGCCAATCTCGTCTGACCGAATTGAATGTACGGAGTATCTTCTAGAAATTGTGATATATACTCAGGTCTAATTAATAAGCAGCTATATCCCCGGTAATTAAAGAAGACTCGCACGCGTGTACCTAGTGGTTTAAACTTTACCCGTGCTGCTTTTCCTCTCCTTCGGACTGCCGCTCCTCGCATTATTCCAAATCCGACTGATGAATACAGGACCGAGCATACTAAACAGCAACACGCCGCCGATGACGAAGAACATGCCCAGCGCGCCCCTCTCGGGCCCGTCATCAACGGGTATCCCCTGACGACGCTCGGCGGCCGCCCAGCGCGCCTCCCGGCGCCGGTCGCTGTGCCGGCCCGTGCGCTCGTGTCCCTCCTTGTCGAAGTGCGGGACCGAATCCCGGTGGCCGAAGGGGTCTTGGCCGGGACCCATGCCGCCCATCGTGCCTCTGCCTGCCTGACTGGGATTCGACGATCCCTGCGCGAAAGAGGAAGAGCCTGTGCTCTCCTCGTGCGCTGCGCGCCGCTTCGCGGACTGCGAACCCCATCCCCCTGAGCGGAAGAACGAAGGCGGCGGACCGGTGAAGGACCCACGGCGTTTACTCAGGCCCGAGGCCGGACGGCCTCCTGCGGGATTTGTGGACGAGTACGAGCCGTGGTGCGGGGGCGGAGAAGAGAGGTTCATGTGCTCGCGGTCGTATTTCGAACGTTTGCTGGGCGACGACAGGATCGAGTAGGCTTCGCTTATGCGCATGAAGCGCTTCGCGGCTGATCGTCTGTCGGATGCGGATTGGAGGTCTGGGTGGTGGGTTTTGGAGAGGGTGTAGAAGGATCTGGGATTGGTTAGTTTGTTTGTTTTGGTCAAAGGGGCTTTTTGCGATTCATTGGGGGTCATCGTACTTTTTGATTTCGGCCGGGGTCGCTGTCGGCGCTACTTTCAGCGTCTCGTAGTGGTCGCGCGCATTGTCGATCGCGGCGTCGGGACGAGTCGCTGTGGCGTGAAAGGGGCGGCGTACGGGCTGCGCCCTGATGAGGCCGTTTCGGTCTTCTCGCTGGGGAAGAAGGATTGTGCTTCCTGCGCTTGTGCAGAATAACACGGGGTTAGGGAGCGGATAGAGGAAGGCGAGGCATTGGCGCTGGATGGGAGCTGGAGCTGCCAGGAGGGACACAGCTGAGCGAGGGGACATGCCTCATCCCGGATCTTGCCGCATTGAATGATGGTCTCTTTCTGTTCGTGGGGAGAGCGGTTAAAGAGAGTAGTGGCTCGGGGAGCTCGGTGTTGGTAGGTAGCTGAGATTCATTCATATCGGATTTCCTATGACAACCTGTTGCAGTGACGACATCGATTGAGTGATCTAGGGTCTGCGCTTTTCATACTATATCTGTTATGTGCATAACAACTATTGTATTTATTAAGCGGTATATAGCAGGTAGGTAAGGATGATTCCCGTGATCATGCATGTTCATCAGATCAATCTTCTGTATTAGTACCTACTGTACAATATATGATATGACTACCTACTAGTATGCCCTTCTGTTGCACCAAAGGCAAAATGAAGCTCAATATTATCATCAGCTCAACATGTAGTCTGCTAGTCCTGGCCACCCTCTCTGTCTACGCTGTCAACCTTACCTAGGTAAGGCGTCCAACATGCACGTAGCCGTCTCAGCTTCGCCTTGCCACAGGCATCCTGCGTGGCTGGCAAGGCGACAGAATAGCACGGACACAGAAGCCAAGCTGAGTGCTTACGCAGCCCCGTGAGGGGTTTATACACAGCTGGAAAGCGCAGTTGATGGCCCAAGACAGCCGTGTTGTTCATGAAGTCACGAGAAGCCTTGTCCTTCAACTTGGAGCAGTCCTTGATTCGGGTTCCAAGCTCCTCAACTGTTTCCATTCAAAGGGATAATGTAAAAACTGACCTGAGAAAATGGCTAGTATCGGCAACGTGGTGGCTGCTGGGGTCTCTGCAAGAAACGAGAATACGCTAGCTCTTGCCAATGTCAACTTTGATTTTTCTCTGGTCAAGATTGATGCCCCGAAAGAGTTCCTACACCTGGGAAAGGCACTGGCCCCCTGGAGACGCAAGAATGCCGAGGAAGGGTCAACCCACCGTACTGCTCGTAAACTTGGAGCTTTATTCGAGCAAATTGCGAACCCGCCAGAAGATCTTGTCACAGCGTATGGCCGCCGGGCATCTGAAATATCACAGGCTCTTGATGCTCGCGAAGCCGGGAAACAGCTTGGCCTCTTCAGTGATCATGCTGGTGTCGATGCTACGGTTATATGGGCCGCTGCAGTCTCTGGAAAGACAGCAATCTCAATCGCTTTGCTGGCGTGCATGCTGGCACGAATATGGGACGCCCCCAAAGCCATCTCCATCTGGGATGAGCTTGTACAGAAGCGAAAAGAGCAGATTCAACAGATTTGCGATGGCTCGGAGCTGTCTCATCAAGCTCTAATGGCTGCTAGCCGCCAGGATATAACTCGAAGGGACCTGGCAGAATGGGATGCAAGCGCGCGCTCATGGCTTGACATCGCCGACAGAGTCAAGAAGACGGAACACCGGAAAATGGAAGCCGTGCTTTTGAGACTATCTCTGCCCGTTGATAATAGCACAGATGTCTTTACTAGTGTCATCACAGTCTGGAAGACAGCTATGATGGCCATGGAGAATCTGTGCAAGGGTATACCGCAACGGGTGCATAATGGCGCTGTCCTCCTTGCTATCACATCGTGGCATCTCTATCCAGATGTGGATGTCTTTGGGGGCGGAACAGTATCCGTTGTACAGAATGACGCACTGGTCTCTCCTGCTGGACGTCTAACGGTGGGGTTAGAAGATGCGGATCCAGACTCTGCAGTGAGCGTACATTGGTCTCTATCACTTGCCGGTCTACGTTTTTACGGCGATGCGGTGTTAACCACGTCCCATGTAAGGGATGCCTCCCGCATCTCCTTCGAGGAGCTAACCCTCATTTGCCTGGGTAGCCTTTTTTCTGCGTGGAAGTCCAAGCACTTTGATCCTCTCTTTGACCAAGAAAAGGGGGCAAAACTCATCGTTGCATTGTGGAAGAGCGTCGAGCGCATAGCTTCAGATGAGACCCATCTTACTCCCAAAGGTCAAGCCCGGTTCATCTTATCCTACCCAAACCATTGGTTATCCCTTCTAGCGAAGGCGGCTGCTAAGCTACTTGAAAGTAACAAGGGGGACGATACAACGGCGCGTAAGCTTGTATCGCTTGGTGCCCGCCAGGGACGTTCATTACTTCTTGGAAACATGGCGGACGATCTTCCTCCCTTTTTTGGCTTACTTGACGCCAGAAATTGGCCGCAATTTGCACTAGATGGGAAGTCAGTTCATTTACTTCGTGAGCTTGCGAGGAAGTTGAAAATCAATGAAACGAATTATAGGGCTATCATTCACCTAGGTTGTGAGAAGTGGCAAGATACTACTAAGCCCGCGTCGGCTTCTCTGGTACAGCCCTGGACAGCATCTAAACAGGATAAGTTCACGACAGTTTTCCCGTTACGAGAGCTTAGTCTAGACAAAGAAGAGGTCTACGAGAAACATGTGTGTTGGATATCAGCTTCATCTAATCTATCTGGGCATGACTTTTCAAACAGTGAATTGAGGTCGTTTGAACTCGAAAAGATCATCAGGCGGGACTCCGTTGTTCGCTGTGCACGCTCGATCTGGGAATTCGAAATCAAGAATGCCGTAAGGCTCTTCGAGAATGCGGTAAAACTATTCGTCCCTGATGGAGGTAAGTCTTTGGATTCTGCACATTTCTTGGTAATCGAATAAGCCCTCTTGTACTAAATAACTTACGATAAAAAGTCGATGAGCTACACCGTTTGCTCGGTAATGAGTCGAAAGGGCTCTATATCTGCCCCAAAAATATCCGTGAGAAAATACCAAAGACGTCGAAACCGAAGCGACCTCGAAAGCCAGTGGACGCATCACATATGCCAACAAATATGACGTTCGACGATGTGATATCGCTGATTGAATCCGACCTGCTTAACTCAGGACTTTTAGTTCTCTATGTCTCGTACTCAGAAAGTCCCCCTAAGGCTGAATCGCAGAAGAATGATCTTAAAGTAGACGAAGATATACCACCATGGATGTTTAAAATTGGCAGTCCCTCCAGCCCGTATGGTGTTACAAACCCGGAGCAAAACACTTCAAATTTGGTAATAGACGGGACTCTCGGGTTGGAAGAACGTGCTAGAAGCGACTTTGAACCCTCAGACAACGGCGAAGCAGACGATAGCGGAAGCGATATAGATGAGCGCTTGAAAGAAGCCTCGAAAGAAATGGAAAGAAATGACTTATTGAGTATGCCGCGATAATTACGCCCCGCCTCATCAGCAGAATATATACTTACTGCGTTCTAGGTGCTCTACGCATTAAATCTCCGGCATTCGCTACATCCATGCACGCGCTGTCTGTAGCAGCGAACATATGGTGGTATCTACCTGACGCCACCATCTCTTTGAATATCATCAACCATAGTTTATGCTCAGCGCCCTGGGTCCCCGAATTCGTCAACTACGACAGAGCTCGTGGTAGGCTTCGCGTTTATGCTCTGTCTCATGTTGCTCATGCGAAGCCCATCGTCGATGTCGCAAGCGCATTCTCCTGCATCGTCATGTTAGAGACGGGTGGCTTGGCCATTCCGCCTGCACAGCTAAAGAACGTCTTTGCCATCTCTATCAGGAATACCATCTACGCAGCTGCCGCCCTGCTCGCCGACCCGTATACCCTTTGTCCACAGCATGAGATGCGAATGATTTACGGGAACGTTGGCCGTCCAGGTGTATCTATGATGATTCCACCTGCCAGCCCATTACTCCGAAAGCCCAAGCTCGAATCCTGGAGATTGATCAATCATGAGCCTTTCACCTACAGCCAGTGCGATAACATGTTTGGTAGAACAAGCCTACATCTAGCCTTTACGGGCTACGAACAGCCAGTGGTGACCACTGCGAAGCATGGCGCTCGGGACCTAGAAGCATGCTACCTCGAGACTGTCGTGACAGTCTTCGACGGACGCGAAAGAGTTGGCGATCTGGATATCCTCGGCGCGATCGACAATGCTGTGTTCGATATCATGCCTACGAACACTGCGTGTGCACACCCTTCCCGGCCATCACAGTGCCCCAGATGGATCGTGGTGGCTTCATGGGAAGAACTTCTGGAACTACCCAGTGGCAAAGTCTTCCTTGTCAAGGCTCATGGAAACGCGCTGTCCAGGTTAGCCACTGCTGTAGTATGTGTGCAGAAAGGCGTCGGTCGATGCTTCATACTACCCCCTGATCCGTGCTATTCTTGTGTTGGGGAGGCACTGCGAAATCAAGTCCCGGATGACTCGATAGTTTTGATTTGTTAAAGAATGGATCTCGTAGTTTACTTGGGTTGAATCGTGAGGTGTAACACTACTTGTCATCTCTTTTTGTCGGTGATCAAGTGTGAGCATTACGTACTTGAACTATTCTAACTTGTCACTCATTAATCATTGGTTTTACTGCGGATCTCATCCTCATATCTAGGCCGAGATCGTATGTTCTATTTTTGAACTATGTAGATGATTCATTGCATTTGACGTTTCACTCGGAATTATGATCAACTCTATCAACTCTGACCAAAATCAGAGTCATGGTGTTGTTCAATGCCGTGACGCTTTTTATACGATCCGATCTATCTATCTATCTAGACATTTATTTGACATACCTATAATGCCTTCAACAAAATAGACGAGGCGAAGACTAGATGTCGAGAACTTATTAATGCCACATTGAAGGCGCAATGAATGGCTTGAATGGGTTGAGTATTCAGTAACTATTTATAATACATCGATCGTCATCATCCTCGTGAGGAATACCATTATATTTTGATTTCATCAGAAATATACGTTGAATCCCTATCGTCACCTATCACTGTCTTGTTTGCTTATTGTTAGTGCACCCAAGTATACCCGGACCTGCATGTAGCAATAAGGTAACAGCCATTTTATTACCTATAACTTGCATTGCTCGCGTGCAGCACATGTACATACATACCTAAATCGCTACACTTACATACATACATGACACGTTACTCAATCCATGTACCTACGTAGCTAAACTGGCGAGAATCTAATAACCTTATATAAACCTCTGTTTACGTGATTTCAGATAGATATCTAACCTAGGTGGTAGATATCCTACAACCGAGATACACTAGGTAGGATAGAACGAGAATGAAAGCTAGTTAGACTAACTATTTAGAATGAAGAAAAATAATATATTCAATTGCATCATCACTATTGTTATGCCATGCTATACTATGCCTGGAGTGTTTACCTATTCTAATCCTAAGGGATGGGTGGCCGCCGTAAAACTCTAATATTTTTTTGCTGAGTGTTTCCCCCAAAGGTCCAGTTTGTTTTACCCGAACTCCCCATCCACCTACCCCGTTCCAAACGCCAAGATATGCCAAGTCCAAGAGCCCAACTCTTCATCAGGACGATTGAGGATAGGATCGATGAAAAAAAAAGTTGAGGATGATGAGAAATAGAGAAGCTAGCTAGCTAGCTAGCTCGTTCCGGATCGAGATGCTACTATGTCTCGTGTAATGGAACGGGTGTTATTACATGGTCGCGGGAAGGCTAGCGAGCGTCTCGCGACGTAAACGGTATATTGAGGCTGCGATACCAGCTCACAGCTCCGGGATCTTCCAGGCGGGCGTCGTGCATTCCCCCTTGGCGTCTATCCAGTCCCGGATACCCTCGATATACCATCCACTAGTCCACTTCGCCTTCGGATCCTCGTCGTCAGGCTTACGTTTGGGCTCTCCGAGCTTGAAGCTCTTGGCGGTGCAGCACACTTCGTCGTGCCATGCATATTGGAAACACTCCCGGTTAACCAGCTTCTCTTTATCCGTGGCATCTTCCTTCGATATCTCCGCCTCGCACACTTTGGCGCAGTTCTCGGGCGATTTCCATGCGTTCTTTTCGATCTCGCTCATCTCATCTGCTTTCTTCTGGCGATCGCGGAAATGGCCGTCTGCGCGCTCCTGTGCGTCGTGATCGGGGTTGATGTAGCAGACGTCGTCGGACCCGTTGTCCCAGTTTTCGCGCGACCTTCGCATCTTTGGGGCAATCAGGCTGTCGTAGAGGTCTCTTATCATCAAAATACGCTGATGGTTATGTCAGTTATAACGCCAAGGAAAGCTGTTTTCATGCCAACAGCTAAACTCACATCCGTCTTGCGCGTCTGCTCAAATTGCCACACGGTGCTGATCTCCTCGGCATTCATGTGATGCATCGTTAAAATTGGCTCGCACCAGTGGTTTTGGCCATAAGGCAGAGTGTTCGGCTTTTCACCGTTAATCATGGGCCAAGTTTGTCGAATCTTGATGCCCTCATGGTCGTTCAGCGCTAATGCCACCAACAGATCTCCACAGCACTCTTCTGTGCCCTTCTGGGTGTACTGGCTAGTGAGGTTCGTGTGTTTCTCCACCAGATGCTTCAGCGCGGCGCCACTAAGTATGTAACCGGAACCTCCGTGGGCAAAGGGTCTATTGGTGATCCAGGAGCGGCTTCCTAGGTAGATCTTTTCGCGAGGGTTGAGGCCAGACTGCTTTTTCAGCCAATGCATCATGTTGGACCAAACGACGTACGTGTCGGCTTCGGCAAAGATGTACCAGTCGCGACCGGGGCGCATCCTCCATGTTTGTTCAAGCATAGGTAAAAACTTGTACTTGTCCAGGTTCCAGGCATTTTGTCTTTCGGCGGCAGCGTCTATACACAATTTTTGAGAGACGTCACACTCCTGCTGGCGACGATACAGGTCAAAATCGGCGATTCTTTCTTTATCAGCCTCGTCAATTTCTGCAAGAGCATCGTACAGGTGGTACGGGCCAATTTGTTGTTCCTGCCTTATGGTTAGCACGCCCGGTGTCGCTCAGTCCTGGTGAACCGGGACACCACAATCGCGGGGTAATTTACCAAGTCAGAAAAGAGAAGAAACTTGGAATCGGGAAGACATGACATTGTCGTGAGCAATTGCGTCGGCAGTCGGTCATATGCCTCGGTGGCACCGGTTTTCATGACGAGGACTACGCCATCTGTGTCTGGGAAGCGAGCGCAAGGGTTGCTCGTGTTATACTGTTTATGAACCAGCTTGTCATTGCCTTGGTTGTAGAGGGTGTTGTCGTAGACGGGCCGCGAAAAATAGCTAGTAACATCGTCATAATAATCGCCGTATTCGAAGTTCCATTGCGGGCGCAAATGGACGTAGGTTGCGATGAGGGTTAGGACGGTGATGGCGCCGAAGATGCGAAAGCGCCGAGAGCTCGGCGGCGCAATCATACTCGGCAAATTATACCCACGATCCACTATCGGCTAAGCCGGGACGCAGAAAGAGGTGGTGAGGAGAGGGCCTATTCTCGGCACAGAGTCCAAGACACCAAGACAAAATGGGGGGCGAATCAAGAGGGAAGATGGCGACCAAGAACGGACAACATTAGGAAGATGTAGAGCCAAAAGATGGACAAGCAAGAATGGTAGGAGAGGGAGGGAAGATGAACAGCAGATCAGGTCAGTGGACTACCATAATCATGGTCCCGGTATGATGCAAAACAAAAAAGTTGCAGCAATGGAGAGGACGGAATTCCAGTCTACACCGAGGGGAAAACAAGGGAAGGCAAAGGGCAGGAGGTCGGCGAACATGAAAAGGGAAAAGAATTCAAAAGCATGAGTGAGGATGAAGGATTTGAAGAGCTGAAGAGCTGCCATAGGTAGTAAGTAAGAGATAAGTACGAGTGGATATTACCAATCTTCCATCCTGGTTGTACATGCTTGCTTACATGTGAGTTACATACCTACCTACCTACTTACCGGTATTTTATTTACCTACCTCGACTTGACAGACAATAGAGGACGACTTGTGGAGGTGTGCTACCGTTTTCCCTCCGACTTTGCCTCAAGGGAGTCCGTACCCTGACATTGGAGTTTTCATGCCAGGGACCAGTTGAATTCATGTTGAAGCGATTGTGATTCACTCGATTGAATTCGCGGCTATTCAAGGCTCAAGGACACCACCTAAGTACCTACCTATCTGTACCTGGTTGTGTGGACGATGGGTGTAAGGTAGGGCAACGGCGATGCCGCGATCCAATCCAATCCAATCCAAGTTGGTGCTCTGCTCTCTGTTCGTACCTGGGCAATAGCAGGCAGCGTATTATGGGAATGACGCATTGTTTGCACACATCTTTCGCACTAACGGCCGTGACGTTGCCATCCATCTTGGCTAGGCTTGGCTTGGCTGGATGGTTCGGTTATTCTGAGAACGCTATCAGAACGCTACTGCAGAACCAGGTCGCATTCGAAGAAACGAGCAGAGAACGAGGTGGCAGTTCTTACCTAATGAAGCCTAGCGACGAAAGTGTGTCAATCTGAAACAAATAGAATAAACCCCCCCCCCTGACCCCCTGGACACTTGCAGGAAAGAACCCGATTTTTCGGGAGGGCACAGCCATACTTACCTATGTACACCAGAAATGGACAGGTACTTACTGTACCTAGGTAGCCTCTACTATCCATATATGTACCTACTACCTAGGTACAGTATGTAATATGAACCTCAAAAACTCGATACTATGGACCAATGTAGCGATTCGACAAATATTAGATTGAAATACTGAATTCACAAGGGACAATTGATATGATGAGAATGTAGTACATTAGGTAGCACGTTATGTAGCACGGCAATTTCCACCTGTGCCAGGACACCTCCTTCTCAAGCTGGCCAAACACATTCGTTGTGGCAGACGGCCCGAGGTAACCATAAATTACGATCAGCCCAACATACTTACACCGAAATACCTTTATAAGATCGTAAGGCACAATGTATACTCAAGTATGATCAATTTCCATGGATGCAAAGTTAGGTACTTTGTATACATATTCGTATGCAAATTCAAGGAAGGTACCGGTATGCTAAAAACAGCTGACATGGCCTCGCGTCAATCAAATAAGCCTAGGTACCTACCGAGAGCCTGGTCGTTCCAGCGCTGGCTGGCCAGAAGCATAAACTATGGCGCAATCGGTTGGTATAAATAGGTACCTAGGCTATGTAGAGTAAGTAGCCTGGGTCGCTTAACTTGACATTTAAACCAAAGGAATCTCTTAATGTGAAACATTGTCAAAATGCTTATTTTTTTAAGTTACGGTAGGTAATTAGCACGACTGTGGCTGTCGCTGTGACTTTAATCCAGAGTCCTGTCCTATCCATGTATCTGTCTATCACACACCACCAGCGTGCTCGCTTCTTGTCTACAGATCGGTGAGAAGCAATTGTAATGTCACCTACCTACTTAGGTAGTATCTACCATATCTGTATATATAAGTAAGTAAGTACGTGTAGATATCTCGGGGAAACAACTCTCCACTATGTAGGTAAGGGGTGGAGTAGTATAGGCCGAGGGTTGTGATCTCGTATTACCGGGGCCTACAGCAGCTCATGTCGTGTATAGTACGGTAGTCAATATTGATTGATCTGATCATAATGGGATGAGCCCATTCTCCATATGGGAAAGTACAGTGCTATGTACATGCATGTTGGACGTCAGCATTCTGTAACCTGGCGAAGTGCATAGACGGGAATGCAACCCCGCGAAACTTAGCTCAGCAAATACTTATATGTATTGTAGATACGACATGGCTAGAGATGGGAGTCTGTATACCTAGGTACTCCATTGCTGGGACCTTTCTTCGCCATGTCGGGGCTTGGCCGTCGAGACCCCCTCACTCCCCCCCTCCCTGTATCTCCAATCGGGGCTGAAGCCATCACCACTACCGACCAATAAAGGGACGCAGGCTTCTAGTATGTTCACTTGCTGCTTGTGGTGTGATTGTTTCTTAAAGTGGCGGACAATTGGCCCTTAAGCATTGGTTATGCTCACCTGTCTTCTAGATTCGGAATACCTAACTGGCTCAATCCCCATCATTGGTTAATGCAACAGAGCCATAGGCAGTTGTCTAATGGCTGTCTGAATCATTCGTCTAATTCATGATATCTAGGACGCAGTAAAGGTAAATAGCAGTGCTACAAGTTGAGACAAATGCTGATGATACCTAGTAACACATATGCAGGTCTCGTTACCTATGTTTCGGGGAGTCCATCCAGCCAAGAGTGATGCACCGCTCGATACAAAGCTGGCAATGTATCAAGTGTATACGGGCAGAGACCAATTCAATTATGAATCCATCATGATCATACCTCAGGTCCCTAGATATAGGTACCTGCCACGTTGAGGTAGCGACCAATGAAGTAGATTTTCCCCACACGATTTTCCCTTGCCTCAATACCTATCTCTTGTCTTGCTCATTGTTCGATTCATGTGATTTCAAAAGGGTGATTGGAGTCTTGCTTGAGAGTATCTCGAACTAGTGGATATACTGTGCATGGGAGCGTGGGTTCAACGTAGAAATACTGGCGCTTTCCAATGGGCATTTGTACTTGCAGTAGTGCATACCTATCAACTTGATGAGTCTCAGATTCATGGAGAAGCATCAGAGTTTGAAAAGACGTTGAACTCGAGGTCATAGAATCAAGTAGATAACTCAGAATGCGCGCTGACCAAAAAGTACAGGGGCATGCGGTAGGTGATGCGGTAAGGGAAATGCGGGAGAGCTCTTGACGCGTGATTAGCGTACATGATAGCAGCTGTAGTGCCTGCGGAGAGAACCTTGGAAGCTACCTAAGCTACCTAAGCTACCTGTGCCAAGCAAGGGATCGCGTCACCTGCAACTGCCCGCCTCTCGTCGCCAATGCCTGTTGCCAATGCTTGTTGCCGCCACTCGATCTACTTGACTTCAAACAAACACGACGAGCATCACTACAGCTGACCATCACATCGCCATCTTGCCTCGTCATTCCATCTCTCAATTGCTGCGTCGGACGAGCAGACCGGCCTAATTGACCTCTTCTATCGACCATTCCACGCCCGCCCATAGTACCTACTGTGCCGCCATCCAACAAGCCAAGCTTCACTCCCATCTATTCTTATTGTAGCACCAATTGACTATCCAACGAAGTGAACATCCATCATGGCGGACTCGACTCCCGCTGACACCTCCACCCTCTCCGCCGCCCCATCTGCCATCCCATCAGCCGTCGCTTCCACCGTCGGCACACCTCAATCCATCCCTCCGATGGACCCCGAAGAGCGCGCAAAGTCTCTGAACGTGTCGCTGGCCGACATGGTCGCCAAGGCCACTGCTCTCTACCAATCCAAGAAGTATGCCGAAGCCGCTGAGATCTTCTCTACTGCTACTGAAAGACAGGCTGAACTCAATGGCGAGATGGCACCCGAGAACGCCGATGTCCTGTTCCTCTACGGTCGCTGCCTCTTCAAGGTTGGCCAGAGCAACAGCGATGTCCTTGGCGGCAAGGCCCCCGGCGAGAAGAAGAAACCAACCAGCGCCGATAAGTCCAAAGCGAAAAAGGCTCAAGCTGAACCCGCCACTACCGATGCGCCCGAGCCGGAGAAGTCCACGGCGGCTGAGGCTGCAGATGATGGCGTTGCTGCGATAGCTAAGAATGCCGGTGCTGAAGAGGAGAAGTTACCTGACGCGAAGAAGCCCTTGTTCCAATTCACTGGAGATGAGAATTTCGAGGACTCCGGTGACGAGGATGAAGCGGATGGTGAGGGCCAAGAAGAAGAGGAAGAAGATGACGATCTGGCTGTCGCATTCGAGATCCTTGAACTCTCCCGTGTTCTCTTCGAGAAGCAACTCGAGGAAGCTGCTACCACAGATGGACCTGACAAGGATGTCACTGCCGACGAAAATAAACTTGTGCGCCACATGAAAGAAAGACTCGCAGATATCCACGACCTATTAGCCGAGATCTCCCTTGAGAACGAGATGTTTGTACATTCTGGATAGGCATCGAGCGCAAGCATACTGACAGTAAAAATGTAGGTTTCCCGTGGCAATCAAAGATTGTCGCGCAAGTCTTAAATACAAGGAGGGGCTTTACACCGAAGACTCAGAGATCATTGCCGAAGCTCATTTCAAGCTATCTCTCGCTCTTGAATTCGCATCCATGACCACGACAGGCGACGACAATGCTGCGGCCGAATCCAAGACCGTTGACGAGGGCATGCGATCAGAGGCGGCCGAGGAACTAGAGAAGGCCATCAACAGCACGAAGCTCAAGCTCCAAAACAAGGAGGTGGAGCTCGCGACGTCCCACGCGCCCGAAGATAACGACGAGACAAGAAAGCAGATCACCGACGTCAAGGAGGTTATCGCGGACATGGAGCAACGGGTGAGTTTACCACTTTCCCGTCAACTCTTTGCCACCGCGATTCCCGTCTCCTGAGATGCTTTCTCTTTTTTTCCTCTTTCCTATTCATTTGTACTAATCCCAATACCAAAACATTAGCTTGTCGAGCTCCGGAAACCACCTGTCGACATGGACGCCGCCTTAGGTAAGGACAACCCACTGACCGGGCTTCTCGGCCAAGCTCTCGGAGAATCATCGGCCGAGCAGACCGCTCGCGTCGAGGAGGCGAAGAAGAATGCCAAGGACCTGTCGGGTCTCGTCCGCAAGAAGGCCAAGGAAGAACCCAAGCCCGAGCCCGAGCCCGAAGAGAGCAATGGCAAGCGAAAGGCCGAGGAGCCCGCGGATGGACAGGAAGATGCCAAAAGGGCGAAAACAGAGGAACCCGCTGCTTCTTCTTCTGCTGCTGCTGCTGCTGAAGCGTAAGAGCCCATGCTATGCTATGCTGTCTTTGGTCCCGTTGATTATTTATCATCCACAAGACTCTTGACACAACTACACAAATCACATAATCTGTACACTATAAACCACGGCTTAGTCACTAAGTACTAGCTTCATGGTCAAATTTATCTCTTTAGGGGAGAGGGAAGGGAGAAAATGGCACACGGAGAGCTGCAACTGGGTATTCGGCGCATAAGGATAGGACAGGAAAGGCAAATGCAGTTAGTCAGTTAGTTTGACTTTTGTTCGTGTTTTTTTTTTTTTTTGGATGACAAAAAGTAAAAGTAAAATATGCTTCCTATGGATATACCTATCCTGTTCGGGGGTGCGATTCAAGTCTTGATGCAAGAAATAAAATAAACTACCTATCTACCTAGGTAGGTATTTAAAAGCTGTATGTATGTTATGTTATGTGTGCTTGGTTAAAATGTTGGTTGAATTGAATAACTATTGTCTTTGTTTGCATTAGTGAGTATGGTACCGGTAGGGTGATGTATTATCTAGTACTGATGAGATGAGGTTCCTGAAAAATATTATTAAACAGATCAGTCAAGCAAATGATATATCCATATCTATAGTAGACAGATATACTAAAGTTCATACATAGTCGTGTACTATTACGACGTACTTATATAAGAAAAGTCATCTACTATCTAATGTTTTGCGTATAAGTAGTCAATCACAACGATCCCAGTAAACATCGATCACATCACACTAAGACAGTTCAGTTAATTTCTCACATTTGCTTTACTCAGTTTCTAATACAATACAGTGCAGTGATTTCGCCACATAAAGAATATAGGTTACCCAAATAGTCAAACCTTCAAAAGGAAAAAAAAGAAAGAAAGAACGCCATGCCGTTATCGTATTAAACGCCGTAAAACCCCCTAGTTTCTCCTTCTTACTTGCTTTCGCTCTTCACTCTTCACTCTCATCCTCATCCTCGCTGTCTTATAGATCCCGCGAAGTGCTCATGCCAACGCTGGGACCAGCGGGGGCCTTGCCCTTGCCCTTGGCAGCAGAGTTGCTTTCCTTGTTCCAGGAGAGAAGGGTGTGGTCGCCGAGCTTCCTGGGCCGCAGGAAGCTTCCGGCGAGGAACAAGAGGGACATGACGATGAAGAAACCCGCTAGAGCGAGCCATAGGATACCGGGGAGATCATTCTTGCCGCCGAGGGGCCCGGTAGTGGTGATTACGAGGGATTTCCGGCCTTTGTAGTCGGTCATGTTGAAGTCTGGTATTATGGCATTAGCTACGCGTTGTTGGGAGGGATAGGTCAAACTCACTATCTACGATGTCTATTTGATAATTGCCTGCGAGCAGGGTTTCGTTGCCGAAGGCCCATGGCTTGAAGAACGAGGGTAGGGCCGCGGTGCGCATCCACGAGATAAAGTGTTCGTCCTCCTTGATATTTGGTGGTGGGTGGTCCTCGTCGTATCTTCCGTTGGGGTAGCGCTTGCGCCAGTTGGGAGGTGGGATAATAAGATCGTAGTCTGGGTTTTCTAGGTTTTTGTACAGTGCCATGTCATCTTCCCAAGCAATGCCTTTCTCGTTCCATTTGTACGTGCGGGTATCGTTGTCTCCTGAGACTCCCAAGCGCACGGGACGGCCGATGGTGTCGTTGAAAAGGGAGTTGGCGATTAGGCCGCAGGGGTAGATCTGGCGGACCTTTTTCTCACCGTTTTCTTCGACTACTTCCTCAGTGGCGAGGGGAGGGCAGTCTGTGTTGTCGAGGGTCGAAGTGCTGACCGATTTGGCCAGGAGCTGGTCGGCGTTGAAGGACGCAACATAGCGGCGGTGGTTTTGGTAGAAGTTGTCGAGCTTATAATAGGCTCTCACTGGCGCACTCATGTCTTGCACGATGTTGAATTGAATACTGCAGTTTGTGAGGCTAGTGACCTCAAAGTTGTCGTAGGTATGGTTGACGTCGGTAGTCTTCTTCCACTGAGCAATTACAGTGGCGGACCCGTTGCTGTTCCGCCAGTACGAGTTGACGGTGTTTGATGGCATCGGGGTCCAGTCATTTGTCGCCTTTGCTCCGCAGTCTGTGTAATCGAGCTCGATAGAGGAGATCTGGAATCCAGGTTATTAGCAATCGGTCCGTGACCTCGCAGGCGAGGAGACATAGCGAGCTCCGTACCAAACGACTAGCATAGATCAGCAGTCCTCCAACAACAGCGGCAAAGACGCCCAGGACGAAAAAGATCCAGATGACATTTTTAGGTGTGAGGATGGGTTGCCAGGCCTTCAGTCGTTGTTGTCTAAAGGCGGTATTGGCGGGGCGTCGGCTCGTCTTCTTTTCTTCGGCAGGCGACTGCTCATGTACGGAATTCTGAGAGGAATCCATCCTGGCCCGGTCCTCGTTTGAGGATGTGAGAGCGCAACGGTGGGAAGTTCTTTGATGCCAATGACATGCGCATGCGTGTACTCGTTGGTGCTAGTGGGAGTTGGTCAAGGCAGATGGAGCATCATGTGCCAACCATGTATCGTCGCGAATCAGTCGGGAAGCTAGGAATCAGGCGAGGGCGCGGGCGCAGAGGCGACGTAGCGAGTTTGGCCGATGATTGATTGATAGACAGCTACGGCTGCCGGTTGGTCGATTGGTCGATTTGTTGACTGATGAATGAATGAATGAATAAATGGACGATGGATGCTAGACTACAGTAGTGAGTCTCTCCTTCAAAACGTCAGCCCCGTCTTTCCCGGATTTCAAATGGGTGACACGGGCACGGCAGGTGCAGCGCAATCTGATACGCTACGACCTGACACAGCCACCCATCGTCCCCACCCACCAAGTACCGTTCAAATACTGTATTTCGTACTGTATTTCATGCCGTATCAATTGTACCTACTTCTGAGGATTACATGCAGTTGCGAGGCTACCTAGAAGACAAAAGAACTACGATCAATTCATTTACACCAGCAACATCAAAGGACAGAGTCAATGTAGAATTATCAGTATGATATCCGTATGCTAATGAACGCTGTGTTAGGCGATTATATCAAGCTGGATGGGATGACTAGTGCAAAGAGAAGAGCATCGGCCTTGACCAGACGCTAGAATTTAAATGAGGGATCGAGAGTACGATGTAGACAGTAAGGAAAATCTCGTATGTTAAACCCATCACCGTTAATGCAGTCAGAGTGAAAAATATGTGTAGCTGTTTCGGCCTGCGATTGAGCAAAGGTAAGAATGTCGATTCTCCGAGGTGCCGTGTTCAAATAAATGGGTTGGAATCTTTATTGGCAGAGTGAAATACAAATGTCAGTTTTCAAACTTGTGGGAAACACATCGCATAGAAGATCGGCCGTTAAAACAGGTGGTACATATTCTAATATCAAAGGTAAAAGACTACAATCTATCCTCTTCCTCCTGTACACTATCCGCAAGGCCCTTCCAATTCGCCCACTCGGCATCGCCGCCAGGTATACCTCCATGAAGCGGTAATCTCGTGCCGTCTCTATCCCCGAACCCCCTCAACCGACTAACGGCCTCCTTGATACCGACCGTGCCGAACTTAGCCACAAGCTCCTCGATACAGCTAACCTTGAACTGCAATCGTTTCCGCTCGCGTACCTCGTCTTCTGTGAGTTGGTGTTTAACAGATAGCTCGTAAAGCCGCACCACCGTCTTCGGGAAGAAGCCCGCGCACCCATCGATGGCACCTGCTCCGCCCACCGAGATCACAGGAAGCAATTGCTGCCCGAGACCGGTGAAAGTCCGGAATTTGTCGTGGTCGATCTCTGGGCTCAGCGCGATCTGCGCGAACGCGGATATGTCCCCGTGCGACAGCTTGCAGCCTACGATGTTCGAGTGTTTCGCTAGGGTTACGAAGGTCGAGGGTGTGATCTTCACGTTGTTGGATACCCCCGGGTAGTGATATCTAGTGCCGCCCGAGAGTCAGTAGTAAACCAAAACAAAAGAGAGCATCCATAGCAGCCGGTGCCTTGTATGAATAACAAGACGAATCGGGACTTCAGACGAGGGTTTGTATTGTAGGGACGTACATCAATATGGGAATAGGGCTCTGATCCGCCACGGCCGTAAACCACCGTATTATCCCCTCCTGCGTGCTCGCGCCCGCGAAGTATCCCGGCGCCAAACACATGCCCCACTGCGAGCCGGCATCCCTCGCGCCCGTGAGCTGGTCAACCGTCTCCTCGATGTTCTGCGTCGCCGTGCCGGCGAGGATCGGATAATCCTTGAACCCTTCTTTCTCGAGCGCCGTGCGTACGCCCGAGAGGACCTCGAAGCGCTCTTTGTTCGTCAAGTGCACTGCTTCGCCTGTGCTGCCGAGTATGACCAGCCCCTTGATGCCTGCGCGCGCGAGATATAGCGAGTGTGCGATCTGTGTTTCGATGTCTAGGGGCGCTGCTACGGCGTTGTAGTTCGACGCTTGCTTGCTGGCGAAGAATGTTGGTACGGGAACGTAGATCCCTGGGGGAGGTACGGCTGCCATGATGATTTCCTGAATGATTCTTTCTGTATGTGATGCTGTAGATGGAATCTAGATCTATGCGGACGTAGTACAGTTTATCGTAAGGTGAATGTCGCTTTTGTCTTCTAGAGGGGTAGAGCCGAACCGAGAGAGGCGTGTCCGATAATAGGGACTCCGTACCTCGTTTCACTGCCACGACTCCAATATAGTGACGCGGGGCTCGAAGCCTCGAGACGGCACAGGACACGATGTGGTGAGGGCGATGGTCGGGGTTTCGGGCGAGTGTACAGCGAAACACCCGAGTTACGTCAATGTTGCGACTTCTTTCCGGGGACGGCCGACGTCGGGGAAGCACTACCTGGCGAATCGGGATGCACGTCGGGAGTCTTTCTCCAGCATGGCCAAAATCTCGTGATATTCTACGTAGTAAGAGAAATACCAAGCTGGGTTAGGCGGTCGGAATCTGATTCGTGTTTGAGTGCTAAACACCAAAAAAACAATTGTCATGAATAGCTTTACATTCATTTTGACTTCATCATTCCTTCCGCTACTGTTTCATTGGATTCCCACAGCGTGCGTTCCACTAGACTAGTAAAATGCCATCCTTAACCAAGTGAGAATGTCTACGAGAGATAAAGTTTGTTACAAGGACCTTGTCAAACCCGGATACCTAGCTGAATAAAATATGAACAAGCGCAATTATCACTTTCCAGACGGTATATTTCAAGAGAACCAAGGTTTACACGAGTTCTGTCCAACAGTAGACGGACTCCAATAGTGTATTAAAGTTATGCTTAAAATGTTTATACTAGCGGAAGCCACAGGTTCCTCATATGCAATGCTATCCAACTTTTTATCTATCCGTATTTATATCCAAACGTCTTTTCGATCATGTCTCATTTCTAAGGTTACCAACATTAGTAAACGTGTGACAAAAGGGAAGAGATTATCTTACGCAAACGAGCGAGTGACGAGGCGTGAGCGTTCCCAGGTCACCGGGGCCGAAAATGCCGAAGTCGGGATTCGCAGTACCGTACTGCGACTCCTGGAGATCGTACCAGAAGACGTTTATCTTCTTCTGGAGGAGAGTGCAGGCGATATTCTGCCAGTAGATGCGGGCGTTGGCGGCGCTGGCGACGGCGAGGTTGTTCTTCTTGCCGGTGATGGGCCAGCCGGTCTCGGTGACCCAGACGGGCTTGCTGCCGGCGAGCTTGACCGTCTTGTCGTAGCCGTCGTAGAAACGAGTCATGGCATCGTTAATGCTGTTGGCCTTGGTGCTCTCCCAGTACGGGTAGCCGTCGAAGCCGATGAAGTCGATAGCGGGGATGACGGCCTTGTTTGTTCCGTTCAGAAACGAGTCGTAGGTGTCAACGTGGCCGACGGGCACACCAGCCAACGCCGTGCCGGCGATGACGCTGCGAACTCTCTTGACGGAGCTGACTAAGTATGCGGACGTTGTGCCTACTTCGCCGGCAGCATCTCGGTAGAGATCCTCGCTACCAACCGAGATACCTACGACGAGGTTGGTGAACTTCGTGCCATACTTGGCGATGGCGGCCTTAAGAGCCGCGATCTCGTTGTCCAAGGACTGTGTGCCGCCGGAAATCCAGAGACCGAGGAGCAGCTTAGTGTTGGTGTCGATGGCGGCTGGGATAGCTTGGATTATATCGGACTTGGTTCCCCATTGGACTGAAGACGATGTTATTATTCTATTCGCTCCCCTATGATGGCTAGTAGAACATACCCATAGTATACAAGCGAGCGCTTGTCCAGCCGCTAGTACCGGGCAATGCCTTCGCACGCTTGAACTCATAGGCAAAGTCGTTCTGCACCTTTGCCTGCTGGTTGAGGAAGAAAGCGCCATAATTGAAACCCCTCAGACCGGTGTTGGCAGGTGAAGGAGCAGCATCAACGGCGCCAAAAGCAGCCGCGAGGGCGAGGACGGCAGAGGAAAAACGCATTATGACAGTGATAGTCTTGGCAGATCCTATAGCTAACAATTCCAAACCAGCGTGGGAAGCAAATGTTTAAGAATTGTGGGATGATAGGGATATATATATCTCCATATCGACAGAAGAAAAGAAAAGACTGATCAGCACTTGGTAAGTCAAGTCAATGCATGCAATCGGGCATCATTCCCACAGTACGTCGTGCCGAGCCAAGATCTCGTCGTCGTCGTCATAACCCCTGGATAGAACAGGGCCGGTGTCAGCGGAGTGAGCGGAGAGTGGGCCAACTCGACCCAAGAATCACGTTAAGTGGCAGATGCCGATGGCACCTAAAAGCTCGTATTTGACCCGCCGGCGCCATCTCAGCCTCAAAACCCACTTGCTAGAGTTGTCGGAACCCGTTTACGATCGCCATGTGGTGGTTGTGTGTCATGGTGTGTTATTACCGGACCCTGGGGGTTATGGATCACAACAAGGGGCCCCTTTACCGGTTCTGACCAGTAATTCGTATGCGTTGTTTCTTTCCAGGGTTCGGTAGGGTTCGGCAGTGTTCAGCGTGAGCCGTTTGGACCGCCAGAACATTGTTGTCATCGAGTTCCTGCAAAGGGCCCACCCTTTCATGATCTGCAAATTAAAGTGGACGTCTCCAATCTCGGTACAGCGAGTCTAGACTTGCCAGTTCTCGCCATTTTCCAAGGGATGACTGACGAACCCTGGCCTCCGCTAAAGTAGAAGGCTCATAGCGTGTACGGTACTTATGCTTACGCGTGTACATACTCATATATGAACCCCTTTCCTGGCCACGCACGTTGGACTGGCTGGGTATTCCCGTTTGTAATGTTTACCTATTCAATGTTTATGTGTTTTTATGCCTCGGCCAGCAGTCAGAGCGAGAGTGCCAATTGCTGTAAACTAAGAAGCACGGATGTTGTCATCAGTGCTCAAAAACGATGCCTCGCCAGGTGCTCATAAGTACTTAGCTTAAGCTCACACGATCTTTGCCTGCAATCGCTCGTAAAGCTGGATCAGGAGACCATTTCCCTGTGCGCAATTCGGCCTCGGGCCTTTGGCGCGACGCTGGGCATTGGATAGAAAATCGTCTAGGTATGTATCCCTTTTAACGATTCTGGGGCAAAGTGCACCCCCCCTCCACACACGGTCAATATGCCGGAAGTGCAATTGTCTTGTCCGCCCTGACTTGGCTGCTACAATGCATTGTGTTGCACCCGATGATGATATTCTTGAAAGGATCACAGGCGACTCCTTTTCCATTAGGCCGAGGTGTGCGACTCGGTTGTAGACTCATTAAGGCCAGGCAGACGCTCCGCATCGTACCTTGACTGCTGCCTGGCCTCAGCGTCCTCTTGTGTTATTCAGCGAATCAACTATCATGGAGCCCTTTCGAATCTAACTTTGAAGATCAAATGGAAATACTGGCCTATATCGTACTTAAGTTAGGTGCCTAGGTAGGTGCTGGTAAGCCTACCATGTAGCAGTGTCTGGCCCTGTAGCGAAGCGCTATCAGCAGTTCCCAGTTGCTTGGCCACCACCCTATATGGGAAAGTAGGTGGTAACCCCGCCACCGTGGTCTGAGCCTCCTCCACCAGGCGGTGTCAGAACGCCTAGGAGGAAGTAGGCAGACATCTTTGAATCTTATGAAGTGATCAGGACATATCTGTCTTTACAGCCCGTGCTGGTATTATAAAATCTGAATGTTGGACGCAGGCAGAGACTTATATCAAATAAGTAGATGATGTCTTTTGCAGTCCCAACGATCCCATAAACAACAATACATTGTGAACTACAACTTGAACTACATCTTTCAACATGCTAAGCGAACTCTCCAAGGTTAAAGACAAGATCATGGGGAACAGGAAACCGCCCAAGAAGGAGGAACACGAACCCGTGAAAACCGTCTATAGGTCCAATGATGTGGCCATTCCACATCACTTTCTGACATCCGATCCCCCTGACGCACAGCCCATCACACACACGCCCATTGACTTCAAGGACTCGGTATTGCCAGAATTCGCCGGCTGCTACGCCGTCGTCCTCGACAATGTCCTTAGCCCCTCCGAGTGCGCACAACTGCTACAGCTCGCCGAGGCGAGCGTCATGGACGAAGACAAACAAGACGGGTCATCGTGGAGACCAGCACTCGTCAACATCGGCGGCGGCTACGAGGTCCAGGTCCCCGACTATCGCAAAAGCAGCCGCATCATCTGGGACAACCAGGACATCGTCGATCGCCTGTGGGCGCGCATGGCCGCGTTGCCAGAGATACGCGAGCAGCTTTCATCCGTCCCTGGGCTGAATATGGACCCGTCGGGCGCGACGGAGAGAATCAGCCACGACTTCTACAGGGTGAACAAGCGGCTGCGCTTCCTCAAGTATGTCCCCGGCGAGTTCTTCAAGCCCCATTGCGACGGGCCGTACGGTGAGCGCTCACCGGAGGGCCACCTGGTGCAGACGTATATGACTGTGCATCTGTATCTGAACGACTCCCAGCAAGTCGCTGGCCCGGGCGTGGACCTTGTGGGCGGTGCGACGACGTTCTTGTCACGGGATGAGTCCCGCAGGATTGATGTCGATCCAAAAGCAGGCCGAGTCCTCATATTCCAACATTCTAGGTTGAGACATTGTGGTGATGAGGTGAAGGCCGGCACCAAGTATACTGTCAGAACAGATATCATGTACAAGATAACTGGCCAAGACGAGTTCGCTCTGTATTGATTGCAGCCTGCTATGCGAGCAATAGCCCAGAGTGTTCATATGTATATTCATTTCATATTATGTTACAACGCTTCATGATGTATGATTACTTCCCCCTAGCGTCTGCGACGTGAATTGGCAGGCAGTGGCATCAACCTGCTCTATGCAATCTTACTTATACAAGCTACCAAGTAAACTCCATTGAGTTATACTGAGATGTCCCTAAGAACCTTCAACACCTTACAATTAGATTTGTGATCCATCTCACCCCAGCCCTTAACCTGACAATCCTACGTACCCCCGCAATCAGCATCAAAACCAAGCAACCGATTCATAATGACTTGGAGAAAAATGAATATGAGATGACGAGAAATTATAATGACTTACCTTCCCGCAATACGCAGTAAAACTGCACCCAGTGCACTTCATAAACGCGCCCTCCATCTTCCCGCACGCAGCACACCTCTGACTCATCCCCTCTTGTCCTTCCAGCACCACGCCCAGCTCAAAGACTCTTTCCAAACTCCCTGGTATGACCTATTCACGAAAATTCAGCACATCAGATCTGAGCTCGAATAGCAAGCAGATAGAGCGTAACCCGTCTTCACTCACTTTTACATCAGCGCCCTGACCAACAGGGACGTGCACAACAGCTTTCTTCCCCTCGCCCTCGCGATCCGTTCGTCTCGCACCAGGTACGAAGATGACATGTCCCTTCCGAAACCCCTTTAAGCTGATGCTATCTTCGAATAGCAGCGCGAAGTCCACGCCTTTTCTGTCCGTCACTATGAGCGTGGGTTTCGTGATCGTCATGTTCTCTTTGATCTGCGCTAGGAGGTACCATGTCTTGTCTGATGGTGCGCTTGGGTCTGATGTTGAGGGTAGCTCGTAGAAGGATGGGAATACCGATGGGTTTGTGAATCGCGACATGTTGTGGTTATGAGAGGGCGGGGTGTGCTGAGGGGTTGGTTAATGAGCGGCGACTACGGGATGTAGAACGTGTGTAATCGGTAGTAACTATACAAGTGGAAGATGTTTTTTCTGTTATATACTGAGTAGAATTTGAGATGGGAGGCTGCATGAATGAAAACGAAGGACGCGCTGGATGGCGCATCATTGGTGAGATGAAACACGGAGGCGTAGTGAGTGGGCCCACTGCTCGCTTTGAGCTGGATGAGGCGTGGAGGTGAGGTGATACTAGTTGACATTCATCAACTATAGAAATATAAAGACTTGTCGCCTAAACATCAACTCTTCAATCCCAGTATGGGTGATATGATAGTATTAGTGGGCTAGGTCGTTCACAATATTTGGCAGAGCACAATGGTATTAGTAAGATTATGCGGGAGGGCGTGAGGAGGCCCCAAGGCCAGAACTGTTGCGTATTGTATGTTGGAATTTTATAAGAATGACGTCTTGAACTCACGAGAAGACTATGAGTTGAGTTGAATGATGTTTATCAGAGAGTCGGACTGTCGGTCGCATCGCCAAAGAAAGAGGTATATGTAATAATATGTAGTGATTCCGGTAGCATTGATATCGCGACTTGTTCCTCAACTTCAATGAACACCTCAATTCCTAACTCTCAGCCTTTTCATCCGAGCACTCAGTTATTCTCTACTCGCCATCCATTAGCTGAGTGGAACTACCGCCAAAATATGATGTGCGGGACGGTCCTCGCATTGCTTTGCTGCCATAGTCCCATGTGACTCGGATATCTCATACCATTTCTCTGACTCTTCATAGAGAATGTGTCGTTAGATGGCTCTTCTTGTCGCCCGATGTTATAACACCGCTCGTTCAATTCAATTGCTTTTAACGGTTGTGCGATGCTCTCGGCTGCTTGAGCTTGATGGCTTAGAATTGATACCTCCAGATCTGACATCTGGGGTATATCTCCAAGTTCCTACAATGCCGCCTCATGTCATCGCTTTGTTTCCAAGATAAACCTACAAGTATAGAGATTTATCTATGATTAATTGATTAACTAATGGTGTAGGTATGAATGTTGTAACTAGTTCAACTACTTCATGAGTGAGGATGGAAGACCTCCTTATATGTACATGATTAAGTTTAAAACCCACCTTTGTCCCACCTAATCATACTTAATTACCATCTTCTAGCTCTCCAATTGCCCAACCTATTAATCCGCAAGCACTACCCAATACAAGCTTGTTCACAAAACTCAACCCTCTGAAGTGCGCATCCACCTCTAAAATTATGCCGGCGGCAAGAAGTAATAGCCTTGACCTGCGTCGAACGATTGCGGAAAAGGTCTGCGCTGTAAACAAAACCCAGATATATGGCATTGCCTCGTAGAATTGACCTTCAGATATACATAACCAGAATAGCGTATTTGCCGCATGAAGGAAACACAACTCATACCCTTCCTGGCGATGACTGATTGTAACAGCTCGTTTCGCCATCTCTATTGCTTGTGGGCATTGCCCTATCGAATCATAACACTTAGCAACCAGGATGCTGATTTCCACACTGAAAGGCGAATCTTGGGAAAGTTCGTGCTCGCGCTGCTGTGCAGCGTGGAAGTATAGAAGCGCATCGTGATGGAGGCCGAGACGATCGAGGAGACGGCCGAACTTTAGGTAGACGGACAATGCTAGCCTATAATCCAGTCCGTTCCACGTTTCCAAGTTCCACATCATCCTCTGGAGGGCAACTTTTCCCTCGCTTGGGCCGAATCCTCCAATGAAATTAATTTCAGCCTTCATCGTCAGGATGTCTGCAGGGCCAAATTGCGTACTGGCCTGGAGAAATGCCTCTCTGGCGATATAACGGCCTTTATCTATATTGCCTAACCCTGACTGAGCCATGCTTATGATAATTCGAGCCTGTATGGCACATCGGTTACCGGAATCCCCAAGCGCCTCGGCTTGTAGTAATGCCTCATTGGCAAGTTTAAGCGCTTTTCGGAACTGCTCCTGACTACAAACAGTAGTGGCGAGTCCAATTGTAGCTCGACATCTTTGAACATGAGTGATTTTAATAGAATAACTTAACGCTTTCCCAAAATGCGCCTGCGCTATAGTATGTTTACCAGCGTCTTCGTTTATCTCAGCGAACTCGAGCAGCATTTGGATCCCTTCTTCGTCATCTTCTGGTATCTCGGCTTTTGTTCTGGAAGTGACCATGCCTTCGAGAAAAGTCTCTGCAATCTGTAAGCGACTAAACTGTCGGCAAAACCTCGCCAAGGATAGTGCCGGTGGCGGATGTGGGCTAGATGAGTTGCCTCGGTCATCGTAGAGGCAGGGGATATTGTCATCCAAAAATTTGCGTATATGCCCAAGAACATCCATGCGTGTTGTGAACGGTATTAAATTAACATGAGTATTCCTTACGAACGCGGTTACCAGACTGACGGCGCTGGAAGCGTGAATGCTTTGGGGTGAATCTACTAGGCCCTCATTTCCTATGCCTCTCCTAGTTAGTAGCCATTCTCGAATTACTGGGTGAAGCGAGTAGTGCCTTCGGTCGGGATCGGACCTTCTCCGGTCATTTTGAACTTGTATGAGACTTCTTCGACTCAGGCTATGAATAAATTCCCAGAATTTAACAGTGCTCCACTCATTAGACTGGGAAAAGAACGAGAGCCATGTCGGACGACGTGATGGTGGACACTCGAAGTAATATGCCTCATAGAATCTCTCATATATGGCCGCCGGCGCCAAATAGGCAGAGAGAGTCAGAATCGTTATAGCTATATCTTGAATGCCGGAGTCCAATGAGTCGAGAGATCGCTCATACGTCATTATCCAATTGTGAGGTGTATCCTTGATCGTCGATCCGTTGCGGTGTTGGAATTGTTCTAGATATTCTTGAAAACTTGAATCAGAAGTGTGGACAGCCCGTGCGGCCTGATCAATTGCTAGAGGCAAATAGCCAAGCATTCGAACAATTATTTTTGCAGGCTCGAGGCTAGTGTTATCTGACACCTCTGTGAATCGCTGGAGGAGAGCAAGCGCGTCATCTTCCGTCATAGGTGGCACCGCCAGCTTCTCCCAATTTTGGTAACCGGCCCCAAATTCGGTATTTCGAGTCGTGATGATGATGGAACCTTTGCCACCTGGTTTATAGTATTAGCATGGATTCAAACATTCATCTCGTAGCTTCAGTTACCTACGGGTTGGTAAAAAGTCGACAAGCTTGGTGAAGCTGAACCTGTGAGGGTCTAAGTCTGGGAACTGCGATTCGTCATCATAATTGTCGAACACAATGATCCAAGGCCAATCACATGATTCTAACTTCTCCTTTACCCTAGAAATAGTCAGAGGTCGATAAGGCGCAGTATCTTGCTCACTACCGCCTTGGGGGTTCCGTAGCAAGATCTCCGCAATACTTTCGAAAGATTTTCTTGTACTATCCAAAGATGATGCATCGACCCAGAACTTAGCGCGGTAGGCTCTGGCGTCGTGGCAATAACGAAGTGCGGTTTGGCTTTTACCCTGGCCACCAATTCCCGTGAGAACTGTAATGGTAGGAGTTGAAGTTTGTGAGTCGTCGAGGCGGCTAACGCACCGTCTACGAAGCTCATTTAGAATTTCTTTACGACCAACGAAATGCGATTCATAAACTGAAGGGAGATTGCTATACTCGCGATCTAGGCATGGAATGTTAGGTTATTTAGTCACCAGGTGGGGAGGCGATTGGAATTGCTAGCCTTGTTCAGTTTGAGACTTATACTCGACGGGGCCTATTTTAGAGATAATTCAAAAGTCAAAAATAACACTCAAACTATAGTGCCAAGTATCGTAATGTGAACTAGCTCCGCGTACCGAAGTTAATTGTATGCCCATCTCCGCTAACGATGTTTTCACCAGAGTTGAATGTGTTGAAGCCACCACGGGTAAAGTTCTGTTGACCCTTACCACCCGCTTGTACGGTCTGGTTTGCGTTGGTAATACCGGCAGAACCAAGCTCTGAATTAGGAAGCGAGGGTTCCATATTCGATAGCTTCTCAATAGCCGTCTCGAGGTCTTTTACATCCACCGCTGGCCCTAGTAAGAACACCTGGTTAAGAGCCAGATTACGGGTGTCCTTCAATATTTCTTCCATTAGACTTTCAACTAGTGGCGCCTTGACGCTAGCCAGGATGCGACGGTAGATGGAACGAGCTTGCTTCCATGATACGGGATTATTATTGTCGCCCTTTTCTTTGCAGTTCTTATCGAGCTCTGTGAAAATCTTGTGGAGGTCATCGAGCCTCTCTTTGCAGCGCATCAATGTAGCAGTGACCGCGTCGTCCTCGGTCGGGTTCTGGCGTAGGGATGAATTAGCAGCCTCTAGTATTTGTCGGACTAGAGGCAAACCACGTTCGACCTCCGCAAAGACTTTTGGTAAGTCTTTGACCTTCTTAAGACTCTTCCAAGTCGTGGCGAGGGCTCCAATGATGCCTAGAGCAGACGCAGTGATGCTAAGGGGATCCATGTGTGCAGACTAGCCCGACTGCTAGGGGTGATGAGTTCAGGAAAAGATGTAGGATCTTGGAGGGGCAAAGGAGAGGGAAAACAGAAATGGAGTTTGTATACGCTGACCAGCAGATTATATGGGATAGGAGAATTGGAACTCGTTGGGCTGCGCGGTTAAAGATGGAGATTAAAAGCAAGCAATGGATAAGGTAGCGAGATAAATATTATGCAAGTGTAAACGGTTGAATATCTAATTGGCTGAAGACCGTGCAATCAAATGCCTTCGCAATAGACACTTATCATGTACTATGTACAATGGCTACCTACGTAGTCTAAAATCAACAATAATGTCCAGCTGTAACGCTGATGACTTGGCGACGGGCGACTAGCCCATGCTACGAAAAGATCTACATCCAGATTATCACTTAATCATCTAGCAGATACGATAGTGTCTAGCAGTGACCAGCGCACTCGCCCTGAGTTTCTACAAAAGGAGGTTCGATGGGCGCGAAAACTAAAGGGCTATTTTATTGTCTTGTATCATATGGATAGGGCGGCTCTTGGCAAACTGCACTAAGTCCGATGATGAAATGTCGTGAGTTTGGATCGCTGAACACGCGCTCTTTATGAAGGCCGCTGAGACACCTCTCTCTTATGTCCATATTGGTTCTTGATGGGGGGCCTAACTATTTTTCACAAATCCCGGCCTAATGATAAGTACCTCTGAGGAGGGTTCTTGAGGATAGCTATGCCTACTCGCTAACAGGGCCGTCATGCGTGCAGAAACACCAGGTTTTTGTTGGCATCAAACAGTCAGAATTAAAAGCGAGGTTAAATCTACAATTGTTTCTCATTTCATGAATAGTTGTCAAGTTGTTATAAGTATATATTAACTATAATATACGAATCATACTAGGGCTTGGCGGATAGATAGTAGCTTCTTCATGGTTTCAGGGACAGTCAACAATAGACTTATATCAAAATAATAAGACCTTATACCTAAGTACCCGATACGACCGAATCTCTTTCTACGGTGTCAGAAGTTGATGTCCCCGGAGTGAAAGCTGGGTAGTATGTAGGTAGCACCTAGGTAGCAGATAGATAGAATGTAGGGGTGAGGGCTCAATAATATTGTTTCCTGCCTTTTCTCATACTAGAAGGTGGCTTTCTCCTCCTTATATAGTTGGCTATTAAACTATCTTCACTCCTTCGACGTAACTTCTGACCTACTGCTTCTTTGCCCGTAACATATGGCGTCTTCGGGATCAAAGCGGCTCGGCTTGACAATATTAAACTCAAGGCAAATGGTTTATATCTGCGATTCGAACCGGTCCATTCAAGGTATCTAAACCAGCAGGCTTAGGGTCGTTTCTGGGGGACAGACGGTATTCTTTTGGTGGAGTTGTCTGTGACTGGTCGGGGCTGGCGCCTCCGGTTGGAGCTTGGGGGCGGTATAGGTTGAGACTTGCCTGTTCAGCTACAACTTACAGCTGAAATCCTGTCTATCGATCGCAAGATGCATCATTCGTCTGAGGATTAAGAAACCGATGGGTACCCCGCTTTCCCACATGGAAGTAGGGTGAGAGCCACGTCTGGTTCCCTTTTGGATTGACTGGCCAATTTAAAAGATGAGTGGTGGGAAATCAGCCAGCGATAGTTCTCCCCACGCGACCGCCAAGATCAGTCATCTTCAGAGGTCTCATTGAACATGGTTAGGTTTCAAGAGCACTGTGGAAAACTACAAACCAAATTCCTATTTCAGTCTTCAGGACGTAGAATGATGACCGTCGCATAGGGTTGGCTAATAGTAGAACTTGGGTTCTAATTCATCCAAGATGCAGCGCCATCTACTCTCTACCTTTCTCGTGACGACGCTAGCAACAGCTGCGCCAACAACATTCTCCCTTCCTCCCCTCCCAACATTAACCGTGGGCCCCAAAACACCATCCAATCCTTTCCCCGTAAGCGCAGCTCGCGATCCGTCGAAAGTATGCGTTGTAGATCCTGAAGTCGCAGACGCCGGGCCAGCGCTCATTTCCGCGGCGCAAGAATGTAATCACGGAGGCACGGTAGTCTTACTGCCGGATACGGCGTATACTATTGCGTCGCCAACAGATTTAACGTTTCTAGAGAGCATTGACATCTTGATCCTTGGAACGGTCGTTTTCAAAGACGATGTGGAATACTGGCAGACGACGGCTTTTGGCTATGCTTATCAAAACATCCATCTCTTCTGGAAGTTTGGCGGGCGCGATGTTAATATCTATGGCTTGGGAATTGGACTTTTAGATGGTTTGTACCGCTTTCGCAACTTATTGGTGTCTAATCTTCAGTTGAGCACTCTAAGCTGAGGGGTTTTGTGAGGCGAGGAGCAACTTTGACGAGGAGAAATAAGCATTTAAAGTGCAAACAAATGAGGAATGACAGTCTAACTCTGCGAGTTAGGTCTCGGTCAGACATGGTGGACGGCAAAGCGAAGCAACGAGACAGTGTATAGGCCCATCATCTTCGCTACGGACGGACTCGTCGGTGGTTCGGTCTCGGGACTTAATATGAAGAATTCACCAAATTGGTTCAATGTCATCATGAATTCGAGTGATGTCTTGATTACAGACATCAACATTTGGAATGAAGTTACGAACTCGAGTTCTCCTCCAGCCGTGAGTCTCTTACACCATTGATTCGTCCTCATGAAGCACGTGCACCCAAGAGATTACGATAAACACGTTTCTTTGGTGTCGGCTGACAGATAAGCGAGCGATCAGAATACAGATGGATGGGACACATATCGAAGCACCAACATCGTAATACAAAATTCGACGATCGATAACTATGACGGTAAGAGAACCAAACAAATGGACCTCATTCTTCCCTCTTCTCTCAAATCCTATCCCAATTCAATTTCCCGTGTTCTAATTGACCTGACAAACAAGACTGCGTATCCTTCAAGCCAAACTCAACCAACATCATCATCCAAAACCTCCAATGCAACGGATCCCACGGGATTTCCGTCGGCAGTCTAGGTCAATACCAAGGCGAATACGACATAGTAGAAGACATATACGTCTACAACATCTCCATGAGCAACGCATCAGACGGCGCAAGAATCAAGATCTGGCCAGGCGTGCCGCCGAATACAACGGGATCGAATTCTGGCGGCGGAGCGGGATACGTGCGCAATGTCACGTATGAGTTATTCTACAATCAGAACAATGACTGTTCGTTCCTCTCTTCTTATACTATGTGCGTGATGCACTGCAGCTACTGTGCTGATAGTTGATAATATAGGGGCTATAGAATTGACGCAATGCTACTTCGCTGAAAGCAAGGAAGCATGTGCTATGTATCCAGTATGTCGCGAGTCCCTCCTCACCCCCTTATTCAACCAACTGTTCATAGCTACCCTTATATTTTCCCCAGAAACTAACATAATTAAAAGGCCGTACTACAAGTAGAAGATATATTCTTCAAAGATTTCTACGGGACGACATCGGCCAAGCACGACCCGCAAGTCGGCAGCCTCGTATGCAGCGATCCTAGTGTAAGTCATCTCGCTCCAGCCCCTTTCTTCCCCTCTTCAACCGATTCCATACCTATCACAACATAACATACCCAAACTCAACGAATTATCCCATGAGTACATGATGTCTCTATTTCTCTCTCTATTTTTTTTTTAAAAAAAAAAGAAAAAGAAAAAAAGAAAGAGAGAAAAGAAAATTGATTAGTACGGAAAACAGGTATGCAAAAACATCCGCGCCTCCAACATCGCCATCATCCCACCGAGCGGGAAGACAGCAGAATGGATATGCACGAACATGGACAAAGGGCTACTAGACATCAACTGCGTAGCCGGATAATGAAACTAAAGCTACATTCACTTCTATTACTACGTATTGCATTCCTCTTTAGCGATCTACTTATTTATCTATTCATCTATCTATCTATCTACTTACCTGGTGAAAATTGCTGTATGATAGTCAGGAGGATTGCGAGGGGAAAAGTATAATAAATACTTAATAAGCAATTTTGATACCGGTACTCCTGTGCAGTCTGAGTTAGAGTGTAGATTGACTCCGGCCCCTAATTAGTTGGAGCCTTTTCAAACAACCTTAGCAGTGCCATATGCTGAGTATTTCCTTGTATCATATGTTATTACTACTAGTCTTGTATTAGATGAAGAGCTCACAACAATGGCCTTCCAATATCCTCTTCGTACATTAAATTTCCCTGTCATAAGCCGTATCTCTCCTAGGATGCCACGCAAGGTACTTATGTATCACATCCAATCAAATCCCAAGCACCCCCCAATGATCCCAAACCATCAATATGCATGAATAACCCGTATCGCACCCAAACGCCTCCTGCAACTCATTAAAAAGGGGTATTGCTGAGTAACGTAATTAATCTTGCTGTAAAACGAAAACGAAACCGGCGGCTCCTATGAGGGGAACTCCGACAGTGGCGGGGATTTTCATTTCATTTCCCTATACCCATCCAGCCAAAGGCAGCGGCGGCAGTCAGCACTACCACGGCCGTCAAGACACCGGCGCCCGCTCGATCGCCCGTGGTAACCGGCGGAAGGTTGTCGCCAGCGATCGAGCCACTTCCTATGCCGGCGTTTGGGTCCCCCACGCTGGTACCCCCGTCTGAACTCGTGACTGGCTTTTTCGATTGGTTGATTAAGAGTGAAGAGACGGCGGCTAATGCATCCATCGTCTGCCCGGCGCCCGTGCTTCCGTCGAATTTGCCACTAGACCATGCGAAGCCACACGTTCGGCCGTCATTCCCGCCTGTGCATTGGTTGACGGCGGCTTGGGCCGACTTCCGAAGAACGGGAAGGATCTTGTCGGCGGTAAAGGGGGCAATTTGAGTTGCTGTTGACATCCAGCGGTGGAGGTAGCCTTTGAAGCTCAACATATCGGTAGTACATGTCATGACTCCTTCGCAGGCTATCTCGTAGGCCGTGTCATTAGGGAAGAAGACCTTCAAGGTGGCGTCTACCAAACCATCTAGCCGATCTTTCCATTTTTGATCCTCGGTCTAAGTGCATATAGGTGAGAAGATGTTCAAAAGGGAGGTCGTCTGGAAACTTACATAATTATACATATAGGCGGCCCCGAGTAGGAAGACACCGTTATTATAGGAAAATTGAGCGCGGTTGATGTCTGTGCAATTTGTTTGAACGTGCGCGCCGTCGAAAATGTTGTAATCTTTATCCATGAAGCCAACACTGACAACCCAATTCCAGGCATCCTCAGCCACCTCGGCATAAGTGTGGTTGTTCGTGTATCGTGCGAGTCGAGCACCAAGGTTGAAGAAAATGCCATTTGCGATGCCTTTCCCTTGGTTAGTAATGTGTTCGCTGTCTATATCATCACGTTCTTACTGTTCTTGTAGTCGTATCCATTGTTGGCAAATGGAATTTGCCATCGCAGACCACCACCACAGGTCGCATCGTGACGATCGGGATCGGCTTGAGTGTTCCAGACGGCTTGCGCCAAAGCCAGCCATTGCGGCTGATCCGAGGGCGGATTGGGGAAGTTCTCCTCGGCGGCCAGCATCGCGGACATGCCCCAAAACCCTTGGTCATCGTTTCCCAAGGAGGCGGTGACGTTTGGCGGCATGTAGTTGCGGTTAGGGCCGACCTGCCACAGCATGGCTTCGGTGGTCACGTTGTTATAGGTATCATCACCGGTAAGATGCCAATAGTCGATCATAGTCCCCCATAACGCACCACCTTCCCACCAATAGTAATCGCCGGCGGGGGGAGGTCCGGGCAAGATGCCTGGTGTTTGACCGGACTCATTGCCGTGGTAGTATGACATCAGATCATAAGCGAGGGTCTTCGCGGAGGAAAGGATGTCGTCTGTAAGAGGAACAATGTGTTAGCGAGAGGTTAGAACAGAGAGGGATGAAGCCAAAGAAGAGCGATGGATGCAGGGGTCACATTATACATACCATTACTCTCAATCTTGTAGAATTGGGCAGATGTCAAATGTGCTGACAGAAGCAGACAGAGCACTATGGACGCCATGGCTTCAGAATGCGGGAAAATGGCCCCAGGTGCAAGGTGGGCGGCGCAAGCGTCAGGCGCCGACGTGACTGTCACAGAGTGCGCGTAAACGAATGGCGATGAAGTGTTGACTTCTTTGACGAAGGGAAGGGAAGGGAATGGAAAGGGAAGCGAGCGTGTTCAGCGTTGATCGATTTCCGCTATCCAGCAGCATCGATGATGATGATGATGATTCGGGTTGGAGGAAGGGAAGAAGGGAAGTATGGAAGACTGGAAGAAGGGAGGGGCCATTGTATCTCGAGGTCTTTCTGTGTTGGTGTGTGTATCTGTAAGTAGGTAGGTACGTAAGTATGAGCGCTATCACCTGCCCCGAGATAAGATGCGACAGGCCATGACTGGCAAGTCGCTACATCGCTACCGTATATTGATACGTTGCCATGTCGCTATACCTACCTACTATACAGTCTATACCATACTATACTATATCTACTATACCTTGTAGGTATCATTCGATGCTAATGCCACATGCATGTTGGCGATAGTCATGGCAGTTCATGGGGTGGAGATCAGCATGGCTAAGCTTCTTACAGGGGGGTCTGCACAGGGGGTCCAGACCACTACTAGTACAGCTTAGGTCAGAAGCTAGGTAGGTCACTATTCCCCAGCACAGACCCACGATCCCCAGAGCTGGTCGGGTTCTTCCAGATATAGACACTACCTACGCTTACTTAGTAGACTTGGCGGCAGATGACGCAAGACTATATCACTCTGACTGTCTTTGGATCCTGCTGGAATAGAAGAATGGATTGATCTGGGCATTGGCCATGGTGGAAAAACAAGCTTTCTTGTGCTTCATAGTCGCATCGAGCTCAGTAGCTAAATTTAACCTTACCTACATACCTATAGGACACGTATATGCCTGTACAAATACCAAATACCGCTGCAGTTGAACAGATAGGGATTCATCATCACACTGCCGTTTTTACGAAAATTTGACCTCTTCATTTTCCACCTGAACTTGATAGATACTTTTGGGGATTCTCGTGGGTATAGTTTTACCTCGACATAGCTGCACTGGCGATTAAACAACCTCTAGCATAACATGTGAAAAGCATGCTGCATTGTATCCAGAGTGCTTGGCATTTAACTGATAGCTACGTGTATACATATATGTATACGTTCCTAGGTAGATGAGAATCCTGTCGTTACTACCTGTGCATTTGGTATCCTTTATTAGAATGAGACTAATTCTGCGTTCGATTCTTTTTTTTTTTTTTTTGCTAAATCTGCAGTTCCGATTGAGTGCAAAGTGCTAGCATTTGATTTTCATCTTCCCCATACGCAGCTTCGGGTAGCAAATATACATCAGGCTTGGCACGATAGGCCAATACTAAGGGTGATGGATATATATGACCTCAATCTCCGTACAGTATGCCACTAATGTCTACTGGCACGCTATGTGACCGCTGCCTATACTGTACCCATGTAGGCATTTTCTCTAGAGGATTGTGAGAGGAAAAAGGTTAAGAAAGTGCTAAGTTAGCTGAGTTGTTGCCTTTAGACTTCTTTCACAGTTGTTAATAGCAGAAGTGGTGAATGTGAAGGCACTGAAAAAGCGCATAGGTAGGAGGTCCGTCGCTAAGTATCTAGAGATTACAAACGCTGAGCAATAATGGATGTAGTTTTGACGGGGAATCATATATAAATTGTTGTATTCGCAGCTAGTTCGCAGTTTATATTAGTCTGATAATTGCAGAACTAGCCTTGCTCCTTTATTAGGGCTTAGCCCCCATCTGTTTAACAAATCATCCAGAAGTTGAATAATGTTCCATCTATCCATCGGAGTCGATCGTGTGATGTCCAAATGCCCCAGTCCAAATATTCACTGGGCTCAAGGAAACTCTTGGCCGTGTTTCGATATCCGCGGGCTTGAAAGGCTCTCTGCCCGTCTTGGCCGCCTCGCTACAAGTAGGTATAATAGAGCATAGGATGCCGTCGAAACATACATTATTGCCCACACTTGCTGAGAATACGCGCCCGCGACGGCGAGTCTGGTCTGCAGCTGCAACTCCGGGCTGAGGTTGTTCATGTTATATGACTGAGTCACCTCGCGGATTTGATCCAGCGTTAAGAATTCGAGTGTGTTGTCCCTGATGAACTTGACTCTCAGGTTAAAGGTCAGAACTCTGGACATTATGCTGACGGCAAGATATGGTGTAAGTAGAGTATAAGCGATGATTGCCTACTGTAAATGGATTCTTTGGAGGCTCTGTGAAATGTGAATTATGGCAGCTATAATCTCGACCTCAGTCAGAAATTCATTCCTGCCCAACTCAGTTAATGAAAGATCGCTCGTTATCACATAGTTCCTTACCTACACGAGCAATTGAACGACGAATCTGTTCCTCACTAGTCTCCATGCATATAGTATTGACTGGATTATAGAGGTAGTCTTGCTCCGCAATGGACTATCACACTCCAGCAAGGTGGAATTGAACAGGAGATCACCCATTATCCATAGCCCTATACATAATGACCACATGAAGATGATTCCCATCGACTCTGGGTCCGGAACAAGCATAAAGATATGTGCGGCTAGCAACCCCGATGTGCAAAGCACGGCATACAGAGTGGGTTGGAAAAAGAGACTTCATTATAGTCGTCATGATTGTAATTAGTTAGTATATCAAGATGGGTTGAAATCAGGTAAGTGGCTTGTCTAAATAGCAAAGGCTTTTCATGGCTCTGCGGGGCTAGCTTAGGTTCATATATGTAGTTTCGTCCGCGAGACTGAGCTCCGATATTCGCTGATGTGTCTCAGAAATGCAAGAATTGAAATGCTTGTCGTGAGACATGACTAGTTCAGCCCGGGACATCCGCGTTAGCCCTGTGTACACAACTGGCCGATGTGTCGGGTCCCTTGCACGCTCTGATAGAGTTCTATTTAACAATGCATCTATATCAAATCAGAAATGTGCGGTTCTACCGCTCCGTATCCACTATTCTGCGAGGACAGTTATGAGACTGAGGTGGCCAGGTCCGAGACAAGTAGGATAAGCCTCCGCCAAGTTCGATATCTTTACAAAATTTTCGCTGACGCGCTGACGGGAACCTTTCTTGGCTCTGTCACATAGCTGGCGCAGCTAGTCTAGGCGTAAAGACAGGTCCACAATGTGGAGGGCTCTGAGTCATCGTGGTCAGAATGCTCTCTTACGAAGTCCATCAGCCTCATCCAAGACAAAATGGGCAAGGCAACTTCGACAGAAGTTTGTAGCCCGCGACCTGGGCAACTGTCTGCGTTCTAGATAGTATTAGATTAGGCCGCTAGTCATGTTGGGCTTCAGCGAAGCCTTGCTTTGCGTTCCAGAAGCATTGTCGAGATAGCTTGGGATGGATGATGATGGTATTGTTGTAACAGGGCCTTACATGATAAGTTAGTAAGTCTATCCTTAAATGCTAAAGACGAGAGCCGGTAGACAAACTGAAGGCTGCTACATGCATGCTTGTTACCCACCCACACCTCATATCGCCCAGTTGGCGATTGCAGATAGGGAATGTCATTGTCAAGGCCAATGGGATAGAAGAAGAGAAACAGACAGAAGCTGTTTGATTGGGCAGGGGCAATAATCGTTTAGTGTTAAGAACATTGGACGATCTACCTGAATGATCCAATTTTGAATTAGTCTTCCAGCTGAGTGGACCAATGTCCGAAATGCAGGAATCATGCACATGATGCGCTCTCTATGAATTCCTGCGGTTTCAGGTCTTAACTGACGTTTACTGACGTTCTGGGAGGGGGTTACATGACATGCCAACTCATGTTAACGCCTGTATCTGTTGCACATGATGCACTCGGCTGAAGTTCCATATCCCGCTTCCACTCACCGTAGAGCTGTAATAGGACGATCTGAAAATATCAAGAAGTCATGAGGAATGTCTAGCCTCGGAGCCTCTTTCTCGGAGCCGGTCAGCCGCCGAGGGCTGTAGATGTAGCTTCACCGGTCTTTTGTGATATGAGGAATGGCCGTATCGTAGATATCATAGGCGGCCTGATGAGGTCAGCTTTCAGGATATAACAACAACACTGGACATTACAAACTGGTAAAGACCATTTCCGAAGGACTGTGCTTGTTCCTCACGGTCTTCACGCCTTCTCTTCGAATAAGGAAATCTTCGTTTAGTACTAAAGTCTCTTTGGAGTTACTTTCCTCCTATATTACGTCCTTATCCATGGTCCTACTAAGGGGATATCTCGTCTCTAAAACTATTTATCGAAACGTGGCTTTGGTTCACTTAGAGAGTACGCACTTGGTTTGATTCTTCTGGTATGATTCATCTATTCATAAGAGTGTGCAATCTTCGCTTGTTATTTCAACAATGTCATGTTACGTAGAACCGTCGTTAACAAAAACCGGTAGCCCTCCCCGCACCCACCCGTCGCACGCGAATCTGCGGATGTTTCCGCCCCGCTCCCGCTCCGAATACCCACGTGGTACCAAGGAACAATGCGTCCCAACCGCAAGTTGAATTCCGTGCCCTCGGAAAGGATCAACCAAAATGATATCACATTCGGTGATTACTCAAATGACTGGGAATCCTTAGCGAACGATGACTTGACGGTCGTGTCTATTCCCATGACTGATAACGTCCCCTACGCCACTAGTAGCATGGACGTCAGCCATGTCCGATCCCAATATCAGGATTTGCCAGTGGGACAGGCTCGTGACGTAACATTCCATCAACACTTCAATTCCGTGGGTTGCAGCCCTGTGATGCGGACTCGTCAATTGATGAACGTCTTGACTTTTGATTCCCGGAACGTTTTCCCATTTGCCTCGTGCGGCACGAATGATGCAGGGTTTCCAGGCGGCCCGGAAAGCATGATCCCTGCCGTGCCGTCCCCCCCGGCTACGGGATTGCCGTCACAAACTATCACAAGTGCAATTCACACACGTCCATGGCCATGCAGTACCTGTCAAAATGCAGTCTCCTTCACCCTGGAGAAAGACTTAAAGCGGCACATGAGCACTGTACATGCGACAGGGCATGAGAGTGCTTACTATTGCCAATGCGGGAAACGTTGCATACGCAAAGACAATCATCTCCGGCATGTTCATACCTGCAAGAAGAATGACCCCGGTCTTCCCCACTACACTTGCAAGTGCAAGATGAACTACTTGGATAAGCGAATGTATGTTGACCATGTCCGTCTTAACACTTGTGAGAAGGCGACGTAGGGCGCAATGATTGAGCTTGACCTCACTCACGATTGGCACGAGATATACACAGATCCCATCGCGTGGAGTAAGACTTGGGACTTGAATTCTCATACATAGTTCTCTTACGTTCTTCTTTTTCTTCGAATGTTTCTCCAGCTACACTAATTCTTCGTATGAGTACATGCAGCATAAATCCAGATAGAATATAGAAATTATTCCCGCATTGTTACATCTTAGATAGTCGTTTTAGTATGACTGAGCTGTTAGAGTTGCTCATGCGAACTTCGTCTAGACTTATCATAGATGTGCCTTCAGGGCATATGAAGGCAAGCCTCTCCTGTCGAAGAAATGCTTGGCATATCAGCTGCATTTATGTAACAGAAATCTTCCCATTAGAATATGAAGCTGCAGGATCAGCTTTCTTCTGGTTATTCTCCAATCAACGGTGTACATGACGTCCTTTAGATAAGGGAAAAGTAATCAAGACGTACCACTATTGCATACAGTAACACTGATTGTTTGTGCAGGACATGTAAGCCAACGTTACCTCGCGGGACATTTTCGGAACATCGGCTCTGGTGTCGTCAAACCGAGGCGGACTGATCTCTTAACATGGCAAAAGGCTCGTGCAATTATTACGAAAGACTTCTAGCTCACTAAGTAGACTTTCAAAGGGCCTTATATACACACATGGGAACACAATGACGGTGACGGGCTACAAGTCTTAATATTTTCCACCGGCTATAAGCGCTGGCGCATTGCGAAACCCCTTGTAACCCCTCCATGGACATACCTCTACTTAGATATCCGGTGAGAACATCCCGCCAAGAACTTACCCAATTAAACCAACTAGATAGATATCCAAAGAGCTTCATACATGGACACCACCACCTTCTCTGCGGACAAACTTGAATTAGGATATTGTCAACACTCAGTCGTTCCATGTAAATGGCCAAATGTCGAGAGGAGACACATTGTGGAGCTTTCTAGCGTGCCTAGAGCCCAGTTGTCGAAACTAGATTGAATTGTGACGACGAATCGCATCCATTTTAGGCAACTTCGAGGGTGGCGCGCACCAATTGAAATACACCAAGAATTGAGGCCTTTGAGGCCCCTGCGAGGCCGCTGTGAGGCCACCTTTTAACGATAAAGTGACCAATTACCAATCCTAATAGGTTGAAGTGAATAAGGAGACAGTAAGTGACCCTGACCGGATAGCGTCTGCGTCTAAATTCCGACAATGCCGGCTTCAGGATCCATCTGTCTATCATTTGTTAGGATGATCTATACATTGTATACTACCAAAGATTGCATGGCATGCGATGTAGCCTTATGACGCAATATGAACAGTTTCTAATCTCGATGAAAGCAATTAGTTCACGATCGAAAAGGTGCCGGGTTGGTCAATTCTCAATTGCTGGATACAAGGGCCACTGCTAGAAAGATGCTATTTTGGTGGTATATTGTATACGAACTGTATCTTTAGGTGGTGCCGCGTGAGGCAGCCCGACAACCGCAGAACTACAGAGTCGTGTGGGGTTGACTACAGAGACAGCTTCACTCGTATGAAGATGCACAATTAACTGGCTAGCATGGGGCATTGCTCGCTCTACGACCTGCACCAATGTTGGGCAATTACAGTGAGTATACCTTGATTATCATCAGCTAATCGAGCAACACGTAGGTTGTTTCTGTCCCAGACGTTGAGGCACACTTTTGATGAAATGCAAAAGTCAACGCTAATGCCACTTTGGCACTATCGCAATATTTCAGCAACTTTGACCGTACGTCCTAGCCGTCGAATCGGTTGATTCCTATGATGCTAGCTATGCGGGTATGTAATCCGGGTAAACTTGGCAGGAACGTCAGACCCTACCTATTGATAGGTATAGACGTTTCCTCTTTATCTGGGCATAGCAACTTGCAGCCTCCCATTGTCGAAAGAATCTGAACTCACGGTAGTAGAGAAGCCGCTGACTTTAGTATCTGTATTCCGAATAATTACACGTAGTAACAAGAAATGAGACATACTACACCCCTTTGAAGCCGAGCGGTCGAATATAGGTGTATGAGGTACTGGTACCTGATCTCCTTATGTAAGTCATATAAATCTCATGACACACTTGTGTGTAGACCAATAGTATACTCATTTGCCAACCATAATACTAACGACTTACCATTGATATATAGCCATATGAATGCTAATCGGTTCTGCCCTTGACGTCATTCTATTTCTACCCTACACTCAGAGTCGACTCCATAGGTAGACGTATTGAACATATTTCCAGCCGTGGCTTTGATGGGACAGCGATGTTAATCGAAGGCTACCTGCAGTGGATAAACCTGCGACTACTACGATTGCGTATCGGCTGTAGGCTACTGCAAGTGTCTTCTCTAATTCTGCTGCAAGACTGCCTGAAGACTGCTTTACATCCCTTGCTACTTCCATTCTAAGCCTTCCCTGGCAAACCTACGAACTTCTTAGTCGGCCATCTTCCTTACGAATTTTCTCACTATCTAGGTCACCTTACAAGTCAAGACTACTTTATCAGTCATCCATCTTACAGCATTCTCACCATTATTAGACTCTATTCTTCGCAAACAAACAAGTCAAAATGTCTCATGCAGAGCCTACCGGTACTTGTGAGAGGACTCTGGAACCTGTCTGGCTTCCATGCAAAGATCAGCCAATTGGGGGAACTTTGAGCCAAAGATTGCTCTACGCTACAAATAACAGCGATCGTGACTGGTTCCTGAGACTTGCAACCGCGATAATGGGACATGCTGCCCTCCAAGGCTATGCCCTGATGTTGTTTTATCTCTTTGTCCGTATATATATGCCTATGGACTTTACCTGCAGATTTAAGCATATTGCTGGTGACGAGGTTATGCGCGAAATTCTGGCTTCTATCAAGAAATTCAGTGGCCCTGGAGGTGGCAAGAGCTGGAAATGAAAAGATTGGAGCAGGACAGTCCCAATGGAAAGCCCCTGGATTGTATTCGCCCGCTGGCCTACTAGCCGTTTTGGTGCTTGACGATTCAAAGGAGGAAGAGTCGCACGACCTGAAAATGGTAATCAGCCAGCTGGAAAGCAACTGGATGCTCTCCCCACGCAATACGCTAAATGTGACACGGGGCTATTGGTGCGGCCTGAATTCACAGAATATCCACACAGTCTTCCACCCAGGGCAGGAGGGGACGATTGAGTCTCGTTCCAGTAGTAACTACGTGCCCCTTGCTAACTACACATCACTGTTTCACAATTTTATTGAATGCAGGAAGCAAATCAATAAATACTACTTGCAGCCCTGGGCACAAGGTATTTTCTTGTCACGCGACCCTGACCTTGAGGATCTGCCTGGCGCTAAGCCCCCAGATATGTCGGGTACGCAGGCTGGGATTGATGTGGAGCCTGGTAACAAGATCAACAACGACATTCTCAAGAACGGCAGCCGTGTTCTAGAACCCAGCTCGAGTGTTCATATAGAGTCGGCTACATTGAGATCAAACCCTTTAGGGGCGAAAAGAGACCCTATTGATAGCCTCGCCACAAAACGTCTCAGGCACATCACAAGTGCAGACTCTCGAGAGTCTACCGCCGAATTTCAAACAGGCCTAGTGATCAAAATGCGGGAACTTGGGGCCCGAAATAACCACCTCACTACTATGCTGAATGGTCCCACACCCGAGAACGCGGGAACCGAACTGCAGGATCCACCCCTACGGGGACTTAGAGGCCGACTTCACGACCTTAGAACTTCTGCACAGAATGATCGCAAATTCGTGAACGCGCAATTAGATTTGATTCAATCACAGGTACGGGAACTTCACGTCTAGATTACCGATCGGATTAAACACCTCAGTACTACACCGAATGACTCCACATGCGAGAATGCAGAAACCGAGCTGCAGAATTCAAATCTCTTCAGGCCGCTCGAGACGGACGACCAGACAGTCAAGCAAGGTTTTAAGCAAAGTTTGGAGAAGGTCAACAATGATATGCAAGAGAAGCCGAACGCCCATGACCTCGGACTCGAGCAGCAGCAAGACAGGCTACTACTCCTCTCGCGTCCGTGAAAAAAGGGGGTATCCTTGCGCAAAGTGTGATGGTGTCGAATGAATGTAGTTGCTACTACAACGAATAGAGCAGGGCAGTGAGTGAATGCGGTATAGGGCAGAGGTTAAGATTATCACGGCGGTGAGAATTCCAGCACCAACTCTGTCACTCGTGGTTATCGATGGGAGGTTGTTGTTGTTGTTGTTGTTGTTGTAGTTTTTAACGTCGTGAAGGGCAGTCTATCCGCCGCAACTCTGACCTCCCTTGGGGTACTAGGACGTAGTAAGCTCTAGCTAGGTTGGTTACATGAGGTTATTCCCATAAGGTTTTCTCCGTTAGGTCTTCCTTCTCCGGTTTCCCCTCCGCAATCCTTCCATCGTAGCTATGTTACTAGATTATACAAGGAGGATGAACAGCACCTATAGTTTGGCGTTCATTTTTATGGCTAAGAGTACTACGGAAGATAGTATGAAAAGGGTCCAGTCGAGACAGAGCTATGTTGTGATAACAAGGGACATTAAATCTGTTTGGCAGCAAAGTCTTGTGAGCTGGAGTACAGAGAATTCCCCTAGCCATCGCCGATACATGTTTGCCGCCAATAAGTATCGTATTAAATAATACTTGTAACTAGTTTTATAGCGTACACTAGTGATGTCAGGTGATATAGTCATATAGACCCCAAGGGTGGCTGTATTAGACCTACTGGCTATATAAAGGGGTGTTGGCCCCCCCCTTCGAGGGTTAGAGGGTTCAGGATTCAGTAAATATTGACGCCTATACTACCCCCTTCTACCTACCTACTTAACTGTGACTGACCTTCTATCCACTCTGGGACCAACCTGTCTGACAGGTGACACCAATGTGGCCGCATTCGCAGTTGCTGTTAGGCTCAACCGCGGACTCGCATCGATGGCAGTGCCAAATGAAAATTACAGTAATGAGACAACGGTCATGTGTCGCGTCTATTCCGTGCCGCTGTTTCATTTGCTCTTCGGATTGCCTCGTCTCTTTTTTGCTTTGCCCAGTCTCGTGCATTGCGATACGCACCCACTCCAATCCTAAAGTTATCAATATTACCAGTTATAGCATAGGCGTTGATCTGCATCATTGCATATTCGCGAGGCATCTCTAGGCTAGCTCGTGATAGTGGGTAAATAGCGTATATATTTAGATGGCCCTTTTGATATGTCGATGTTAACGTATATGCCTTGTTATTAGCGTCCCATTCCGGGTCGCTATATCTCTGGAGGCTATTCATGCCCCTTGCTCCTAGCGCGCCGTCGTAGCATGCTTGATGCTCAGCTACTTCTGGGGTTCCACCTGGGCCTTTTACATTCAGGAAAAAGTTGGGTACGATAGGGAGATCATGCTGCGTCGATGGCACAATGTGTTTATTTAGTTGTATTCGAACTTCTCGATCGAGCTGTTCAGGACGGGCGCCATAATAACGGTCGGGATTGCCAGGTACAAGTAAGCCACCCGTTGGATCCTCAAGGTTTGTAAATGGGACCTGCCCAGAAACGTAGCTGCTATCCATCACCTTACCTTCGATGATAGGTATGACGTCGGATATAACCTGCCACTCTTTACGCGCACGTGCATTTGCTCGTTTGAATTGTTCAAAATCCTCTCGGGTAAAGCGCGAAGGGGATAGAGAAGGCTGCGGTTTCACTATTGTTTGCATAATCTCTTCCAAGTTTTCAGGTGGAGGTAATACCTGCCCGCTAGGATATTCATAATTGTCGGGGTAAATTCCATGGTCGATAAGAAGCTGTTGAAAGGCCCGATCGTACGGGCTAGTTTTCTTAGTGCTCGTTGGTGGTACCGTAGGGGTGCTTTCCGAAGCGGAAGCCGAGGGACGTTTTTGACGGCCGAGATGGGATCGCCTATCGCCCATGCCTGAATCGAGCATAATGCTAGGCTTATAACGGCACTAGGCAACCAAGTATATCAGGCTTTGTAATTGGGGAAGCAGATAAAAGTTAAAACCTACTCCTCGTAAATGAGATAGATCGGGACCTCCTATTCTCGCAAAGCGTTTGATCCGTTCTCTTTCAGTTGGGCTATGCTCGTCGAGATGCTGCGCAGTGTTAGGTTGTGTACCAGGTTGGTGAGGCTTTCTTCTCTCCAGCTCTCGTAAGGCGTTTTTAGTTAGAGGAACCTCCGACAATTTATCCCAAAAGGCGGGTGGTAGTCGGGCCGGATAAGCAGGTTTCTCTTCCTTTCGTAAAGGTTGAGGATTATTTCTTAGCAGTAACATCTGGACTAATAATTGCCGGCGCTTGGCCAAGTTATTATAAGCAGAGATTTAACTAGTGTTTTAGAACTAATATTTGGTGAATGGTGATGTCTCAACTTATAAAAGTAGCTGTAAGCCCTGTTGTTTTTGTTCTGCTTTGTTTATTAGTCTTTTGTATTATTCATTAAGTATAGCCGTTCGCGTCATTTCTACTTAATTCCTGTTTTCCCTTTTACGACAGATATTTTAATTACAAAGAAAGCGAATCAAATCAAACAAATGCCTTAAAATCTAAAATGCGATTGTTTCTATAAACATATATATAAAATAAAAGGGTTTAAGCTAAATTTAAGCGCCTTACTGCCCAGTCATCTAATAGCAAAAAGAAAAATTAAATGCTTTACAACCCAGCCTTCGCCATTATCGGTAACTAGTAAATTATATAAAATGAAGGTAGATAACCTATTCTATACTTTCTACTATGTATACTTACCTTAAGCTTACCTAGGACATTATTATTGATAATAGATACCGTATTGATTACAAGATCGGTGAAGGAGGCTTTGGCAAGGTCTTCTCTGGTCCATCGCCCCAACTAATTTCCCAAATTTTAGTCCCAAGGCTGACTGTTAAAGGAACCGATATGCGCAATGGTAACAAGGTTGCAATCAAGCTCGGAGAAAACCGGGAAGACCCTAGAGCATTAAAGGGCGAGGAAGAAATATACCGAGAGCTAGCCGGAAAGGTTGGGGTTCCGTCGGTATATTGGTTTGAACAAGAGGTAGAATATAATGTGCTCGTGATGGAACTTTTAGGGCCGTCACTCGAGGACCTTTTCAACTATTGCAACAGAAGATTCTCGCTTAAAACCATTCTCCTGATCGCTGACCAAGCCATTCGCCGGATCGAGCACATCCACCGGCGCTACATTCATCGGGACATCAAGCCGGATAATTTCCTGCTAGGCACCGGCAGGCAGGGAAACATCTTGTATACCGTTGACTTTGGCGTGGCCAAAGAGTTCTCTGGTGAGGAGATGTACCTACGCCTCCGGGGCCTCCCGTTTGGCGGAACCAGTTGTTATGCCAGTATCAACAATCATAAAGGCCGCCGTAAGTACTCCAGAAGAATTCGATATAGCTATTTCTACTAATATAGCCAAAGACCAATCATGGGGAGACGACCTGGAATCCTTAGGATACATGTTTGTATACTTCGCTCGTGGGTCTCTACCGTGGCAAGGTTTAAAGGCTGCAACGGAGGAGGAAAAGCTTGAGCTCATAAAACAAAAGAAAATGAGTTTCTCGGGCGAAGAGCTTTGCCAAGACTTGCTGCCGACCGAGTTTGCTAAGTACATCAACTACACTCGATCGCTGGATCCTCGAGACAAGCCTAATTATCGGTATCTTCGTAACCTTTTTCACAATCACTTTAGGTCCAAGGGTTTCGAATATGATCACGTCTTCGACTGGACTATTAAAAGATTTTTTGAGCTCCATAGTGAGGGTGGCTAGCTAGCACTCTAAGGGGAGGTACCAGGGGTGAGCAGGGTCTGCTCTACCCCCTGAGAACCCGTCACACTGTTTACCACGACACACCTCAGGGGCACAGCAGGAGATGCTCTAATAACAATACAAAATAATACACCCTCAATTGACTGGCTGCCTCATTAAACTATGATTCCTGCGATCGCGATCATTCCATGATTTCCAAGTCTACTTTAAACCCATACCCGGTACAGATCATGTATACACAATCGAAACATATATTACCGAAGAGTATTTGTTCTAGCAGTTGGCCCTTCCTATAACCTATGAGCTTTATCTGACTCCTGAGCGAACGATCGAGCCGATTTATATCTTTAAATAGTCCATCCAAACACTTATAGTAGGAATGGGCGCTACTATCATCGGCCTCCTTCTCTCGTGAAGCCGTAAAAACATAATCCGGCAAACCCTCCGGCCCGGGCTGATTGCATATAAAAATGCCACGTCCAAGAAGCTGGTGATATCATGCGCATCCGAGGCACGGTTCTTATTATCTGGCCCGTTATAAAGTATATCCGCATTCAAGAGAAATAAAGCCAGGATGGCGAGGCTAACGCTGCGGCCCCTTTTCGCGAGCTCTCTGGTAGAGGCGAATGGGGTATTGACGGCAGTTTGCGATGATGGGAAGGCGATCCAACGGATCCTTCACCTGTCTCTTTTCGATGTCTGCAATAATAAAGGGGGACATGGACCTTGTTGCTAGATCACGGCCATAGACACCGGGCTTCTCTAAAAGAAGAGTAAATTTTCTCGCTCGCTCAAGCACAATCTCTTTTGCTTTGATCAGGCCATCAGGGGGGGTCGAACGATAAACAGAAGGCAGTTACGGCCTCATGGAACCTAGTCAAGTTAAGAACTATCGCTCCCAGGAGTTCGAGAATCTTGCACGCGCTCTCGCGCGGTAACTCGAGCGACAACTTGAATTCAGATCCGGATTTAACAACAAACCCCCCTTTCATAAGCCCTGCCAGCAACTTAAGTTCTGCGATCGACATGATGGGCTGGTACAGCAAGCTGACTGAATGACTGCTACGGCCGTAGACTAAATCCATCGTTTGGATTGCTATTGTCTTCTCCTCACCATCTTGCACAAGGCACTCCTAGTCGATCCAAAAATAACGTAGGTTGAAGGCCTGCATGAACTCTGCCGATTTTAGGTGTTGCATCTCAGTCTTCTGTATATCAAGTAGCAATGTGACGAGGGAGCAGTCGGAGCAGTCGGAGCAGACGTGATGCTTCGGCGAGTTGAGTATATGTTGTTGTCTTGCTGGGGAGCCGGAGTCTTTCTGACATGGCGTGCAATAGTGGCGAAAGCTAGACATATAGAGGTGCTAGTGTAAGGCGCCATCGCTTTAAAATTGTCGGTCGTAGCGCATAGAGCAGGGCATGTCTTACACGATTTTGTTACAGTGCGCTACGCTACTTATTCATTCCAGACAGGCTGATTGAAGCCTGGGACAAGACTGGCATCCTCCCTCCAGGCAGCAATACTACTACTGTACAAAATATATAGTGCATACTGTTCAAGAGATTGTTGGTTTCCTTTGCATCTTCACATGTGTGACTGGGTGACTGGCCTGGCAGGTAGGCCCACCCCTAAAACCAACACCTCCTCTCCCTAGGCTGACCTGCCTAACCTTGGCACTCGCCTCACTAACCTCACTAAACTTAGGCAGTCCAAGTCCCCTGAACCTTCCAAACCCATCCCCCACTTACCCCTATAAGGGGCTACCCACTAGCCACCAAAGCATCTACACTTCTACTTTAAGTTTGGTAGGGCTTGCACCTATTTGGAAGTACCCCCGGATTTTTGTAAATCGACTGGTCATTTGCAATTCAAAGACTCTATAGTCAAGGCTAGCGCATGACTTCTTCGATTTGCCTCATAGATTCCAGTCACCATTCTATATACTCGGTTTGATCTTGGCGTATATCCTTACCGTATTGCGGATAAACCTATTGGTAGAGCTTATGAATTATGAGGTTATATATACTGCGCATCGGCAGTCCTAACCCCCAACATCCGCCAACATTATCGAGACTCACATTCCGTACCAGGTTCACGACGATAAGGTCAGACTCAGAGTTGCGAGGACAAGTCATCGGTCTATATGAAAGCAGTGGAACGGTCACGTCCATATACCACCGCACCACGATCACAAAGAGGGGACTCCCCCCTCTTTCTCCTCTGAGCCATATATGGTCGGCGACTACTGGTCCCCGAGCAGGCCCCGAGCTCCAAACGTTCCGTTCGCACTAGATGATCTGCGTAAGTACAGGAGATCCTCATCGTCTAATGCAACAAGGGCAGATCTCGAGCTTAGGCGGAGGTTTCCAAAGGGTTGGGCCGCTCGCTTGAACCGGGTGACGTAAAGTTTCTGCTCTCTTAGACGCAGCTAATGCTGGGTCTACTCGTATGGGAGCTGTTCGGTGCGGAATGGCGGCCCTTCTGGTGTGCGGTATGGATTCGGACGAATTCAACAGTGGGTAATCTTGAGCTGTATCCAGACTACTGGGTACACTTTTGCTCTCAATAGGATAGTGGACTGGCCGCAACGCCAGTCTCAAAACTACATGCCTTGATTATGTGTTATACGCTGTAAGAATGGCCTTAATCAATACTCTCGTCCACATTTCGTATGGAGGACTCCAATTTCGGATGCCAGAACCTCCAGTCTTAAAGGCTTCCGTACCAACACTTCAACATTTTGTATGCAAAATCTAAACCGAATTCGCATCAGGTATAGTTATCACTCCTGAAATACTTGGCATTTACTTATTTCTTTTTGGAACTTACATGATTGTCGCACATAATTATTAGTAGAAACGACTTATTATCTGTTAAGCAGGCCCTCTCTTCACTAGCACAAATCAGTCTTGTATCATAGGAATTGAAATATATAGTAAGGAAAGACTAGTTTGGGTGCTAGAATAGTTCAACCCCCGCCCTCCTGGCCATCCTCCTAGACCTTCTGCCCAGGCCGCATGATTGTTGTTTCGTAAGACGACGGGTAACAAATGCCATAGGTAGTAGATCAATCGAAGCGTCTCTTGAACCGAGTAGCTATCCCCTGGAGCTTCGTTCGAAACATAGATCGAAAGTGCTACGCAGAAGCATTCGAATTTGTATGCTCTAGTTCCCACGTCTTCAAGGTTTCTGCACAGTCTAGATAATGCGGATGATGAGCCCCTAAAGTCCTTTGTGAAATCGACACACATTCTCGCATCAATTCAAGAGCTTCTGACCGTCGGCCTCGTCCATCCCATGTAATAGCCAGGTTATTCATACTAGTTAATGTATCAGGATGATCCGCCCCAAGTTTTCGCTTTTGGATTTCCAATACCTCTACCTCTAGCTTTTCTGCTTCCTCCCATCGGCCTTGGTTCCAGAATGTTGATGCCAGGTTATTCATACTAATTAATGTATTAGGATGATCCGCCCCAAGTTTTCGCTTTTCGATTTCCAATACCTCGACGTTTAGCTTTTCTGCTTCCTCCCATCGGCCTTGGTTCCAGAATGTTGATGCCAGGTTATTCATACTAATTAATGTATCAGGATGATCCGCCCCAAGTTTTCGCTTTTCGATTTCCAATACCTTTACCTGTAGCTTTTCTGCTTCCTCCCATCGGCCTTGGTTCCAGAATGTTGATGCCAGGTTACTCATACTAGTTAATGTATCAGGATGATCTGCCCCAAGTTTTCGCTTTCGGATTTCCAATACCTCTACCTCTAGCTTTTCTGCTTCCTCCCATCGGCCTTGGTTCCAGAATATCGATGCCAGGTTATTCATACTAGTTAATGTATCAGGATGATCCGCCCCAAAAATCTGCATCCTGACCTCGATCGCATCTTCTGCCATCTTGTGCGCCTCATGCCATTGGCCCATCTCCAAAAGATACCTCGAGGCCTCATGCAAGATGAAAGCCCACTCGAGTAATGACGCCTCGCTCTTAGGTCGTTGCGCTACCGCCGATTTGACGTGCGGTAGGAGCACCCGGCATTCTCCCCAGTTCTCGTATGCCCCTGTTGGAAAGTGTGCATAGAGTCGAGTAATAAACTCCGTCTTCCATCTATTCTGCTGCCCCTTGACTTCGAGCCATCTTCGTGTAGCGAGTTGTACCAATCTGTGCATTTCAAAGGTTGATCTGTCTTCAGTAATAGAAATGAACGAGTAATCGCGCAGAATCAAGATATCGTCGTTGAACTCGTTATTTTCGCTGGATTCCGATTCGGTTTCTTCATCAGGACATTCGCTATTATTTCTCGAGTTATCAATATCAGGATTTGATCGAATGGAGGAATCCTCCCTTGAAGCTCGCAAAAGACTCTCAGGAATGCCCTGGCGATCGCAGAAGCTCATAAGCGAAAGCAGATCGGATGCTGACGGTCGGATTTCACGGATATGGTTGAACGATACTTGCCATGTGATAATGATCGAATTCTTAGCTTCCCAATCCCTACGTAATTGTCCATCTTCGTAGTCGAGGAGGCTTGCTTGCTTCCGATCGCTCTGCTTAAATTTGACGAGATATTGTTGTATAGAGCAATGCGGGTCTCTCCGCAAGATGTAGGCTGTCGCTTGGACGATTGCCATGGGCATATATTCGAGCGTTTCGGTCAGACTTTTGATACTCTTGATGCTCTCCTGCGTGGCTAACTTTCTTAGTTTGTTTTGTGCGAGTGCTACTGCCTCTGCCTCACTCATAGGCTGGACCTCGACGATATTGTGTGATTCGACTAGTTTCAACGCCTCACGCTTGCTTCGGCTCGTGATGAGGATAGATCCATGTTGGCAATGAGGAAGATACGACGCGAGCGGCCGTGCCCTCTGACTGCCTGAGTCTTCCTGTTGCCCGTGTTTATGGTCGGACGGTCTGTCGACTAGGAAGCTGGCGTCATCGACATTATCGAGGATAAGAACCCACTTCTTACTCTTTTCGCTACGCAGCCAGTTATAGAGCAGTTCAAAGATGTTCTTTTCAGCACTCTTGCGTTCAGGCAGTTTGACGTAGTCTGCAATGTCTCGCAAACTCTGCTCGTAACGAGCGACGTTACTCGTGTGGACCCAGAGAACCCATGTGTCGGGTGATCGTTCTTGGATTTGGAAAGCGTATTCAATTGCAATCTGCGACTTGCCGACACCACCGAAGCCAACTAGCGCGGTTCGCGAAGCTGGCTTGCCTAAGGAGTGAAGTTGGTCGAGCACTGTGCCCCGCTGAACGAAGTCTTCGTCGCGATTGAAGGGTATGACAACTGTCGGCTTGGGTGGGGTTTCTGGACGTCCTGGATTAAACTAGTGTTAGCGTTGTTCGCAACCAACCTACTTATCCCTGCTTACCTTGAGCGGCGTAGTGATGATGGGTTGCTGTTTAAAACAGTCAGGATGATGGAGGCAAAGCTTCGACTAGTAGAGGAATGAAACCCGCGTGCTAAGCGACCTACAATTCATCGCAACATCTCCATGGGCAATACCCTGAAACGCTTGGCTACCATCGGTTACTGACGTATTACCGAACTGCTGTTGCACCCGTGCGGGTTCCGACATGGTGAAATGTTGACGAGTGGGCGCATAAGCAATCAGTCGTGTAGATGTTCGGAGTTTGAGCAATAAGTCTACGAATGAAGGCCGCCGAAGACACTGGATAAGTTTCATGGAAAATGAATGATCGCTTGGCTGACACGGCCATTTGGGGGCCATGCACGGTCAGCGGGCGGGGTAAGGACAGATTGGATTCTGAATAGACGCAGTTCCAAGTCACTTATGCTGGACTCTTGTCGTATCAGGTATAATAACACAGAGGACATTCTTACAATTGAGATAAAAGAGAACCTTACCCGCGCTTACCACTACGCATAACTGATAACGCCATGGATCCGCTAAGCATCACTGCAAGTGTGATCGCCGTTGCAGGGCTCGCGACGCAAAGCGCCAAGGCCATTTACAAGGTGATAGATGGCTTGGTAGAGGCACCACAAGCTATCAACCACTCGAAGACTCTCATCACAGGAACACAACACGCATTGGATACTCTTACAGGGGCGTTACAAACAAACCAAGATATGCAGGCCAGGTTTGGGCCTGTTCTGCAATCCACCAACCTCTATGAAACGTTGGCTTCTACCCAAGACCTATGCGAGAGATTCAATACAACAATTACAATGCACACGAGCCATTCGACAGAATCGAGATTCAGCACTCGAGATAGATTCCAACTATCCTTGAAAGAGTCACACATCGTTCGATTCAATGCTGAATTGGCTGCTTGTCAAAGAACAGTGTCTCTAGTTGTCGAGTCGATTACATTGTACGTTGTATTTGTTTTAAGTAGTGCTAGGTGGTACTGATAAAGTCTCTTGCTTGCAGGATTGTGTCTCATCGTACCTCGAACGACGTCCAACAATTAAGCGTACGGTTCCAAGCCCAAGAACAAGCTCTCTCTACTTTGGCTGCAGAACTATCCAAGAAGCCTATGACCCTAGAAGGCGATAATCCTGTACAAAGCACAATGGGCGGCAACGAGCAGGCGAGCCTCCAGTTATTTGCCATATTACTAAAAACTTGCGAGGCTGCTTTTCGAGCCACTCAAGCAAAGCGCACAGGTCAGACCTTTGGGGACATGCAAGTAGATCAGTCCGTTGCTATGCAAGGTATAGTTGGCGAAGCTCAGAGGAGAGTAGATCAGTCATTTGGCAAATTGTCAGTGCAGAATAACAGCAAGGCATTCCAAGGGCAGATGGATGCGAACTCTTTCTCCTGTATGTTTGGATAATGTGGGTTGGTCAAATGACTACATCGTTTTTTTAGCCAAGTGTAGTGTACTGGTATGAGGCGGGGAAAGTCTGGATTGACAAGGCTCATGACGACAAGGTGTGGGTGTTGTTAGAGTAGTAGTAGTAATTTCACCTAGGCTAGAGACTATTCACAAGCTTCCAGCGAGCCTCCCGTAGGGCATTGGGGATGTGTGGGACCCCGGCTTTACCAACTCGTTCTCCCTCCCCCGATGGCACCACCAGCGTCCAACATGTTTTGCCTTGTGGTATTCGTCGGGAGTCCGACTTTCCCACCAGTGTCTCGCCGCTAGTTGAGGGTGTTCCCGGTGTCTTTTACTTCCTTTCATCACTTGGGCGTGACTGCCATATTCTCTCCTATCTTCAACCAACCAGATCGTCTATGTCAACAACCTGATCTCTCTTCGTATAAGTTGCTGCAGGGCCACGGATTATCCCTAGATAGAAAGCTTTACTCTATAACGTTTCCAAGAATTCGGTAAAAATTAAAATGCAAGAATTTCAATTCCAAAAGATTTGTCGATATAATGCAAACGACCAATATAACGCGGGCGACGTAATTAAGCTATATATACATTACAGTTTAGTATCGTGTAAATACGTTATAGTTGATTAGATAAATAGACTCTGGCCGATTAGAGCGCTGTAGAGGAATTTAGGGTTCAGGGGTTACCGGAATAGAACTTCTCAAGCTTTACCTTCCCTCTCAAGAGAGTATACAGTTTAGGTAAAGCTTTTCAATAATATTCCCCTACATATTAACGGCGTAGTAACAGGGGGTTATCGGCAAAATGTTGTTCTTATTCACCCTTCAATCTTATCTTATGGTAGGACTGCTACGTAAGAACCCATGTGAATTGCCTCCGTTTTCCGTCGATTCCATACATCTTTCCAGATCCTCCCGAGCCCTTTACGGTAGGCGACGCCGTCTATCCACTCCACCCAGAGCACGTTGTAGAACTCGTAAGTCTTCAGTCCTTCGATCTCTGGCGACAGCCACCACTCGTCTGGGCTGTTGTCGTCATCTTCTGTCTCATCCTTAGTTATAATACCGCCCGAGATGGCAACAAACTCGCAGCGTTCGTCGGCATCTGTGGGGGCTACAAGAGTTTCGTTGGAGTACACTACCCCGGCCCAATTGTCAGAGGCATCTCGAATATTGTACAGCAGTGAGATAGGTGTCGCGCTGCTCATAGCCGCATCCAAAATGTTACCATCCCAGCTACCGTTCATACGAGACCCTATTACGAGGAATACCCGTTTGATTTGAAGAATTGGGCTCCAGTTTTCTAACTACGGTAACAACGGGTGAGTGGGGACGTGTAAAGGGCAGATGAATATAGTTTCCGGTATAGACTCATGGATGAATTCCTCGCTGCTGTCTGTAGTATTGACTTGAGGACCAGCCAGTGGGTTAAGATGCCGATTTGTCAGTTTCGAGTCTGACAACTTCATGAAATCCGTTGTCAATAGCTTGGTTCAGTCCTGTTTCCGTGTTTGTCTTGCGCCACGTGATCATGGGAAATATCTTGACATTTTGCTGTGGGAACGTGGCAAGAGGGGTGTCAGTGGTCATTTGCAACTGTTGTTCAACGCTGAGACCTATAACTACACCCTCCTAACTAACCTAAGACCAGCTTGGGAGTTTGGATTATATCTGGCTATCGACAAGTCGACGGCGAACTGGGGAGAGGGGAACCACAACAAGGCAATGTTGAAATAGTATTCTGGGATCCCATAAAGCATTCCACCCCCCAAAGAGCGAGATGATCCTGTCGAAATATCCATGAACGCATTGAGTCCGCCACTAGGAAACGACAGTAATCTTTTGTTATAAGCTACAACAAGGGCTTTATACTAGGCAAGGCCGGGCCATCGTTTCATCTGCAGTCTGTATACTGGATTCTTGTCCGTTCTCAGAACGAAGGCTTATCCCTCTTCAATCTAAAGCCATCTGGTCTCGGCATGAAGATAGAAGAATCATGCCTTACAAGTTGATCGAATTCATCACTATCGAGACGGTTCACTGACATCGACTCAATTCCCCATTGAGCCGACTGATTGTGGGCTCGTGGAAAGCAACCATAAACCTATCCCGTGTACTGAAGCCCCCTTCCTCCGATTGTGGTGTATAAGACTTGATTGTATCCATAAATTGATCACAAAGGCCTTTAGTCGCCTCAAGTGTTTCCTTGAGTGGAATAGCCTGCAGAACAGCATTGATTGCGTCGTTGAATTCGGACTCTAGGAGTCCTTGTAACGAACTTAGGGCCTCACTGGTCCGTGGAGCGAAGCTTTTGACCTAGCGATGAACTGTGGTGCCTCGCCTAGTCCGTTGGCGAAGTCAGATACTGTCTTTGAGCTCTGTAGCGCAACTGCTGTGATGCCGACCACGCCCGCGGTTACACTCAGGGGTTCCATATTGTTCTCAGACGCTTAAAATACAGTCGGCAGTGCTAGCGAGACCAGCCTGACGTTCAAGTAGGCAAATTGCCTAGAGCAGTATATATAATCGTGCTGCATTATCTAGAAGTCCGATTCACAATTGTACCCTGATGGCAGGATGAAGAACCTTATATATAGCAAGTAGCGCCGCCTTCCATATCTGACATCGCGGTAGATGGCTAAGCACCAATCTCACTTCCATGCACATTGAGTTGCCTGGTAACTGACCAATCAACCCCATCAAAGGACAATGCAACATCAGCCCCAGGAGACGCCTCCCAGTGCGCACCCCGCATCCATTTTACCTTCTCTTAGGATTTCATCATGACCGTATCTTCACCCCTTTGTTGATAGTTCTGGGTCACTGTACACAGCGATTCAGGGTTCCTACTGCTAGTTGAATGACCCGATGGAAAGCCCCAAGGTCTCGTTATCCCAGAGGTTCGGTGACCCGACAGCAGCCAACGGTGGCCTCTCATTCCAAGGTTACGTCGCGGGCGATGTAACTCTACAGCGTAAGGCGTTAGCAAGACAATGACCATTCATGTGGTGTGCAATCATAAACCTAATGCTAACCTTTCTAGACGCCGGTCGTGGCGGTTCATCGGAACTTTTTGACGATCTACCCGAGGCTGCGTTCAACTCTCGCTCCAAGGAACACTGGCCTTCGTGCCTCGAAAACACCCGGCAGAGTCTTCTTGAAAAAATACACAATTGGGCTGATGCAAAAGATGGAAAACACATATACTGGCTCAAGGGCATGGCCGGCACGGGAAAGTCCACCGTTGCCCTGACTGTAGCTCGGCAGTACAACGAGAAAGGACGCCTCTGCGCGAGCTTCTTCTTCTCGAGAGGTGGTGGTGACCTCGCCTCTGCTGGGAAGTTCGCTAGAACAATCGTTTCTCAGCTACGCAGGACTTTGCCCGGGCATAGAGAGCACGTGGACAACGTTGTGAAGTGCGATCCTGACATCCGCAAGGCAGGGTTGTACGAACAATGGGAGAAGCTAGTTTTGCAGCCTTTGATGCAGCTGGGTAAAGGCACATCTCCGGCCCCATCACTTATCGTCGTCGATGCGTTAGATGAATGCGACAACGAAGATGATGTGTCTCTGTTGATACAGTGTTTGGCCGAGGCCGCAGCAGTCAAAGATATATATCTGCGAATATTTGTGACAAGTAGGCCAGAGCAGCGCATACACTTTGGTTTTAGTCGCATTTCACCAGACGCACGGGAAGACTTCATCCTCCATAATATCGAGCATTCCATAGTGGACCAAGACCTGGAGCTGTTTTACGAGGACAGGCTCATGCATATAGCTAAACGATTCAATCTTGGGGACTCTCTCATTTCTGATGGCGCAATCCAAACATTGGTTCAGAAATCCGATCGTTTGTTTATCTATGCAGCTACAGCATGTCGCTTTATTTACGACGGACGAGAACTACTTGCGAAAGAGCGTCTCTCTTCTCTGATCAATTTGGATAACAAATCGACCCATCCGGAGAAAGAGCTATACCAAATGTATGCAGCCGTCTTGGAGCAGTCATTCACACAGAACTACCAGCCTGGGGAGGTACCTAGAGTATACACTGTGTTTAACCGGGTCGTTGGCTCTATTGTTGTCCTTTTCGACACGATGACACCTTTTGACTTATCTAGTCTCCTCTCTGAATCGCAACACGAAATCCTCGCCATGCTACGCTGTCTCTACTCTGTGCTCGACATTGCAGAACAGGCGGGCGGGCGTATTCGTCTTGTCCATCCGTCGTTTCGGGATTTTTTACTCGACCCCACAAGGGCCTCTGATAGAGGAATAACAGTTGACGCCAAAGCTACTCACCGTGACCTGCTGTTCTGCTGTTTGAGGCTCATGAAGGAATACCTTAAACGGAATATGTGCAATATCGAATCACCTGGAACCCGAGTACACGAAATCCCCAAAGATCGCATAGATCAACTCATTTCTCATCCTGTCCAGTATGCCTGTCGCAACTGGATTTACCATCTAGAACATAGCTGTGTTAATCTAGATGAAGAAATTTTGGAGATGATCGATTTCTTTCACGGCCGCTTCCTCTACTGGTTAGAGACCCTGGCCTGGATCGGGCGACTCTCAGAGGGCGTTACGATGGTTAAGCTATTAGCAGCAATATTAGCTCGCCAGTCCAATTCGATTAGCAATCAGTCCATGCTTTCTAAGCTGAAGTCGAAGCGGAAACAGAACCCCGAGATGCATTCACCCCGTGCGACTTTATCTCTAGTATCTGATGCTATGCGATTTCTACTTCTTAATTTCCTCATCATAGAAGAAGCTCCGCTCCAAATATATTGTTCCGCTTTGTTATTCGCCCCTCGAGATAGTATGATACGAAGAATGTATATAAAGTAACTTCTACAGTGGATAGTACAACAGCCTGTACCTCTTAAGAATTGGACCTCCCATCAACAAACTATAAACCTTTTGGGAAATGCTATCCAGGTTATCGTGTCGCTAGATGGTGAGCTCGTAGCATCAGCACATGAAGAGGATGTGATATATATCTGGAATGCGACTACAGGCAAAAACCAGCGTACATTCCATTCTCCCTTCATAAAATGGATCGCCTTTTCCCCAGACAGCAGGATTCTAGCGTCGACCGGAAAGGATAGGGCAATACGGATCTGGGATGTAGCTACAGGCCAAGAGCAGCGCGCCATGATTTCCAACTATAGATGCGCTGTTATGGCTATCGGCTTGTATCGAAGCGACCAGCACCTTATTGCATCAGCAGGCGATGAATATGTGAATCTCTGGGATGCAATTACAGGTGAAATGTTACATATTTTACGGGGTCATTCAGATGAAGTTATGATGCTCTCCTTTTCACCTGACGGTCGACTTCTGGTGTCAATCGCGAAGGATGACACTATCCGGCTTTGGGATGTGGCTACAGGCAAGGAGCTGGATATTTTCCATTACAGAAAAAACGACGCCGTTGATCGCTTGAGGCTTAAAGGCTTTCATAATATATGGCCTTGCTTGCCACCCCGCCACCTGAATCATCTCCAAGACTACGTTACCTTTTCAGCAGACGGACAGCTCGTTATTTCGATAGGGTTTCCGAACACCATTCAACTCTGGAACGTGGCTACAGGTCGGCAACAGCATAGATATCGAATTCATGGGGGAAGTATTGGACCCCTCACTGTTCTATCCGATGGTAGGCTTGTATTTATCACGAACGAGGCCAAAAGACTGCGTCTCTGGCATCTAACTGAAGGCTCAGAAATAAATATAGAGCAGCACCAGTTTCCGAAAGTTTACCAAGTGGCCTTTTCACCAGATAGCCGACTTGTAGCATCGTGGTCAGACGATTACATCATTCGGCTTTGGGATGGAAATACAGGCATTATGCGGCACATATTCAAAGACTCTCGAAGATGGGTCAGGACTATTGCTTTCTCTCCAGACAGCCAATCTCTGGCGTCAGTAACAACTAAACGAATGAGTCTTTGGGATGTAGCTACAGGTACAAAACGACGAACTATACGAGCTTCAAGTATGGGTACGGTTGGTTTCTCGCCGAATGGCCAACTGATACTAGGGTTTGGAGTAGACAGTCTGCTAAAGGCCTGGGATGTAGCTACAGGGGAAGAGCGGACTATAAATCATAATCCGGTCGACAGTACTACAACCATAGCTATTTCGACAGACAACCAACTAATCGCACAGGCAGGGTATCATTCGGTAATACATCTTATAGACGCAGCCTCTGGCATGATGAGGCACACGTTGTTTGGCCACTGGGCTGGGATCACTGCCGTTACCTTCTCACCTGACAGTCGGCTTATCGCTTCAGCAGGGGCAGATAGAAGAATATGTGTCTGGGACGTAGCTACCGGCAGAGCAATACACATCATACGGGCCGACACTATAGTCCGATATCTTGCCTTTTCCTCCTGTGGAAGTCGCCTGATTACAAACAAAGGCATCTTTATGCTCTCTTCAGACGAGTTCAGAGCACCAGGGAGCCTTTCTGTCTCAAACAACTGGATCCACCAAGATGGGAAGGATATTTTATATATACCCCCAGAGTATGAAGGTAACCTTTCTTTCACTTATAGAAATGTTGTGTGCTTTCAAAATTCGAAGCATCCTTTACGAATTGATCTGTCTTCGTCTAAGTCTATGATATACTAGTTTTTATCTAATAATCCAGTTTTCATTGATGAACTTCATGAATATACGTGATATGTGATGAAGAACCGCAACAATATTATTACTAAAATGGAAGTTAGGCATAATTACAACATGGCCAGGTTCCAATAATAGTAGAACTATCGCATAACTAAGAGACAACCGGGAATCAACTCATGCAACAGGAAAACTAGAAAATAGGCGACGCGTCAAGCCTTGTGTCAGGGGTACAGATTTAAAGAGATTCTATTGTTGCGCGAGGCCAGACGTGAAGGTTTCACACTCACGCATACGCATACGGATAGCGTTCGTTTGAAAGGTATGGAACATTCGGAATCAATCGATTATTCAATTCAGCTTACCCTCCAGACAGCCTCCTGTCGATTTACCATAGAACTGATAGCCCTTACAGTTACCTACTTGTACATGTATGACTGTTGTCTCTAACCTTCAAGTTCCGCCATTTCCCCTCGACTTAGTGAGGACTGCAGAGCGTCACTTATGACAGACTAAAGGGTATCTCTGATTGGGTACTTTGGCTTGCATACCTGACACGAACAGCGTAAAGAAGCCATGTAGCCCATCCTTACACTGGGACCAATGCCGTTGTGAATGCGCAGATACTTAGACGCGCATTATTCATTATTACTATCGAAGCAATGCCTCCAGGGCGATGCACGCCATTGTGTCATTATTTTGCAAAGAGCTGCACTGGACGAGCCGTAGTACATTTTCGGATGACAATACCTCTATCAACTTCCGTAAAAGACCTTTCATTCCCTGGATCTTATCCAAGCCACCGCTGAGCCTGACTATTTCGTTAATAGCGTCGACGTGCTTGCCCCAGGCACCCAGGTCTCCGGCGATGAGCTGGAAAAAATTCAAAGACATTGTTAGAGAATTGTCCATCTATATAGCCGAAAATAGGCGCTAGCGAACGTCGCTTGTATGCGGGGGTTGGAAATCTGAGGAGTACTGGGTTGTCTTACTTCATCTGATGCTAGTTGTAACACGGTAGAGAGAATAATATCACTTATTACCGGCTCGTTAGAAGTGCAGGTTGCCGCAATGGACTCCACAAGCAGACGCAGACAGGCAGCTTTGTATTGCAGAGCAAGTTGATAATATCGGGTTACTCCTGTCCTAGCATACAGACTGCGACAAGAGCAGAGATAGAACCCCATCGTCATCACTGGATTTGAGAGGGCGACTGGGAGCCAGTCGAATAAGACCGTGGCCTTGTAAGATTGTAGCGGACTCGAGGTGCCGGTCAGATCTCCATTGAGTGAAACTACTACTTCCACATCTAGGGGCGATGAGTTTCAGTATATGTTTTCTTGAGTAAAAGTATAGATAACGTATCACGTGCTGTCACTCACAATATTTGACTAGGGAGCACTCAAACGGCGACATTGGATTATGTAAGCCTCCGAAATGGCTCTGTGTAAAGATTTCGCTGTCCAGGGTCGAACTTGGGATCACCGCCAGGGAGCCACTGCCCCCTGTCTCGACACCAGGATCATGGTAAGCGTGTAGAGAAAACGTACTGTCAGCAGGTGTGATGCATGTGAATTGGTTTTGTTGCTCGTGCCGAGGATGAGACCGAGCAAAAGATTGCTGTTCTGAAGCTGACCTGTACCGTCTGGCCTGATACTTGGCAGTTCGCTCCCTCCTCGCCCTAGCATGTGTATTCTTCGCTACATGGGCTTTGACCGATTTGCGAGGGATGGCAGGATCTGACACCCAGAATAGGCTCATGCTGCATGTTATCGCCTCTATGATTAAGCAGATGTCCTCACGTAGGTAATCCAATGCAGGTCTTGAAATGGAAAATCTTCAATGCGATAGTAGATGCCCACCGGTGTACTTCAAGAGACGCTGGATACCGCATGATTGTGAGACTATGCTACCTAAAATCACTCTATTCCTCTTCAGGGCATTGTAAATCTTGGCATCTATTCTACTTATGGTCTCGCCTGGTACCCCTGTACATGTCTCCGAATGGTGGAAATAGGGGTAGGGTAGAGTGGGTGTTAGTCAACCATCGACGAGACTGCACATTGCACAATAATTTGAGCTGCTTTACGTATCGGTGGCTCACACTGCCGAAGGTATTACTAAGCTAAACTATCTAACTTCTACTGATCCACCTTGTCTTCTATCTATCAAGATCTACTCCTGCGCTTCACCACCAGCGTAGTCCTCCTCTTCCTCATATTCTTCTTCGATAGAAGCCTCCTGGTATTGCTGGTATTCACTAATAAGATCGTTCATGTTGGATTCTGCTTCTGTGAATTCCATTTCATCCATACCTTCCCCGGTATACCAGTGAAGAAAGGCTTTGCGGCGGAACATGAGGGCGAACTGTTCCCCTACGCGTTTCAGGATCTCTTGGAGAGCGGTTGAATTGCCGACGAAGGTGCCGGACATTTCCTGGCCGAGCGCCGGCACTGAGCACATTGCTGTTTGGATATTGTTCGGGATCCAGTCGACGAAGTACGTAGAATTGTGGTTTTGCATGCTGTATATCTGTTGCTCTGCTTCTTTCATAGATAACTTCCCGCGGCTGTAGATATCGGTTAGCACACATAAAATTATTTAAATCCGACGGTTATAATATCACATGTACTGCATAAAACGGCAAGAGATGGATCGATGAGATTGACTAGGAATGATATTACAGGGGCAAACGTGCTAGAGAGAGTAACTTACAACATAGCGGAGCATGTCAGGAACCGTCCATTTCGGAAATCCGATGCAGCCATCATGTTCTTTGCGTCAAACATCTGCTGCGTCAAGGCCTGAACCGTATATTGTTGAAATGCCTTGGCACCAGGCACGAGGCTGGTCAATGGCGCGTAGCCAACCATGAAGAAGTGTAGCCGCGGGAAAGGCACCATGTTCACTGCCAATTTACGAAGGTCCGAATTCAGTTGGCCCGGGAAGCGCAGCGATGTTGTTACTCCTGACATGACGGTGGAAACGAGATGGTTCATATCTCCAAAGGAGGGCGATGAAATCTTGAGACTTCGCTGGCAGATGTCGTGCAGTGCATCGTTGTCGATGACAAAGGTCTCGTCCGCATTTTCGACGAGTTGGTGCATTGACAGTGTGGCGTTGTAAGGCTCTACCACGGTATCGGAGACCTGTTTCTCGAACATTAGATACTCTATTTCTTTGATGATAGTCTAACCGTAGAGGAAAACAGGGAAATTCTTGTTACCTTCGGCGATGGGATCACGGAATATGTTGCCATGATCCTATCAGGAAATTCCTCGCGAATCTTCGACAGAAGCAGCGTACCCATTCCCGACCCGGTACCTCCCCCAAGAGAATGCGTGAGCTGGAAGCCTTGCAGACAATCGCAACCCTCTGCTTCCCGCCTCACGACATCGAGGACCTGATCAACAAGCTCAGCGCCTTCGGTATAGTGGCCCTTTGCCCAATTGTTGCCAGCGCCGGATTGGCCGAAGACCATGTTATCCGGACTGAACAAGTTGCGGTATTGGCCGCCCCGGATGGCATCCATCGTCCCGGGTTCCAAGTCTACCAAGACTGCTCGGGGTACATGTTTCGAGTTGCGACCCTGCGCAAGTTGTCAACATATGCGCAGAAATATGCCACAACACAATATCCTAACCTCGTTGAAATAAACCCCGATTCGGTCTAACTGAAGACTCGAAGAGCCCTGATAGGTGCCATTGTGGTCGAGACCGTGCTCGCGAGAGACAGTCTGCCTATACCATTACCCCTTGTTAGTGCTCGAAGTAGGCCCTAGGAAATCTGTGTGATAGACATACCAAAATGAGGCGCCGACTTGGTTTCCCTATCGAGGAGATATGATTAGTCCTGTGTGACGGAAAAGGACCTGCACGACTTACGCATTGACCGGTCGAGATATGAATCTACAGCCGATAATAGTTAGTTTTGTTTACAGAGGATCACCGAGCTTTGATGAGATAGTGGCTTCTCCGATAGCGCAACTTACAATCTCACGCATGTTCTCAGATTATACCTAGGTTTCAATGTAGTCTGGAAATATAGTCTGGCGTATGACACGGGTTTGAAAAGAGAACGAAGCAAATTGCGCTGCAACAGATCACTTCAGGCAACAGCAGCTTGAAGGGAGCGGATTTCTTATTTTATATCGGCCCAATATTTATTTACCAGTCCGTCGCCCCGGCGCGACTCTCCTTTCACTCGAGTACAATTGTGGTTGCCTGTTCATACCGCGACGCACCCGGATCACCAACGCCAAGCTTTGCATTCACTATGGTTGGTTAGCGCTATAAGACCCTGGTATATTGGTGCCATAAGCATGCATGAGAACAAACTCTTACGACTGCCTGCCCGCATGGGAAAGGTAACTTCATAACAATCTACTGTGTAATTTGTATATAGGGGCGTGAAGAAAAACCTATCTCTTGAACTTCTGGGTCTCTAATATCTTACTTACATGAGTGACCCCTGGTTGTGTGTTGTGACACGCAGTTCCGGGGTTCTGGTATCCAATCCCTTTGGCGCGAACTCCGCGCCTAAATGCTAAGATCTCTCGACTAGAATCACAACCAATTAGAACGGAGTATTTAGCTCGTTTACAAGGAAAACTTGCCTATATCGATTTCTTGCCATTTAAGTGCGGAGTTCGCGGCCAAAGGGATTCGGGGTTGGAATAAATATCTGCGGGATCCAGCAGTGCTAGGCTGTGCCCGTATAGACTCGCTAATTTCTTCCAATCGATATGTCGGTCCCCTTGCTGTATCAACTTCACTTTTTGGTACCCTACTCTGCAAGAACAGAGCTCCAGTCTTCTCTGCTTATGAAGTCTTTCAAAGTGGTCATAGGACAGTCAATACCGGCCTGTATAGGTAGTTAGCTAAGCGGTGTGTTCAGAATATCTGGTTATACTTACATTTCTCAAGTCTGCTGCTGTCACCAGGTCCATTCCACCACCATATCCCGGGTTATCACAATATGTGAACATGTCGCTGACCTCCTTGCCAAACTCTGCATCGGGCGTGATCGCTATCAATTCCTCCTCTGTGATTTGCTTGTAACTGGCTTTCTGCCCCGTGACCTTACCCCATTGCCGGGCGACTTCACTCCAGCTACAGCTCTCTCCTTCGGCCATGTAATGCCCACCTGGTGGTCGCTGAGCAACAGCATAGACGAAATTACCCATGTCAGAATTCACGTCGAAGTGAGGGACTATAATGTCGGGACTAGTAGTGAAACTTAGGAGGTAACTGCCGTCAGGTTGCTGTAGCACACCATATTAGCTGTGTGGTGCGTGTGTCTCGAAGAGTGCGGACCCATCTGACCTTTGCGTACCACGAAGTCGGTAACAGCCTGTAACTAGTCATGAAGCACCCTGTTTGAATACAGCTCATCTTGGCGGCCAGTGCTGGATATTCCTCGTCGACATATCGCGGAAAGACATCGGCCTTGGAATCGAAGTGATAAGCCTCCTTGAGTGCGCCTTTGCTGCAGATCCCCGCGTGGCTCAAGGTTGAGACCAGAAACCCGTTCGGCTCTAGCGAGGCAACCGTAGTTGCGGCAGCGTCGGCAATGTTCCGGCCCTGTTGGTATTCGACGTCGTATGCATACTTTCGACACGAGATACCTTGAGCCTGTGCCTCCTGTCTGCAGTCAGGCCGGAAGAAGGGCTCCCAGTACTGAGTGACGCTGAAGATCAAGTTGGCGCCTTTGAAGGCTTTAACGAGACTTTGCACGTCGTTCAATTCCGCCTGCACTATCTCGACGCCTTGCGCGGCGAGTTTCTTGGCTTTTTCGGATCCAGGTTCACGGGTCAGACCCCGCACCTTGAAATTCGGGTCTTGAAGGAATCGCTGAGCGACGGAACCACCCTGGTTTCCGGTCACGCCAATAACGCAAATGAGCTTCGGCATGATGTATAAATAAATATATATATATATATATATATATATATATAGGGAGTGCAATTTTGTGTGCCTTCAGAGTATATAGCAAGGAAAATAAGAGTAAAGAAGCGTTGGTAGGTGAGGGCTATCAGAAGGTAGGTATGGGCAACACCTACCGGCTAATGCAAGTGTCATTTCGACACTATTGCAATAGCTCTAAGCACTTGCGCATCTCTAGTTTCTCGTATAATATAGTTCATGCTGCGAGACAATTCAAATGCTACTCTAGCATGCGTAACCCCCAGATCTTAGCCATCAATCTGCCAGTCGGTCCAGCCAGTCAACACTGGGTTTCTTGCTAGTGGTTCCTACCATCACTGGCGGTTGGCAAAGCTCTCGACAGTGAAAGAACACAGAGGAGCCCTGAACAATCAGATAATGTTTGATTTGCATCTAATAAATGGCCGAATATTCTTGATAAATTGACTGCGCTTGAATCGACTGTTTGGGGTACCTAGGTAGTCTGATTGCTTAAAGAGTCCCAACCGCTGAAACTGTGGACATTTACTGGGCTGAGCCACCGGGTGGTGGGCTCTACACGAAAGATACTTTACGTGTAAGTACTTGTTCTGTAAATTAGCTTAACATTCTACTTTAAGTTAATGTACCTTAGTCTCATCAAACAGTATCGCACATTAACGAATAATCTTCTTATCGAGGCTAGTCTCAAATCGAGTCGTCACTATCACGCTTTTCAAGTCATCGCAACGTCTTCAATGCCCACCCTTTGCCGGATTCTTGATTGAGCTGTGACATGGAGAGACCAATTCTCGCCTAGCTCCCTTATCATACTATGCGGGCGTTGGCGAGCGATATAGCGCCTCGCTATGGAGGGCTCCTGAAGACAGCTGCCACTAGGACTCTCCGGATCCCATTTACTCAAGCTGGCCCGATTCTCAACCAGCGTCCTCCTGTCTCCTGCAGCTCCGTGCGGTGGTCGTCGTCCAATTCAAGATGGAAACAGCGTCAGGGGAAAGACTTCTTTGCCCGAGAGGCTAAAGTTCAGGGATTGAAAAGTCGTGCCGCTTTCAAGCTGCTTGAAGTAGGTCCTTCATCGACAAACGCCATAGGCACCAACTCACCCTTCAATCTTCTGAGCAGATGGACCGAAAATACAATTTATTCAAAAGAGGACAGACGATCGTCGATCTTGTAAGTCGTTACCCTCATTACTGATCTCAGTGCTGAAGAATCACAGGGTTACGCGCCTGGAAGCTGGTCTCAGGTAAGAGTGTCTCGGCGCGATACTGTGCCATGTGCAGTGTTGATCACATATCTATCCCCAGGTTGCAGTGGAGCGGACGAAACCCCACGGGCGTGTCATTGGGATCGATCTCATACCTGCACAGCCACCTAAGGGGGTCTCGACTATTCAAGGGAATTTCCTATCTCCCGTCGTGCAGAACATGGTCAAAGAATACCTCGTCGAGTTCGCACAAAGGAGAGTGGCAGTTGACCTAGAGGCCGACGCTTCAGAGGATGATGAGACTTTTATTACCGAAAAGCCCAGTTACATTGATGCCGAGCGGGCGGAATCTTTCGATTCCGATCATGAGACGAGTCTCAATGGCGGAAGACTCGTCGATGTAGGTGTTCATCAGCGGTGTACCCCAAGTCTTACTCCTTCGCTAATGCTCTCATAGGTGGTACTTAGCGACATGTCAGCCCCCTGGTCACAGACATCCGGCTTCTCCGTCAACACTTTGAGTAACCCTTATAACAGGATGATGAACACGAGCGGCATGACTTTCCGCGACCACGCGGGCAGCATGGTTAGTCTTGAGTCCTTGCGAGATCCACCTCAAGCATATGATGTCTTTTATCTCTGATACAATATTCTAGGATCTCTGTTTGGCTGCATTGCAGTTTGCGAGCGACACGCTTCGACCAGGGGGCCATTTCGTCTGCAAGTTCTATCAAGGATCGGAGGATAAGGACTTGGAATTGAAGCTGAAGAAAATGTTTGGAAAGGTGCATCGTGAGAAGCCCGACTCATCAAGGAATGTAGGTTTTCTGTTCTTGTTTCCAGTTCCCTCTTCACATAGTTACGTGATGCTGATTTGCCTTACAGGAATCGAAAGAAGGATTCTTTGTAGCATTACGCCGGAAAGGCAGTGTAACTTTAGGTGATATCCCGGAATAATATGTACACTACTGTATCACTTTTGGCTCAGTCTAGTAAATACTGAACTGGCTGTCGCCTATTACTCTCTACTATTTCAAAGTTCAACTCATGATCATACCACACAGGACGTTCTCTCTAGCTTCTCGGGGGTGACATCACGAGTTCAACGTCTAGAATAGGCAGAATGAAGCGGTGTACGCATTGTCTGTGCTGCAAGACACGCAGAATAAGAGGAGAGAAGATGCCCGTACGTTTTGATACTAACCTCCCAGTTATCGAGGGCTACAGATGACACCCGTCTCACGCAGCTATTCCCACAGATAACAGCCCCAACAGGACATATCGCAATTTCCACGTCCACTTAGCCCAATGTAACTGCCTAAGCATCTGCCTCTAAGACAGGATGGGATATTGCGTTCTACCTAGGTGAAGAGGGAAAGAGGCAAGCAGGTAGGTGCTCTTACCTGTTGGAGCCGTTAGGTGCCGAACGTCCCAGTGTAAGTGATTTCGCCCAGCCTTGCTGTCCCATCCCGTGCTTCCACCTCGCTTCCGCCTCTCTTCCACCACTCTCCTTTCTTTGATGCAGCGAGATATGGGCATCCTGTCGCTGTTTGCAATGCTTTTGGCCTAGAATCACGCCAAACTCGCTCATCTGCCCGTTCTGTTTATCTTCTCTTCCCTTTAGCTACCAAACATGTTGTCCAACAAAGACTCTTGGGCCTATGCCCGGCCGCCACTGGGGCCATCATCCGACGACCTCCATGATGTGTGTCTGGACGACGACACACATGCCTCCCGGTCGCCTCTTCCGCCCGGCAGCCGTCCTGAATGTCTTAAGAATCTTCTTCACGAATGTCTATTTGTTACTTTGATCGCCCTCGCTGCCGCAACCCCCGTCTTTCTTCAACGATCCATCGTCGTTGTGACATCTTCTATTGCCGAGTCGCTGAAAATGTCGCCTGCCGAGCTGGCCTGGTCTACAGCTAGTTCTGGGTGCGTACCGCCTGCTTGAGCTCTCAAATTGCCCGGCGTCGTTAACAATGCATTCCACAGACTCACTACAGGTGCCTTTCTTCTCCCGTTTGCTCACATTGCGGACACCTGCGCAGTGCTCCCCCGAAAGACGCTTCTGGTCACCAGTCTGGCCGCTTTCTCCTTATTGACCGCCGTCACTTCATTTTCTCAAACCGGTGTAGTCCTTGACGTTCTCTCTGGCTTGACAGGAGTTGCCTGCGCAGCAAATATCCCAATCGCCCTTGGCATTCTAAGCTTGGTGTATCCAGAGAATTCTCGCCGAAGAAATATGGTGTTCTCATCCTTCCTTATGGGGACCCCTGCCGCTACCATCATCGGAGGATTAGGATCTGGAGGACTTGCTCTCCAGATGAGCTGGAAGGCACCCTTCATCGCCCTAGGTGGACTTTTTGGAATCGTCTCTGTCCTGGCTTGGGTTCTTGTTCCTAACGTCCCTGAACCCGAAGTCATACTACAGAAATCAGAGCTTCGCATAACAACAAATTGTAATGAGCCGCAGGTCGTCACGCTCGGCGCCCCAAAGAGAATTACATCTATCCTGCAATTTGATTGGGCGGGATTGTTCATTCTCATCGCAGGCGTTTTGCTCTTCACCGTATCTCTCACTATTGGACCAGAGGGCCCAGAACCATGGAAGACACCTACTGTCATTCTTCTTCTGACACTAGGATTACTCCTTCTTGGTTGTTTTATACTTTGGCAAAATGTCTCCAAGCGTTCAATGATACCTAATTCATTATGGAACACTTGGAGTGTCACACTAGTAAGTTACTTCCAGGACAGTTTATGAGCTAGCTCTGACTGTTATAGGTCGTCGTCTGCACTCTGGGGGCATCAATGTCATTTTATTCGCAACTGTTTTGGGTTTCGATGTTCATGCAACAACTTGAGAACCTCAATTCTTTTGAAGTTGCCATCAGACTCCTACCACAAGCCCTCGTTGGGTTGCTACTGAGCCCGCTTGTTGGTCTATTTATGCATGCAATCCCAGGCACTGGCTTGTTAGTTTGTGCCGCCTCAGCACTTGTTCTTAGCAATATTTTTCTTATTTTTCTCCGCCATGACGGCCATTATTTACTCTGGATATTCCCCTCGCTCATGTTGAGTACTGTTGGTATGGACTGGATCATGAATGTTGGATCAGTACGGTTCACAAGATTCCGCTTCCGATACAACAATAACTGACTGAGTTATAGCTCCATATACTATCCTCTCTGCCGCCGGAACACCATTCGATTGGTGCCTCACTGCTTCAAACAACTAGCCGACTTGGTGTTCCACTAGGCCTTGCTGTCACTACCTCGATCTGGTCTTCCTATGATGGAAAAGCAGATTGGTCCCAGCCTGAGCTTGCGTATACACATACATTCATCGCGACTGCCGCATTCTCTGGTCTTTCTCTTTTACTTGTCCCGTTCATTCGCATTGGTAAACAAGGAGTCGTCAAGCGACCGGGCCAAGACACTGAGGTGGACACTGCAAACCAAATCAAGCGAAGATCACTCCTTCTGAGTACCTCGTCTCTTCAACACACCGTAAGCGACAAGAACTCTATCAAGGATGTTGAACGCAGACCCAGTAAACGCTGGTCTCCTGTTGGAAGTGTTGTTCCATCGACCACAGGACGAAGATCGACGAGAGCTCCGTCCATCTCATCGCAGTCATCAATGGGCATGGATACTTCTCGGTCCGATAGCGTAGCCAGAACTGCCATACGTCGAGGGCGATGTTCGTCTGAGAAAATCGTGTGGATCGTCTGCGAGGAATGTGGTACCAGTAAACGCCAGCGGGAGTCATCGAGCCACACGGTTGTGGGCGACCCAACGCGATATTTCAACGATGTGGTACATGGCGCTGATTCCGCCGGCGGCAACAGGGACGCTGTGCATCATCAACCTCACCACCCGCCACATCGTCAGACGTCTCGCAGAAGCCCACCAAGACTTGGAAGTCCAATCCGCCATAATGCAGCGCAGAGACCTTACCCAGGACGTAGACGTCTGCCTCTGGTCAATCGACAGATCATGACCCATCAGATGTTGACTCAAGGATTTCAGCTATGAGTCTGATCATGAATAGCTCCAATGCATGTCAACAGTGCGTGCCCTCGATGATAGGGCCAACCTCACTTCTTGGTACACTACAGTCCAACATTGATATTAGAGGAGCAGGACTGTGTCACACAGGTCGAATAACTTTGGCCAGTTGAATCGTTTATATAGATAGCTGAGATGTTTTACTTATCAGGGCTTATCGCATGTGTACTATACTTAAGTACTTCTTCTAACTTGGGAAGCTTGGTCTAAATATTCCAGCGGCTTATTAGGTATAGGTAGTATGTCGCAATTCATGCTAATATCCTCATACAACTTGTCTATGGTTTTGTGCATGTTTTTTTTGTTTTTTTTTTTAAATTCCTATATATGCAACGCTCATGCTGTGAAAAATTGTACGAAAACGCATCTTGGACGACATATCGTCTAGGCTAGGGTATACTGTACACTTTCTGCTTCATTTAGATCCTCTTCTCTTCTTTATCCACTAATCAATCAATTCAATCGATTATAGCTTGGAGTTCTTGGGCATCTTAGCCATAGCCTGGCGCACGCCGAGGTCGCCCAGGACCTCCTCGGCACCGCCCAGGATGGCGTCGAACTTGTAGGTGCGGTGGAACATCTCGATGACGCGGCCCATGCCCGACTGCGTCAGGCCGCGGCCGCCGAAGATCTGCATCGACTCGTCGGCGATCTCGTGCGCGGCGCGCGTGATGCTCATCTTGAGAAGCCCGATGGGACCGCCGAGGTGTTTGGACTGCTCCTTGTAGGGCATGTTGCACATTTGGTAGGTTATTGATTCGAGCCAGGCTTGGTTCGATTCTACGAGGCTTATCATTTTGGCGAGTCTGGGAGTGGGGAAGTTAGTATTTATGTTTGTGGTTGTTGTTATAGGGCAGAAGGGAGGGAGGATGAGAGGTGGGAGACGGGAGGGAGAAAAGGCTTACTTTTGTCGGATCACGGGCTGGTCTATCAATCGCTTGCCGAAGACTATGCGCTGATGCGCCCACTTCAGACACTCTTCTACTACTGTCCTCGACATCCGCACCGAGGTGCAGGCCATGCTCCACCGCTCGTGGTTGAAGTTGCTCAGGATCACGTAGATGCCTTTGTTCTCCTCGCCGAGGAGGTTCTCGACTGGGACCTTGACGTTGTCGAATGTGATGTATGCCGTGCCGGCGGCCGGGGAATATGAGGTCTTGATGGGCTTTGTCTCGACGCCCTCGCCGCGCGGGATGATCAGCACGCTCAGCCCTTTCTCTGTCCGCACGCCTGTGATGAAGTAATCCGAGTACACGCCGTTGGTGATCCACTTCTTGGTCCCGTTGACGATGTAGTGCTTGCCGTCGGGCGTCTTCGTGGCCGTCGTCCGCAGACCCGCTACGTCCGAGCCGGCGAAGGCCTCGGTGATCGCGAGACACATGTACTTCTTTCCGCTGAATATCTCATTCATGAGCTCCTTCTTGCGCTTCTCGTCTTTCATGTAGTTCATGATGCACGGCAGGCCGATCACCATGCCGGCTAGTTGGCCGTCTTGGAAGCCTCGGGCGTTGGACCGCGCGCCCTCCTGGCAGATGATCATGTCGTGGAAGTAGTCGAATTCCTCGCCGCGTACGGCGCCGTCTAAAAGGTTCATGCCGTGCAGGTGCTTGCCGGGACCTAGCCGCATGTGCAATAAGCCGGCGGCCGACATCCGGTCCACGAGCTCCTGGCTGATGTATTTGCCGTCGACCTCGCGGGCCTGGGCTTCGGGGGTGATGTACTTGTCGGTGAAGACGCGCATCGCCCTCTGCAGTTTGCGGTGGCTCTCGCTGAAGTAAGGGGATTTGAAGACTGGGGTGAGCCAGAGGGGCTCGCCGTAGGGGACGAGGGAGAGGTCGCCGGGTTGTGGTGTCACGACGGTGGGCTTCTCTCCCTCGACGGTGCCGATCTGCAGGTCCTCGTACTTGGCGAGCACCTCATGTCGGTGCAGGTTGTAGAAGGCGGCGGTCGCGTCCGTGCCGGCGACTTGGCGGAGGACGAACTCGCCGCCGGGGTGAGCGTCGACGAAATCGGTTACATCGTATACCTTGCTGTCAACGATGAACCAGACCGAGTCTTCGGTGTTGTGCTTGGCGACCTCGTCGCGGGTGAATGTCTTGGTCATTGTGGGAGTGTGATCGTACTTCACTCTACAGTACAAAAAAAAAAAAAAGAAATGGAAATGATAGGAGGGAAAACAATGAATAAGAGAGAGAGAGAAGAGAAGAATACAATTGGATTAAAAAGGGACAAGAACAGGTTGTCCCTCGGTATTTACATGGTATGTACCTAGGTATTTGGGAATGGAGAATTCAATGAGGACTTTCATCCCTGTTGAATGATTGGCATCTCTCTCGCTCACGACGTCAGCAGAGAGAGGGAGGTACCTGTCCCTGTTACTATGGGATAACTGCGGGAGAAGTACCTCCACATTCCCATGGGTAGCCGCGAGCCTCGGCTCAAGCACGGGAGGCCCCACCGCCATGCTTGCGGATTGCATATGGGCAGAATATGGGCGACTCATGATTGGCCCCCGACCTGATTCACGTCGACGGAACCCCGGAAACAGGCGTTGAAGCTAATGCTGGATTCGTTAGTCAGTATCGCGGACTCTCACCTAAGATCTGGGCAGGTTTCTGGGGTATCTGGTGGATACTGCCTGACTGATATTCGCACTGGTTGGTGTGAGGAGGGAGGGGCCGAGGGTCGAGAAGAGGGTCGAGATGGGCAGATTGACGATTGTGAAAGCCTACCTAGGTATGTACACGTACTGCAGAAGTACGTACGTAGTAGTAGGCTACTATGTGCGGATATAGGCATTAGAGGTCTCTCTGCACGACCAGATGCTACCTACTAAGGTGGGACGAAGGAGAAGAGTATCACCAATATAGAGGTAGCGTGATCAGTGACCATCTCTACACGTACAGGTGAAACCGTGTGTACGGGTATGAAGGAAATACATAGGCGGAAATATCAGCATCAAATCTAGATACATACCTACTCAGCAAACGACAATACACAGATCAATCAGAACGAACTGGTTAATAAATAATATCAGGCGAGTACGTAATACATTAGTGTCGTGATTGTGTTGTAGAATCAGCATTTATCTTAAAAATATTAGGACAACCTGTTGGCAACCTTGTGATAGGTGAATGGAGTCAGACTTCGGGCTACATACACGTGGAGACTAGTTGATAGCAACCCTTATTTGTCTGATTATCGCCGAGCTCTTCTCACAGAATAAATTGCGCGTGATAGAAAGTCGAGTATGATGCTGATAGAGATTAGATTAGATAAGGTGGGGGGGGGGGGTAAAATGGAATCAAGTACCTACCCCTCCATCCATCCCGATCTTGACTCTCTGTGCGCCAGGATTTGTATCCAACTTGATTCTAGACCACTATTCATGACCAAGCTCTCAGCCATTCCGCTCTTCGTCCAAGTTTCGTAATATATCTAATCGACACAAATCTTACACTTGCCACCAATCATTTGCTCTAGCCGAGCTTTGCGACACCCTAACGCTTGCTCTGCGAGCTCACGCATCCTATTGGCTAGAGACGTGTAACAACAATTAATTGACAGCCCATGCTTGGAGAGTAAGTGATATGCACCTAATCTAGTATCTTGGAAGATCAAAGAAGCTGGTTCCGAGGTGTATACTCAGTGTATCATATGAGGTATAAATCTCGCCATGGGAATATCGCCCTCCTGCATGTAGACCCAACTGGCTGGCGAGCACATCACCCCGTGTCACCAGAGTTCCTCTCACAAACATGGCGATGCTGCCGAATCACCAACATACGCCCTTACTTACTTACATCTGTCAATGTAGGTCTTCTAGCTTATCCTGCTCTCGGAACCCGGAACCCTCCGAAGGGCCTGGTCAGTTCTCATATCGCACCGGTTGAGGCATTTTCCACGGCAGAAATGACCTCGTGAATGTTAAAGTGACGCCGACCTTTCACTCCTATTGCTGGTCTTTCCGACTGGTTCAGATTCATGACGACGGCGGTGATACGGCTGTGTTCTCATCTATGGTAGGTTGACTCTTTTCTTGCCATTCTCTAGGTCCCTGCAGTAAGCGTATGTCTCAATTTATGATTCAACACACCCTGAGTGGGGGCACAACCCTGTGCCCCTTGAGGTCACCTCGTGTGAGACTGTAAAGCCGTCCTCTCATATCTTGGTGTTCTGAGAGCCTCATACGCGCACTTTTCCCATCACTTGGGCCGGCCTTCATAGAACAGACCCGGTTAGATGCGAGGGTAACGCGCTTCTCTCTGGTGGGCGAACAGAATAGAAGAACCCAACCCACGTGCGGCTCTACTCTTCGTGCTTGACCCGCACCCCCGTGGGACTATGCCCAGACGGCTACCTATGCTTGTGTCTCTGGTCTCTTGATCAGATACCCTCCATCTTCTTATCTGTACGGCCGTAGCTTGCCAATTAGGCAATCAAGGTTACGATAATCAAGAAGCCAAGTCTTCCCCAAATTCTTAATGCTTCTTGGCTATATATACGCTTGCCCTCGGACGTTCTTGTTCTGAGCTTTGCCATGATGTGACGATACCTACCCTTCACCAAGCTCACCCAATACAACCAAGAACGAGCATCAAATCCTTCCTTCTTACCATAACTCACATTCCTATACCTGCCATCACACCATCATTCACCCTTCAAAGACAAAGACCCTTCAAAGACGGAACTCCCTCGCAATCACATTGCATCTGTCTACCCTTCCTTCTTGAGTCCTCGTGATTCTTCACTTACGCGCCTCCTATCTTCGAATTTACTCCTATCCCCGTTCGGAAGCAATTGCATAAACTCTAGTCAATATGGATGCTCATCCCGTTTCATTTACTAGTGCTGCAGAACGAAGACACTCTCGAATTTGGAAGGATTTGAGTGCGTATCGTCACTTCGCGATCGTTCAGAAGCTCCTACAAGAAGACATGTCGGGAACTGTTGACATGGCGGCTAAGATCGGCAAGGTACATTTCCACAGACCGAAAGCTCGAAAAGCTTCAACTTGTGGGAGCGTGTTGGGAGCACTGGTTTGCGGCTGCTGAAATAATGGGCCCGACTCTTTGCCCTGCCCTCTCCTAGGAGTCGCTGCTCAGATGAGTTCTCCTCAGCTTTTTGCAGCATCAGACTCACACCTTCATTAGCGCCGTGCGCAAACCCTTGGCCGTCCACCCCGGGTGGGCATCGTCGGCGCTGGGCTCTCCGGCCTGCGTTGTGCTGATATCCTCATTGGGCATGGCTTTGAAGTAACGATGATCGAGGGCCGAAATCGACTCGGTGGCCGTGTCCACCAAGTTTCTCTTACACCTGGACATCTTGTCGAGTATGTGGCATTTCCATTATCTCATACTTCGGCCTCTTCCCAGTGTCATATATAATAAACACTCACTCAAAGTCGATCGAAGATCTTGATTTGACGTATCAGATTATGCTAACAACTATTCGTCTACGTAAAGCGCCGGTCCAAATTGGATTCACGGAACGAATAACAATCCAATCATGGAACTCGCCCAAAGTACCAATACGCTGACAGGCTCTTGGACTGCCAAGACATCCGTCGTTGACGAGACTGGCAAGATGCTCCCACCTCATGAAGCAGAGGTCTATTCAAACATGATGTGGGAGATAATAGGAGCTGCTTTCACTCACAGCAATCGAAATACTAGCACCATCAGTCCAGACGAGAGCCTCTTGGATTTCTTCAACAAAGAGCTCGCCCGAAGGATACCGGAAAACTCACCAGATTGGGAGAAGAAGCGGAAAATCATGTCTCAGATTGCTGAATCGTGGGGTGCTTATGTTGGAAACCACGGTGAGTTATCTTGGCAGTGACCGACTTCCATGAGAACAGTCTTCTCCAGTCTAAATGGGATACCTCGGGCCTTTTGGGGGTGTATGGGATTATTAGGAGAGATAACTGATTTCATGGTGTCACAGTCTTCAGTCAGAGCCTCAAGTACTTTTGGCTGGAAGAGTGTATAGACGGCGGTAATGTTTTCCCCTTACAATCCATGAACAGAATAAGTTTCACTGATTAGCGACCCCAGAAAACCTCTTCTGCTCAGACACATATCAGAAAATCCTCGCAGCTGTCGCCAAGCCGGCCGTCGAACGAGCTGCCTTCAAGTACAAAACCGTCGTCAACAAGGTCCAGACCACCGACGACGAACTCTGCGAAGCGCTGAAAGTACACACCGAGTCCGGCGAGACGCTCGAGTTCGACGAAGTCGTCTTCACGGCGCCCCTCGGCTGGCTGAAGCGCCACCCCGAGACCTTCACTCCGGCACTGCCCGCGCGACTCGCGCAAGCGATCCGGAATATCGGCTACGGGTGTCTCGAGAAAGTGTACATCAGCTTCGAGACGCCGTTCTGGCGGTCTCCGTCGGGCTCTGATGAAGACGACACGCAGGGCTTCATCCAGCTCCTCGCGCCGAACTACGCGCTCGAAACGAACCCGCACCGCTGGAACCAGGAGTGCGTGGAACTAGCTTCCTTCACGCCCGCGGACTCGCATCCCACGCTGCTGTTCTATACCTACGGCGATCAGTCGAAGTATCTAACGAGCGAAGTCGCGAAGATTCCGACCAAGGAGAAGAGAGATGCGTTTCTGTACGAGTGGTTTCAGCCGTATTATTCCCGGCTGCCGAATTATAGAGAGGATAGAGAGGAGTGTAAGCCTGTGGGGTGTTATGCTACCGAGTGGCTGAATGACGAACTTGCGGGCAACGGCAGTTATAGTAATTTCCAGGTCGGACTGGAAGAGGGCGATAGGGATGTTAAGAGTATGAGGGAGGGTGTGCCGGAGCGGGGATTGTGGTTTGCGGGCGAGCATACCAGTCCGTTTGTTGCGCTTGGTACGGTTACGGGTGCATATTGGAGTGGGGAGTCCGTGGGTAAGAGGATTGCTGTTGCGTATGGACGGACTGTTGAGGGGGAGGTTGTGTAGATTTGTGAAGAGGAGGGGTTGGATTGATGGTGTTGACGGCCTACCTATCTTTTTGCGTGTGTCGTGGTGTAGGGTTCATGCGCGGGGAATGAGTGAGGCGGGATGGTGTCTGAGAGATAGATGATGGGCCTTTTCACTTTGGGGCTATTCAGGTCGTGTTGTTTGAAGATGGTGAGGTTTTAGTTTAGTATTGATACATTTTATGTGTTGAACTTGTCTATCGAATACTTGTTCTTGATTATCGTGAACTGGTGGCGTCTGCTAAGTCATCTCATCGATCTGCCTATGAGCGCGTAAGATGTACCTTATATTCATCCTTACCTATTCATCTGTAGTTTCCTGCCGGCACCTACTGACTCGGCTACCTATCTATAACTACTGAAGATATATTTGATGTTCTTCTATTGTATTTTATTACATCTTAGACATATCTACAGGGTGCAGTGTGTTGTCTACATGTATGATTAGGTAGTTATCGGGTAAGGCCCCTCTTGACTACCTATCGATAAGGGATAGCGTGGCCCAGCAGTGAGGGGTGACATGTGGCACCTGAGCCGAAGTGGTGCCTGCTCTTCAGCATCCGCCGTTATCGTTAGATGGATGGCCATTGACTGCATCCTGAAATAGGAAGAGACTTGCCGGTCCTGGCCAATGCTTCTCCACGTCCGAATCGACAGCGGCTCCGTGTGGTCTCTGATCCCTGCTCTCGGCTCGGCTTGGCTTGAAACGGCAGAACGGGATCTGAACGGGGCTGCCACATCAGCTGCTAGGGAAAGGCATGGTAGGGTGCTGTGCCAACTGATGTTCGTCATCGGGGCATGCGACTCCGCCAGCACAGCGCTGTCATCCCCTGCCCCATCCACCCTACCCGACCTACCCACCCTGTCGCCCGCTTCATTGTTACCGGTTAGGGGATTCCCTCACTCACTCAACCTTAACATCATTAGGTTTGGTTTCCATCAAGCCTATCCATCCCCTATCTACATATCCTATCTACATATCTCTCTCTCTCTCTCTATCTGTCTCTCTATCTTGTCGTCTTCTCCTTTTCCCTAGGTATAAAAGATATGCCGTTTCTTCTCCTCCCTATGTCCTAATCTCCTGCCGGTACATAGCGACATGCACGTCTCCCCGCATCCCGAATCTTGGGGTATCGTGATCAAGCAGCCTATGGTCCCCCACACGCGGTTCACGCGCCACTGCTGGTGAAAGTGACGCCTAGCCGATCTCGACCCGTCTTCTCCTCGACTTGAATTATCTCCCTCGCTTCCATTTCCTTACCGCTCTGTTTCTGTGGTTCGGTTCTCGCTCAGAACCGCCTGCCATGGCGGCTTATTTCCAGTCCTTTTGGACTTCGAGCGTGCCTAAGCGCCTACTACGATATGTCTTGTTCAAACTAGACTATTTCGAGACCGGTGCACTAGATCTGGACAAAATCGATGTTGCTTGGGGACAGGCTAGTCAGATAACATGGCAGGATGTTGGCCTCAAGATCGATGTATGTTGGGAACCTTCCAAAGCCCTGCTGTTTGCCAGACTTACCCAGGAACTAATCAAGAGCCCGCTACTAGAAATTGGAGAAGCTGCTGCAGCTACCCCCGTCGATCGAGATACAAAAAGCCAAAGTCCTAGCTTTGCGTGTGACTATCCCCGCCGCCATTTATTCGACTCCTATACACGTTGAAGCCGATGGTGTTGAGATAAAGCTCAGGATCGTACCGACAGAGGAGCAGAACGCGGCACGAAAAAGGACATCTAAACAGAAGGATAATAACAATTCTATACAATCTGCCCGAGATGAATCCGTTCCACATGCCATCGATTTGGCCCAGTCGTTTTTGGAAACCCAGCCTCGCAAAGAGAAGGAAGAGCTTCAAGCGGCACTGAATGCTGAAACTCAAGATTTAGCTGCGTCGGTGGCTAGTAGCGATGACGGCAGCGAGGACGACGATGGTTTTGGAACAGGACAACCTCTGTCACTACCCGCTTTCCTTGCTGATTTCATTCAAGGCATAGTTGATCGGCTTGAGTTTGCCATAAAACATGTAACTTGTCACCTCGATGTCGAAGTTCCCCTCGAAGCTAATTCATCGACAAACGAAAGAGTCACTTTCCAGCTAGCCATTGACGGGATTAACGCCGAGGGTGTCACATCAGCCTCCGAGGCTAGAGAGCAGGATTCTATACCTACCCATAAAGAAGGAAAGCGATTCGTGGAACTGAACAACATCAGAGCTTCTCTCATATCCGAAGCTGATGTGTTTTCAGCACTTTCCAGAACCTCTTCGATGCCGCCTTCTGTCGGAGCAACCTCACCTATCGCAACGACTCATCGACCCTTATCTCGAGAGCCTACCACAATCCCCACGACCACGCCACTCAATGACTATTTGGCAGATTCTACAGACCTCGATGATGTCGATCATCACCCCCTCATGGATAGCGAAGATGCCTTTAATATCCCTTACGACCTTGAGACCACGGGCGATAATCCGATTGACGATGATGAAACCCGCTCTACCCCATCAACACCACGAGCCTCCACATCTAGGAATCCCATAGATAGCCCGCCGAGAACAACACCATCCGTCCGTCCGGCACAATCAACAATGGCGACTCGAAGAGCTCCATGGACCGACTTACCAGAGCCAGCGGCGCGATCTGAGCATCTGCTTGAGCAATTAGGCCGTTGGGGAGCAGCCTCCAATAATGACATTCGGGATGAGGTAGGGTCAACCTTATCATCTAGCCAGAGTAGCGAACTATCGCCATCTGCAAGCCAAAATCTGGCGCAGTCTCATCTTTTTAGCCACGAGGAAGCAGAGAGCATGTATATGAGTGCATTTTCACATGCAACATCGTCTCATGTACGCCAATCTATGCCTGGCGCATGGGACGGGGACGTTTCTGGCCCAGATAGTTCTCCGAGGAGCAGCAAACGTCAGTTAGAATCACCACCTATCGCAAACGATGCCTCCCCTGATCACCACACTGCCCTCAGTGAAACAGGACATGATATTCGAAGATCAGGCGCACCAGTGGACAATCTTCATGAAGCTGTGCATGTATCGGATGACTCATTTCATGATACCCCTGACAGCGCTGAGGCCCATATTGCCCCATCACCAACACGCCAAGGCACTCCGCTAGAAGAACCGATCGCAGAGGAGAGCTCCACGCCAAAGGGACCAACCCGACTAGTCAAGGAATTAATATCTTCGAGAGCATTATATCTTTGGTTTCCTTACAAATTCGCCTCTCCTTCGGAAACATCGTTGGATCCAAGTCAAAGTCGAGTCAAATCGCCAGGGCCGCTAGATTATTCTGTCATGGGTAACGTCCCGGGTGCGTTTTCGGTTCACAGATCTGTAGCCCAGTCTATTGCTTCTGTACGAGAACCCTCTCCGCCAGCGCCGGGGTCACACAGTCAACATAGTCCACCCGACGATTCAATAGAAGCTACCTTGTCCCCACTAGAAGTCAAATTTGATCTTCCTACATCGTTCTTACTTGCTACTGTTGTAACACGCATTTTAGGGGCACTGAGGGAACCAACGGGCCAGGCGAAAGCAAAAACCGAACCCCCATCACCCTCAGCTCCCCTGCCTGCTATCAAGATTATTTTCGAAAAAATCTCCGTCCACTTCTTGGAGATATTATCCGGCATAGCGGATACTCCTGAGCGGTTTCTTGGCGCGCGCTCAACTCCTTTCGACGTTGACGCTCTTCTCAGTATGGGCCTTGAGAATCTTCTAGTCAACGTGACACAGTCTTCACAATCAACCACTACTTCACTCAACGTCGGAAAATTCCACTTCGGATATGCCAACGACGACATTGTCTCATTCGATCAACGTATACAGATGCGTTCCTCCGTTAGGGATGCTTTCCCGTCTGCGGGCTCGGATATTTCATTAACAGTTGTCCAATCGTCTGACTCGACAAGATGTGAAGTGAAGACACTACCTCTACACGTGAAGTTGGATCTGCCAAGGTTAGATGAAACCTTTACCTGGTTTGGGGGTTTGAGTGGTTTCCTCAACCTCAACTCTTCCATAAGTGTGACTAATCTCCCTGCAACGCAAACCTCGCCAAAGGTATCGCAGAAGCCTCGAGGCGTTAGATTTGACGCACCCATACGCCCAGATGATATCTCAGCTAACTCGGAGAACAAAATCAATATGAGGATGGGAGGAATTCGTTTAGACCTTCTTGGGAAGGACTGCAGCGTCTCACTAGACACTAGCGCCGTTAAGCTAGTTAGTCGAGAAGAAGGCCTTGGAGTTGGCATCTCTAAAATTCAGCTTGTGGGCCCTTATATCAGACAGTCATTAGGAGATCCGCCAGTGCATGCTATGATCACAAACACCCGGGTTGAGTTCCTGAATACGCCAAAGGACAATGACCTGGAACGCCTCCTGGAACTCATTATCCCGTCCAAACACAAGTTTGATCAAAGTGATGATGAAATTATGGTCGACACTCTTCTTCGCCAACGGAAAAAGGGTTCCGTTTTGCGTATCCATATCGATGACATTGACATCAACGTCGAGAAGGTTCAACAACTCGAAGTCTTGACTACTCTGGGTGAAGATTTTGCGCGCTTGTCCACTGTAGCTAAGTATTTGCCTGAAGATGACCGGCCTGGGCTCCTCACGTTGGCACTTATTCGTAACATAAATGCTGCAATCAACCCTAGTGAGAAGATAGGTGTTCTACAATCCTCCTTCAAAGACCTCGAGCTCGGGCATATTACAATGCCGTCGCTACTGGCTGTGGGGTTGGGTCGAATCTCTCTACTACGCAATCACAACGAGCAGTTAGTGTCCTCTGTCCCACCATCTGGTAAAGGAGATCAAGGCCCAGTCGTCACTATGAGGATAATCGGCGACGAAATGGAACCGATCATCAGATTGAGAATGCAGTATCTAGATGTTGAATATCGTGTCTCAACCTTGATGGACCTGCTAGACCTTGGAGAAGATGCTACACCGCAAGAGTTCGAAACGTCTCTTGCTGCGTCAGTCGCTAACTTGGGAGATCATGCTCACACAGCAATCACTGGAAAAGCCACGACCAGTTCTGTACCCGCCGAGCAGAGCAAGGGAAAACCCACCAAGGTTGACATCATTCTTCACGATTGTCTACTTGGTCTAAATCCACTCGGACTTCCTTCAAAGATGATCATTGTACTAACGAGTACTCATTTCGAGGTTTCTCTTTCCAAGGGAGACGATGCAAATGTGCTGGGGCATTTCAACAAAGCATCTGTGCTATTGATCGATGACATTTCCGTAACGGACACGAAGAGTCCAACTACAGCATCGAGACGACGAACCTCGAATGCAGCGACCCCACAAGTAGTCGAGCTCTGTCAGCAAGGTTTTGTCGATGTCTGCTATATCTCCTCGGCAAAGGTTGTCGTTCAAGTTGGCTCAAATCCGGAAGATAAAACGAAATGGGTAGATGTTGAGGTGCGGGATGACCTGCTCGTACTGGAAACTTGTGCAGACTCAACCCAAACCCTCATTGCTCTTGCTAATGCACTCTCTCCACCAACGCCTCCGAAGAAAGAGATAAAGTATAGGACCAATGTCGTTCCTATGCAGGATATGTTAGCCTCCATTTCGGCAGATGCCTTCGGTCAAGCGGAAGGAGCCTATAACTTTGATGACGACTTTCTTGCTCACGAGCTTGGTGATGAGGGTGAAGGCTCATTTGAACTCGATGGTTCAGATCTTTCTGGGTCTCTTACTGTTGACTCGCAGTTCTACGATGACAAAGCTGCTCTTGCGGACTCTGTCTTATCGGAAAAGACTACAGCACAAGACACCACAGATGGAGTGTTATTAACCAATTTTAGCAGTCAGCCGGAAGACTTGGATGAAGATGACGATCTTGTCATTCATGAGAATTACTTCAGTTCTGGGTCAGTCATAGGAGGAACAGCACATCGGTGGAACTCGACCAAGAACGCCTATGACCAATCCAACGACACAATGGTTCATAAAAGCCCATTATCCGTCCGTATTCGTGATGTTCACTTTATCTGGAACCTTTTTGACGGCTACGACTGGGACCACACCCGTGATGTCATCTCGAAGGCCGTTCATAACATCGAAGCGACAGCCGTCGAAAGACAATCTAAACAAGATCGCGCCCGCGCTGGGACTGATATGGAAATCGTGGAAGAGGAAACAGTAATTGGCGATTTTCTCTTCAACTCGATTTATATCGGTATTCCGGCCAATCGAGATCCCCGAGAGCTTGCACAAGCCATCAATCAAGAGTTGAATGATAATGCCACTGAGACTGAATCAATTGCAACTACAGCATTCACCGCGACACCAAGCCGCCAAGGTAGTCGACAGGGTGGTACATATAGGCCCAAGAAGAGGCTAAGGCTTAATCGAAGCAAGCGGCACAAGATTACGTTTGAGCTAAAAGGTATCAATGTCGATTTGATTGCCTTCCCGCCGGGCTCCGGTGAAACGCAAAGCTCGATCGATGTCCGCGTTAAAGATCTGGTGATATTTGACCACGTCCCAACCTCGACATGGAAAAAATTCGCTACTTATGATCAGGATGCGGGAGAGCGAGAGATGGACGCCAGCATGGTTCACCTTGAGATCCTCAACGTGAAGCCTCTACCTGAGCTCGCTGCAGCCGAGATTGTCCTCAAAGCTACGGTTCTTCCGTTACGATTGCATGTCGACCAAGACGCTCTCGATTTCATCACGCGATTCTTCGAATTCAAGGACGACTCGAAACCCATTCATGCTTCACCTAGTGATGTACCTTTCATACAAAGGGCCGAAGTCAATGCTATACCTGTGACCCTTGATTTCAAGCCAAAAAGGGTTGACTATGCCGGTCTTCGGTCAGGCCATACTACGGAATTCATGAATTTCGTGGTCCTTGACCAGTCTCGTATGGTATTACGCCGTACCATTGTATACGGAGCTTCTGGGTTTGATAGATTGGGGCAGACGCTTAATGATACATGGATGCCTGATGTTAAGCGAAACCAGCTCCCCGGTGTCCTAGCCGGCCTCGCTCCAGTTCGCTCGCTTGTTAACGTTGGGAGCGGTTTCAAAGATTTGGTCGAAATTCCCATCAGGGAATACAAGAAAGATGGGCGAATTGTGCGCAGCATTAGCAAAGGTGCTGCCGCATTCGCCAAAACCACCGGCACTGAACTTGTCAAATTGGGCGCGAAGCTAGCCGTTGGCACGCAGTATGCGCTCCAAGGCGCAGAAGGAATGCTGACGAAACAACCCGGTGGTCAAGAACCTGCCGACTGGGATGACGAAGATGCAGACTCGGAAGAGACGAAACAAATCAGCCTATACGCGGACCAGCCCACAGGTGTTGTTCAAGGTCTCAGGGGTGCGTATTCAAGCTTAGCCCGTGATCTCAACCTAGCAAGGGATGCCATTATTGCCGTGCCTGGCGAGGTGATGGAGAGCGGAAATGCACAGGGAGCAGCTAAAGCGGTATTGAAGCGCGCACCAACCATCATATTCCGGCCACTCATCGGCTCAAGCAAAGCTATCGGACAAACTCTGATGGGTGCTACCAACTCTCTAGACCCGCAGAACAGAAGGCGGGTAGACGAGGTTAGTATTCCCATCATCATTTCAGATACTCGGATGTTGGATATAACTAACATTTTATATATAGAAATACAAGAGGCATTGATTCGTGCTCCATCTACATGCGCATGTCTTGGATTCATGAGGTCTGATTATGTTATTTTGCTGGTTTCTATGCGAGGAGTTCATTGGGGAACTTTACATAGTCTCAGCGCCTCATCTCCTTTCTTTTTATCACTCTCTTTTCTTCTTGTTCATATTATTAGCATTGACGCATGAACGAAATGAATGGATGGATGGATGGACGCAACTGATTACAACATTTGACAGAGAAAGACATTCTAATAAGTGTAGCATCGTAATGCATTATAGACGGCGCATGTATGGGCTGGTTTATTTGTTTGGGAGTACATTTTCTTATAGTAGTGTGAAGATGAAATTGGGACGAGATTGATAACATACCAGGGGGCATAGGGCAACCTATTGTTGTAATTAAGGACTGTATAACTCGTATACCTACTTGTCCATTGATGATGGGTAGGGAAGATGGGGAAATATATGATTTATATAGGATTTGAGGGGTTATACGAGATGGGCTTTGTCTATGCTATGTTTCTGTGTTGAGGTGGTGAATGGATTTAATTTGGCCTTGAATACTCCGTATAGAGATGATAATTGTCTTACTTGATAACTTCTATACCCTAAATTCGAGAGTATAACATAGCTATCGTAAACGCTGAAACTCAGAGAGTATAGCGAGCCTTGAGCAGCAGCTGCTGCATAGCCACAACTAGTTAATCTGACAGCGAATGGTGGGCAGCCGTCATTGGCTCCCATCGCCCCAAAAAGCGCCTAGCATAGCCGCCTTGGAAACATGCTCAGTAGCAATAGAACGCCTTGTTGATCAGATGTTTTTCTAGTGTTATTTTATTTCCCTAATACCTACGGAACTTAGCTCTGTCTGTAATCCCGCTGTTAGGTATTGTCCCTCGTTGGGACTTCTTTGCCGTGACAAACAAGACGTATGGCCGAAGCCCTTGGTATCGCCACTGGCCTCATCGGCGCCAGCGACGTCATTATCAAGGCGGCTAGATCCCTGACTAAGTTCATCTCCGATTTCCGGAATGCTCCCAAAGAGGTGACAAAGCTCAAACTAGAACTTGAAAACCTAGAGGCTATCATCGCTGCTATTCAAGGCTACCTTCGCTCATCAAAGGCGACCCAACAGCCATTACTGGCCTCATCGCCTGTTGGGCGAGCCATCCAACAATGTTGTGACTATATGGGCAACATAACAGATGTGTTGATGTCTGACAATCAGAAACCCATCAACAGATCTCTCTGGGCTCTAAAGAACAAAGAGCGGTGCTTGGATATCGTTACGGAGATCACTCGCTATACCAATCTCTTCCATCTCGCGCTGAGCCTCGATGGGTGGGAGCTGTTCTTCAAATCTTCTCTTGAGACTACCAAGGCTCTCACTCAAATCCATGACGACCTGAAGAGGGTCATAGATGCCATCAGACCGCTCCAGGACATGAAGAACGACCTTGCTGAGTGGGAGGATCATCTACTTGCCATTAAAGAGGCTATCCAGTTTTCTTCGGCGATTCCCGCCACTGCCCACAATCTCAATCATCTCGATGGGAAAGAGAAATCTCTTGACTTCATCACCAAGGTGAAGCTCGAACCAAAGCATCGTGACGTTGCGAGAGTTCGTCATGAAGATACCTGTCTCTGGGTGCAGGAGTGTGGTGCCTTCAAGAAATGGTTTATTGAGAATACAGAGCCTTGTTTATGGATGCACGGCATTCCAGGGTGTGGCAAGACAGTGATATTCAGCTCCATGGTGGACCATCTCACACAGAAACAGCGAGGCTCCGACGGCCTTGCTATCCCAGTATACTTCACATATCAGGATCCTACTCTGCATGACGTCGACGTAGTTTTCCAAGCTATCCTACGATATGCCGCCGATTTCTTATACGACAAGACTAGCACACGTGAGATGTTGCAAGACTTGCGACAGCAGTGCCGACATCCTCAAGAGCGGCCGCTCACCCTCCCAGAATGTTTCGATTCGTTGAAAAGTCTAGTCAAGCCCGATACTACTCTTTTCCTGTGTTTCGACGGCGTCGATGAGCTTCCTGATGTCTCCCAACAGCGCTTACTCAAGGGGCTATCCAGTCTCAAAATGATAATACCTAAGATCAAAATGATCGTCTCTTCTCGGTCCAATCTGAATCTCCGGGCCATCGAACATGTCGAACTCGCGGTTACCGCCAGCGAGGGCGATTTGAGATTATATTTAGATTCTATCGTTGCCGATATCATTGACGAGATAGCTGCTGATTTGACAAGGCCACATGCTGACGGGCTCCAGCGGGACATCGTCGATCGAATCATAAAAAGCTCGAATGGCATGTTTTTGCTTGCGACTCTCCAAGTTCGGCAATTGAGATCGGCAGCATCGCTCCGTGAGATTCTTGAGCTGTCCCATAGTTTGCCTCAGGAGGTAGATGCCCAGTACTTGATGTACTTCGATCGAGTGAAGACTCAACCACGCAACAAAATCGCCCTGAATGCCATCCAATGGGTTAGTTGCGCGTATCGCCCTCTACAGGTACCAGAGCTACTGGAGGCATTATCGATTCGGGATGGTGATTCGAACCTCGACCCCACAGGCATAGTCGCCATTAATAGGATCATTCAAGCTGCTGGCGGGCTGCTAGTCCTCGACATCGAATCGAACGTGGTACGACTAGTACATGACTCGTTAAGAGATTACATAGATCGTAATCAGGAAAGAATTCTCGGAACTCCTCATTTCCATATCCTCACTACTCTCGCCACGTATTTGAATTTTGACGCGTTTGACAATAAACCAGGCCGAGTTATTCCCGAAAATTGGCTGGATATTGAGCTACTTAAAGGGGACCATAAACTTCTGGGCTATGCATGTTGCCATTGGAATCACCACCTTCTTTCAGGAGCTGCTTCTGGGCAATCCCTTGGCGTACAGATCGTAGAAAGAACTGCAACATCATCGGCATTGCTACGAATGGCCACGCTTGCACGTCTCGGTTCTGTTGTCTCTGGATTAACCCCCTTTGATGTGGCAGTGTTATGGGAAAATCCTACCCTCGCATCGTATATCTTTAGTAGTGGCAAGGTCAGCTTGATCAACCAACCTAGTCAACGACTGACAGCACTTCACATAGCAGCAAGATTCAACAACACGCCTTGCGCCGAAATATCCATGAGGGTGTACCCTGGTCTTGCTGTTAAAGACTACGCTGGAAACACGGCGATTCACAACGCAGCTTTGTACGGATCTGAAGCGGTTCTCCGAGTCTATCTAGAAGCCGTTGCCAAGGTTGGTAACTTGGAATCTATCATAAATCGTTTAGATCAACCAGGGTGGACGCCATTGCACCTAGCCTTGAGAAACGGACATCTTAATTGCGCTATGCTGCTCCTCAGCCACGGAGCGGATCCTAACGTCACGACGGTATTAGGTCAGACGGCAGTTCACTTAGCCATTGAATCTTGTCCATCTGCTCTTCCTAGATTGCAAGAGGCTGGAGCCATATTCGGAGGCCTCACTAAGACAGCCCGCTCAGCTCTACACATCGTCTGTGCCCTCGGAAATATCGACGCGGATCTGCGACCCGTTCTTGAGACTCTTGACCCAAATGCGTGTGACAGCGATGGGGTCACACCTCTGCACGCACTTGCAGCATCTAGAAACCCAGATATTGCGGCAGCAGATTGGCTGATCAGTTTGGGTGCTGATATTAACCTATCAGATAAACACCATGTTTCGCCGCTTCTTGCGAGCCTTAGGGAGAAGAACTATCAAATGGCCGAATATCTATTGAGCAAAGGGGCTCGCGCGAACTGTGAAACTAGCAACGGAATACTTCCCGGACTTATCGCAGCCGGCCAAGAGTCTTGCCCTCCCCAATTGGTCGAAGTTGGGTTTGAACAATTCCGAAGCCGGGTCCTTCTTGCACAGGGCAGTAAAACGGCAAAAACCAGAAGAAGTCCGTGGGTTACTCCATTATGGAGCGGAGGCAGACTGCAGGAATAGCAAAGGAGCGACCCCTCTGCACCTTGCTGTCCTCTTGGCACCAGTTCATCCGCGCCACTCAACCATCAAGCCACAGCGGTCGAATATCACGAGTCTCCTACTGCAGAACCATGCTAACCCACACGACGTTTCGTATAATGGCTTTACCCCGATTCACATTGCCGTCATTCGAGATTCAACGACAATCCTTCGACAGCTGTTGGGCGCCTCGGGAAGCAGCATAGGCAAGAGCCGCTACTTACCTGATGGAACGCCTCTACTGGCATTTTCCGCCGTCCACTCATCGCCATCATGCTTCAAGTATCTTTTCGAGTTCGCTCATCAAGACCATGGGGGCAAATTAAATCCAAGTCATTTCATAGATATTCTTCCGCTACTCTTGGACTATGCAGAGGGCGTGTTCTCGGAAGACGACCTAGCAGGCCGAATTCAAACTTATAGGACAGAGTTAGGCCTTTCTTTGATTCCGAGAGGAGGTGTTGACCGAGACACGGATACTTCTCTTCAACAATGTAGTCTCGGGGGTACCCACAGACTTCCATGCACTAGCTTTCATAATCTCTGCGAGAAAATAGTATTACTAGCGAACTTTCAGAACTCCAAATTTCCCTCTACCGCTCTTCATCTCTTAGATCGGCTCAAAAGCTGGCAATCGAACCATGAAAAAATGGCCGGCATCTCAAACGCCTCGCAACTCATTACAGAACATCGAGAGCTGGCGTCCGAGGCTGGTTACATCGGCCAAGTGTGGCATACAGGGTGTCGCCAAGACCTTGTTCACGCCCTTTTCGCCCTTAGGTGGCCAGAGAAGGCGTCCAATGGTATGAGTATCTCCAAAAGGCGCGGACGCCTGCGCAATCACTCGGAGCACGGACATCACTGGGAAGATTCGGTGGCTTTATCCTCATCGTCGTGTGAACCTCACGAGGACCTTGGGTCTTCCAGATTCGCGGCTCGACATGGGTCCATTGTTGCCACCATGGCCAAGAGGATACCGTCCAGATTCACTCGGTCTTCGATAGCGGGAGGACTAAGCCAGAACGAACTCAGAGCCTACGACGGAGCTAGAAGGAATCTTTTAAACCCACCTACTTCTCCGGAGGAGATGAAGAAGTCGATATTAGGTCACATAGATAAGCTGAAAGAAACCCTTCGGCTGCGAGATCGATACCCTATCCACGAACAAGAAGCACAACGGCGAAACTCCCAACGCAAGGGATCAAAAGTGTTTGATATCATCACCGATGAAGAACTCGAGCCTGTATAGAATGCCCTTACAAGGCTAATCGCCATTCTCTCAATTTCTCTCTCTTCCTAGCATAGCGCTTGTCCGTCTTCCATAATATTTCCGTTGCGATTTCGTATAAATATGTTTACCGTTTTATTTCGAAATAAATACTTGTGCTGGAAATCTGTCTTGAGTGTCGCATAGCGAGCCGAGTAGTCGGGAATATTGATAAATGATCGATTATTATGAATCAACCTGAGAAGTGGCTGTGTACCCCCGGCTCAAATATCACGCCGACCCATTTACTCTCTGACATAATGATGTGTTATGACTGTTAATGTCCATGTATCTCGCGGAGTCAGGTATAAGTGCGCAAACGAAGTGTTCAAGTCGGCGCCTGTAACTAGAGTCGCGAATGTTGATATTTAGAGCTGCTCTACGCTCATTTCTATCTTAATCTACAGTGAAATCGGTGTCGAATCAGAATGGCTGTCTGTACATTGCTTTCGTTTTCACCAATTATGTGTTGATACACGCCTATGCGGTTGGAGGTCAGTCTGTCACCGTCACTATTACCCACCCGCCGCAGTAGGAAGAAAACTTTGCTAGGAAGATCATCGCTTCGGTTTAGAGTTAGCATATTGTTAGAACAGAGAAATGACGGCAGAATCGACTGTCTTCATTGCGTATTCATGTATGTGTCATGTTACAGTGACTGCATCTGTAGCCAAGTTTCTAGGGGCCCCTATATCCCTAGGGCATGACATCGGCCTGTCATTTAGTACTCATTTAACCAACATACCAAATAAGATTATGATATTTTCTTCGTTGCTATACATTTAAGTCTCTTTGTATTCATACCCAGTTATTCCCGTACTTGAAAATGAAAGCTCTCGGCGGGCAACACTTTGATGTCTGCGCCACATGGCCGCCACTCTGCTGCTGCTTCTATCAAATCCTTAGCCCTACCTTCCATCCAACAGTGGACATGCAAGTCATCCCGGACGCCCAAGGTATAATCCTTCTTCGACTCGAGCAAATGCATGCCCAGCGTCCCTCCGGCGTACTTCGCCAGCTTCGAGTCAGTAACCGTAGCCTCTTCGCCTCTCCTCTGAACTCCCAATGGGTCGAAGGAAACTTCAATAATTCCGCAGCTCTGACCTGGCTCTAGTGTGACAAACTTGTCCGCCATTTCAGGCACCAATTTCAGCGGAGGTGCTGACCGCCAGTTAATGTCGAGGGTTGGTGTGGCGATCGGCTTCTGAGTAGCCGTGTCGTAGAGAACGACTGCGTTTGTGGCGATGAATAGCTGTGGCAGAAACGGTTTGGCTATACTGATTGGTTTGTCTGTACCTTCCAACCTGAGAGATATGATGAGGTTTGGACTGGGACCGTCTGTGAAAGAGATGGTGGAGGCGGACAGCCGTGCTTCTGCAATTATGTGAGGTGCCGACATTATTAAAGTTGTCTTGGCGCTCGAGACTAGATGGCTGATAAGACAGGCTATAGAAAGTGTATGTTAGTTGTTAGAAGATCGAATTTCAGTGATGTGCTGTTTGAAGTTTCAGTTCAGGACTATGATATCAATGCTACATTTAAAGTCATGTCGTACAGCTGCTGCCTAGAGTGCCAAATTGCCAATCCGTCGGCACTGCCCTGTCAGCTTCTTGACATCATAATGCTTCCCGGACATTTCTTTTGATCGCCCATAGCCAATAGATTCTGTCACAGGGCACAAAGAGGTTTTGTGCACATTAATTAAATAGTTGCATTGAAGACCTTCGCCGCGCAACAAAATGGGTCTTTTGCCTACCTATATAAAGGCTTCTCACATGCTTCCCTGATCTCATATCAAGTTGTCGGGGCATAGTTTGCGTTTGTCATGACATCGCTGTAGAACTGGATCTGGACACTATGATGATGCTATACTTAGGGCAAGCCACAGCACAAAGTCCAAGTTTCAACCTGTAAGCTTACCTCCAGAGATCTCTTTATTAATAGACGACCTCCGCGATAAGGTTCTGCCGCTCCATATCCACCTACCTCATGACATAACAACATACTGTGCTGCAAATAATTATGAGGTGATACGATCACACTATTTTGGTCATAAGGCATTAATTAAGAAAAGGTATTTATTATCCTCAGATACTCCTGCGGTCATGTTTCTATATACCTTATGTACCTAGTCGAGAGCATACACGAAGAAGGCACGCTATACCGCTGTCAAGACCTAGCTACGTAGGAGTAGGTAGATGACATTTAGTGTTGTGAGAAGGTTCTACAACTTCATATGGACTGCATTTGAAGCTTTGATAGGTCTTTATTGCTTGATACCCCTCTGTCTGCCTCATAGCCTTGCGGTATTGAGAAAAGGAACCCTTGCCATAATATGACACAACTGATAGCCTATTGAGAATCTATTGATAGTTGTTTGGGTGGAATATTTGCTCCTATATAGCCTTAGACTTACAGCACACATGACAGGATTTCATCTCTTCCAGCCCTATTGGGATTATGCAAATCCTGGTAATGTGCAATAGTTCATCAGCTTACCATAAGCCATTTGAAACAAGTTTTCAAAAGTTCCTACAATTGACTCTGCCAAAGAGGCAGAATCCAAGAATAGCCCCGATTCTTTATCAATTAGGAGTGCTTGTCCATCTATATAAAATGGACTCAATCGGGGGGATTCTTCGTTGAAAAATCGATGATACATCCCTAAAGCATGTTTTGAATATTACGCATATCGCAACCGTTACAAATATTGGCTTCAAACTATCAACATGGCAATTCGAACCATTCTTCTCCCTTTGCTTTTCACCCAACTAGCTGCTTCTTTCCCCTCTAGTCATCCGCTTCTACAAGTTAAGCGCACGTTTCCCACATTTGAAGATGAGAACGATTTCCAACCAGGACAAGAAGACCAGATCAAAGCCGCCCTTCCAGATGCTATAGATCTCGTGGCTCGTCTCACCGAGAACTATGACCAATACAGCGATATCTGGGCTAAATATTTCCCAGTGGCTGACCACGACACCGTTAAGAAAGTGTTTCAGCAGATCGTCTCCGACCCGACCAACCCCGGCGAAGGAGAAGACCGTCTGAAAGACTGCAGGGTAGCCGGCTTTGACTTCTTGCCAGTTACTTCTGGTGAGGATGCCTGCGCTGAAGGCGCGACTGCATATACCTCCAACTTTCTGGAGTCAGATCACACGTATAAGGGCGTCTCACGAACCCACTTCTGCCCCCCTGCGTATCAACAGAAGGCCAGATACTCTGATATAAGCTGCAATGACATTGGCGACACGCTGAACACTAAAATGGATTTCCTTGGCGCCACCATCCTACATGAGTGGCTGCACAATGATGCTGTCGGCAAGGCTGTCACCGGAACCCATATCATAGATGTAGACGGTCAGAACGGTTATGGGCCATATAATACGCGTCGCCTACTACGGGACTCGCCCGATCAGTGCAAGAACAATGCTGATAGCTACACTTGGCTAGCGCTCGAGGTATTCTGGACCAAACTCTGCCTGAGAAACACCCCATACAACGATCCCCCAGCACCCGACGCCCCGAGTTGCGAGCACGCTGCAGACCCATCAGGATCCGCGGGCTACTGTTCACGTTTCGCTGTTGAAGGATGGTGTGATTGCGGTTCTGCGGGCGACTATCAGCAGCTGGACGGCTCTGATCCCTGCGGCTACACAGCCGGGCCTCAATTCGCGCCTATTGACCTCGACACAGACCATTGTGGTATCTTGCCTTCAGCCCCTACAACTTCTGAATGCACAGACTACAACACACCCGTGGCCGACGCAGAAAACATGAACAACCAGCTAAATGACTGGGGCGACGGGACGCTTTGCTGTACCAACGGCGACGGTGGTTGTGCGAATATTGCCGTCAGCGGCGATTCCGCGGTTGATCTGTGCTCGGCGTCGACGACACAGCAACAGTGTGTTGGCTGTGCCCGTATGGCTAATTACTTATCTGGCATCATCAGCTCGTGCCAGCAAGATGGGAAAGTAGGGGGGAAGCAGGATATTGCTGAAAACCCAGGGCTGTCGATCCAAATATGAGCGGCATATGATTAAGGAAGAAGATGCCATCGAGTTCAAAATGGCAGGGGCAGGCATATATGGAATCCTGAGGTGGGAAGGACAAGATGAGATGGTGGAAGTTCAGTAGGACAGGTGAATATAGCGCATACTTAGAGATCACCAGAATTGAGAGTGTTAGTGTACACTGGCTTTTGTACAGCAGTAATGTACATGTTTATACAATATATACGAAAACACCGTTTCATTTCTTGGGAAATCGGGGTGATTGGAGGGGTGTCTAGCTTACCTGAGGAGGTTAATGAATGAAAGGTCGTATTGCTTGATATCGGGAAGTACGTTTGCAGGCATCCCGATGACAATTTCTTGACTGACGACTGCTATATTTCTACATTGCACGTTTCACGGGATGGTCAGGCCTAGAGAACAAGAAGAAACACCCAGAGATCGTCTACCGAGTCAGCGCCGGGGAATGTACCAGCCATATAGACAATGACGATTGAATGGGGAGGGTAGTCATTCAGCAGGAGTTCACAACTTTCTCTGTTCCGAGGCTTATTAAAGTTTGGAATTTGAACGCGATGAAAATAAATCAGATGAGAAGAAAACATTCCTTGTTGCTTTGAACTAAAAGATTCCAAGATCCGTTCAAAACACTCTTTCATGATTCAGCAGGACAAACTCAGCAGCCATCTTGTCAATATCCAAGCCGGAATTAAAAAATATGCATTCTTCCGCGGCCTAAATGAGGCAATGACATCTTGTGGATGTCTTCCTATGAGTATGAAGACTCATCATTTCTCATCAAGTACTCTCATTGCCCCCTAAATACTCGATGGCGTCGTAGAAGCAATCCTCCTCAGTACTTGAGTCATCGTCCGCTCCGTCATCAGGACTGCACCACACCTGCACAAGGCGCGCAAAGGCGGCTCTCGTCTCCAGTCCGGGCTGACGCTTATCTAGCAGTTGTTGAGCCGTCAAGCCATCTACATCTCGTGCTGTCGCATCTTGACTCCTGACACCGACATCAGTGAGACTTGGTATCATTTCCAAGCGCGCGGAGCGTGCTGTATAATGCAGCAGTGTTCGCATTTTCCTGTCTACATGTGCGGCGTTAGCACCAAGGCGAAGCAACAGGACTAGAGCCTCTTTCGAGCTGGCCTGGGTGGCGCCGAAGAGCGGCGTTTGCCCATCAATGTTTGGCGACTCTAGGTTGGCCCCAGCATCGTACAGACAGCGTACCATGCCCACACAACCGTTAAATGCTGCACGCCACAACGGCGTAGCGCCGGTGGAGTTATTTGGTGCTTCGATATTCGCGCTGGCGTCAATCAGCCTGCGGCCGATAGCTACCTGATCCTTCTCCGCGGCCAGATGTAGGCACGACCACCCAAAGTCCGTCGCAAGGGCATTAATATCAGCTCCAGCTTGCAGAAGCGAGTCGACACAGTCTATGTTTCCTTCTGCTTCGGAAACTATGGCGCGATGCAGCGCGGTATACCCTTTGACATCGCTCTCGTTGACTTCGGCGCCGGCATCTACCAGAGCACTGACGGCCGCCACGTCACCGCGAAGAGCGGCGTACATCAGGGGAGTGAGTCCGAATCGGTCCTTCAAATTCAACAGGTCGATGACGGGCCTTTGTAGTGCATTTGCCAGTCTAATCGGAAGTAGACCGAGGACGATTTTGTGCACGTATGATAATTCGAGTGCTTCGATGCACGAGGAAAGGGGGAATAAATCCTCCACTGCACGATTATAGCCCGGCAAATGTCTTTTTGAGACTATTGTTCGAGAAATAAACAGCCGAGGAGACACTCCATAATCATCTTCTCGGTCCGGATCAGCTCCATTCTGAAGGAGAAGTTTTATAATTTCCATCTTTTCCGGATTTCTACTATTCATTGCAAATTTAAGTGCAGAGCAGCCATCACGGTCGTAGACGTCTTGGATACACCCTTTCTCGTCTGCAAGCACGCGTTCCAGAGTCTTTATGCTTCCCAATTGAGACTCATAGAGGATGTTTCCGGGCTTGAACGGCATTCTTCGTCTCACTACAAGTGTGAACGAGAACATTCTCGACGTAGAGGCTTCCACAAAGGCATGCATTACGTAGTGCAGACACCACCACAAGGGGAAACTGTAGGTGACCTGCAATCGCATGTACTTTCCTCTTGAACAGGAATCAATGTTGCAACGGGCAGAAGCTGAAGGGTAGCCTGTATAGCCGAGAAATAAATACCCAACTGCCGCTCGCAGCATTGGCGGGAGCCGTAATGACATGGCCGGCCGCGCAGGCAGATGGCATCTGCATCGACAGCCATTCCTACAACGGGATCCCGGGAGTCGCATAGAGAAGGAGATCATGGGATCAGAATTGCTGTGGGATAAATCAGGTTGGATCCTGGGCCCAGCCCGTCTATTTGCCACCGAGGTGTTGCTTAGAGAGGCGAGTTCAGCCAAGATAGCCATCTGGACAACCTGCGTAGCCTCGAATTGCCGTGTCTGCTCCGATTCAATCCGGCTGACTGCCTGGGAAACAGGATGCATGATGTTATGGATGTTGGACAGCTGGCTGTTGACATCCTGCTTGTGCCTGGTAGTCTCGGCTGCCTGTGCCTGCATGGTATCTTGCAAATTCTGTATCTCAGAGCTTATCATGGTCTGTTGGCGAGCCATACTAGTGCGGATAGCAACGAGCTCGCTACTGGTTGCCTGAGAGTTGCTGTTGGCGTTCTGCACAGCGACTTGAGCTGATGCTTGGACCTGTTGTATGCCTACCCGGACATCATGAAGCTCGAGTTTGATGCGACTCTCCAGGGAACTGCACCAAATAGTTTATTTAATAAGTAACCGCAATTTGACATGACTAGTGAGACGCCTGCACGGCGTATGTATACTCACGGGATGTGGGCAACCAGCAACTCATTAATCCTCTCGCGCACCTCCTTCAGCCTGCCCTTCAACTTGACAGCATGCTTTTTCTGCCGGAGCCATCGAAATCTCTTGTTCGCTGGCTTCCCTGGACTTAGCATAGCAGCAAGTGCTTCGAGGTCGGTGAGGATTGTCCGAGCATCATTGAGCTCCCTGCCAAGACAATCGAGGAAGCCCGTATCATGTTGCAAGTCGCCAAGTCTTTCCACAGCCTGTCGTGACTCATTGACCCTCTCTAGTACAACGCTGATTTCCGTGGTCTCGTTAGACAGCGCGAGTATCAGTTCAGGGGCGTTCTTGAACTCTGAGATAAGGCTGCGTAGCTTCAATGACGTTCTGACTGATACATCCGCCAAGCCAGCCGCGCCCGCAAGAATCGAAAATGGATCAGCCATTGCAGCTAAAACCCGCTCATTCTGTGAAAAGAGAAGAGTGGCTTAAGCATACTAACAAAAGCTACCGGTAGGACACGAAGACAATGCAAGAATTTGGGGTACAGCTACACGATTTAATTATGCGCCAACGAGTTAAACAAGGCAGAATCAGCAGGGCGCCTTACGCCACTAGCGGGCATGCATTTGACCTTGATTGGGAAGCGGCCATGCACTGTCAGCGGAAATCCAGGTGGGATGAGGGTGTTTTGCAGCATCGCGACTTTCCTATAGGTTCCAGACACATGCCGAGCCCCCCCGCCGTAGTATTTTGAGGCGGGCTCTTCCCAGGGTCCCGTGCCGACCATTTTTTCACCTTCCCGTCAACTTGGGCGAGCACTCTAACGATTCAATGGACGACTGAATTAAATGCGACAGATATGAGACGGCCTTTGGTGCTGGCAGGCCGTTTCTGATATCCTTTTCGAGGTATCGAGCTACACTTTTCAGCTATTTCGACCGTGCTGCACAAGTCCAGCACCGAGATTCAGACATGTTCTATCCAGTTGAGCCCGTCTTGCGGGGTTTGAGATATTGCGACAGCGTATGAAACCCCATCACCAAGTACGGGCTGAGCCATGAAGGTAATTTTTGTCCTATGTGGCTTTACTGGCCCACCGTCGTCGTAGGTTTAGACATACTCCAACGCTGGACTTTATTTTCGTGTCCAACAGGGTTGAGAGTCAAAGCAAACTTTGTCGGATGGTATAAAAGGACCAACTATCTCAGTGCTAGGCACTCTCTATCTTCCACTTCCACTCTCAACTCTCCTTCTATTCAACACCCTCCTCATCGGACCTGAATCCCACCAGCACCATCATGGATCCGTTCAACAAGTTACCGCCCGAACTCCGAGAGGAGATTCTCATCGCCACCAACTCTAAGCGTTCAATTCTGCAGCTCATCCGAGCCTCGCCCACCATGCTTGGACAGTACGTGCATTCCAAAAAATTTATCGAGCCCAAACTATTTGACATTGATGCCGAGTTCGACGACGATATGCTTAACGATGCCATAGCAATTATCCGGTTTCCACGCCATAGAGATGGTGGCCTGTTTTGGCCTGCTATGGATCACGAGGAATTATGGTTGGAGGGCTGGTTTGTCAGCACCTGGAAGAAGGACAGGAGTCCTATTGAGGGTGAAATCAGTCGACTGTATCACCGGCTGGTCGTGTTTGTTAGGGATTACCTCACGAAAGCAACAGCTGCTTGCCCCGCCCGGGAGTATTGGTGTCTCCCACACCAAGGAGGCCAGTTGACGTTTAAAGACCGTGCTGTATTGTCAGGCTCGATTTGACACAGTGCAATAACGCAGAGCGACGTCGGCTTCTAAAAGCCTTTCTGAAGTACGAAGTGATCAGTAAGTTCTGCTACTTTGCTGGTGTGAAGCTATGGCTTTGGTGTCACAGGTACTATTCAGTACAGGAATTACTCACGGGCCGCCTCCGACAGTGGGAGAAAGAAGCTATAGTCTGCGTTGAGGAGTACCTCCAATCTCTTTACAGGGCTGTGCTTATCCAATGCGGTAACTCTCAGCTACCGGAAACCTCTGCCGCTCGGCATATCTCTCACGCTCCCGATGCCAGAGAATGGGAAGGCTATGAGCTGATCGCTCTAGAATATATTGAAAGCGAGTATTATGGTCGCCATAAATTAAATAGGACGCTCACCTTGAATTTGTACGAACTTTGCCAATGGCTGGCCTGCTTCGGGTTGGATCTGGCCACCATCGTTGTTCAAGGAGCCACAGGTGGACAACATGCACGGGCTATAGTTGGGGAATGGCTAAAAGATCTCGCAAAAAGGGGCCCACAATGTGGCTTCTTTCGCTCACTGGATTATGCACAAACTGTGTCCTCCGTGCTTAGAAGCGGTATCACCTTCCGGGACGTCAGCTACCCAGATGGCCCAAGCCCCTACTAGAGACTTTATTCGCGCATTAAGCACATGCAAGATTGGAGTGGAGTGAATGAGCAGGACAAGTATCTCAAGCTGTACAGGTCTCGAGCATGGGTATTTCTCGACGACGCCCGCCTCTTCAAATCGGACGGCGAGGGGCCGCACTTCCCAGCGGACGATATTGTCTTTCCCCACATCCGATTCAACGACATCATCGGTCCCCGGCTGTATATAAACCTCTCGAGCCGCGATCCCAGAGCTAAAAAGTGGACGGCGACGGAGGAGGCTAGGCATTTATCTCAACTGCTCTCGCTCCAGGAGACTTCCACAGTCAGAAGTGCCCGATCAACCAAAGACCCCTGATCATGGCAGTCTCTATACTTTTGACCGTCACCTCTGCGCACACGGTCGTTTGGCTTGTGCTAAAGAGTAGGTGAAGTGCCAGTACTAAGACTAGCCCTGGAATTTCAGCTAGATTTGATCAAGGTAAGCCCCCTTACCTTGTATTTTTGTCAATACTCTACTAGTGATGATACGTTTTCTAGGTAAGTATCTCATTATGTAATAGACCACCACTACCTTAAAACGACGGAGAGCGCCTCAGCAATTTATGGCTCCATAGAGCATTGAGAACATTACATAAAGCTTAATGGCCACCCATACCATTCATATGTTCTCTAAGTATGTTTTCGTGCACCTAGTAACCTAGTTAATCGCCTACTTAATAACCTACCTAATAACCTATCTAATAATATATTTAATATTAAACACTTTATATACTTATATAATTTATCTTTTATAAGTATTATAAATAAGTATTAAAGTTAAGGTAGGCTTAATGGTTTAACCGGCTATAATTATAGCGTTCCCTTGTCTTTGGTCTAAGATCTTCTACTTTATGCATCTGTTAAGCTGGATCTGCGCATGACTTTGGGGCCTAGGAGTCTATCTATAATTACCAGAAATAGGGGATCATGAGAAGAACTCCTTCAAGCCATCGCTCATGCCCTCTGTATCGCCTTTTCTCCCCTTTTCGAGAAGGCCAAGTGCGTCCTTAATAGGCACAACCGCACCCCTTGCCCCCTCGATGGGCAAACTGAGTAGCTCGTCACGCGTTCTACCCCACAGGTTCCCGTCCCATTTCCGCCGCACCAAGAGCACCCCTGTCTCAGCGGCATCATCTCCCTCCACGCAGATGAAGAACGTGGTATCCAGCCCCTCAATAAAGCGCTTCTGTACACAGAACCAAGGGAAGTACTTTACAGCCTCGTTGAAATTCCACTCTATCCTCTCCATACCCCGACCGGACGGCCGGGGCTTGACCTGCTCGGGTGTATACACAAGCCGTTCCTCGCCGGGCTTTCGCTTGGAAGCTCTGGGATCCATTAGGTTCCAGCCGAAACCTAGGTCCTTGCCGTGTGTGCCGTACTGGAACGCCACAAAGACGGGCTGGGCGCGCACATCCGGCGATGGCCAGTCAGCATCGCCATTGCATAGGATTAGGAAGCGCGTCTGCAGGCCATCATGGCAGGAATAAGGGATGCGGATGTTTTCAATGTTTGTTCGGGCCAATTGCTCGCCGATCTTGAGTACGTCTGTCTTCTTTGTTGCGTCTGAGTCCCACGGTGGAACCTTGACCATTAACATGCCGTTCTCTACTGGGTCGGGCGTATCGATGACGAGAATATAGGCTTTCTGCAGATATTTGTTCTTTGAGCAGCGTAATGGATGTAGGGTAACGGCCTTTTGAATAAGGCCATCGGTAGCTGTTGTGTTGAATTCAGGGGATGTGGGCGTGAGTCTGGCTTGGATGCGGCAAGCATAGTCCTCGGGAGACTTATGTCTGAATGCTGGCTCTAGCTTCTCAACAACTTTCTCTTCAGACAGGCCCGAGTGAATATAGATAGGGATGTAGTAACCCAGAGGAATGTTTTTGACAGGCGCTGGTGGCCCATCGTCGTTGTCGTCGTCGGCATCTTGGTTGTCGTTGTTGTCATTATCATTGGAATCATTATTTGCATCATCTTCATCGTCACTATCTGGAGATATCTCACAGGAATCTCGCTCTTCGTCCCAACCCGTGTTTCCAATCTGCAGGTTAATCACAGTCAAGCCTGCATCGGCAGCCTTGGTGCGATAGGATTGAACACGCCACAAGTCATTGTCATCGTTCAGAGTGACGAGGATGACGCCCCTGGCGCGCCAGTCCTTATCAACAGCCGCGATGAAATACTCGGACTCGTACGTGATCTGCTTTGCCAACTCAAGATGGTAGTCAAACACAGCACGCAGAGGTTGGCCGACAAACCGCGCCTGCGGGGCAAGACGCACACAGCTGCCCCGCTCGCTGCCGGTTTCGACACATGCTGCCTCGCATTCGCGCTTGAAGTCTGCAAGCTCGTCATCTGTCATATCTACCAGCGTGTAGAGAGCGGTTGGATTATAACTCGCGGACTGCTGAGCGCGGTATTGCGCCAGCGATGATGGTGCCTCCATGGGCAGCGAGAGATCTGGGTTTGCGGACATGGTTTGAGTTGACAGTCTACTGAGCGCAATTTTTTCGGTTTGGGCTTCGAGATGTTAAGACATCAAGTACGCGTGAGGAAAGCTGTTTGCTTCAAGAAGACGCTCAAATCGGGTTGGTAGGGATGGAAGCCTGATGAGGGAAGTTGACGTAATGGAGAAAAGGATGTGAAATTGTTCTTCCGGCCCGGAAGAACGTTGTATCAAAGTAGTTGGTGAGACAGGAACCAAGATCAGTGTAGAAAGGCGTTGAGGATTGACCCACGGCGCTTCCAGGTAGCAGTGACAATGATTGAAATAGAAGTGCTGATCACCATTATAATTATAAGCCACTTGTAACAACACCTTCATGTAGTTTTCGTGGAGCGAGGGCTGATAGGCTGCCCTTGAAGTTACTCCGGTCCTGCAGGGTTATTTTCAGGTAGTTTCGTTCATGCTTCGATTCACCTCTCGTTCTTATTACGAGATAAAAATCCCGAAATATCACAGTTTCCTTTTTCGCTCAGGGAACCATATCGTGTTACCAGCGATCATAGCTGATGGATGGTAAATCCGCCTTGATGATCTCGATGATTTGACCTCCAATGGAACAAACAGGCACGCAGTTACGTCAGTGGCTGTCTCTTGAAACCGCAAACAAATGCTTACATGATGTCATGACTAGTTGGCCTTGTCAGCCTCAGCCTTGCTTACGCGGGCTTTGGGACGAATCGACTCACGAGACTATCATTGCATGATATCTTTTAGCCCCAAGGTTGCGGCGCGCCTCATCATGGAAGGAATTCCGTGTATGTATTGCATCCTCCAAATCCATCCCAAGTAACATCGTAATCTACGATGTTTCTCATTTTGGACGAGGCTCACCCAGTTCTATTCTGGGTACCGACTCGGGTCCCTCTCGGAATAGAACACCGAATGATGAGAGGCTTCAAGCAGGCGGAGGGCACATTGAGGATTCTTTAATATAGATAACTTGTACAATATGTAAAGTCTCAAGGCATAATAAGAAGGGAAACCGGAAAATCTATAAAATTGGACTCTAGACTTTCCATTTAGTCCGAATGCTTCAACCTCAACTCATACCTCGTTTGAAAACACGAACTTGATTTTTCCTTCGCTTTGATAGCAATCCATCACGATGAAGAACTTGAGGGTTCTTACTTCCCTGATCGGCCTGGCCGCAGTCTCATCTGCTGTCAGCATCGGTACTTCGAACCTGGAAGTTCGTGAAGACCCCGATGATCTTCTCATCTTTGTCTGCAACGATGGCTTGGACGAAATATGCACGAACATGTGTTACGGTATGACTGATACTCTGCTCTCATCCCCCTAATCATCCCAAACCTGGAGCAAATATCCCCCTAACTTATACCCACAGGCGCCTATTGCAAGGATATTGGTTCAAGCCTACAATATGACAAACCCGACTCAAGCACCAAGCGAAACCGCCGCAAAGCCGCCGGGTGTATCGCATCAGGCGGCAACCGCTGCTCGGTTAAACAGGGCCACGCTTCCGGCTTCCAGTGCGACGAGTACCCGTTCGCATCATCCATGCCCACCGGTGGCTCCAGCACGCGTCTCAACCGCTGCGTTCCGGCTGCCCAGAACCGTAAGCAAGGCGGTATCATCAGCGCTTATTACAAGAGTAGCTACTGCATGGGCAACAACGGCGGCAAGTGCAACTTCAATGTCGAGTTTTCCAACGCCGGCGACATCGATTATTGTGAAATGGAGAACTGCGATGCTGATGACGACAACGAGGTTATCGGACCCGGCGGCACCGCCAACGACGGCGACTCGGCCGAGGACGGGACGGACGATGATCCCGATGCTGGCCAGAAGAGGAAGATGAAAAGGCGTAATGGCCTGGGTAAGAGGAAGCCTGGCGCCCCGGTATACCGTACTAGCTCGGGCCTGGAACTAGACCTGCCAGGGGGTGCTCAGATTGGACAGCGAGCTTTTGTTGTCTTGCCGCGTAACGTGACATTGTGGGAGGAGCAGGCTCAGTTCGGAAACCCTAACCTACCTCTCGCCCTTCATGGTGACGAGGATGAGGAGGACGATGATTACGACTATATGTTCGCGAACTTGGATTTGAGGGAGGACACAATTATCGAGGAAATCGTCCCGCGGGTCTAAGGCCCAGAAAAGGGGTGGCATATTAGCGGAGAGAGGAGAAGGAGAGCGGTACTCTTTATCTCTCTCTCAAGTTCTCCGCCTTGTTCCATTTAGTTTTGGATAAAGCGATGAAATTTTGGTGAAAAAGGCCATTGGGTATCCTAACAGATATCTTGGAAATAGTCTCAATATATTACCAGCGCGCAAACTAAGCAAATCGCAAGGGTCCCGGGCCACCACGTCACGGGCCACCCCGCCATACGCTTTTTACGCGAATTTGCGTATATAAATCCCTGTACCCAACGCAGTCAGTTTTTACCTTCTGACCTTCTTTTTATATTTAATCGAATTACCTTTTTATACTAAATCTTATAATGCCTTCAATTTTTAAAAAAAGCATTATTAGGGTACTATTTATAATATTAAGCTTAGTTTAAATATTAAAACGGTAATATAAAAGTAGGATATTTTTAGGACCACTTTATAATATTATTTTAATAGAATTTTAATTTAAAAAAAGATAAATTAAAGCCTTTAATCTTTTTTACCTTATTTAAAATATTAATTAATATATTAAATAATTAATTAAGTTAAATTAAACTATATATTATTATTAATTAAGTTTTAAACCTTTATAAATTTTATATTTAATAATATTAATATTATTAAAAAGGTCTTTTTATAATAATATTAAAGCTTTATTTAATAAAATTTATTAATTAAAATTATTAAATCCTATATAATTAATTATTTAAAAGTTAATAGTATTATAATAATTAATATTAACCTTTTTTTTAATTAATTTAAATTTTTAAAAGTTATTAATATTTTAAAAGATTATTAATATAATATAAATAAAATAGGGGTTAAATAAAGTATTAATAATAATTATTAAGTTATTTATAAAATAATTAATTATTTAACATTTAAAAAAATATTAATAAAAATAAATAAATAATAATATTAAAATATATTATTATTAATAATTATATCCTTTTATTAATAATAATCTTTAAAGGTAAAAATATTTAATATTAATAATTTTTATAATAAAATATAAGCTTATAAGATAATTAATTTTTTTAAGCTTTATTTAAAGGGTAATTTAATAATAAAATTATATTAAATTAATTTAAAAAGGTTTTTATATTATAAATTTAAATTTAATATAATAATAAATAAATAATATTAATATATAATAATTATAATAATTATATAAATAATATCTTTTTAATAATTTATATATTAAATAAAATATAATTAATTTTTTATAAACCTTATTATAATTATATTATATAAATATTAAATATTAAAATCTTTAAACTATTAAAAAAATAACTTTATAATTACTTTTATAAATATTCTTTAATTAATTTAAATATTAAACCTTTTAAAAAAATATATTAAAAATATTATAATTTATAAAGATTAATATTATAATATTTAAATAAATTAAAAATATATAAAAAATAAATAAAATATTAAACTTTTTAATATTTAACTTTAAATATATTATTATAATACCTTTAATAAGTTAAAATCTTTAATAAAGTTATTAAAAATTTATTATAAACTATTATACATTTAATATATTAATATAAAGGTTAATTATTTAAAAGGCCTTAAAGGTATTAAACTTTTAAATTAATAAAATTATAACTTTTAAAGTAAAAGTTTAATATTTTTAATTTAAAGTTAAAAAATCGATTAAATTAAAAAAAAAGAAGGTAAAAATAACATTTAAATATAAATTTATAAAAATATTAAATATATAAAGGACCAAATATAGGGTATATAATAAAAGGATTTATAAAAACGAAGTAAATAATTATAAAGTACTTGGAACTTTAAAAAACCTATTAAAGATTATTTAAAAGGATATTTTGGAGCTTAAAGATTGTATTATAGCTATAACCGCCTAAAAACAGCAATCGCGATCGTTTTCGTTAAAAAATACGGCTTCAATTAAGTGGTATTGGGTGGGTGGTAGGGTGGCCCGTGACGTGGTAGCCCGGGACCCTTGCGATTTGCTTAACGACTGAACACAAAATGTAATCGTAGAACGTGTCTATTATATCGTCCAGTGGTGCAAGTATCTTACATATCACAGTTAGTCCAAATACTCTTGCTGAGCCGGCAGATGGGGGAGACTAGAATGACTAATAGGTTAACGGATCAATGATTTTTGATGTAGGGGATCATCCGTTCGGGCAAAAGCACGCCTTCTAGAACGATGCATCCATGGGTTAATAAGAGAACATTTTATTTAATATTTTGTGCCGCTGGCATGCCTATCCACGCTATTACGGGGTTTCAGCTGTTCATAGTACTTGTTCCCAAGGCGAGGTATCTCTCATGGACGTGCAGAGTCAATGGAAGTGAACCAGCGCCGCATACAGAAGGGATCAATTGAGGTCTATTGAGATGATCTGAAGTCTAAGTTGTAACCTGTGAATTTACCCCTTGAAATCTCCTTGTTAATAGACTATCTCCACAATAATAAGTCCTACCATTCCGCATCCACTTCCTTGTGACAGTGTCTTTCATTCCTGAACTTGGATACTACTGACCATCATTTTCCTCAACAGCGAAAGAATCGCCTGCTAGGCTATCAAGAAAATTCATATCGACTCCCTGAAAAGTCCAGTTGTTCCCAGTGGCAGACATATCAGGAAGCCCCATGGTCTGCTCAGATAGTATATCGTTGTAGAGATCCCAAATCGAAATTTCGGGACCTGGGGATCTTTGGCTGGCAGTCGTTTCCTTGCCACCTGATGTTTCTCCTGGGAAGGCTACATTGGTGTTAGCACATTCACTATCAAATCTGTCAGACGCGTTGGGTGCCGTACTGTTCTCTACCTGTATGGTATCTTTTAAGGTGTCAATTGCAATGGGTGTAGGTTGGACCGCATCTTCGGTAGCTATCTTGAACACGCCAAAATAAGGAATATGCGCGCTGACAACTGCCTCGGTAGCAGCTTCCAATAATGTCTCGTCCCCGGGCTCGTGCACGGTAACACGTCTAGCAAAGTTAGAACGGTTTTCAACCCTATCAACTTTGATGGCCAGCAGTCTGCGGAGCACATTGGCGCTTTGAGCACTAAGCACGTCTTCATTGAGACGATTGACCTCTTCCATGTGTTCTTGTACTTGTTCAATGGCAGCCCGATCAGTGAGATACTGGTGACCAAGAACATCTTGGGAGTCGGAGCTGACGCTACCGTCTAGGTGAGTTAACAGTAACGTCATCGCCGCCATAAGGGCGACAAAATCGACGATACGACAGCTCCAGCTGTATGCAATCTGGTTGAAGCCACGCAATGTGTTGAAACGAGAGATAATCTCCCGTGACGCATTAGCACATGTGACGCGAGAATAATGACGTCTCTTTTGTTGGGCTCCTGACGAGGCGCAAAGCATGTATGGAAGGTGGAGTTGGTTGAGAAGGTTGTAATGGAGGACCTGGGCAAATAACCTTCGTGTATCCCAGAACAGCGCCTCCGAAGATGTTGACGAGACATTGTCTAGATTGGGCGCTCTCCACCACTTGCTAGGGAGACTTGCGGCGGCCTGCTGTAGGTTCTTGTCAATAGTTTCAGTGAGTTCAAGTTGGGATGGGTCGAGATAACCGGCAATTTGACTGGATTCGTTTCGCTCGACAATACGAGCAGCGATGACACACTGCATTCTTTCTAATCGCCCTGTCAGGGTGTCGCTTTCAAGATTCATGTCGGCAGCCATACTGCGATCAGGGGAACCGAGGGAAAGACCAAGCATGAGACTGAGGTGGTGGTCTAAGAATAGAAGCCGGAACCACATGAAATGAGGCTCGTATTGTGTTTGGGAATCGAATGACTTGTATTGTCCATGGCGGCGGCTACGATCAAGTCCCATGAGCTGTGCTATGCCAATTGCTCTCCGACCCGCCATCCAGCCTTTCCGAAGGTTGCCGACGTTTACATGATACATACTCTCCATCATGATACACGCTAAGCCGTCGATGTTTCCAGAGAGCTCTTCGTTTGTCGTAACGAGATTGATAGCTAAGCTTGCAAGCCGTTCTTGGATGACCCATGGTGACTCTGCTAGGCCCTGCAGAGCTTCATTCCTCGGATGGACATGCTGTAGGAAGATAGCTACCTGCAGCATATGCTTTGCGATGAGGACCGGGTGAGAAGTCGGTGGGGGGATCTGTAGGAGGGTATCGGGTGTTTTGAGACCATCTCGATGGAGTGTAGTATAGGGCAAAGTTAAGATCTCGTGGGCAAGCACTGGAACGGAGGGGTGACGATGCGCATTACATATGTTGGTCAGGTCTTCGCGGGAAGGTAGAGATGAATATAAGTACTGAGATAAAGTCCCATGGTTTTCTTGAAGGGGACTGGCAGTCCTCGCCTGCCGAAGATTGTATATCCCGGAAGGGTGTGGGCATCCCTATCATACACAGTCAATGAACATTCACATGAATCAGGGTGTAGATACCGACACTTTGGAAAATACTGGGTGACAAAGATTCAGCGCTTAGTGACGAAGGAGTAATAGGACCCTCTACTTTTCGAGGTTTGGTAGGAGCGCCAGTATCCACGGCAACGCCTGAAATAGCAAGGGGTTCCGAGGGTTCGGCATTTTCCAGGAACTCTTGGCTGACACACTTAGACCCTCTTCGCATACAGCCGTTGCACACGGCGCTGGAAGAAAACGGGTCCAGAGTGCATTTCATTTTTCTCCGCTTGCACTCCCAGCAGCTCTTGGTGCCTTTCCGAACTCGGCGTTTCGTCTCATGGTGAGCAGAGACCGTGGGGTGGGCGTGATTGGCATCCATAGCGGCAACGCTACTGCTAATTTACCGAAGGGAGCAAGATGAGATCTCCGGGTATTGCTGACCCCAGCTGGATAGGTATCCTGTTGGCAGCAATAGTTGGGTTGGAATGAGGCGAGATTAAGCAAGTCTTTGTTGGGGCATTCGGTGGTGCCCGGGATCCGTCTCACCCGTTGTCTCACCTCACGTGTACGGGCGAATGTCTTGGCGCGGCGGTCGAACATCTTGGCACGGTGGTCAAAGGGCTTGGCACGGTGATGGAGATCGAGCGGCTTTTCGACCGCCGCCGCAAAGTGGGATTTCCATGCAGAGTAATCTTGCATCTTGGGATTGTCCCTTGTTGCCTCCGATATGCCATTCATTATGCCAGATATGTCAGATCTACCAAATTGGTTTTCATGGTGATATAAACTGTCTGATTCACGCGTCCATCGTTTAAGATCCGAACAAACTACTTATATGCATTTCGAGCTGCGTCAACAAAACCACTCATCATTACCGATAACATAATCTCATTTCGACCCTGTAGAAATATAGAAGCAAAGAGTATGGCGGACTTAGAACCCCCAAGGGGTCGCGATGAACCCTCGACGATACCCGACTTCCCACGCCAAGCAAGCTGTGAAATTGACAATGGTTTCAATGACTTACACTCCCCTCCTGGCGATACAGATCCGAAGGACTATGCGACGGGGTTGAAGTTGTTCACCGTTATGCTGAGTATCTGCCTTAATACTGCTCTCGTAGGGCTGGAACTGGGAATTATCTCGACTGCAATCCCGGGCATCACCGACCAATTCCATCGCATTCAAGACGTCGGGTGGTATGGATCATCAACTTTTCTGGTTGTCGCGTCGTCGTCATCTGTATGGGGCAAGGCCTACAAGTATCTCAACGTCAAATACACATACCTCGTATCCACGTTCATTCTCATTATCGGCAGTATCGTCTCCGCGTCAGCTACAAACAGTGCTGCAGTCATTGTTGGTCGAGCAATCCAAGGCTTAGGTATCGGCGGCATTCTCAGCGGCTCTGTCATAATCATCAACCACGTGTCCCATCCCAAGCTACATCCTCCGCTTATTGGGATGTGGACAGCCGTTTTCATAATATCGACAATTCTTGGGCCTCTGATCGGCGGCGCCTTTACCACTAGCGTCACCTGGCGGTGGTGTTTCTGGATCAATCTCCCGCTAGGGGGACCGGTTGTTATCTTAATATTGTTCTTCCTCAACATACCCAAACACGTGAAGCCTGCCCAGGCAACATTTGGCGAAATACTTCTACATCTAGATCTTCCCGGCTTCGCCTTTTTGCTAGCTTCCCTTATTACCCTGGCATTGGCCTTGCAAGAGTCCGGTCAAACTCAGCCATGGAGTGCTCCCTCTTCGATCGCACTTCTCGTTCTTTGGCCGGTTTTCACAATAATATTTTTCATCATTGAGTTTTTCCAAGGCGAACTAGCAGTTGTCCCTTTGCGACTACTTAGACCACGGGTAACATGGGCCAACGCCCTGTATTGTTTCTTGTGCGTAATTACTTAACTACCCCTATTAAAGACAGCTCAGCTAACCAGTCAATAGTTGCAACTCAGCAAACTACCAGATCGTTTTTTATTTGCCCATCTATTTCCAAGCTGTGCGCGGCGACTCGGCGATTATAAGTGGCGTAAACCTGCTCCCCTTTCTGGCTCTTTTCGCCCTTGGCGCCGTTATCAGTGGTGCAGCTGTCGGAAAGACTCGGTACCTGCAACCATTCGAACTGATCAGTGCCCTACTCACAACTGCCGGCGTCGCCCTTATTTACACATTAGAAGTCGACTCTCCTAAAGCTCGTTACATTGGCCCTCAGATCCTCGCCGGTTTTGGTCTTGGCCTCGGTAATCAAATCCCAATAACGGCAGTGCAAGGCCTTTCGAGACCTCAGGATATGACAAGTTCGTCAGGCATCGTACTCAGTATGTTTTCCACCCTGCTTTTGAGGACACCTTTCCTCATCATTTCTCTCTTATTGCTAACCTTGAGCGCAGTGATGCAAGCTCTTAGCGGTACCTACTTCATCCTGATCGCACAATCGATATTCGCCAATCGCTTAATTATCAATATTAAAACCATGTATCCCAATATCAGCGCTGAGCAAGTCATCGCCACCGGGTCTGGGGCTGATCAAATTCGGCAAGCCTTCCAAGGAGCTGACTTGACTGCTGTGCTTAACGCTTATATGGTGGGCATCAAAGACGTCTTTGCATTCTCACTAGCCACTGCCGCTTTAACAGTTCTAATTTCTCTCGCCATCCCTTTCAAGCGGTTACCCGATCATAGTAATAAGATGGAAGAGAGTTCAACAGAAAACGACGAAAAGAAGGGGGAAGTAGCTAGCGATTGATGGTGAAGATATCTATCTGACATTGTACATTCAATTCTAAACCTTTTAGTTCTTTCGCCATCCAATAGCATTTGTATCTCAGGATATCATTTGAGGCTTTAGACATTACAAAAGGATCAAAAGTTCGAGGGGTATTTATCTTCTATGTAACAGTTAGATCAACATAGACTAAGTAGGTTCATTGGTGGGGGGCAGAGGCTAAATATTAATCAGGGAGGGCACTTACACTACCTATCAGCAAAGTACCTCACTGGAGAGCCGTTGTCTTGCCCTGTAAAGCCTATTGTTTAAAGAGTTGCCCGGCATGTTTCTTTCTGATCAGGGATGAAAAATTATTAAAGAATTGAGTGCGGGCGCTCCCATCTTCTCTCCTTCTCTATCTCCTCACCTTCCATATCTATAGTGCCACATCTATATAGGTTCTCGGTGGTTTCTCTCGAACGTAGGTGGGCCGCGCGGCCCCTACAGTGCGCAGGAGGGATCAATTTAAGGTAGTATTGAGTGCTCTAGCGAGCTAGGTTCTATCTCACCAACGGTTGAGCGGTGTGCTGAATATATATGTGTGATCTTCGAGCCCTAGTTTAGCTACTCCTGGACTCCACCTACGTCTGACAGGTTCGGTATCCGTTATTGTAGAACATAACTGCGAAAATCCTCGAGTAGTCCTCTATGCTATTTCTAGTCTCGAGTTGGCATCGTATTCATGTTGCCATATTCATATTGACATGAAAGCCACTCAGTCTTCCCTTGATTGTGTCACATGCGCTGAAACATTTTGCTTCGCTATCCATGCATAATTCGGTGTACGTCTTTTTACTACTCATGTGTCGGGGCTATTTATACTGTTCAGCGTTGGTGTATTTAAGGATTAACTATCGATCTTATAGCTATACTAAGTTCTATGTTGAATAACTTCAAATTTAAGTATTAATTTCAGCGTTGAATATCTACCCAGGGCGTGAAGGTCAACTCCATCTTCTCGATAACTGTTAGGAAATGGTCCTTTATCCCATCGACCCAAGCATCAAAATCGAATGGGCGGCCGAGATCCTGCGGGAAATCAACCCTGAATTCTCTTATAACTCGCGCCACCATGAGTTTGAGTTCCTCAATCGCGAGAGCTCTTCCACCACAAGCGTGAGTTCCATATCCAAAGGGGATCCACGCTCGTCGATCCTTGATCAATGAATTGTTTCCTTTCCCTATGCTATCTTCCATCCAGCGCTCGGGAAGAAACTCCTTGGCTCTAATGAAATATCTCTCATCCATTCCAATCACATGCTGGCCAACGTAGACTTGTGTATATTCAGGAAGTATGATGCCTGTGTCGAGTATTATTCCTCCCTTGGGAACAATTGCCGGTGTTCCTCCTTGGAGAGGCCCAAACATGCGCAAGGCTTCTTTCACCACACTCTCCAGAAGCTTTAATTTTCCAATCTCTACACTAGACAAAACTCCGTGTAAAGTCGATGTCGAGTCTATCTCTTTGCGGAGATTCTCTTGGATCTCTGGTCGAGACGCAAGAGCAGCAAAAATACACGTTAAAGTGGTGCCTATGGAATGTGCACCCACAGTTAGAAGGAGAAGGACATGTTGCTTGACGTCCGCTGGGCTCAGGCCCAAATTCGTCTCGGTGTCTGGAACCAGTAGATGGCTGAGTATATCTTGGCTTTTGCCCTCTCGAGACTCATGTGCCGCCATGATCTGATTAGCTAGTTTGATGAAAGGCTCGTCAGGCAGTGGTAGATAACGCAAAATCTGTTGTAGGTGAGGCAAGTGACCCGCGAACTTTGGCGCACCCTCCAAATCAGATTCATTGAACCATTGTGAGTGGCGTAGGGCTGCTACATACCGACACGAACCGCAGAAATGAGGGTATTGAATTCAATGGGGTCATATCACCATACCCGTCTTGGAAACCAGAATCATAAGAGAAACCGAGGTGTGAGATTCTAACATAGAATACATGATCTTTCATTAACCGAATTCAATGAGAGGCGAGAAATATGAGGAAGAAAGTTTTACTAACACGTCGAAAGCGAAAGCGTCTAATAGCTGGCCACAATCAACTGAGCTTGACGCTTTCTGATGTAAAATTGCAATGGTTCGGTCGACATGCGTTTGTATTCGTTCAGTCATACGCGATAGTTCCGATTTGCTGAAAGCTTTCAACCTACATATTCTACTTTAGCGATATTATTCAATGTTCGTAGTCGAGGAATTCTGACACAACTCACAGCATTCTCCTCCAAGCCCCATGCAACTTCTGGTCTCTTAGTGTCGCAACATTTTCTCCTCCAGGGATATTGAAAACTTGATTGAATGTCCCTCGGATATATTTACCGCCATATAGCTTTTCGATAGCATCGACACTGTTAATAGAAAGTTCATTGGGCCCAATACGGATGATATCACTTGTGTACTTCTCATGAAGCGCCTTGTGGGTTCTAGAAGCACGTCCCAGACCGGCCTCTATCGCATTCCACAAGCCAGATACTGCTGCCAGCTTCGGACCAGGAAACTTCCTGAGGGGTGAGAAGAAGAGGCGACGAACTATGCTAATAATGGCTGAGCTAGTGAGAAAGATGGAATTTGCGCTTCCTATGGAAGTCAATATGTGATACTGGGCATATGACCGGGAACAAAGGTGGAAATAAAATGCAAGATTAATAGCAATGTAGGGAAAAACGTAGAGCTCGGTAGAAACTTCAGGGATTGGCGAAACCAAACAATTAATTGCAAATGCAACGAGTACAACTGTTAACGGAGATGCCTCCATAGTGAGATAGACGTGTAGATGGAGAATAGGTGCCGTGGAGCAATTTGAGGCAAGGAATCAATATAATACTTGTTTTGGTTGACGGACCTCAGATAATCTTTTTTATGGTCTAGGTTGAACAGTCACCTTGCTGCAATACCAAAGTTCTATTATGTATATATGAATCGAAACAGCTAACAATGGGAAATATGGAGGTACGTCTCTTATCATGCTTGTTCCTTTCAGCGCCGCATTATTACGTCGTATCCCCCTGAATCCGAGGGTCCGACGCTGTGGCCTAGTCAGAAACCTAGAATCTCATAGTCTAACTGCGCCGCCGAGCTCATAAGCAATGGGTCGACAGCACCCAGCATACCAGACTGGGGGGAGGTACCGGAATCGAACCCACTTTGCCAATCGTCGGAACGTAGATAGCCGTGAAAGCCTAGTGAGTTCTTCTCGGCTATCCGCGCATACAGATAGACAAAGGTATTCGGCCCGTGTGGTGGATGTGAACTTTGACGTATTACCTTTCCGCTACCGGCCTGCATTGCAAGGTCCTATTCACTAGCTTACATAGAGTCAGTTAAATCCTTCTTGTACAACCAAGATTTCACATGTAAGACTTGCTTACTTACTTCTTGTACGACTACGATTTCACATGTAAGATTCAGGATAATAGTAGATAAGAACAAGAGGCGGTGTAGCAATTAGCGAATAATTACGTGATCTTTTGGCACTTCTAGATCACGTATGCTAGTTGGTCCCACAAGGCTGCAACAAGGAGGCCCATCTAGTCTAGTAGAATATAACGGACGCTATTCGAACTGCTGGTATTTTACTCAAGTCAAGGTACTTAGCGAGAAGTCTTCAAGTTCAGTCGAATCACATTTTATACTATAATTATCGCTAATCCACTGATGCATCCTGATAACGGGTAATTTTGATTGTTACCAGATCTAGTCTCACACGGGCTGAACACCTATACGCAGTCTCATATAATCAGCCCTGTCGCCACACCTTCATGTGAGACTTACTTACTGTAACTAAAGGTGTCCACTGAAGCCATATTGAAAGATTATTGTACTCAGAAACATACCCAAGCCGAAAATCTAGCCCATGCTATATTTGGGCATGCCGGGTCATTCTGCTTAGGTTACTTTCTGATCTGTAATATCTTCTCACCTACGTAACACATTGAAATGAAACTGCGTCGTGAATTCGCGGTTACTCCAACGCGGACCTGGACTACGAGTCCTGCGTGCGTGTATAAAGCCTGTGCCCCAAAGTTGCATGGGGCTGGAGACGAGTGCTTTGTAGATAAGAACTTTGCATAAGGAGAATTGCAAAATTCTAATTCGTCTATGATATGCGCCTAGTTCTACGAGCAACACTGCGAACGGTCAGGCTAATACTAGCTATTGTTGCAAGACTAATTTATTCTTACAGCGCAACAGGCGTGCACTCAACCGGGCACGATATTAAATAAGAAAGAGCAGAGTTAAATCATTCCATCATTTAGATATCGAAATATCACAGAAAGCTTCAAAAGAAAGTATAGATAAGTAAATAGCATAGAAAATCTTGAAGTTTAACTCTATTAATATATAAATGGGGTTGATATGTATAATAGTTACACATAATAATCATTATGAAGAAATTTACGCAAATGCCACAACCCCGTAGGGCGGGAGGTGGGATGCCGAAGCCGAAGGCCTATGCCACCCACCTGCGGCTGTAGCACGAAGAAGATAAAAGTTCTGTAGTGGGCAGTCTTTATCTTCTTCATCCTTCTTCTAGGCCTACACACAGCTACGCGGGACGAAGAAGAACTGGTTGAACATACTACGCACTTGGGGAGCGTAAGCCTCTATCACGTCTTAGTCGTAGGTAGGCTATTCGGGCCGTGCCAAGACGGCACAGCCCTTTGTCCGACTGCGCCTAGGGCCTGAATAACTGCCCAGACTAAGCATACGGGCAACTGGAGGCCAAAAATCAAATACTACGCGAAATAACACCCAAAACGACAACGCCTTTCCTTCCTTCCGCCTTATAGGCGCCACTATCGCAGTGGATGGTGGTGTGGGTTAAAACGCCTCCCGAACACTAAAAATCCACCATCGTGGGTGGAAAAGTGGGCTGATAAAGGAAAACCTCAGATCACGTGACCGCACACGAACAGCCCCTTTTCCCCTTTTGTAGGAGATATAGAACACATCATCAATAAGTATACAGAGTTGCGCCCTAAGTTAAATCTTCTTAACAAAGATAATTAAATCAAATAGATATATGATATTAAGATTCATATAGAGTTATATGATATTGTCAAGTTTTTCATCTAACCCATGAAGACATAACCCTTAGGTCCAAGGTATATAATGGCAATCATTTTTTCGGGTTATTAAAATATCGCGGCATCTCTATCAGTAGCCTTGTCTAATGGCATTGTAACGTTGTTGTCTCACTAGATACGAGTTACTATCATCTTAGAAATCCCTGCACCATCATATAAGCTATAGAGCAACCCTACACATGGGCTGAACCCGAAGGAATGTAAGGCAACTGGTTATTTCTTTTTCGGGTATGAAGTCCGACTGAGGTGTGCGTGCGGGTAATGATGTTTGTTAACTTCAGAATGTATCTGTCTCTGTTGGCGCCTTTCAACACTTTACGGCTGACGAGGGCTCATGTCCCTATGTGGCATCTTCTAGATCAGCAAGCATAAATAGGTTGTGCCATCATTCTCCTCTTCCCATCTGTGCTCGATGCTTTACTATTCATCAGTCTCATCTGACGCTTTGCTATATCTTTCAACGGTCCTGCCAGCACATCACCATGGAAATGAACGAGCCTATTGCCATTGTTGGCAGTGGATGTCGTCTTGCTGGAGATATCGATTCACCCTCCAAGCTCTGGCAACTTCTACGCGAGCCTTGTGATCTTCGTAAAGAAATCACCACTGACCGATTCAGCGTTGATGGATTCTACCACCCTGATGGATCTTATCATGGTCACAGCAACGTTAGGCATGCCTACGTTATGAATCATGATCCAAGTCAATTTGATGCAACGTTCTTTGGTATTAAACCAAGCGAAGCAAAGTCAATGGATCCACAGCAGCGTCTTCTTCTAGAGGTTGTTTATGAATCTATTGAAGCAGCTGGCATGTCTATCACCGGGCTTAATGGAAGTGATACTGCCGTCTATGCTGGTCTGATGACCAACGACTATGGGATGATGCTCACACGCGACCTTGCACATGTCCCTACATACCACGCAACTGGTATCTCTTCAGCTATCGTGTCTAATAGGGTATCCTACTTTTTCAACTGGCATGGGCCGTCTATGACAGTTGATACAGGGTGTTCCGCGAGTCTCGTCGCCCTTCACCTAGCAGTGCAGTCTCTCAGGAATGGTGAGAGCAGAATGGCTATAGCCTGCGGCACAAACTTGATACTAGGGCCAGAATATTTTGTCATCGAAAGTAAGCTAAAGATGCTTTCCCCAGACGGCCGGAGTAAGATGTGGGACCAGGCAGCCAATGGGTATGCCCGTGGAGATGGTGTGACATCTGTGGTCTTGAAGACATTGAGCGCGGCCCTAGCAGACGGTGATCATATTGAATGTATCATCCGAGAAACGGGGCTGAATCAGGACGGGTCTACTCCTGGAATCACCATGCCTAGTGCAGCCGCCCAGGAGGCTTTGATTCGGAGTACATACGCCAAGGCTGGATTGAACTTGCAGAATCCATGCGACCGGCCGCAATATTTCGAGGCTCACGGCACTGGTGAGTATTATAATCTATGAAAATATTGCGTTATTATTTATTTTAATCCTCTGTGGAACAGGTACTCCAGCTGGTGATCCAATCGAAGCTGAAGCGATTAGCAAAGCATTCTTCCGCGATCCTATACTTGATAATACCGGTCATGATGGGGCGATCGAAAGACATCCATTATATGTCGGGTCTATCAAGACCGTACTAGGCCACACAGAAGGATCTGCAGGCCTTGCAGCAATTCTGAAAGCATCCCTCGCCCTTCGGAATTCCACAATTCCACCCAATTATCTTTTCAACCAACTCAGTGACCGGGTAGCACCATTCTACGACAACCTTGAGATTGCCACATCCGCAAAGCCGTGGCCGAAGATCCCTGACCAACAAGTGAGACGAGCTAGTGTTAATAGTTTCGGTACGAAGGGCAACCCATATTTCTCACCCGCATATACAGTATATTGACAATCTTTAGGTTTTGGGGGAGCTAATGCTCACGCAATTCTGGAAAGCTACCATCCTCCTCTGCCCAAAGCAAACCAAATACTACACAGTGGCTCCCGCCCTACTATACCGTTCGTCTTCTCAGCTCCATCCGAGAAAGCTCTCAAGGCTGTTCTTACCTCTTATGCGAATTACTTATTATCGAAGCCGGATATTGCTATAGAAGATTTAGCATATACCCTGTGTGAGAGAAGAGGTCCTTTTTCTTTTCGCGTATCTTTTGCTGCAGGTGATCTTGATGATCTCTCAGAAAAAATCAATATCCATTTGCAGCAAGAGGGAGGCATCATCAGCACTAAGGCTTTGGCATTGGCCCACCCTGGCCAACACCATGGAATCCTGGGAGTCTTCACCGGCCAAGGCGCGCAGTATCCGCGTATGGGCGCTGAACTGATAGAAAAGTGGCCACAGGCCCGTCGAATTATCAAGCATCTAGAGATGATGCTCAGCCAGCTTCCCATTAACGATCGTCCCTCGTGGTCTTTGAAAGCCGAACTCCTAGCAAACGCCAAGTCTTCTCGAGTCCAGGAAGCTACCATATCTCAGCCTCTGTGCACTGCTGTGCAAATCATGATGGTTGACTTACTCAAGTTAGCCAAGGTCGATTTCTGCGCTGTAGTCGGCCACTCTTCCGGTGAAATTGCTGCAGCATATGCTGCTGGATTCCTCACGGCTCGAGAAGCTATCTCTATTGCTTATTATCGAGGCCTGCACTTAAGCTCGGCGGAAAGTCCAAAGGGGAAAGAGATCCCTGGAGCGATGCTGGCTGTAGGTTTGTCGATGAGCAAGGCAAGCATCATATGCAATCGTATTCAATTTGCGGGCCGAATCTCAATTGCGGCGAGCAACTCCTCCTCCAGCGTTACTATCAGTGGAGATGAGGACGCAATTATTGAGTTACAAGCCACACTGGATGCCGAAAAGGTGTTCAACCGACGGTTGAAAGTTGACAAGGCGTACCATTCAGCACATATGGAGCCATGCGGTGGCCCCTATATCACCTCTCTCGAGGCTTGTGTGCGGCAGCGACAGGTCCAAGAGAGCAGCAATACCTGTTTATGGTACTCGAGTGTGTACGATAAGGCAATTGACCCTGCCCAGGGTGTTTCCTGCAACTACTGGGCCGAAAACATGGCAAACCCAGTTCTTTTCTCTCAAGCGCTTACTAGGGCAGTCACAGAAATGGACTTCGAAGTCGTCATTGAGGTCGGTGCTCATCCGGCTTTGAAGGGGCCCGCTAGTCAAACCATCGGAGAAGCAGCCCCCTCAGGGCAGCAAGTTCCATACCTTGGGACGCTGAAACGCGGCATCACCGCAGATGAGGGATTTTCAGTCGCCCTAGGTCAGCTTTGGTCCCTTTTAGGTCCTCCACAGGTCAATCTTTGGGAGTGTGAGAGAAGCATGCTTGGAGATATGAACAACAAGTACAGTGTCGTCAAGGGCTTGCCTTCATACCCATGGGACCACAGCACTAAGTTCTGGCATGAGGCGCGAGCCTCTCGAAATATGCGTCTCAGAAAGAAGGCGGTTCATCCTCTCTTGGGAGACATAACCCCAGACAGCACCAATCATCACCTTAGTTGGCGCAACCTCTTACGCATCAAAGAAATAGAATGGCTCTCCGGACACGCTATACAAGGCCAAGTCGTTTTTCCTGCTGCAGGATATCTCTGCTCAGCGCTTGAAGCCTCACGTATACTTGCTAGTGACAGGGATATTCGATTGATTGAGCTTGCCGACTTTACAATTCACCATGCCGTCGTTCTGCCGGAAGACGATGCTGGCGTCGAAGTGCTGGTTGAACTTGTCCAGATTCCCACTACTGGATCAGATTGCCTAAAGGCAAGGTTCACCTACTCAGCTGCTGTTGGACACGATGTTGAGATCCTCACTCTCGCAGCAAGCGCAACCATCGTGATCAAACTCGGAACACCCGCAACTCCACTTCTCCCTCCAAGCCTTATAGCCTCGAAGCTCCAGCATGCAACCAGGGTTGATGTCGATAGCTTCTACTCTGCTCTGGCAGAGCTTGGGTACAACTTTACTGGTCATTTCCGTTCATTGTCGCAACTTACGAGAAAAAATCGACTGTCTTCTAGCTTGATTCACACAGTACCCTCGAATCTAGAGTCCGAGTCACTTCTCATCCACCCTGCAGAGTTGGATGCCGCATTCCAGGCTATTTTGCTGGCTTGCAGTTATCCGAACGATGAGCAACTCCGTGCTTTGCATCTTCCAACAGCCATACGTCTGATTCGAGTAGAACCTGCACAGTGCAGCTCTCGAGATACCAAATCAGCACAACTCCTGCCAGTCGAGGGGGCTATTTTTAGTAGCAACGATGAGATTGGTATTATTGGAGATGTGAATATCTCTTCTCCTTGCTCCTCGAATGTTATGGTTCAGATGCAAGGTATCAAACTTGTTCCGTTTGGTGGAGCTAGTGCCGAGAAAGACGATAGAAAACTGTTTTCAACAACACAATGGATCAGCCATAGCCTGGATGGCTCAAGCTATACCCCATTAGATCAACATATGCATGACACCATGAGCGTGATGGAAAGAATTTCGGCCTTCTACCTCCACCAGATCGACCTTCAACTTGCTCAAGACCACCCATTAAGATCTCAGCGGCCATTATGCTTCTATCTTTCTCACGCCCATCACATTACATCTCTCGTCGATAGTGGTAGTCATGGACTAGCCAACAAAGAATGGGAAAATGACACTCTCGATAGTGTAATGCGCGCAAGTGAAGGATTCTCTGACGTACCAGACATCCGCCTGGCACATCTTGTTGGCGAGCAGATGCCCCGTGCTCTAAGAGGGGAAACAACGATGATCGAAGAATTTCGCAAGGCTAATATCTTAGGTGACTACTACACCAATGGTGCCGTGATTCAATCGTCGGCTACGTGGATCGTTGGATTAATGAAGCAGCTTGTCAATCACTTTCCACAATTGAACATTTTGGAGATAGGTATGTTCTTGGTATCCTTACGCTCTCTCTACCGATGAGATTCCGGGTTTAACATTTGACTAAGGTGCCGGTTCAGGCGAAGGTGTGACATCGAGGATCCCTTCCGCTATTAATAATAGCTTCCTTAATTACACCTACACCAACGTCTCGGGCTCGATCCAACCTGACGGCACGGCGTTCTTCTCCCAGGTGGATGATCCAAAGCCAGTTCTAACAATCGATCTGGAGTTAGATCCTACCACCCAGGGCTACGTTGAAAGCTCCTATGACGTGATAATTGCATTTTGGATCATGCATGCTACTAAGGACCTGTAAGTTCGGCTCTTAATACTCTTCTGGCAGAAAATTCCGGCTCACTGGTCTGACATAGAAACTCATCGCTGTGCAATCTTCGTAAACTGTTGAAGCCTGGTGGCTATCTTATTGTCGCCGAAGGTAGTCTAACAAGTAGCGGAGGTGACGGCGGCCTTACTTCCATCTTCGGAACCCTGGGCGGATGGTGGCTAGGCGCTGATCAGGGACGGACATTGAATCCCTACCTGTCAACTGAAGAATGGGACAAATCTCTCAAGTGCACTGGATTCTCTGGAGTTGAGTTGACTGCGCCGAAGCAACTTACTGACACATTTGGAGCAAAGCTTTTCCTTTCTCAAGCTGTCAATGAGCAGGTCGCGTTTCTGAGAAATCCAGTTTCCATGATGTCTTGCCACCCACCCCCGATTGAAGATTTAATAATCGTCGGTGGGAAATCTCCACGCAGTTCTCATTTGGCCGATGGTCTCGAAAGAATATTCGCACAAGTTCCAGTTCAGCGGTTTAATACATTAGAGGAAGTCGATTACTCCACCATTAACAGCCGAAGTACCGTGATCAGTTTGACCGAGTTGGACGAGCCAGTGTTTTTAGATATCACAGAACCGAGATTTTCCGCTTTGAAGCAAATGTTTGGTCATGGAAAGAAGCTTCTTTGGGTAACAAGTGGCCGAGTCGATCATCAGCCGTACTCCAACCTCACTCTGGGGTTCGGGAGAACAGCCGCGATCGAGACGCCGGGTCTTTTATTGCAGCAGTTGGATATTTATAATCCTCTGCTGACGGAAGCCCACCAAATAGCCGAGATATTTTTACGTTTTGTTTCGACAATACCAGAGTCAACTTTGTGGAATGCGGAACCAGAAATCATCATTGACGAAAGGGGAATCGAGATGATCCCGCGCCTAAAGCCAATCCCCACGTTCAACAATCGTCATAACTCTTCATCGCGCGAGATCAAACAGCTAGTTGACACTCATCACTCCCAATTTTCTCTCGAAACAACAAAGTTAGGTTGGACTGCGAGGTACCTGACAGCTCAATGCATGCATATGCCTGAAAACCTCGACCTGGTTACAATGTATTCAACCTCAACTGCGATTAAGACCTCAGTTGGTCAACAGTACCTTGTGTTGTGCCGACACGAAGTTTCGCAGAAAACCTATGTCACTCTCACAGCCTCTCTGGCGTCGACCTATCAACTTCCCGTCACGTCTCTTGTTCCCTTTACAGGGAATGCTTCCCTCTTGGATTTACTAGCAGCACAAATGATCTCTATGGCATTACTCGATTCACTATCGGCTGGCTCAACAGCGGTGGCATTCAACGCAACAGGGCATATGGTAATTGCCCTTAGAGCTCAAGCTTCCTTTCTAGGCATAAATCTTGTCTTCTTGTCCGATTCCACTAATGTCGAAGCTGCCGGTGCTAAGCTTGCACCATACTTGACCCAGTGTGAGCTCAACAAGATCTTACCAAGTGCAGCTGTGCTATTCATAGGGCTCTCAGCCTCCGACGATGAAAGGGAGCTAAACGAATCCGCAATCATGTCTGTTCTACCACACCACTGTCGCAGGGAATCGGCTAGCACGATTTTTAGTTACGAGGGATTGTCAAACGCGGCAAGCATTGTGAGCGCTCTTCGCCGCGCTATCAACAAGATCAACAGTTACGATCCAGCACATTTAGAACTAGCTCGCTCGCTTGATTTCTCGGTGGACATAGGCAGTCTTCTTGAAAGACCTCTCACAGGCAACCCCCTAGAGATTATAGATTGGACAAAGTCTAGTACTATACCAATTACAGTGGGCAGAGCAGACAATCAGCAAACCTTCCGCAGTGACAAGACCTACTGGATAATTGGCTTGTCTACCGCACTCGGGGCATCGCTGTTTGACTGGATGATTCAGCAGGGAGCCAAGAACCTGGTCTTTTCTAGGAGGCGGCCTGATTTGGACGTTGAATGGGTCGAAGCTCACAAGCGTAATGGGGTTAGGATTGAGGTAGTTGCATGGTATGTGAACTGTTCCACTCTGCCCTTCTAAGTACTGACCAAAGCCTAGCGATTTGACCGACGAAATGAGTCTCAAGAGAGCGCATGCTGAGATTTGCGCTACCTTACCGCCTATTGCCGGTGTCATGAACGGCGCCGCCGTCTTTAGGGATAATTCGATTCTCAACATGTCTTTCAATGAGCTCGAAGATAGTCTCGCCCCTAAAGTGCTCGGAACAATACACTTGGATCGTATTTTCTACCATGAAAACTTGGACTTCTTCATTCTTACCTCCTCCATAACTGGTCTGCTCGGCAGCGAAGGGCAGGCTAACTATGCTGCAGCCAACACGTTCATGTGCGGTCTTGCAGCCCAGCGCAGGAAACGTGGTCTCGCCGCCACGGCCATCAACTTGGGAGCAATCGCTGGCGTCGGTCTGTTGGAAAGGTCAGATAAAAAGGTCCTAGAGTCTATCATGCAAAGACTTTCCCTTATGCCTGTGTCCGAAGGGGACTTCCATCAGATCTTTGCTGAAGCCATCGAAGCTGGTCGTCCTAACTCGTCTACATGTGGTCCGGAGCTTACGACGGCGCTTCGTGCCGTCCCATTTGATGATTCCAATGCCCCGGCTTTCTTTTCAAATCCTATCTTTTCTCACTTCCGACAGGTAGGATTAGGGCAAAAGACAAAAGGATCAAAGGGCGCCTCCACCAAAGAGCTCCTTGCTATGTGCGAGACTGAAGTCGACCTGCAAAATATTATCAAAGGTATTCATCTAACCAAGAGTAGTGACTTTGACTCAAGCTGACCACGTTAGGGGCATTTTCGAACGAATTACGCAAGGTGTTACATACAACAATGTCCGACGACGAGCTCATGGAGATGCGAAGCATTGACCTTGGCATTGATTCACTGGTCTCCATAGACCTACGCACCTGGTTTACGAAGAACCTGAAGGTCAATATCCCTGTTCTCAAGATCATGGGCAATGATCCCACTGGAGACTTGGTTTCGTTTGCTATAAATCATATACCATCTGAGCTCGTACCCATGATGCCGAATCGAGATGGACTTGGAGAAATAACCAAAGAAGATGCTAGCAAAATGACAATCGACTGGGACGTGGAAACTGCCCCCCCTGCAGATTTGTCCGGACTTACAGCTATACCTGTCGTATCCACTGGCAACGGCGCTGCTCCGAATACAATCGTCCTGACTGGGGCCAGTGGGTTCCTGGGACATCACATCCTCCAAGCTCTCCTAGAGCAGCCCTCTATCACAAAGGTCCACTGCATAGCTATGCGAAGACTTCAAGAAAAGCTGAAAAAGGGTGACTTACCACAAGATGAACGCGTTGTTTACTACGAAGGCGAATTGCACCAACCACGACTAGGTCTTTCCGAGGCGGCGGCAGCATCGATATTTGGGGAGGTGGACGCAGTTATTCACAATGGCGCTGATACATCGCACCTCAAATCCTACTTTGACTTGAAACCGTCAAATATCGATTCCACACTTGAGCTAATCCGGCTGTGCTTGCCGCGCAGGGTGCCGCTACATTTCGTGTCCTCCAACGCCGTCGGACGATACTCGAACAAAGAACAGATCGGCGAGGTCCCCATTTACTCACCCGGGGCGCCGCAACCGCCAACAGACGGATCCTCGGGATATCGCTCGACGAAGTGGGCTGCCGAGACATTGCTTGAGCGGGTTCATGAGGCCACTCGTCTACCGATATGGATTCATCGTCCCTCGACGATCATCCGGTCTGGGAGAGACGCCGAAGGACAAGCCGCCCAGCTCGACTGGATGAATGCGTTGATCTGGTACATGGATAAGCTATCGGCGGTGCCCAAGCTCAACCACGGCACGGGGTTCCTGGATCTCGTTCACGCTCGAACCGTTCGCGCCGGCATCGTATCGCATGTCATGAAGGGCGAAGCGACGGGCAGAACGGAGAAAGTCGGCTATGTGCATCACATGGCGGACCTCTTGTTGCCGTTGGCTAGGTTGGAAGAGTTCAGTCAAGAGTCCGGGCGCCAATTTCGACAATTGCGCAGGGAAGAATGGACGGCGGAGGCGGTTGCGGCTGGCATGCATCCGGCGGTCGTGGTGTTGATTGAGATGATGGATGCGCCTGATCTCAAAGGCCCACCGATGTTCGTCAAGGGCCCTGGGTCTCCCTCGGAGCCTCTCCCGACTGGGAACTAGATGGGATGCTTGTATTTATCATGGATTTCGTGGTCATGGTGTATGCTATTGAATAAGCAGCTCGCCAGCGAGTGCCAAGGGGTGTCAGATATACGTAGAATGAGGGATATAGGCATAGCGATAGTGCTATAGGGGCTACAGGTTTATGGGGGGCCACCTACCTAGGTATACACTACAGTCTCTACAGCCCCTATAGCCCTTCGCAGTACCGATAGTCTACCTACATGTACCTTATACAGCGTTTTTGCCAGCTGCCTCATGTCATCTTTCATCTCATATTGCTAAACTGTCGATATGAGAGATCAATTTAGTTCTGCCCTAATCTCTATTCCTTCTGTAGTCGTCTTCAATAATTGCGACTCGAACCCTGTTTTGTCTATTTACTGAGCACCATACCGAAGTCGTCAGCTGCCACTGCCCTGCCGCCACTCTTCTCGTTTTAAGTCTACGTGGTTGAATCAGATACTATGTGTAATCTAGTACGGCCTTTTACTAATTTTCAAGTCCTGAGATGTCCAATGTCCGTGAAGTCTATGATTATATAGCCTCAGTATTTGATACGAACCTACACGTCTCCTTAGGTGGTCTTTTGTACGGCCTTTACCCCTTCGTTGACTTCATCCACGAGATGCCGAATCTCTATTAGACATATGGTGAGGTAGGTAAGTAGCTTTGGAACCTGCCGAGCCTGCCGAGGCGGTTGAAGGAATACTACGAACACCTAATTGGTGGTGGGGTTTGGTGGGTGTCTGTAGTATATGTTCGTAGTATTGTTTCAACCGCATCGCCTGCCTATCCATGTCCTCTCTCTTAGTTCGCCGTTGCGCCTGATGAATGTTCAACTGTTCACAGAACCCTTCAGTGGCAGAGTATCGCTTGGCGCGCGGGGGTGTGAAAAAACTTATCCAATGATGTATCGCGACTTGTATAAGCGGTCAGATCAGGCAACCCTGGTATATGCGGCTGAACAGAACCACGATTTCGTCGCTGCTCTTGTATAACAGTGACCCTTACGACCGCTCACATCATTTCGAGCTCATTCCTAAAGAAAGCTTCGGTGTATGTTAGCTGAATTCAATCGAATTTGATACCTGCGTATAGTAGGACTCCTAAGCTAACGTAATTCTTAGCATCCCGCTTGTCCTCATAACTACACCAGCTTACCCATGAAAACCCTGCCGCCAATCACCAATCAGCGATGGAGAAGACAAGGTGTACAGACATTGGGGCATCTCATACAATGTCTTCCGAAGGCATACATGCAGCCCGTGGGGATCCAACAGACTGTTTACCTTGCGAATTTGGGGGGTATTACAACTACTGTGATATGGTCTTCGCAGTAGACGACGTTGAGAGCTGGGTCGAACATATCGTCAATGTACACCTCCAAGGCAAACTACCCCAGAAAGCGGTCTGCTGGTTCTGCGATGATATTGTCTTCGATTCTGAGCGTACTAAAGACCGTCGTGTGAATTTTGACCAGAGGATGCGGCATATTCATGCGCATATTCTCGAAGGGAAGGGAGTCAATGATATGCGTCCCGATCATTGCCTCAATGTACATCTACGCGAACACCAATTGATAGAAGAAGACGCGTTCAATATTACGCGCAGATACTCCGAGGTTCCTATATTTATCCAGGCGCTGCACGAAATAGGTCCCCAGACCCGTCGAAAGATTCATTCTCCTATTCACCAGCTTGGACGACTTGATGAACTTGATGATGAGTCTCCTCGTGCGTATACTTCATCAAAAGCTGGGAGGTCTAGGAAATCTAGGAAATCTAATATTGCATCTAAAGCTGGACCCACGCCAGCACTCGCCCAAGATGCTCTTAAGTCGCAGAGCTCCCCAGTCCCATCAACGTCAGCAGAGCAGCCAATTCCGGCATCTAGTAAACATCTCGAGGGCCACAATCGGGATACCTCGATGTCCGACCACGTTCTGATATGGAAACTGTCAGAATATAGTATCATTCGGTTCAAGAAAGCCACCGAGGGCCTTGAAGAAGATGACCAACGTATATGGCCTAACTGGGAAAAATGCATCATAACACAAGATGATTCTCTCTCAAAGGAGGACGCCCGTGAACATATTCAGCAGCTAAACAAGATCTTAAAGCTCACTGACAAGCAGGTGAATATACCTACGGCACTCAAGAGGCACGTCGACTTGGTCCTGGAAAGGCTCCAGACTCATGACCCCGACAAAGTGAACTTTCACTGGACTCTTGAGCAGCTAGAGCACGGACTGAAGACAGTTAACAAGGCTGTATTAGATCACATCGGACATGCTAGCTCAACAGGGAAAAGATTTCTACGAAATATCAATCGAAAGAAGGCGTATGAACGAGTCTCTTTGACCGCGTATTTCAAACGGAGTCCACGACCAGGTGTTGATCTCTGGAAAGTATGGGAGACTACAAAATATAATTCAAATAATCCAGCCAAAGCCATTTTATACTTTCCCAAACCCCATGAAGGAGAGCAGCACAATGTTATAGCCAATACGGAGTTCGACAAGGATGACCTTCTTTATCCGTATGACTCAGACGAGTCTTCAGGTTTAGGGCCAGAGGAGAACGTGGACAATCATAGAGAGAGTCAGCAAATAGATGATGAACGTGAAGAAAGAAAGAAAGCCCATGAACACGCAAGCAAGACCAATACAATCACGGTAGAGCAATCGTTCATGTCAAATTCTGAATTTGACTCTGGTTACAGATCCTTGTCGAACGCGAAACAGACTTTGGAATCTGTTAACGAAATAGAGCCTCCAACATATCAAAATTTCTTATATTCAGAAGCAGGGAGCCTAGATGGACGGACCGACAATTACGCTCAGTATCTCGCAGATGAATTGATTGCCAAGCTCAATAATGAGCTCAAAGATGTAGATTGGGCTAAGTTTCGAATATCCCTATCCAGGTTACTTCAAGAGTTTGCAATCCGAGTGGGCAACGAAGGGGAAACACAAAGCCACAGGGACCTAATGTATTGGACCCATAAATGGCACGAGTACGTATAATTCCCAGGCACTCACTTCACGTAGGGCTATTCGGCTTACAATGGACATGCTTCTAGGGACATTGTGAAGCATATAGAGAAACAACAAGTGCTGTGTGACAAGGACTACGAAGATGAGCTGCAAAAGAAAGAAGGGGATCCAGACTGGCGAGATCGTATTGGTTTACTTTTTGATAGAGACGATCAAGATTGCACCCTAGATCCTATATCCAGCACCGAGGGAAAGGCTCTGGCCTCTATTGAGATTGAACCATACCAACAAATTGTCTCACGCTCTCGAGCCTTCGAGTGGCTGGTATTTTCTATCCGAAATTCTATAATTCTAGATACTGTCAATGACAGTGCTATGGATGCAGTGAAACAGCGGATCTTACAGAAGCTCGAGCTCCATGATCAGAAACGTGGTTACGGCGCAGCTCGAATCAGTCGGCACAGAAATCCAGCCAGCTATCGCGCCAGTTTCACCCTCGATTGGCCGTCTACGAGAAATTACCAGGAGGGGAACTCGTTCAAATCCCTGTCCGATATTTTTGAACGCGTTCTGACGTTCACAGGTGAGTCCAAGCGAGCACAGGCTTTACTTTGTGAGGACTATATTTGTCAGACTTGGCCAAGCACCGGGCCATTTCTCATTCAATCAGTCCTAAAAGCTTTAAATCGCGATACCAAGAGGAATGGAGCAAGTGGTTCGTTGCAAGAACGAGATAGCCTGATCAAGATCCAGATATCTGAGGGGGTAATGCGCGTCCATCGTCAAGGCAATGCTTTCGAACTAGCAGAGACTGGGATGCAGCTAGCATGGCTTGCCAGCGCTCTACTCCCACAGCCGAAGTTTAACCAAGGCATCATTTGCAAACCAAGGGTGTGTTTCAGCCGACTTGATTCAGAAAACGACACAAAATACCAGGGTGAAGCTGATGACTTCTGCTGTCATTTTGAAGTCACAACGACTACATTTGACTTAGGTAAGGTATCTAGCGAGAACGGGAACTGCTGGCAGACAGTTATGAATAATTTCGTCATTGTAGACGGATTTCCGATCCGTTCTCGCCCCGGAGGAAAGCCTGGCCTAGATATCCCGCTGAATATTGCGGCCGACTTTATTGGAACACGGAAAGTCATCCATTTCAAGGGTCGGCCGCTAATCAAGGGGTTTTCAACAATGCTCTGCCCTATCAGCTCGGAAGATGGGGTTGTGTATTGGCACGTGCTCAAGTCCGGGCAAGAAAGGATCTCATTCGCAGATGGGAGGATTGACAGGATGTCTACCATTAAACCGGGAAGTTTGAAGGTGCGCGATCTGGAGAACTCCCGCCACGTCATCGGTTGGTGCACAGAAGTTAAGCAAATCGCCGGTAAGCATACACCTTGGGTCTGTGGGATGAAACGAAATTGGGAGTCAACGGAACAAGTTTCAAGTTCCTAAAGTTGGTCGTGTCTCAGTTGACTACGTAATTACAATTTTGACTAAATCGGCGTGACCTAATAGGGACCATTGACGCCAATCTTGACATTCGTCGTACAAATTTGAAGCAGCCACCCAATGAATGGGCCTTGAAGGAGATTCAAGTCGGCGGAGGTCAGTACATTAACGTCCTAGCTACCTTTGCCGTCCGAAAAGAACAGAAATCTCTACACATCGAACGTGATCGCTCAGACTACAGCGGCAACATGGAGTGGATTGCAAAGCGACATATTATTCTACATGATACGGAGGCATCCGAGAGACGAGCTTGGCTTATAGATGGTGCTAGTGCTTTGCTGTATTTAGTGTTCACGTCACTTTGGAAGAATCAGCATGGTGTAATGCGGGACTCTTACACATTCGATTTTCAGCAGCTAAAGGGATTCTTCGGCAGCCGCCCATCAGGAATGGTAACCTCGCTTTCAGTCCTGATGAACCCAAAATTCCTGGGCACTAGGTTGCGTGCTCGGGACCCCATGAACCCCTCGGATTGGTACTTGTTGAGGAATAGGGTAGATGAAATCTTCGACCTACTAGCCCAGATGATTGACCACCAGGAAGACGTCAACCCAGATAGTGGTTTGGGACACTTCGTGTCCTTTTCACCTTGGAAACATCACGTTGGATGGGCCTTTTCCGACATTGCGTCCCCTGGAGAGCCATGCAATCTGAAAACGACGTATCTTAAACAACATGGCGAAGGCTGGGCATACTTCGCTCGTGAATTACACGCTGTAACCTTATTCGGCCATGGGTTCGGAGACTTATTACGGCCTGCCATAGTGACACCAGACCCGTGTAATCGCTGCCTTTGGGGATCATTGGCTCCCAAAGGAGGCGATATCCTTGCAGTATCATTGGAAGATCTCAAGTTGCACTCTGAATCAAGCGATCAGCGTCGGCTCGAAACTAGATATATCCTCGGTCAGCGATTATCCGAGGCGTCACGGGACAGTTGCTTCAGAGCTTGTTCTTCCGGTAGCTGCACCAGCCAGCGAATCCAAACTTTTCACAGAGTCCCAGGAAAGGGTTACGATCCTATATGGGAAGACGCTAGTTTGCCTGAGTTAGATGAGAGATGTTCAAGCAATAGCATTAATGGCGCGGCATTGCTGGGTGTTCGGCCCACGACTTCCACAAAGTGGAGAGCCAGTAGGAGGAAGCGTGATCAAAAACAGCCAGATGGCTTACATCAGTCTCATATAGACTCAGATGAGCTTTGTGTCGCAGATGGCGGCTCCAATAGTACTAACGAGAGCTCCAGCATTACTCTTAGTCATGAGTCGATGCAGATGACTTCACTTCAAACTCCATCAACACCAGGGTCGAGTGTGTCGAGACAGCTAGATTCTTCATTTACCATAGATGAAGGTATAACAAGTATACCAGCCCAGGTTTCCAAAGGAAAAACTCCTATTCGGAGGATACATGCGGAGGCCCACGATTGGGTCCACAAACTCAAGCTGCCAAGAAAAACTAGCAAAGGGAATTCGACAGAATCGAGTTGATCCGCTTATCATGCGACTACAGTTCCTTCTACATATACGCTTATGAAATCTTTTCAAAGGGTGGGGGAAAAAAACATAAAAAACGGTCGACTTTAAACCCAGGGGTGAGAGAAGCTTCACTTGCAAGTTTGAGTAGAGCGAGCTTAAACAACATATTGTGTTGGTATTTTATCATATTCACGAAGCCTTTGGTCAATCAAAGATTGATGAGATAGGTGCAAGCAGTAGGCTCGTTGCTTGCTCGGCAGAATGAATTGGTGACAGGCAACGCGAACCTGGTTCAGGATTGTCACGTGAGGAACACACGTCAGTGATGGCCGGCCACAAAGGCAGTTTACTTCGTCTTCCACCAAGCCTCCAGTCACATGTCGAGATGTTGAGTGTCCAATCAGAACCGTAAATATTTCTTGTCTTTGTATTCGTCTAACCCGGTGTGTTCGCTACATTAGTCGTAACGCATCTTTCAAGGGAAGCATAGATATTGGTACCGTTAAATCATGAGCTTGTGCCGCTGACGTTATGTGCGTGACTATGCAGACATGGTGTAGATGACGAGCGCCATAAAGATAACGAACGCTATAGAAATGACGAACGCCGTAAAGATAACGAATGCTGTAAAGATGACGAACGTTATAGAGATAACGAATGTTGTAAAGATGACGAGCGCTGTAGAGATAATAAGCGCTACAGAGATAACGAATGTTGTAAAGATGACGAACGCCGTAGAGATAATAAACGCTATAGAGATAACGTCTATTACTGTTTTCGCCTATCTCTCGCGTATGGGCGCAGTAAACGTGGGTGAACAGGGAGCACCGTCGATGGCCACCTTGGCCGTCGAGATGATCCTGTTACAGGCAATGAGGTCCTAACCGCGGGAGCCCGGGAACGTGGGGCTCTCTACTAGAGTTGTGCCTCCGACATGGCACCTTAGGCAAGCGTTAGCATGCCCTTGGGCAGTCGCCGTGAGTGTTATTGCTGTGAAACAATCCTCTAGAGGAAGTCGATGTGCAGGTGGCGTTATGTTGTAGTTAGCAGACGCTCAGATACATGTAAGGCTTCACGCAGCATAGGTGATCTCATCTACAAGCTTGTCCCTGTCACGATTCCTCTGCTGGATTTCGTTCTAACACAAGGAACAAGAGAAGCTAGAGCTAGCAAGTGTGAACTGCTAAAAGATGGGCCGCGGGTACGACTAAAGGGATAGGGTGGAACAACCAACTCGCTCGATGCCAAGGCTGATGTGTAACTAGGCTAGCTACTAACGTAAGATAGGCACATACCTGTTATGAGATTGTTAGTTCTGCAAGTCAGATGAGGCACGACGAGGTAAAATGAAGTCCATTACGATTGCCTAATATCTGTTAGATGCCTACCTAACGAAGTAGGTAAAGAGAGAGGATTCCTCGGTACTGGAGGTTTTCCATCACGCCTGTGAGGCAATTTAATACTACCTACCATGCACGGGTTTTTTGATTAAATACGAGGCGTTTTACACGCAAAATATAGTTGGCTTAAGACAATCACGCCGGATTTATCCTATGTGGAAGTGCATATGATTCCATGGAAACTGCTTTCAATCACAATCCTTACGCCAGAAGACAGTATTTCGCACCCAAGGTTTCATATCCGGCCCATCTCAAATAAAACGGAAAAAGTCGGCCACTTTTTCCCCCGATAGGCTTGACATTCACAACTACATGGCCATAATTCATCATATGGATCATGACTGTGAGTAGTCGCAGCGCTCCTGGCGACTAAAAGTCTCCCTTTGGTCAGTGGCACGACCCGGTCGTAGTGTCATGATAGGCACACCTTCTTCTCGCTGAGGGAGTGTTGGTAATGGCTATGTAATTTTTCTTGGCCACCAACCTAGAACTCTTGTGTATTCCCCCCCAAAAATACATACTTTGTGCAGGTCCTCATCGTCCATAAAGCCTGGCGATGGTCCAGTCTTGTCACTCATTTTTCTGTTCTTCAATCACCACAAATCTAATCAGCGCCCTCTCTCTCTTTAGCAGTTTGCTCTAAACAACTCTTTCATCTCAAGTATCATTCCAGTACAGTCAAGTCAATCTGCTACCAGATCCCTTCAAATACTGACGTCGATGATTTAGAAAACAAATCAAACGTACAATCAATCAAAATGGCTGTTTCCACCCACACTGATCTTGTCAACGAAGTTAACTGCTGCTCATGCGGCTACAATAACATGGCCGGTCGCCTGACTTGCGAAAACTGCGGGAGCAACATTCTATATGTTGTCAGAAATTAAATGTCTCATTTGACAAGGTTGGTAGCTGAATTCCCTCCTTTAACGAGCTTCAATACAATTACTTACATTATCACCTGCTTTATTATAGCTTGGACATCCATATGGAACAGGCTGTCGGTTAAATCGGCAACTTTTAAATAATTATGGGTGTGTTTTGGTTTCGCCAGATGCTGGGTCACTAGATGCCAGGAGACTGGTTTATTATAAAACGGGGAAATGGCAACAATCATAGCTTGGTTCACCCAAACAGCCTCGTTACAAGGAGACTCTTGATGTATGTAGTAGAAGCTGGCCCGCAAATGCGCACTAGAGCCTTTGCGCAACAACAAGTACCATATTGACCCACCACCTGCACAGAATTCCTGAAAGCTCATAATTACATATTTCTTGCGGTGCACTAATTCAGGTTCCACTACTCGGCTAACAACTAGGTTGATAGAACATCTGTTAAATAACGAACAGAAATCTCTTATTATTATAGAAAGGGGTGAGGGGCAGTTCAGACAGGCGGACTTAGCCCCTGTTTCAGCCACTAGGTAGCTTAGCCACAGGATTCACTTCTACAGCCCAAAGTGTAGGTGGGGCTATATAATAACCGTTAAACCATTTAAACGTTTAACGGTGTTGTTTTTAATGTTCGAGAATAAAAGACTGCTTAATAAATAGCGATAACCTTAATTTTTTATAGCTATATCTATAATTATTTCATCTAGTGTTAAAAGTGGTGAGTTTTGATGAGAAACTAGCTAGTGTATGGATTTAATTGTTAGGTTAATGTGCCTGTAAGGCTATAACTAACTGTTGGTACTGTTACACGTGTAACCTCTGTACCGGTTGAAGAATGCAGTTCGCCTTGCACTTCGGCCGTACGAAGGACCATTGCAGGCTGTTCATGACCTTCCAAGACATGCAGGCAATATTGGAAAGTGAGGTTATACAGACTTCGCTTCTTGAAACAGACCCTAGAGACCCAGGCGGTCTGGGCTGGCAGATCATTTGTATATAGAGCCTCCTCAAGCTACCAACAGCCGAGAAGGAGTTGGTTGGTCAAGGACTAATGCAGCCCTAGTTGATCATTGTAATCAGAATCCTCAGTTCCAAGCCCAGTTCAATCTGCCCTTGTTATAGGTACCTAGAGTTCTTGGCTGTTGGTCGTATGTTGATCGTCCTAATAAGTATTTAAATCTCCTCCTCTTCTTGACCTCTTCTCACGCACTTTTCTCTCGCGATTATATTTTTGTCTTTCTCAGTAGATATATTCCACGGAAATTGCTTATTGGTTAAGCCAACCTGCAATCTACCTGACGCTAGCTACACAACTTTGAGCACTGACTGAGTCCTCCTCTCACTCAGCACTCTTTCCTCTTTCGCTCCACATCTTCCGCATTTACCATTCATAACCTTCTGTTCAACATGCCTGCCGTCAGGGACTCGATTCGCCAGATTGATGACCAATCTTGGCTAATTGAGGGGAGCCTGCTACTCTCCCGCAAGCAAGCACCTTCCTCTGGTCTCGCGTCCTGGAGTGATGGTAATGGCGATTTCTTTGTCCTAACCAGCTCTTCCAACCCTCCATCTGAAACACAGCCGCTCTCCGACACCAGCGAGATTCAGAAAGTTTATGATGCAAGGGAAGGTTCAGCTGTCTGGCGGGTTGGCGAGGCTTTCATTAAGTTGAAAGAATTGGTTACTCTCGATGCAACGAGGGAACATACCACCTTGCAGTACCTCCGAAACAAGCAGCCGCTTGATTTCAATATCCCAGAGGTCTATTACTACACCGACCCCGGTAATCGTTACTTGATTGCTTTGAGTAAAGTTCCCGGCCGCACTCTGAATGAAATATGGTATGAGTTGGAGGAAACAAAGCAACAAGAGTGTGTCCGGCGCATCGCGAAGATCTGCATAGATCTGGCGACTTGGGAGGGTCAGGCTATTAGTGGGGTTGATGGTAAACACTTTACCGATCAGTGACTGCAAAAGCCTAGAGCCCAAGATGAGATGAATTTCGATCCCGCTTATGTTCTCAAGAGCTGTAAAGAGATTGGGATGGATTGTTCGTCTTTTGTTTTCTACCATGCCGATCTTGGACCAGGAAATATCCTTCTGGATGAAGTGGATGGGTCAATTGGTATCATTGACTGGGAAACTGCTGGATAGGTCCCGAAAGAATGGATTTGTACCAAATTTCGCTGCTCATCTGGCCTAGATTTGCCACAAAGAGCTGGAAATGTTGCGACGACGGATTGGAGGGCTCGTGTTGCCCGGGAGTTAAATAGACTGGGTTTCAGTGACGCTGTTGATGACTGGGCAACTTGGTGGGGCCTTTATTAGGTCCATAGCTACCTTATAATACATCCTCGGGATTCTGTAACGAACCTACCTGCCTTATATCACCTGAGAGGCAAGGGCAGCAACGTCAGAAGGATCTTGATCTGTAGGGAATAATAGGATAGTCGGCGGGTGTTCGTTAGGGAGACGTAAGGGGGCTCCCATCACTGCGCGAAGATAGGAGTCTGGGCAGCACCGGACTCATTAATGTAATTATAGGTTAATGAGAGTATGAAATTGATAGCTATGGAACTATAAAAGAGTGACAAGATGCATAGGGAATCACGAAGTTATATAGATATAGGAAATGGTAGAGGAAAGGTGAACGGGACCAAGAAGGTCTCCCACTTGGTCGGGCTAAGACCTTTTCATAAGAATACTATAGGAAATTACAATAACAGTTGTTTAACGTTCTAAGAGATGACTCTATCTAGGGTTATCTAAGGTTAAAAGATGAATTCTTATATATCCTCCAGCTCTTACACTGTTTACAACATATGACGGAGTCGTTCTCTTTGTTGGCATAGTTCAAAATGTGCCTGATTAGCAGTTTTACGTGGAAAGACCAAATAATGGTGGGTTATAATAAATTACAAGAAAACAAAACCTCTCAACCAATAACCTTCAAAGAAGTCATGCCCGGCTGGCGCAATGGCTAGCGCACTCGACTTCTATTGCGGGGTTCATGGATTTGACCCCCAGAGATCGAGAGGCTGTGGGTTCGAGCCCCACGTCGGGTATATTTTCATTTTTTTATATTTATTCCTCAACCTCTGTATATAAGTTTTTGATCTACCTATTTATAAGCACTCTACTCCGTACATGCTTCTTAGTTAAACATGTACTGCTTGGCAAGATTTAGAAGTTTTACCATTCTTTTGCCAATTGAGAAAATGCACCAGCTGTGCTGCAGAGCATAGCTTCTTGTTCATCGATCAGAGTAGCGGATATCGCTACCCACACAACGCAGGCAGAGACGGCCTGACATAGCTACCTATATCGATTTGCTAATGTGATGTGTGTGATGTGACCAGACTTTGGCTGACCGAGCTGTCTGACGTTCTATCCGAGCATTCCCAACCGAATGGCTTCGGCATTTCATAGGACCATTATTCTCTCAACTAGATTGCCGAAATCCCCATTATTAAACAATTGGACATTGACTTCTAGGGCCCAATATTCAAGGTAATGGATCCGCCTGAAGAGGTGGCCAAGAGAGTATCAATCCCGAGTTGTGCGACACCAATGGGCTATCTATTACCATGGCGCACCAAGCAGCGCACGTCACCTTCGCAAATGATCAGGGCGCTGCACTGTCATCACCTTTAGTGGAAAAACAACGTCAGGGCGGTTGGAGCTGTTGGGTTGCAGTTGCAACGGGCAGTGCCACCTCATCCACCAATCTCACCCTAGGGATCATCTTTCAGTTGGTCGAGCTGATCTAATTTGCCCGGTAGGCAGACACGCAGGGGGCGGTTGGAGGCTTACGGGGAAGCGGCGCTTAGAAACCACTACGATCAAGATGATGCGAACTTTGATTATCTTTTCCCTCCAAGATTCAGAGTCAGAGGAAAGAGAGGGAGGAAGAAACAAGAGAGAGCACAAGTGAAATTGCTCGGTATTATAGGTAATGGACCCTCTTAGTGTGACAGCCTCGGTTGCAGGCTTGCTCACGGCCGCGCATGAGGTCATCAAGTTGCTGAAGCCGTATGTTTCGGCTGCTCGAGAGACCCCGGGGATCATTGCGCATGTTCGCGATGAGACTGAGAGCACACGGATCGTGTTAGTCGGTCTGCAGTCAATCGTCCAGGGAATACCCGGGAGGGTAACTCCCGGGGGTGCGCTCGTCGGTGTCGATCAGGTCGTCATAATATTAACCAGTGGCGTCCTGCTGTTTGCAGAGCTCGAGGGAGCGGTCCGAGGTTTAGTAGCAGCTCCACCATCGCTGCGTAATAACGAAAATTCTAGCAATGCGGCACTCTCACCAACGCAGTACCGACTGCCGCTACGAGCAAGGCTACAATGGGGGCACCGAGAACAGGCGCTGGGACCGCTACTGACGCGGCTGCAGGGGTTCAAGGTGTCGGTAACGGCGGTCTTGATGCTGCTACAGAGGTAAGAAGTCCTTTTTCATCACCCGGCAGGAGTGTGTTAATGATGATTGGATCTCAAGCGACTCGAACCGTCGAGCAGAGCACCTGCAAACGGAGTTGGCTATCAATATCGGGGCTCTTCTGGATAGCAATCACGACTTGTCGCGGCGCATGATGAGACTCGAGAATCCCTCTTACGTGCCGACGAGCCGGTCGCAGAGTAGACGGAGCAATATGTCCAATGCGACGGTGACAAGGCTCGGGAGCATTGCTGCCGCATCAGCTTCGAGTGGGCAGAGAGCAGTATCTTCGGAGGTGGCTGCGGAACAAACGGGCACCGCAAACGCAGTCACCGCACCATTAACACCTCCCTCTGAGACAACTCTTTCGGTCTCCAAACCCAATTCTCGGTCAGTATTCGAGTTTGAGAGCGACCTCGAGGCATCGCCCGTGTACCGCCGGGTCAAGCGCGATACAATGGATTTTTCCTTCCGGAGTTCTGTTGCACGTACACATGCCTGGTCGATATTCTCGGGTCGAAGTCTCGCTGATGTATCCGTGCTCTCTGTTATCGCACTACCCCTCGACGTGGAGGAGGTGACGAACAAACATCATTACATCAACACTTGCGGCCAACAGATGACTCCAGTAGTGGAAGGGATCACGAATACTCCCAAGCCAAAGTCTCTACGGGGAGAAGAGCAGTTTATTTTTCGCGACTGTTATATGATCTACTCCCAACTAATTCAGATCCCAGGGTTCCCGGAACTGTTCGAGACGGAGTGGCAAGCGCAGCAAGTAGCGAATGACGAAGGCGCCGTCGCAATGGATCAGTCGGGGCAGAGCCCAGCACCGCAGCTTAATATGTTCAGAGCCTTGAAGAGCATATTCCAAACAGATGCGCCGTATCGCCTCCTTTCTGGCGAGCTCGGGTGGAACCTAGATGATGAACTGCAGTCGTACTCCAACCAGTCTTCCGATCAAGTAGCGAAGAAAGCCTATTCCCTTTTCTTGCAGCTCTGTATGAATTCTGGTATTGAGATTGGCGATTTACCTTGCGCTGTGGAGAGTCCACGCTTCACCAACAGCGGTTTTCTCAGGGTGAGTTGAGCTTCCCACAGGCAGATCGACCATTGGGGCCTATGAATGTGCTTGGGTCTGCCTTTAGTCTTTTGTCTTTTATTTTTTATGCTGAAATTTGATTTCGCTCTCTCCATCTCCATCTTTTTTTCTGCTATTGTTGTGTTGGTGGTTCGTCGCCATTTTTAACGTATCACGCTTATGATGCCTCTTGTGAAATGTAGGTGTTGGCATGCGTCAGCAAGTCTCTTAACGATCTAATTGGTAGCGGAGTGATCTGCCCGCTCGATGTATACGACCTCGACGCCCTCTTGTCCCGAGAAAGTTCATTGTGCCTACCTCAAGAATGGGCTGGCCAACATCAGCATTCGTTTTTCAAGCTCGTGGATTCTCAGCGATCGTTCGTTCAGGATCTCCTATCCCTGATTGATGCTTTAGAAAAGTTAGCTCTGTACCATCCACTGCTCTTGTCAGATCATCCTCACATATCACCCTTGTTCTTTTCATGCTACGCGGACTCTGAGATTGAACTTCTGCTTGCGGTTGAAAGAATGATGTTGTTACCACCCCGCGAGCACTTTTGGGCCAGTTTGATTCGTCGGTGGTCTGTCACAGCCGAGACTCTAGGCTCCTTGATGATCACGAACAACAGAAAAGTTGGAACAGTTCTTCAGGAAGTTATAAGAGAGAAACGCAATATTCTTACATTCCAGCCCGACGATGAAGAGCTCTTACAAAAGGAGCTAAAACTCATCACAAGCTGCACAGAATCACTATCGAGTTTGTCCAGGATCTTTCCTCTAATAGCCCAAACTTTCCGAGATATACTGGACGCCCCATCTGGAGACTTAGCGGAAACAGAAATGATAGATTCAGCCCAGCAGAAGGACTTTGCAGAAGGCCGACGACTTGTGGACCATACGCTTCGGGTTATGAATGGGATGATTAGGCAGACCGAGCTTGAGGATGAATTAGGGGATATTCTCCGTTGCTTGAAAGACTGCCGGAGTGAAAGATTTGGACACCTTATTCGGACTGATAACTTACACGTTACCCCAAGCTATTCAGTTCGAGCCGAAAAGGTAACCAGATGCGTCAAATTTCTCCCAAACCGCCGCCCCCTATTAGCCATAAGCATAGACTAATGTCCATCTACAGTACTATGTCTATCTATTCGAAAAGAATCTTCTATTACTCACGGGACTTGAATATGATTCCGAGGAAGGGCAGGAATCACCTGTGCTAGGTAAACAGCATTGGATCGCCCATGACCCTACTAACATTCAGCTGAATGGTATGATATACTTCGCCGACATCATGAATGTCGAATTATTGGGCAATTACGGTATGTTTGCGTGCCGCATTCTATATTATCTGATTTCCGCGCAAGCTAACTTTTGAATCTGGCGACTCTTAGGAGTGTATATATGGTGGCGATCAGGCGACAGCAACGAAAACATCTTATTGAGTTTCACAAGCGAACAACAGACAATGCAGTGGTACGAGTCTCTAAAAACCCTGGAAAGAAAGTATCATACGCCCTCTGTCATGCAGAGAAGATCTGATGTCCACTCCTTCGTCTCGCTACAACCTGCTCATCAGTGTGAGAATCTACACGCAGGTGAAGGCGATGATGACGACGAGCCCGGTTGCGAAGACAGCATGAGCAAAGATGATTCAGAGACCGCTTCACAGTTTTTCCCGCATCACCTGCAGAGTTCGAAACCGACGTCGGATCTGATGCAATTGTCTGCTGGTACACAGTCACTGTTAACTCCCCCCTTGACGCCGCCCCCTCGCCTGCAAGACCGCCCACTTTTATATTCGAGGTCGCCACATCAGACAGGCTCTAAAACTAGCTTGACAAGTGGTTGGAGCAGAAGGAGGTATGCCGTCCACCCTTCCATGGGCTTGGCTGGTAACTAGAGCCAATATCTGTTTAAGGATATTCCTCCTCATCACTTGCACCATCATCGACCCTCCGAGGATAACACCGCGCCCGCACAAGACGCTCCAAGGCAGCTCTTATCTCTGGTCCAGCTTTGCGCCAGTCCAGCTGCTTCTGCGCCGACCAGCCCTCGTCGTCTCATGCCGTTGCATCTGGGCCCATGGCGAGAGCCTGCATCATCTCTAAGCTCGAGAACTACGCCACATGATGCAAACACGAGTACTATCTCGGGTCGGATGCGTTGTAGTTTTGATTCGGCGTGTCCAAGGGCGTCGACATGAGCAGGGTGCCGTACCGAGCCGGTCCCTCGCATTCAATTGATGGGAACCGGGTTTCTGGTCACAGGTCAATTGGGAGTATACCTAGGACAATTTTGTGAGCATCTGATTAGCCTAGTGCTTCTATGCACGTAGAAAAATGTTACAAGTCCATAGATTACATGGGAATAATCTGACGATGACTAGCCTGTATGAGTGTTGTCACAAGAAACCCGTGATCGGAACGACATACCTAATCGCCCTCATAATCAATACTAGCTCCACACTGGAGGAGCAGCTTTATACCCTCGATCAACTCGGCGTGTTGTGTCGTTGAGAGCCATTCAAGAGTGTAAAACTCCCGGTCGACATATTGAATAAAATCCGTTTCCTACCGCAGAATGCGTCGCAGGGCGAGATGCAGCATAGCTTGGAACCGAAGGTACTCATTCGATATGAGTGACCAAAGAATCGGGCTTCAGGTGGGTTTATTCGCCGTAAAGCCGCAGTCTTCACTGTTATCTACCTATAGGTAGCTTAAGATCTTTCATTTTCTATTCTACCTTGTAACGCCCTTATCATCGCCAACCTAGATATCTAGTGGGTATAGACAATATATAGCCATTGCCTTGGTTAGAAGACTGTTAGCAATATTCCGGGTGAATATTGACAACCCCAGAATATCTGGGTATAATATCCAGGGTGTTGTGTGTTCTGTTGTGCCCTACCTGAGACCCGAGCTCTGTTCAACGACTCAAGCCTCGAAGCTTATTCATGTCGACAACTCCACCGCATCATGTCATAATGACCACTTATTTGAGACGTACCAGATCCATCCCTACCTCGAGTTACTCTACATTAAATGCATACATACATACCTACATACATACATACATACCTACATACATACATACATACCTACATACATACCTACATACATACATACATACATACTTATGTAGTAGTCAATGAGTAAGTAGAGGGTACATGCCTTGTCACTAAATATAGGCCCAAGGAGAGTGTCGCGCATGACTAAGGTGGTGTACCCCACCCCCACGCATCGGCCTGGGCAGAAGCAGCTCTTGATGACAAGCACTGGCCCGTGGTCATTAATAATATGACAATGAGTTGGTCATATAAGCTTTTTCCACAACCTGGCTAGTTGAGAACCCCGAATTGCCGAGAATGAAGAGGAGGGCGGCCTTGGAAATGCTGCGCCTTGCAAACTCTTCATTCATCCAAGTTGTGATGGCATCCCTCTTTTTAAGTACTTAGGTAGTTAGGTACCTGGTTAGCGACCTTACAGTTACCTACAGTTAGACTTGACCTGCGCAAGTTACCTAAATCCTCCCTCTACCTCTCCATAAAGCAACATCCCTAAGGATTCTTACATAGTACACGCCCGACCACCGGGTCTTACTTGCTTACATACCCTACTGAACACAACTTCTGCCTTGGACTGCACGTGTACACAACTCAATTCACAGTCTTTTCACTTCACAGACTGCCCGCAGCCCTCCCATTGATCGATTACCTCATCCTGCCTCTACACACCCCGGCGGCGCAATGACGCCTGGATCCGACGATAGAAACGCCAGTGGTAGTGGTAGTGGCGGTGGGATTGGCAGTGGGATTGGAGGTGGAGGAGCCGAGGTCGACAGACCACAGCACAGAGACACGCCCGATCTTCCCTCGTTCTACTCACCATGCTCGCAACCCGTTCGAGACACCAGCGCCCACCATGCTGTACGAGAGCCCTTTTCCCTGTCGCCCGCCGCGCCCGCCTCGCCCTCTTCGCCCTCTTCGCCACCAACTCTCGGAGTGCCATCCGTGACACTGAACGCCCTCGGCTCGAGCGACGCTGCCCTCCTGCCGCCGTCCCTCCTATCGCCCGCCTTCACACCTCCCGCCACCCCCGGCACTACCACACCCCGCAGCGAGCAGCCCCGCAGCGTCCCTGTCGACTCGTCCATACCGTCCGGCGGCTGCGGCACCAAGAAACCCCGCCTCCTTGAGACCCTGCCCGACGTGCGATGCGTCGTGCGCGCACGCATACCCACCACCGGCGGCACCGAGATGTTCCTCCACCTCTACACAAACGACGTCGACAACAAGGAACATCTGGCTATCGTCTTCGGGCCACATATCCGGAGCACATCGCTCGACGAGCCGAGAGAAGGAGAGACAGAGATGGATCGCATGGTGCGAGGCGCCTACACGGGACGCCTATACCCCGGCAGGACACAGAGCGGCATGATAGGCGGCCCCGTGAGCCCGCCAGATTCCGACGGTAGCAGCAGCAGCAACGACCCGCCCCTCGTGCGCATACATTCGGAATGCTACACGGGCGAGACAGCCTGGTCTGCGCGCTGTGATTGTGGCGAGCAGCTGGACGAGGCGGCGCGGCTCATGTCCCTGCCCAGCGCCAAGTCAGGTGGCATCATCATCTACCTGCGTCAAGAAGGCCGCGGCATCGGCCTCGGCGAGAAGCTGAAGGCGTATAATCTCCAAGATCTCGGCTCCGACACGGTCGAGGCGAATTTGCTGTTACGACACCCTGCTGATGCCCGTAGTTACGGCCTTGCAACGGCTATGCTGCTTGATCTGGGCCAGAAGGATGTGAGGCTCCTGACGAATAATCCGGATAAGATTCGCGCTGTCGAGGGGCCGAATCGCGAGATCCGCGTCACGGAACGCGTGGCTATGGTGCCGCTGAGCTGGAAGGGGAAGGGGGGCTTCAGGAGTCGGGAGGTGGAGGGGTATTTGAAGACCAAGGTACGTCTTTTATCAATTGCTTGCTATTATAACCTTGTCTTCCCGTTGCTGTGTTGTTTTCACTCCCTTTCATCTATTCCGCTACCATTACTCTACCCCTTTTCAATCATGGATCGCATAGCCCCAGATGTCCATCAACCTAATCAAACCTTGTTGCTCCCAGATCGAAAAGATGGGCCATATGCTGGATATGGGTGGTCTCTAAGGAGAAAAAAAAAAGATGAGATTACAATATTACAATCATCAATGTAGATATAGATATATATGCATCATGTGTAGATTACATGCGTCTTTTTTTCCTTACTTATGCAAGTACTAGGTAACTAGGAACACATACTTTATTTTGTCACTCGTTTTGTCACGTCATGTCATGTCATAACGAGGTCGAACCATATAGAAGTGGCGTTTTGGGCATGGGGGAGTAAGTAGGATCAAAAATTCTCCAAGAAAAGAAGCGGAAGAAATGCCTACGGAATAGCGAAATAATTCATTCTCAAGCCTTTTCTTTGGCATTTCATGCAATGTGATGAAGTGTATACTTGTATGAATCCATATATGGCTTATTCTATCATACGTCTTTGAAAATGGAGAAGGAAAAAAAGTTAACTGGGATCAGGTTGTCTATCTTCTCGCTTATTTACTCCTTGTTGTTGAAGGCTCTAAAGGTAAATCTAGCAATAGTTACCCTAATCAGTAGGTAAGTAAGATTCTTGACAGCTATGTATGTAGGTACAGCTTTCAGTCAGTCGCTGCTAATGGAACTGCGCAAAACTTTATTAACTGTTCACTTGAGAATACACCTTCAATTTTGCTGGAGGCTATAGAATAACAACCATGCGCGAACTTGTATATTTCGAATCTTTCATCCATGTTGCTGTTGAACGTGAGTGAACGAACTCGAATTATTGAATTGGTTATATAAGAATGATGTCAATTCCGGACGAGTGAAAACCCCTATTATTAGAGTTCGACCGCACAGTCTTGCATGACTCTTAGTATGTACTAAAGTAGCTAATCTAGCCTCTCCTGACTGTCGGTAGATGTGAGTTCGTAGCTGGAGATTTTACTTAAGATGTATATAGGATGTTGGGCTGCTATCTATACAGCCGATGAATAGCTCGTCTAATTACACGGTATTGTATGCATACTGGTACTCAATGCTTGGGTTTTCATAATGAGCTGAGTGGACTTACTGGTGACTACTGTAGAGTTTCAAGGGCTTAGGACTGATAACATATTGCATGTAGGTCTGATACCTCTTTCGCCGCCGTCGTAATAAGCCAATCTTATATTTATGACACGATTCTGTTTACTTTGCTGTTTTGCTCCCGCGGCGGTTTCTTGGAACCATTAATCAATTCACTTGCGACCATATGCCATTAGGAGCTGGCGATTTTAATACTTGTTGAAGCTCCATTTCAAGCCGTGACTTCTTGTCCAAGCCCGAGACCTCTGAGGCACGTGAAAATGGATTTAGATATAAGTAAGGTCATGAAACCTGGACAGAGGGGATTATATATGCTGAAGGCTGTGAAATATGACTGGAAATGATAGGTAGTGTTAAGTTCTTAAGCTCATCCTGATTAGATGATAAGGAATGCTGCCAATCTAAGGAATGTGAGTGCTAAGTGTAGCTATAAGACTCCAAGTTCACGATCGTGACATAGTGAAACATGGAAAACAAAGATGATGAAGATGAGGGAAGCGATAAAGCGACCAAACTTACAATAGGTAAGCAGTCCTTACTACCATCTACTTAACTGTATTGATGAATCAGATGAATGTCAAAATGTAATGAGAATATATTACTTACTTACCTGAAGAGTCTAGACTGTCGAATCTGACACAGCCTAACGAAGACTCGACGACACTACATACTATGTATCCCAGTAATTTCAGATAATCACTGGGGGCGCGTCAGATACGTATTTTCACACGTACACCACGAATACACATGAGGAGAGATAAGACGGCATTTATTTCGTAAGTAGAAAACGTCTCCCCTCCCTCCCTTGTCCGTGACCGGGGCCCGTTATCAATGAATCCAAACTGCAAAAGGCGTAGGATGAACCGATCGAGCTGGGGTAGCGTGTAGTGTATTTTACTTATCTTTGCCTAGTGTACCTATTCAATTTCCATTCCCCCCTGTCTAAAGGGGATACACGGACACTAAACTACTGCAGGAAGATATACCCAGATAGATAGCCAGACAGATACAGCTGACTGAGTATGGATGGATGGATGTAGGTATGCAGGTAAGGTATAAGAATGGTCGATGTCACGCCGCCATGCATAGCATGCATGAGAGAGATGCAGCTGCATTTTTTATTACATCATCCCATCCCATCCATCTAAGTATCTCTCTATTTGTTTTATTTTTTATTTTATTTCCCGTTGTATTCGCTTCATCTCATTCGTCGCGCAATATCTACGGTAGAGTACCTAGGTTAGGGACTCACTGGGCTTAAAAAGTACACATGGGAAACGTATGATACGGTTTACAGTAAAACCATGGCCGACGACTCTGAGCGACAAGCGCCCAATAACCCCGTCGCGACTCAGGACGAAGACCGGCTGGCGCAATTCGGGTACGAGCAGGAATTGAAGCGAGACTGGGTAAGCCACACACGTAATTCATACATGCATGGATTTTATAAACTTGACTAGGTAGTTACTTGATTTGCTGACTGATTGGATTTATTTATTGGAATAGGGATTGGCGCACAATTTTGGCGTGTCTTTTTCGATCATTGTAAGTGCGAGGGAAAGCTCATCAACGTCAAAAGACAATGAATATGTATTTATCATGAGGTCGAGCTGACGCGAGAGACTTCAAGAGTGTTATTACGGGTCTCACGACGTTATTCGGATATGGATTGAACACGGGCGGTCCAGCTGGTACGTCTTAGTCCTCATCTAATTACCTTGTCTAGGTAGCTAACACATCAATTTCTTCCTATCTAGTCATGAGCATCGGCTGGATCGTCGTATCCTTCTTCACACTCATGGTAGCCATCGCCATGGCCGAAATCGTATCCGCTATCCCCACGAGCGGAGGCCCGTACTTCTGGGCTGCCATGATCGCGCCCCGGCGCTGGTCCGCCTTCGCCGCCTGGATGACGGGTTGGTTCAACCTCCTCGGCCAAGTCGCCGTGACCACCGGCATCTCCTTCGGTCTGGCGAACCTCATCGCCACGGCCGCGACGGTGAAATCCACGACTTACGAGCCCTCGGCGTCGAAAACCATCGGCATATACGCTGCTGTCCTCGTCTCACACGGCTTGGTTAACACTTTTGGCGTGCGCGTGCTCAAGTACTTGAACAACGTCTCCATCGTGCTGCATTCTGCTGGTGTCACGGCCATTGCCGTGGCTGTCCTTGCCAAGGCCCCTACGCATCAGTCTGCCGAGTTCGTCTTTGGATACCTGAATGATGGCACGGGTGTCGACGGGAGCCCGGGCTGGAGCGAGCGCGCTTCGCCTGCCTACCTCGCTGTGTGCGGTAGTCTTCTTGCGCAATATACGTACGTCACCTCACCTCGCATTCATGTAGAATGAAATTAAACTAACAAACCACTTATATAGACTAACCGGGTTCGACGCCTCGGCGCATCTCTCCGAAGAAACGCGCAATGCATCGTGGTCGGCTCCCATAGGCGTAGTCTCATCCGTCGGCTTCAGCGCCATCTTCGGGCTCCTCGTGCTGCTGTCCTTCCTCTTCTCCATCCAAGACCTCGAGGCCACCATCTCGTCCGCGTACGAGCAGCCCGTCCTCCAGATCTTCATCGACGTGTTCGGCGAGGACGGCGCGCTTGCGCTCTTCAGCATTATTATTATATGTGTCTGGCATTGCGGCCTGTTCAGTATGACGAGCAATTCGCGCATGATGTTCGCGTTTGCGCGAGACGGCGGGATACCCTCTTTTTTCCACCAGGTCGATGCGCGCTTCAAGAGTCCTATCAGGGCTGTCTGGCTAGCTGCTGTCTTGAGCTTCATATTGGCGTTACCGTCTCTCGGTAGCGATGTCGCCTTTGCCGCGGCCACCAGTATCGCCACGATCGGTCTCTACATCAGCTACGGTATCCCGATCCTCCTCGGCTTGATCTGGCATAAAGAGTTCGTCGCTATGAAAGGGCCGTTCGACCTCAAGGGTTTCAGTAGGATTATAGCTTTCATCGCCGTCGCGTGGATTCTCGCCATCTCCGTCTTCTTCGTCCTGCCGACTGCGAATCCCGTCACAAGCCAGACGCTCAATTACACCGTCGTGGCAGTGGGCATCATAGCTTTTGGTGCGATAGGTGCTTGGGTCCTGTGGGCGAGGAAATGGTTTACGGGCCCGGCAGCTGAGGTGACGGAGGCGATGGAACGAGGCGTTGACCTGACAGACCCAACCGCTGTTCTGGCCGCAGAAAAGGGAGGCCAGGCGATGGGCACTGCCACCGAAGGTAGCGAATAGAAGTAGATAGCGCACATTGACTCTTTGGGACAACAAGATTTCAAGTTTTAGTATTGCGGACTGGGTTGCATTAATCATATTCACTGTGAGATGCTACGGAATGTTAGAACTCAATTGCTTTGCAGGCGATTTCAATGACGAACTATGCAAGGAACGAAACCGCTTGCTGTCTCATTTGATCTTCTATTATATGTTGCAACCTTTTGCAATGTGATTGTTTCAATCGGGTATCTTGCTGCCTATGAAGTCTCGGGGGGCTGGGGCTGGCTATCGGGTTCCCGTCCGTCATCGTTGGTAAATTTGGTCATTCCCAATTCTAGCATTGTCCTTCTCTCACGGCGCGGCGCAACCCCGCGGCTCAGTTTACGCTTCTGAATCTCCCTCTCCTTTTGAGACTTCTTTGCCTCCTCTTCCTCTGTCAGCATTGTCCCCTCCATGCTCAAGTACCCATAGTCACCGCTACTGCCAACTTCGTAGTTCTTGATACGAAAGCGTATGGGCGTGTCAGCTGTGATTCTAGCGCCGTCTTTGTTTACCCAGTATCCTGTAGCATGTACCTCGGTATGATCTCCCGTAGCATCGTCTTTCGCCTCAGGCTCGGCTTGTTCCTTATCCTTCCTAGCATGTTGATCAACCCACCGCCAGTCCCGTGGTAGCCGTTCGGACTCAATCGATGCGTTGAATTTGCCCCAGCAGACGACGCCAATGTGACCTCCACTCTGGATATTGACTAGACCTTCTAACCAAGCGCCTCGAGAAGGCCGAAAGATATCAATCTCGACAGTAAGCCAGCCAAAGCTGACGGCGTGTTCGTTGATGGATTCGAGTATGGCTACATCCTCCATGCCGCTATCTTGGGTGAGCGAGCCGTCTCCGGGCGCTGCGCCGATGCGTGGGTTGCGGTAGGAAAGAAGAACGCCGCCGAAGCCAGGAACATAGTGGTTGAGGAGGGGTTCGAGGTGTTGGTTCATGTAGCCCTGTACAGGCTCACTGATGCCGAGGGGATGGAGCGGGAGATACTGGGAAACAGTCTGGGTATAAAAGGGGAATTGGTGTTCGATTGACTTTCCAGCGCCTAGAATGGCCTTTGAACGTGATGACTCGAGCACCACGACACCGAAGTGTTCTTGCGCAGGCGCAATGACATCTTCGTCATGATCATGATGCTTGTTATCCTCGTCGTCGAGCCTACTCTGTTTCGACTTTTTCTTCTCCTTGTCTTCCTTGTCTTCCTTGGATGACTTCTTCTTTCTCGATCGCTTTTCGCCGTCGTGGTCGCCTTGTTCGTCGGCCTCGTGTTGCTGCTGTTCTTCCTCTTTTATGTGGGAATGCTTCGGCTTGCTTGCCTTGTGGGCTTTATGCTTCTTTTTCGGGGAGGATTCGGTCTCTGCAGGCTCGGCGGGTAGGGTGGAAGCGGGAACTGTATGACTTTTCGATCGCTTGTGTTTACGCTCTGATTTTTCGGCATGGCTCGGATCTAAGTGTCGCTTTTTGGAGGATTTGTGACGAGGCTCGTGGCCGGTGCCGTTTAGTCCCGGCGCCATTGCAGCAGCTACTTCTGCCATTTCGGCACACACCACAACTGAAGAGAATGGTGGAACACGGCCTGCTGGGGTGCTGGGGTGCTGGGGTGCTGAGGTATCTAGAGAGAATGCGACGGCGATGGTGTGGATTTCAATCTTGAATATGAGGTAGGTACTGGCTACTAGTGGTGATGGGGGCCAACTGGGAAGAGTAGAAGAAAAAAAGGTAAAAATGAAGCTATCTACTGATAAGAAAATTTAGTGGGGCAGTCTGGATAGGTTAGGGGCGTCCAGAGGGCGTCTCAACCATGACAAGCCCAGCGTAGATGCACTGCAATTTTAGCCCCGTGGAAGGGGATGACCATGACCTAGAATTCTAAACCACCAGACGAGTGCATCGCGGGGAAGAAAAAAAAAGGATGTATATATATATATATGATTTACCTTCACTATATATACACAACTCCCGTCAGGGGGCAGAGATGCATGATTCTTAATATCTCACTTTCATGTAGTTAATTCAAACTCGTCAATTGATAGATACCTAGATAGGTAGGTATGCTGTCTGTATACCTGCCAAGGTATACCTAGGTAACCATATTAGCCAACTTCAGCTTCTCGAGGTGATGCCAGCCACAAGTATCATCCGTACTTCAATATGATATTCAATATGATATTCAACTTATATTCAACTTATTTCTTATAGTTTCGACGCTGCACCGACCGCCCTGCCAACGACGTCGCTCAGTGTCTCCATATCCCCAGGCCCAAGTCCTAGCTTCTTATTGTCAGTCTGCTCGTACAGAGTGCGTCCCTCGGCCCAAATGCGCCTCAGTGTCGCCAACGCCGCTAACGGGCTGCTCTTCTCCCACAGCTGCTTCTCCAGATCGCGTACTTCCTGAATTGGCGTGTAGCTTGTAGTCCACTCCACGCCTGTCTGTTTCTCGAATTCCCGCACGATCTCCATGGGCGTCGTCACGAATGACTGCACCTTCAGAGCCTTGCCTTTTGCCTCGGATGGGTTGCGCAGTGCTGCTACCACTAGTTTTCCGACGCTGTAGTCCCCGAGTTAGTCTGGCTACACTGAGCACGCGATACGGTAGGTAGTCTCTTCAGTAGATAAATAAAAAGTAAGAGGTACGAAAGAAAATGGGATACGAACTCGGGCATGCTTGTGAATCCGACAGCGTCGTCGCCACTGTTCACAACGACGGCTTTCCTGGATCCCACGTCGTACCCACCGATGGCCTCGACGCCTGGCACGAGGCTTAGATACATGTCGATATAAGGACCCGTCACCAGATACGTGCACTGCACCCTGTGTATCTCATTCCGGATGAACTCGCGCACCTTGAGCTTGTTCTGGTGAGGCTTCTCGTCCTTGCTGGAGGCGTCGTACTCGATATCCGTGCCGTACTCGCTGGGGAAAAACCACTGCACAGTCGCGCTGTTCTCCGCGAGCTTGATGAGGTCGGTCTGGGCGAGTAACGAGTTGCGCCCAAGACAAGACACCACCACGTCTACACCCTCATATGCGCGCGTCACATCGTCGGCATCGCTGATGTCCCCCGTGATGATGCGCAAACCCTGCGACTTCCATGTAGATAACAGTGGCTGCTTGTCGGGGTTGGAAGCGGTGCTCTCCGATGTGAAGATGGATATGCTGTGTCCAGAGGAAGCTTTTGCCGACAGGATGGCGCTGGTGATGTGCTTGCCGATGGCACCCGTGCCGCCGAAGATGAGTATGGAAAACGGCAAGGAAGCCATGGCGATTCTGATTCTGTCCCGTGATGACTTGCCGAAGCCTGACAATTAATTATATGCCGAGTGTAGTAAGTAGCTGTAGATTATTAAGATGCTACGTCAGTAGAACGAAGCAAAACAAATTGAGGGGAACATGAGCTGAGGTAATTGCGCCATCTTAAGTAAATGCACCCATACTTGGTGTTACACTGCGGGTTGAAGCACAGCATCTCCATCGACGTCAAAGTTGGCCAGCATCGAAGCCAGCAGCATACCAGCATGTATTATCTTGCGTGTCCAAAGGCGCGCCCTTTGCTCCCTTTTCTCGCTAGGTGTTATCTAGGCTAGTGTCACGTAGCCGGTTGAAACAGCGAAGCAGTATTTGACACTTTCAAACGGGCGTCCCACATGGGAAGCCGTAGTTCGGCATCAAGAAGAGATGCTCTACCAATACATATTTAGGCGCGTGATATTTATTTGGTACTAACATGTCATTGTCACAACGGTACTTGCCGTAGCTGAATTCCGCCTAGTCCAGTGAATGTATCACTTTGGCTTCCATTTCAACTCCGCATACCTCTAAGACCCAGTTATATTGGCCCCTGACCCATACCACCCATGTTTTTTAAGGTGACATTATTGCTACCTAGTACCATTTCCATATACTTTAGTTACAATTAGTTGTTTAATTAACTATTAAGGTAGCTTGAATTAAAATAGTTACATCTTTAAAAAGCCCTAATTTAACGCTATTTGTAGGTTATTTTATTTTTTTTAGATTTTAAGGGGAATAATGCCGTGAGACCTAACGAAACCAAAGGTAGATGTATTTAGCTATAAGAGTATAATGTAGCATTTTGTAACGATGATAGTTGTAGTTACATCTAGCACAGGCAACATTAGTATGAGAATGGAAGTAACTATTAATTTAGCTGCTCTAATTGGCTGCAGGGATTAAAATAGTGCCTTGGCAGGTATGCGGAGTTGAAATGGAAGCCAAAGTGATAGAAAATCACTTTGAACACGGATAGCAACGGCTTGAGATCGGTAGATAGTAGAAGGTGGGTTAATCGGCTGGTCAAAGATACCGGTACCTCGCTGACCGCTGCCAAACAATTTATTTAACTCGCCAAATCTCGGTACCGTGGGCTGTTTGTCGTCGGTGAACACCGGAGACGCATGTGTATGTACATGGAGTCTTAGATACCTACATAGGTAGGCATCAACTGTGCGCCGATTCATTACCCGCATTGGCTATCTAATCTACTACAATATGACCGACTGTATGAGGTGTCTTATTCGATCTGATCTGAATCAACAATCCCCACATCCATCGGGATAAATCTTACGTCACTTTAGCGTAAGGACGACGAGCTTTTGTGTCTAGAGAGTGTCTACATAATTAGTAGAAAGGAGATCATTTGTTGTACGCTGCCCTCGGCTGCGTATTGCCTATCTCAGTGCCTCGGCCTCTATCATCGTACGTGTACAACAAACACATAATGCTCGGTGACCGTTAGATTCTCTAAGTATGAAGGTCAGGATCAATGATCCTCATGCGTTGCATACGTTATGTGTATAGATACTACCTACACACACTATGGGTTGGCACCGATCATTACTGTGAGGTCTTCCCGGGAAACAGCAGGTAGCAGGTAGCAGGTAGGCCGCTTTTAGTGTCGCGTACTAGTAGAATATGTAAGTAGGTACAGACGATCATGAGAGGAGCAATTCTCGTGATGAAAATTAAACGGCGGCGGCGCGCGGCCTGTTCCACACCACCACAACCACGACCACGACCACGACCATTTTGCCCCCCCGCCTCGGCGGAGTGTGGCGTTAGCTATCGCTCACAGCTCTATGGCCAGACCAGACGCAGAAACCCCAGCCCGGTTAGCAGCATCCCAATATTGTTCAGGGGTGACCCATCAGCCCAAGCTCAGCCGGCGTTAACGTTGAGATGCTAGAGTAGCTGCACGCGGTCGAGGGCAGTCTAGCTATGGCAGCTGTTATCTATCTATAGCCCCGACGCAGCAAATGGCGTACGAAGCCCAGTGTCTGCCCAGTCTTTTTGAGTTCAGCACTACCTACTTTCCTATCGGTAGGCGAGATGGACAGCCGCGGAGGTGATGCCGTGTCTAGATGCCATTAGTGCTAGCGACTAGGTACCATAAGCAGCGTACTAAGTATGCAAAGCAGTAGGTAGATAACCATCTAGACGTCTGGATGGATGGGGGATGGCGTAGGCCGCGAGCAAGATGGAGAGTGCCGGGTACATCAGGATATAATAAACATGGCCCGGGGGGAGGAACTTGGCTTCTTCTTGTTGTTCTTCATCTTTATCACACGTTTGGTATCTCACCACTTTCTTAATACCTATCTAGAGTACATATAAGTAGGTACCTGCTGTACTCTATGACGATTCTTATATAACCTATATTTGACACATAGCTACATATTACCTACATACTTACCTGTATTACCTAGAGCTCGCCTAGAGTTACGGTAATCGTGTTTCAGATCAGATTTCCAGGATAAAGTAATCTCGCCATTACGATCGCCGGATCGACATTTCTACGAAGCTCAGGTTCATATCAGGCTCTCGAAACGGCAGTCCAACAACGACAGGCCCAGAGGAGGAGACAGACAGACAGTACCCACTCAGCGTCAAGTCAAATCATCTCCACCCCTGGAGGAATCTCGGGCTAGTTTGATGAACTCATATTCATCCCATATTACTCAATTCCGTCTTTTCTGCTTCCCCTTAACGGTGGAAAGCTCCGGGACAGCCCTGCCGACTCAGTACTTAGGTGGACCATTCAGGACGATTCCCCCAGTCTCTGCCCAGTGAAGCGTCGTCACCAGTGCCTCGCATCCTACTACGGATCAACCTGCAGCAGAAACACACACACACACACATAGCGCCTATCAAGCATACCAAGCGTACCAAGCAAGTATATCAAAGCAAGCAATCGAGCACTCACAGTACACACCGCCAAATCAGTAATGCAATGAATGACCTTGAACCACCAATTTCTTCCGATTGATTCAATGCACCTCCCATAGCTTGTCGTATACCTACATTGTAAAAAGAAGAAGAAGAAGAAGCTTCAATCGACACGGGAACTTGGTCGTGTGCAATTTGACTCGACTCAACCCAACTCAATACCATCCCACTGGGCCTGTATCAGCCCCGTCACAGAAACAATGAACCGTCACCTCGAGAATAGTGCTGTACCGACAGCAGCAGCGGTGGTGCACAACCTCGACTTCGCAGTGCGAGAATATCTCCTATTACAGGACCAACACGAAGAACTCTGCCAACGCCTCCATCAGCTATCCCCGTCACTTTCCTTATCATCATCCCAATCATCGACAACATGCACGAAAAAGACACCTTCACTAGCTTCTTCCTCCACAGCTGTAACGTCGCCCTCGGTGTCTCCAACGCCCTCCCTCTTCGGTAGGGATAGCCTCTCCCCATCTCCCCCGTCAGACCAGCGAATGACGTCACGTACCCGCAACCGTGTACATCATCAACAGCAACATCAACAGCAACATCAACAACAACGCCAAGCCCTGTGCACTGATTTTGATTGGGACGAGGTAGCTGCCGCCGACGCGAAGCTATTCGACGTCAACGAGGGCATGAAGAGGGCGCTCACGGAACTCCTGAATTGCGAGGCTGTCCGCCGGGATAAGGCCATGCGCACGTGGGTGCAGACACGGCTACTCGAGACGGAAAAGGAGCTCCGACGCGGGAGGAGGAGGAGGAGCTCGGCGACTGCAGACTAACTAGGTAAACGACATGGAAAGTTAATTCTATGCGGGCCGGAAGATTGGTTCATCACATCAGTTCAGTCAACTGTTCCGATCCCCGGCACGGCAACGGCGAATGGCGATGAAGCGAGTACCCTCCCGGTCGGGCGACTGGGGTGAAAAGAGACGAGAGGAGAGACGCGCGAAAAGTGAAGGGGGGAAAAAAGGTACTGCTCGGAGTAGCTATCTAAAGCCATGTTGGCTGGTATTAATCATTGCATTGGAACCAACACCTATTCTTTCTGGGTTCTTTTGGTTTCGGAATATTCGGATACTGTCTAGCCCGTGGCGGTTTTGCATCTTTTGTTTTTATCAAATTTCAATCCAGGGCGGAGAAAAAGGCACAAAATACCTAGGGTGGCGCGGCGTTCGTGGGATCATGGAGGGAACTAGGTACCTTACCTTACTATATGGTGGCAAGCTGATAAATTGCCCATCGGGAGAAAAATTGGCGGAATTGGAATTAGAAGGGCTTATATTCTATGGTACACAGGACATACGTGTATCTATTTTGTGATTTGTGATGGCGCTTGGCATCTACATATTTCTTACCGCTGCCTGCCGCCTTTGAGTGCGGAATTTGGATCAAGGCCTTTAATACATCCCTTACCTATTTTGTTCAAATTTTTGATTTTCCGAGTATGTGATATGTGGTGTAGAATCTTGAGAATGATGGATGGCCGGGAGTGACGATTCGGGATTACGTGTAGGCGAAGAGCAATGCGCGAGATGAGATGCATAAACTGAGATGCCCTCATGAGACAACGAACGATGAACGACGATGGTCTTAAAGACACTCATACTTGTAGATAGAATATATCTTTATAGGGATAGAGACACCGAGCAGTATTGATATAGGTGTTGGAGGTACATGCAGCTGACCTAGGTAGACTTGGTAGGTAGGGTAAGTACACTGAAGCTGGCCTAGCCATGTACCTAACACACTGGAGCCCATTCTCCACGACTAGCAGCGTGGGGCCAAGTATATCTCCAGCTACCTAGGTACCCGAGCCTACCTAAATCTCTTGATAGCTTCCAATCCTTCGACTACCTACCAACCGATCAGATAGATGAACGACGCCTTCCCATCGCCCGCGACAACACATCACACTCGGACACACACCCTGTCCAAGTCGATTCCCTGACGCCCTCTAGATCTTCTCCCTGATCCCCCAGCCAGAGTCATCCACCTAGGCCCTCCATCAAGACCGCGCGCAAGAAACGCGGCCGGCCAAGTCTTGCGCCACGAGCACCATGTCGGTCCTGCTCGAGACCAGCGCCGGCGATATCGTCATCGACCTACTCGTCGACTATGCACCCAAAGAATGCCTAAAGTAAGTCGCCGCGTACCATTTATACTCTATTCATAGTCTATTCATCATCTATTCATCATCTATTCATGATCACGGGGAAGATTCTTCTATTTCCAAGCTCCCTCTGCTGATCCCAGTGCAATATAGCTTCCTTAAACTCTGCAAACTCAAGTATTACAACTTTTCGCCCGTTCACTCGATCCAGCAGGACTTCTCATTTCAGACCGGTGATCCTCTTGGCCCCAACTCAGCCGACTCGGATGGCGGCTCATCTGTCTGGGGTCTTTTAGATGGCCCTTCCAAGAAAAACTTCCCCGCCACCTTCCACCCCAAGCTCAAGCATCTCGAACGTGGCACCGTGTCCATGGCCACGGCACCGCATCCTTCCGACCCAGATGTCCGCCTGGCTGCGAGCCAGTTTCTCGTGACTCTGGGCGATAATACCGACTACCTCGATGGCAAAGCTGCCATTTTTGGCAAGGTGGTTGAAGGTTTTGATGCCCTCGAAGCCATCAACACGGCCATCACCGATAAAGACGGTTGTCCGCTGGTGGACATCCGCATCAAACATACCATAGTTCTCGACGATCCTTACCCCGACCCCAGTGGCTTGCGTGAGCCAAGCCAATCGCCCCAGCCTTCCAAGGCCCAGCTTGCTACCGTGCGGATCGCCGATGACGATGCAGCCAACCTGGACCAAGAAGTGGACCAAGATGCTGCCGAGAAGCTTCGTCGCGAGAGGGAGGCTCGTGCCCAGGCCCTAACCCTAGAGATGATGGGCGACCTACCCTTTGCCGAGGTCAAGCCTCCCGAGAATATCTTGTTTGTTTGTAAACTCAATCCTGTCACTGCCGACGCCGATCTCGAGCTCATCTTCAGCCGGTTCGGCAAGATTTTATCGTGTGAAGTGATTCGTGACAAGAAGACTGGAGACAGTCTTCAATACGCCTTCATCGAATTTGAGGACAAGAGTGCCTGTGAAGCTGCTTATTTCAAGATGCAAGGAGTTCTTATCGACGACCGAAGGATACATGTAGATTTCAGCCAAAGTGTAAGCAAGCTGGCCGACGTCTGGAGAGGTGGCGAAAATGCCAAAAGGAAAGGAAGGGCTGGCCGCGGTGGTTGGGGTGGCGTGCAAGATCTAGAGAAATGGCGCAAATACAGGAACGAAGAGACAGGTGAGAACGAAGACCATTACAGCATGGTCTATGGCGAGGAGGAGATGCGTGGGAGACATCAACGACAACGCCATGATGAGCGCCGCCATGCTGGGCCGCCGGAAGACTCGGGTCGCCGTGCCGAGCGCGAGCCAAGGAATGATCGCGAAAGGGAACGTCGCCCGGACCCAAGGAGGCGAAGTCGCAGCCGGAGCCCTCGGAAAGACCGATCTAGCGGTGGAAACGGCTATAACGGACGGCAAGACCGTGATTCTCGGCGAGATACCTCGCATCGTCAAGATTACCACCGACATCGTGATAGAGACCGGAATGATTACCGTGATCGAAGGAGATAGTCAAAGGGTTTCATGAAACCGTCAAACGCAGCCCCTGTTCTGGCATAAATAACGTCCACACTCGTCTACTTAATTATTCTTGATGTTTTACAAGAACTGTCTCAGTGTCACGGGCCCGGAACTTTAGATCGCATAATGTGGTCAAGTTTGCGCGCTGCTACTACACACATCAACGAGGTTACAGCGGTATACACGGGATGGCATATCTCTACATCGTGGATAAGTGCCGTACACCTTTTGTTTGTCAGACGTGCCATCAATCCACGAGGCAGAGACAAGGACAAGCATTCTACATCTGGTATGTTCAGCTCAGTTTGCTTTATTGTCAGCTTGACGGCTCGTATATAAACTGCTACCCCTAGAGCTGAGCCACTGATGACCCGCGGGTTATTTCGAAGAGCCGAGCCGTCGCATGTCCGTGTGATATTCATCGAAGTCTAGCGAATTTATGGTGGAAAAAATGGACACTACTACGCTACCTTTCATCCGTCCTCGTTTCTATATGTTCCTGGTTGTGTCAACAACTCTTTGATGATCAGTGTCATTGTTAGAAGCTTCCGATGTGCCTACCACGAAGATGCTTCACAGCTCCACTAGAAGAAGGTTGCCGATACCAACTGTACATTTGAGTAGGGCCAGGAAGAAATAGGGGGAAGTACTAAGCTAACATTACAGATCCCGGACCAGGTGTAGCTTGGAAATGCCGACCGCGGGTGACCGGTGAGTTCCGCCACATGCAATCTAGGCTAAAGCAGCTTCGTCCTATTCGCGCCGAGTGAACAATAAGCTACCAGAAATAGACGTTTGTAGTGCCTGAGTCCTTGGCTGAGGTATAGTAGGTAGCGTCTCCTGAGGGCTGTGCCATTGTCTACAGGAAAGGAGGGACCTTGCAGATGCCGGCTTGGCTGCTTGAAGAAGCCTGGATGAACAGATTCATGTAGGGTGCACACATCAGATGCATTGATACTGTACTTGAGAGAGGACGACTGCTGAATTGACGGCAGCTGAATGCGATATGGCATTGCGGAATGCTGATTCGCCTAATCTAAAATGTTTATAAATATGGAGCTGCATCTCGACTAGGGTTCAGATGAATACCACGACTGGTCGAAACGGCGCCAGACACGCGAGACATGAGCTCATCGTTCATCTACTTGATCATCTGCACCTGTATGCCGTTCCTGACTCGGCCGTTTGCGAACCTTGCAAGTTCGACTCGCAAGAGACACCTTGTCGCAGCTCTACTTCAGCTACCGTTATGCCTGAATATCGTGGCCTAGGTACATGGTAACAATACTCCCGCTTACTTCGTACGTTGAGGACCCCGGAATGAGGTGTACGCACGGTCAAGGACGGCTGGATAGGCGAACCCTTTCCCGCTGCCGTCCCTATCGGGAAAAGGACGGTCGCCACTTTCAGTCCCCCTCTAGCTCGATGTGCTAGTCTGTGAAACGCCAAAGGGTACCCTTCTTCTACCTCGTGAAATTATACGCGAGTGTGACCCATGAGGAGTGACGTCCGCCACCGTGATATGTGGCACATTCTAGAGAGGCAGGTCCCTCAGAGCGGCCAGGCCGGGGCCCACGCTCGCTGCCAGCAAACATACATTGTGACGTTATGTTTTTCTGAGTCAAGCCAATATCACATCCGGCCGCCCGCCGCCCCAATTCTCTTGCTAGGTATTGCTGCTGCGTACGCCACTGGCACCGGACCTCTCTTCAGTTAAGTGAATGCGAAACGATGACACAGTTGGACATCGAGTACGGCGGCTACTTTTTGTTTCCCGTCAACCTCCCTCCCCCACCGCTTCCCGCCCCCCATCGATGGATGGATCGATCACTCAACGTATATTCAAAATGGAAGGACATGATCTACAGGCCAATTGGTTGTGCCAGTGGCCGGATAACTGCAGCCTCCGTTGGAAGGGTGACAGCGGGGTCTGCAAGAACCCGTTCGTGTACTCCTGAACATTACAAAAAAATTTCCGTTTGCTCCTACCTACCTACCTACTTCCTGTGCTGCCGTATGTATGTATGTGATGTGGTTGCCACCCTTCAAGCAGGCAAGCAATCAATCAATCAATGAATCAGTCACCAGAGAATGTATGTAGGTACTTACTGGCGACCGGTAGCCGTGGCCCCCTTTCCCCGGGCCTACTTGGTACTTGCCGCTGCGTTCTCTCCCCTCATTGGGACCCATCAATCAAGTTCCAGGGCACTGGCCATCCAGAGCGCATGGAGACATGCTCGGGGAATAGTACCGTCTGTCTGTCCGTCTGTCTGCTTGGTCTGATCTCCCCCGAATAATCACTAATCTACCGACGTTGTCGGGCTAGTGTTAACCGGTATGGCGTGCTGCTCGGATATGCAGCTCGCTTATCGGTCCCGTCCGTTCGTGCCCAGCCAACGACATGCGCAGACGATTGGGTCCTCCATCTTGTTAGCTTGTTAGCTGTAGCGCCTTGATTCGAAATGTTTTGCGTCAGCTCACGAGGCGGAGTAGACGGAACTACAATGCCCACCTACGGTAGGAACTTGGGAACTAGGGGACCAGGTAATGGGGCGCTATGGTACATCCATCTGCTCGCCATGTCTGTCTATCTTCGTCTATCCGTTAACCACACGACTGTGAGACTCGCTTCAGCCACGCCAGGGTTCGAGTGATGCACTTTCCGGCTCTTCTTCCCTCCAGAGCCCGGTACTTGGTACCGCATGGCGGACCCTGTGTGGGCACGCAAGCGCAGCCCCCTTCTTTTCTCCTGCATGAGATACGAATTTGTGGTGAATGTATCACGCCCGGTTTGTCTTATATCTATCTAACCTGTCCTCCTGGTCGGCTTTCTCCACCCCTTGTAGAACATCCCCCAGAATGATCTGCCGCGTATGGCCTGCATACCATCTTAGTAATGGCAGGCGAGGAGGGAGGCGTGGCCTATCCGTTTTCTGTGTGTCTATCAGTGAGATACACAACTCCGGATAATGATGCCCTGTGGTGATTTGCGATGATGGCATTGCGCCACCATCTCTACTGGCTTTCGCGCCTGGCGAATGGCGACCAAGGTCGAGATCTAGGCGTCGTCAAACCAGCATGAAGAAGTCGTATCAGCAGCAGCACCAGCAGCAGGATTATCCACAAGCCGTGTTTGTCATCAAACACATACCTTAACGACTGTACTAGACCCTTGCCAAGGATACAGGCGTGAATAGTAAGTACAAAAAAATGCCGGTACCCCATTCCCCTCAAGGTATACTTACATGTATCCTCTTGTGCGGCTACGCCTCATAACTCTCCGATGTCTCAGTACATCGCGATAGAACCATCTTTCCCCCGACACATATCCCGGAAGTCAGCTAGTAGTCCCCCCTAGGCAGGGTAGGAGATGATTCAGTTTCTATATTGGGGTTCATGGAAACTCCAAGACACTGTGAATCAACGATAATAATCCCAGCTCACCGTGTAACATGCTTAGATTACAGAATAATCCGCCATAGTTCAATTGACGGGGGGGTATTTTCTGCATAGCGGATAGATAGAATAATTTTCTCTTTTGTGGCTGACGCACGCTGGAAGTAGGTATGGACAAACTACATATGTCATGATGCCGCTTGATCTAGCTCTTGACGGAATAAGTCTTTATCTGCTTCATCTCTTGCTTTGCTTCCCATATCATCACTACACTGCGATGGAGGCTCCACAAACATACATACATATGTTCCTTCATAAAATATGTATTCTATTCTAGTCTAGTTAGCCGCTGACCAAACCCTCGGCTCTCCCCTCTCCCATCCCGCGAAACAACTGTCGGGTAACGGTAGGATATGTCGTTCTAGAACATCACATACATGCTTCTTCTCTACTGGGTGGGCTAAAGATAGACATTCTTTTCTCCAAAACAATCTACGCACTGACGCCTCAACCGGCAACTCGTATCAAAGTACTGTACTGTCTAGCTCGTGGAAGGGTCATCTCTCTCTCTCTCTCTCTCTCGTAGTGGTTCTACGTAGTACTGCCTGGCAGTTCCTGCACCCACCGCAGCGTGTCTCACGGCAGCGTTTGTAATCTTGAGTAGGACTAAGCGCTGGCGATCTCTTTCTCTCTCTCAGCATTCTTGTTAAAGTTTGTTTTCCTTTGCTTTCTCTAGGCTGCATCTTGTGCAGCCGCCTGACACCTCCAACTAGCCGCACACTACGTGATGCCGATGCCGTTGTTTGATGGGAAAAGAGGAAGGACAATTCTCGAGGAAGACTTGATTTTTCTTTGCTTTGTTTTGTTTTTTCTGCTTTTACCCCATAGAACACGCAGTTGAGACTGGACGTAGCGCCTGTATCACCAAAGTGCTTTGAGGTTCCGCAGCGGGACACTAACAACTGTACCACCCCTTTTTCTAGTTAGGGCCATAGACGGAACGAGGAGATCGTTGCAACGGCGTAGCATTCCGTCTCCCTCTGTGCGTGTCTATGTGTGTATGTGAAAGTGTATCTCGCTTCGTTCGTCGTCGTAATATCATTACACGTGCCAAACATGTTTGATCCAGCCATTTTCACAAGAGTGATAGGCTCGTTTTCTGAGACATGGAGGGGGGTGTATCTGTCAGCATCGAGCACTGTGGTGGACCCCCATCAGAGTAAAATTCCTAGTGAATGAGAAAGTAGCACGGCCCCAGACCCAGTGAATGAGCAGCGGAGCGACTGGCCTACCTGTTGGGCCGTAATGGCAGATGCTGGGGGGAGTGTACAGCCTTACGCTACTGCCGTAGCAAGTCGCCATAGGGAGATAAGTCGATGAGCACATGGGTACGAGCCTGTCCTCATGCAAAGACATGCAGGTAGCCGTGGGGTGGGCAGGAATACCTGACCATGTCAGGCTGTTATTCAAAGGCACCTTTTTAATGTGACACCTGCCACTCCATGGTCTCTACGGGGGGAGGGGAAAGAGGGTTAGAAATCGAGAGAGGTGGATAGACTGACGTATCTACATACATACATACCGTACATGCAACAACAGACAGACAGACAGACAGACAGACGGCAGAAGCATACAGCCAGAGATACAGATCGAGAACGAAAGAAGAAAGAGTGACAGCAGCAAACAGATAGGTAGCCGTTGTCGATGCTTTGGTAATACCTCGGATTGCGTGTCCATCATCTACTACGAACCAGCTGTGTATAGGTTCAAGGTGTGTGTCTCGAAGCGTCGTACGGGGTCGAACAAGAAAGAGACTTGCAGCATCCCGTTGTTTTCTCTCAAATTGGTTTCTCAAGCGAAACGTTCTGTTCCTCCTTTTTCCCTCTTGCCATAGGGAACTGACATTTGATCCACTCCTTGAAACATTCGAGTTGAACAGCGACAGTGACCTAGTCAAAAGGTCGGGGGGTGGTGGTCGCTCAGCTGAGTCGTTCTTCCAAGGCTGAGGAAACGCCAATTGTTGTTGGAACCTCTCGGGGGTTCTTTAACTCGCCCCCAGTTCACCTGCCCACCGCGGAAGAACCCATTGTATACTCTGTATACTGTTTTTATCCTGGTCTCTATTTTATCATTATTTTGATATTTATTTTTCTCTATTTTTATCATTAATTTCATCTCAGATCTGTTCCCGTGTCGATCCATTCATTGCTTGTTCTCGTTGTTGCAGTCAAACCGGTTCGACGTAACCTCCCGTCAAAAAAACGGGCCAACAATCCTGAAGCGCCCTTTTTCTCGACATCTCAAGGAATACATCTATCTTTACTCCTTTGTTTGTTCTTGTTGGTCAAGACCTTCCTACGGGCACCCTTCCTTCTAGAAAAGATGGTGACTCCGACTTGTTGTGCTCCCAGTGAAGCAGGAAGCAGACGATATAGCCGTCCTTGTCCGCCTTACTCGTTCACATACTCTGACCGTCGCCACCACTTCTCCTCTCACGACAACCGCCCCGTGATGATGACTGATCGAGAAGAGTCAGACCAGCCCCGGAAGCGGATCGCTGTGGCGGTAAGAAAGGACACTTGCCCCCTCTCATTGTTACCCTATCCCGAGTCTCTATACGCTCATTTGACAACGAAACTGACTTGGCGATAACTTGAAGTGTGGGAGATGTCGCAAGCGGAAGATCCGATGTAGTGGTGATCCCGGAAACGGAGGACCATGCTCCAATTGCAAGAATGCGGGTTATGAGCCGTGTCTATTTCTACGGGTACGAAATCCCTACCTTTTCTCCGCTCTCCAACCCCCCCCCCCCCCCCCCCTCAACTTAGAGATTCTCAAGGAGAAGCCAGTTCTGACTTACCTGGTATGGCATCTAGGTGTCCTCCACCGAAAGGCACTTGAAAGACAGTGATTATACCTACAATCTCGAAGCAGCACGGTTAGCTCATCACGGTGCTGGAGCGGTGTCGCCGCTAACATCCTTACCGCAATATGCCCACGACGTAGCGGCAGGCGATGGGTTGACTCCGTATCGTCAGAGCCCATACCCTTATAGCGGTACTGGCAGCACTAGGAATTATTATTCCACTTCGACCATGCCTGGGTGGAGCAGCACCTATGCCGACGACAGCACAGGCAATGTGGAATATAGTTACTATTCCTCCTATCCGCTCATGAGCCCAGAGCCAACCTCTGTTGTGCCAGGATATAGTCAGTACAGCGCTCGAAGACCGGTGTATGCCGATCCCGAGGCTGCACCCTATCCATATGCCAACCTAGCCCATCGCCCTACTGTCAGTAGCGACAGTCAGGGCTTCTCACTGTCGAGTATAGCAGCATCCCTGCCTAGTGCTTCCGACAGAATCCATTCCAACATCAACAGGACGTTGACCAGCTCCTCGAGCTACCGAAGTGACAGCCTTCCAGCGCAGTACGCAAATACCAAGACATCATCAGCCGCCCCTGATATAGCATACAGCAACCTCCAGCCCGCAGCCTTCGAGTCCCCCTATAATCCCGCCAACGGCACACTAGCTTCGCCCATCACTCATCATCGCCCTTCTAGCCATGCCGAAGTCAACCCTTATCCGTCTACAGCGGCGACAGCGGACCAATTATATTCTGACCGATCCGCCGAGGACACGGCTGGACTCGGGTACATATACGGCGACAGCAATAATAGTAATAAGATGAGCGGCAGCAGCAGCTCGCAGCGGGATACCGGTACCTCTCACCACTCTAGCAGAGATGTGAGTGTGAGTGGCGCTGGATCTCTCCTGGCCAATGGCCATGTATATGTCCCCGAGTCACACTCTGCTCATCCCACGCCGCACCCTTACATCGTGCCGAGCACCACAAGCTCTAGAGCTACCGTTGACACTTCGCCGCCAAGTGTCCCGGCCTCAGGTGCTCGTGGCGGGAGTAGTGGAAATAACGGATCGCATCGGTCGTCGGACAGTCAGCGACGGTCGGTGGGGACTCTTCGCGGGGGTTAAATATGCTGCTGACAGACGCATGAGTTTTTATCTCCGAGTTGTGTGCCCCGGTTGAACGGAACCTCCCCGTCAGCGTCATTATGGGGATAATCAATGGCAGCATGTGGTGTCACGTATAAGTACCCCCATCGGAAAAATCAGCACTGAGTACCTGATGGTGATGCTGCCACTCACTGGATGTATGCACGTCGCGATTCCACTTTCCTGGAAGGCGTGTCTGTGGTCATCTGGTTAGAAGTAAAAATCCCGACATAGCATCATTGTCTGTCGTTTGCCTGGGGCGCAAAGGATATGGGTGCGGCCTCTTATCTAATGTGCTGGTTTGTTTGTTGCCATCGCTTGTTTGTTCCTCCGCGAGCATTTCGATATATGCCTTCTACTATTATTCATCTTCAGGGACCGAGACCCGTGAGTCTAGACAAGCACTTCATCTGACAAACTGCCGTTACCATGTTTGGTCACTTGGCTGCACACCGTGGGAAATCATGGGTTAATAGAAGGAGACAGCCTTCTTGAGCACCACTGCCTCGAGCACCACATCCTCTCCCCTGGTCCCGGAGCAAAGTGACCCTTCTTCTACCAATCACGAATTGTCCAAGTTTCCCAGGTGATCACTTATTGCCCTTGCTCTCTGCTTAAATTTCCTCTTGTCACTTATTTCGTCATGTTATTGTCTGCTAATTTGTTGTCGAATCTGATCGTTGGCTTGTTTTTGAACCGAAAAGCAAAATCCACTGAAACAAACACACAAGAACGCACAGAAACCCCAAATCATCGTCGGCACTAAACATTGATCTTCACTTAGATGGCTGCCTTTTAATCTCAACTTCGGCATCCTCACTGAGTTCTATTACACGGTGGACTGAATCAAAGCAAGTCTAACGGACGAATTACAGCATAGAGTAATCTCGGTACAGCCTGCCCATCAATTCACTCAACAAGAGACATCATTTCAGTGAAAAGATAAAAGAACGGACGCCCTACCTTTCATTCTGTTTGTCGGTGCTTGCTTCCGACTTGCGTCATTTTCTACCGTCGCTGCTTACGTCTACCTCTGTTTTCCTTTTACTTCTGTCTTGTGCTGCGTTGTATGTGTGTATGTATGTTATTGTTGTATGTACGTGTCTCTCTTGCCCATCCAGACTACCTTGGTCTGGTGTTTTATCCTTTTTCTTGCGCTTGCCATAGGTGCTGTTCTTGCAATGGTTCTTGTTGTTATTGTTATTCTTTTGATTGCCATCATTCTTGGTCCACACAAGTCAGTAATTTGCCTTTAATCTTATAACTTCATACCTACATTTAGGCATCTACACATTAAAAATGTCCACTAACTACGTACCTCTCCTCCCTTTGATTTCTGTTGACTCCGCATGACGGTTAGTAGCAGACAGGTGGCAATTTGATATTGACTAGTCAGCTATTATTACGCGATGTATCTGGTGGAAGGGCAAATTAGAATGGTCGGGTTTGCTTAAGCGTTGGTGTTTGCTTTTGTTTTAAGGGTTTTTTGAATTTTAAAGAAGTTGCTGCAGGTCACCCTACATCATATCATGTATGCGATAATGGCATAGGTTGGATTTATGATTATACAATGACAAAGTGTGCCAATTTCCATGATTGTTATTTACCTATACATCTATCTACCTTCAACTTTAGCTTGGTGCTGATAATAGGTAATACGACCTATATCTCTACATGCTCATAACTACGCACTTTCACCTTCACATCTCTCAGGTATCTGATCTGTGCCGCTGGTGCGAGGTAGGTTAGGTTGTTTAATGTAGATCGCGGTTATGTGAAGGCAAATCTACAATGTCTTAGCATAATATAGCCATGACGTTGAACATGTGTACCGTTAAATACGCAGTGTTACCAACATAAAGAAAGGCCCCTTATATAACACATTTAAATCGTATTAAAATATACAATAATATAAGCCTTACCTATATAAGATATATAATTAAAGATTAATAATAACCATATAGTTACTTTATTTATAAAATTAGGTTTATTTCTTAAACATTTAAGGCTTTATAATGTATTCTATAAGTGATAGATTTATAAGAACTGATAGGTCGTGTTTAAGCTTAAGGTAATATGATCAAAATGTATAAATCAATGGAGGTGCAATATAGTACAGATTTTAACACGTTTAATAAGCGTAACATAGTGGTGGAAGATCTCTACCGATGTTTAACTAACTAGTAGAGAGCTCAATGATTAAATGCAGTAGAGGATAAATTCCATCGGCCTTTCTACCCTCCCTCAGGCCCTCCGAGATCAGGTTGATTCTTCGAATTCCAATCCCCATCTCCTCTCCGTGCTCTTGAAGCATCTTTACCGTTCCCATTGTAAATGGGTTACATCGGATGAAATCGGTCATTTGATTGCCGGAGAGTACAATTCTTTCCGCTTGATCGGGGTTCTTATCATATGCGATGAACATTAGCTTTATCCGGTCGCGGGTATGCTTGTGGACTATATCTCTCCAAGCAAGGAAGCGTAGAGACTTCAAATCTCCTAGGTGGTGATGGCAGTTATCTAGAATCATTTCTCTCTGCCGCATTTGTGTCCATCGTGTACCCCCTGGTCCCTCATCAGCAGTAAAGTTTACATGAAAGATAATATGCACTCCGAGGTTTTTCGATGTCGCATAACAGGCGAGTTCTTCACCATTAGAATCTTCAATTCGGCCGGTTTCCCATTCTGTAATATCGATACGGCCAATAATTGGCTCCATAAAGGTCAGGTACCTTGCTTTAAGCTCGCTATTACCTGCTCTCTCCAGTCCATAAAACTTAACTGTTTTCCTATTAGTCATCTTAGCTTCTGGCTTTCTTTAGTTTTGTTTGCTTTCGGAGGGAAATAAGTGTTGTTAAGTTTACCATAATTGATAAAATCTCTGAAAAGCTGTGATGTTATATAGAATGAGCCGACAGGATATCTAAATCTTACATTATACAGGTGTTATAAAACAGATATACTGATGACCATATCTTTAAACAAACTCATTGTTCTCAACTATAAAACTAACAATGACGTTAATGGTTTTGCATAAGTTATCTTAACAATATGATTGATTAGTCGGCGTTGATCAAGATGCCTTTAATGAAGCTTTATCTTCCAAACTAGGCAGAAACTAACCTAAACCAACCACAATAGAAAAAGCAGACAAAGAGGCAAGCATTGAAAGTGCTGTACTCATAATATGTTCATAATACAACTGAAAAATAAGCCAGTCAGCTATGGTCGAATGTACTTCTGTTGCCAATGATCATCTACTTCCCAAGGCGTCATACAATCCTCGCACTCTCGTCGCGTATCAGGAGAATTGAAGGCGCACTAAGGCGCTTAGCATTATGCTGGCGCCAGGGTGTCAGGCTAGGGTGCAGCATAAATGTTAAATTGATTTAGCATAACTATAAGTGAGCATGTCAATAAATACTCTATAGGCTCTACCTTCACATTCTCTGCTGCAAGTATTGTCTGCTCACTTATCAGCTAAGGAGTTAGGAGATAGCTGTTGTGTGCCTTGCCAAAGATCCATAAGGCATTCCCCTCATTATTACATGCATTATATGTACTCAGCTAGTGCTTATTTACTGCCTAAAATCCGAAGCTAGCCAATCATGTATCATGTCAAGCCTTCCTGTAAAATTGCGGCTTTCTAATCAATACGCTCAATACGGATGCCTACAGAATAAAATGTAACATGGTTTGCCCTTCCTACACCTCCTCTCCCTTCTTATCTGTTTTTGCTTACCCATCTACTGTTTAACAACCGGTATTCTATTGTCCGCATAAATAATACGAGCAAGAGAAATATGCGCCAACTGCCTAGTCACAGCAAAGATCGGCTCCCTGTGCGCTCCTACGCTCGTAGAGTTGGGAGCATCATACTGAAATATAGCATCCGTTACCCCATCGCTCATTTGCGCAACATGTCACCCGCTTCTCGTCGTAACGGGCGTATTCGTCGAGTCATAAATTTAGAATCCGATCCCCATCATGCGATATGTGGCACTGAAAGGATGGCATCGGGGCAGCGCCAACTGGCCGAGTCTCTAAGTAGGAGAGTGGAGGGCAACGTACCGCGTCCCTTGTATCGGCACTGGATCGAAGTTCCAAACTCAGACCCCCCAGAAAGATGTCTCCAGATTGATCAGAGGGGGCTAAAGCAAAGGCGCCGGTTGTCTTTTGATGGCGAACAAAAGCGGTCCTCGGGATTTCCTCGCAATGTGGTAGAATCGCCCCAAAAGCGATGCTACATTCTCGATCTTCCAGCCGAGATCAGATGCCTTATCTGGGAGTATGCGGTCGGCAACCGGACGATTCATATCTTCTACAACAACCCTGTAAAGCCATGGGAGGAGGGCGACAACACATTACCAAAGCTCAGATGTGTAGAATGCAACTATAGACCTAGCCCGAATGGCTGGGAGAATCTGGAACCCATGAACCCAACCTGCCCGGACTGCGGTGTGATTTGGGACTCTTGCGCCGAATGTAGAGGAAAGGTGGACTGGAGAAATACATTGTCACCAGATTGGAACATATTACCGCCGCCGGGACAGTGGGGTACTTGCTCTATGGTTGATATAAAACGCGAGTGGCAGCCTTTAGACCTACTTGCCACCTGTCGACAAATGTAAGTCTTCCTTACCTTTGTAGAATATCAAGGCAGCATCTCCTAACTGTTGAGAAAGCTACACCGAAGGCATCCACGTTTTATATAGTACCAACACCTTCTGTTTCCCGCTCCCAGCACCATGGCGTGGCACGCCACATGCGCAGCCCAAGCCAATCGAAGACTTTTCGTCGTCGATTCTACCCCAGCGACTGAAACAGATCACTCGTGTCTCTGTAGGCATATATTTCCCGCAGTTCAAATCTCTCAACAATGTGTTAGCTCAGAACCTGCCCGGGCTTCGATACGTCGAGCTGCGGGCGAGGATACCTCGGAGAGATTACGAGACCAACATGGATCCAGACACAGGCGCTCTTTCACAACTCGTGTCTGGGGTGAGGGGCAGAGTGGCAGGGGCCAAAGTCGTACTGAGAGCTGATCTAGATGACAGTGTCCCTCCCAGGCTTGGCACTCAGCTGCCTGAGGGACTGGAAGTCGTCATGACCCCTGATGAGGCATGGGAAAGGAGTGGTTTCCCATTTTGGAGATTCTAAGACATTGACAAGTATGGCCACCTAGTCAGGACGTATATAACGTGTCTAGATAGCCATCTTCAACACATGTTGATCCCGGGAAACACTGCCCTGTAATACCAAAAAGCTAGGAATATTGGGTATCTTCCATCGCAACGTGTGTTTGTCCACAATTATATGGAACGTATGGTGTCTAACATCCTAATGGCGGTGCAAAGGCTGTCTTAAGCGGCGGGTGGCTTTGAATACTCGTTTCTTTCGTCGATCCCCTATTATTATATAGTCACAACGAATATTAGATTGCGTTTAAAAGATTTCGTTACATGTGTTCATCGACTGTACGAGCCTCAAGTAGATGCTTAGTAGGAGAACATCTTATATCTTAAGCAGTCACATCAATACTTGGTTAGATAGGTCCTCCCAGCCTGTTTGTACTATATGTTACAATCTAAGTGGGTGTACTTTAAAACCCTGATATTGCATACAAATGTTGAAGTGTTAGTATGGAAGCCTCCAAGACTGGAGGTTCTGGCATCCAAAATTGGAGTCCTCCATACTACGTTTGCCCCATAGGGCGGAGACCTTCACATAAACCTTACCCCACGAAATCTGGACGAGATTATTAATTAAAGCCATTCTTACAGCGCATAGCACATTATTAAAGTAATAGAAGTGCGAACCTAAATAATATAGTTAAGCAAATGTTATTAAAACCAATATCTTTATATAGAATGTTATTAAAGTGGAAGAAAATGAATACAATTTGTATAGTTACTATTAATAGAAGAAAATAACTGTGGCGAGGAAACGGATGATTATAATTAATTTTAGTTTTGAATGGTGGTAAACGGTTATATTATCCCATATTATACGAACCAATGTTATATCACCCTTAAGGGGTATATTTAATAGCGCTATTAAGATAGACTCCTTATTAATCTTTTAAGTGATTAATGTCTTATAAAGATAGGAATGCCTATACGTTTAGTTTAACCTATTATGATAGAATGCTTAAGCTATATGTTTATTACCTTATAGCGCCAGCTATTCCTGGTAAGAGGCCTAAATACTATATAACTTAACTAAAAGCGTATGCTATGACCGATAGCCGAAAGACTTTTGTTGAAGGAGCTATTGCGTTTAGGAATGCTAGAGACCTGGCGGATCGTTATCGCTAAAAGTTTATCGCGGCGGCAAATGCAAAAACTAAGCGGTCTCGCGAAGAACTAGTTGACACAGCGGTGCAACAAGATGATGGCTCAAGCACGGAAGAATATGAGGACTGCGAAGAGTACCCTATTCAATCATCCCGGGACACTAATCAGGCATCTGCTCTTCCTCATTATCTGGAAGACGACCAAGACGAAAATCAATCGTCTCTACCAGATGAAGTTGAAACTCCAGCGGCGAGCTTTACGACAAGCTTTACATCGAGCTTCAATTCAGGCAACGACACCCACCGTCATAGAACCCATTCCAAGCGCATAGGGCTTCTCCGAATTTATCGCCCTCCCATCCGAAAAAACATCATCACAAGAGCAGGAGCAAGAACAGCCAGGCAGCTAGCTCGGGAAAGGGCAAGGCTAGTGGGGCGACGAATTAGACAAGATTTGGAATCGAAATAGTATGAGGTGGGAATATTGGGGCGAAGATAACTAGGCTAGGAAGTTCTTGGCCAAACTACTTGGTGACACTAGTCATTCCCTTACGACCTCCTCAAGCACGCAGTACGAAGAGAGTTGATAGTGTTTAGATTAGTCTTGACCTTAGGCGGGAGTCCATCCCTCTCCCTTCGTCGGCATGCCGCGTCTAGTAGCCGCCGCATCCTTCCACGGCTGGCGCGTAAATCCGCCGCCAAGGAAAAAGCCGAAGATGGTCGAGAGTGCGCTCGAGGGGCCGTCCACGATCTCGTAGATAGCCAACGCGAGGTTGGCCAGGTCGTCCGTGGCGGCGACGATGATGCGCAGGATGTAGCTGTCGACAACGATGGCCTCGCCGACAAAGGAGACCAGCAGGAAGATGGACGTGATGAAGTTCACTATGTCGGACTTGCGCTGCTCCTTGAGGATCTTGTCGGCCGTCTCGACGACCTGCATCATGCTCACCACGGCCTCGGCGAGCAGCAGAGCCGGCAGCGACAGCGCGTCGACGAGGTCGGACCGGCTCGTGCTGCCTAGGTCGTACGGCGCGAACCGCTGTGCGTCGGCCGCGTCGGCAGCGAGCTCTCTGGCCATGACGTACGAGGCCGTCACGATGTCCTTGGGGTTCGGCACGCTGACATTGCCCACGACCGGGTATCCATGCCAGAAGATGGAATGGTCCCCGATGCATTCGTTCACGTCGGTCCCGGCGAACTGGCATCCCTGTCCGACCCATGCCGTGCGATCCCCGAACGCGACCCAGTCCATGAGGACGCCGAACTTCTCGCTGATGTCCGTGAAGAACTTGTTCTAGTCGCTCACGGTGTAGAACAGCTCGTCTGGCGGGGTGCTGTAGATGTCGTAGGGGTCCGATATCCTGGTCGGGCAGTCCACGGGCGTCTGCCGCTTTCCCGGCACGCAGTCCTGGCTCTTGTCGCAGCCGACGGCGCATCCCCAACTCCACACACAGTCCTTGCAGCAGCTCACGTACTTGTTGGAGTTGCAGTGCCAGATCCCCGTGGCCTGGGCGCTGCTCATGTACGCGTCGACCGAGGCGGGCGCTTGGTGGCGTACAACTCGCTCGTAGATGTCAAATTTCCTATCGTACCCATCGCCCACAATAGCGTCGAAATCGTTGAGCGCCTTGTTCAGGATTTCGAGCTCGACCTGCACGATGTACGTGTCGAAGCAGTGGTCAGGGATGCCATCTACGGAGCTGCTGATTTGGTCAAGGGTATGGTACTCGCTGTTACAAGCTGCGAGATTTTTATCTACGATGTAGTCCTCGATCTCAGCGATGTCATCGTAGTATGGACTGCCTCTAATACACAAACATCTGTTAGCATGGTGATGCAAAGTCAGGTTGCGGAAGCAGGTTGCACGGGGCATGAGATGGGACGCAGGCAGGGAACATACTTTCCGGCCGAAACTACTAGCCAAGCGTTGATAACCGAAGTAAAGGGGTGCTCGTTCGTATTGGTGTTGGTCTTTGCCTTGATAGGGGTAGAGTCCTCGTAGGTGACCATCTCAACCGTTCCGATGGTGTACAGGTTATAGATCCATACACCACCGCTGTGCTCTATCGAAACGACGCGTTGTTGGCAGTCTTGCGTGTCGACACATGGTTGTGTGTAGTCTTGGTACCAGTTGTAAAGACCGGCGCCCAGGATCTGCACGTTCGTAGATCCTGTGATCATAAGACCCCACGCGGCTGCGCAGTGAGGGTTCGACGACGAGCATTCTTTGAAGTCGGGGTCACCTTGAAAGTGCTCAAGTTCAAGCGTGATGTCGAAGGGTGCAGGCGCTTGGGGGGTTGGGAGATAGTAGGGGCTCTCGGTTTGAATCTAACGTCGAAACTGTGTCAGCATAATACCATCCAGACAATCGCTGGGGCGGTGGGTTTAAAGTCAGGTAGAGCTCACTGACCATGCCCATAAAAATGTTCTCGGCGTTGAATAAATGGTATTGATACAAGACACAATGTTCGGATGCTGTGCCGTACAACCATACGGGTCCACCCCGACTCTCAATCAGTATTCCTAATAGTATTCAGGTTAGAAATATCAACTTCCCTCCTCCCACTACATTTCTTAGCACCTACTATTAGTGCGAAAGGTAGAACCGCTATACACTATTTATCATAAGTCGTGAGTTGCTCTAATCTCCGAGGACGCCGCACGGGCCAGGAAATAGTGTATATAAGGCGAGCTAGAATAATAAGGGGTAAAAGGAAAACCTTTCCTCCTTGTACAATAACAAAACACCATAGCAAGAATCACAGCAGGGCAGTACTTTGACAGTGATACATAGGATCGAATTTGGCAATATCTTGGTTTGATCTTTTGGTTATTGAAATAAAGTGAGATGAAATATCAACAGCGATCGTGTTATTGAAAGAATGATGGAATCTCTCTTTTTTTTGTCGTGGGGATGTAGATGAGGGTAGTTGTATATTACCGCTAAGGCGACTAAGACTGGCGGTTTGGACTGGACTGGACCGGACTGGGGTGTTGTTATCTGGAAACCCCGCCATTGTCAGTGAGACGATGGTAGGTTTACCCCTCCCTCCCCTTCTCACAGAACGTTGCAATAATTTGTCAATACCTAAGCTCGAAGATAACAAACAACATATCCACGATAATTGATTACTGCTAAGGTTATACGTAAATCATTCCCGTGCTTGAATCCAACTCCCAACTACCACTAACTGACTTACTCACTTTGTTTATTCACTCACTCACTCACTCACTCAGCTCAGCTCAGCTCACATCCATTCATCCATCGATACCCTGCCGACTAATAAAAGGAAAAACAATGCGCCCCTTTCTTAAGTCCCGGTGAGGATGGTGATAGCGAGAGGGAGGATGATGTCTCTTCGGAAATGAATATGCAGATGAGGGAGTTAATGCCCCCGTTGCCGAAGGCTTTTTCGAGGTTGCCGGAGAGAACGCCGGGGTGGATGCGTGTTGTTGCTGCTTATGCATAGGGCGGTATGGGTGATGGGGTGATGGGGAGGTGGCGGAGGAGGAAGAGGAGGCTGAGGCTGAGGCTGGAGATGGGGAGGAAGGTGATGGTGGGGGAGGTGAAGGGGAAGAGGGATGTATGAGAGGGTAAAAGGGAGAGGATGATGGTGAAGGGAAAAATAATGAGGGGGCAAGGGAAAAAGACACGACGGAGCATACTTCCCATGAGTCTGAAGAAAGCCATGAAGTACTTGTGTAATTACTGCGAGATTGCAGGATATGCAAAGTCATGGGGAGCAGTCTGGTGAGTTAGTCGTCACGACCTTCATCGTACGTACTGAGGAAAATGGGGCAGGGGACGCAATTAGGAGAGACGGGTAGAAGGGGGGAGTTTGTTGATGTTGTTGATGTTGATGATGAAGACGAAGAGGATGATGATCGAGTTAATGGGAAAAGCGCGACAGACGTGTACACGCAAATCCTGCAGCACATGACCAAGACCTCTTCTGACGTGAGCAGTGTCTCAAAAACGGAGATGAAATACGGCTGACACGTGCCGCCCTGGAGAGACCACGACTTTTTCTAGGTGATACCAGATTTATTCACCCTCGACTTGGACAACCTCTTACCCGAAGAAGATGAATGCAGATGTGCGCGGTGCGGATGGTGGTTTGACGCTATGCGTCGGAAATATGCGTACGTCTTCTTCTGCGCGAGGTTCACCCAGGATGAAGAGGATTTCCGCTTCTTTCCTTCACGCGGGGTTGAGTGGAATACTCAACAGGGCCGCGAGCCGCTGGAGTCTGATAGTCTTGTGTTTTCGGAGGATAGCGAAAGCATAGATGGAGAGTCTGAGATTGCGTCTCTCTTTGATTCGGGGTTGGTGATCTGTCTTGGATGTGATGAGCCGCTGGGCGTATCCACGGCCAATAACCGCGTCCATGTCCGGATTGGAAGATATGATAATAGGGAGGAGACGGTTTTCACGATTAGGTCTTTTTTCTAGTGGTCTGCTATGACCCACATACCCATCCATGCAACAGAGGAGGAAAGAATTGATATACAAATGGTGTAGTGTGTATACAGATGATCTAAGCGCGATTAATTTTCCTCCTGAAATCGGCGTCGTATACACTGACTACACTGGTAGTCATGAAATTTGGCATAGAGCAAAGGAATGTCTCCGAGTGTGCCGGGATGAACACGACAGATGCAGATATCGCAGTGAATCCACGCAAGCAAGCGGGTTCAAGCCCACCCGACTGATCGATACCGGTCAAGACGACGACGGCCCCCCTCGACTCGTGCGCGGCCCATCTCTAACTGCGGAAGATATCAAAACCGGCTATGTGGCCTTGAACTACTGCTGGGGGGGCGACAATGAACAAAAGACCACCACGCAGAACATCGAGACTCGATACGAGGACGACTTTCCCCTGAAGAGTCAACCCGCAACAATCCAAGACGCGATCACAGTAATAACGAAAATGGGTTTCTGTTATCTCTGGATCGATAGTATCCGCATAGTCTAAGACGATAGCACCGACCTGCTTACCGAAATCTTATACATGAACCAGACCGACACATGCGCAGAGCTCCTCATCTCCTCATCTCCGTATCCCGCGCGTCCACGGCCGCCGGCGGATTTCTCCAACATATCATTGCCGAAGAAGTCGAAGAGACAGAAATCAAGCTCTCGATCCCGTTCAAACACACCTACCAAGCAGGAACAGGGCGAATCGTCCTCGTGAAATGGTTCCCCTCGCGCGCGGACCTAACGCCAGAACCAATCCACTCCCGCGCCTGACATTGCAAGAACACCTCTTAGAGTCCTAGCCAAGCGGATCCTAGCCTTCGGTAAGACGGGGCTGGCATCGCAGTGTCTGCGGGACTCTGCTTACGGCGCTGTAACGAAGAGCGCTTACACGGATAAGACGCAGATTCTGTCTAGTCCGTCGAATATGACCTGTCGGAATATGGTGGTTGTAGTAGATAAAAAGGGGAGGAATACGGCGCATCGGGGCAACCCGTTTAGATATAAGACGGCCCACAAGGAGTGAGATAGGTTGCTAAATAATTTCTGCTTAAGGCGGTTCTAGGCCAGATCCTTGGTGCACTTTTGCGGCATCGAATAAGATCGATTGCTAGATGCTACCTTGTGATCTATTCAATATTTCAGGCCAAGGCTACCACCCTACTAAGGACATGTTCTAGCCGGCGCCCAGGGGCATGCGCTTCAGGGGCGTGTCGCAACTTTTCACCCATTGTATAGACGTGTCGCAACTTGCCACCCATTGTATAAATGTGGGTGAGACTTAAACAGCTGGCCCGTGCTCTGACATTTTATTAGATGAAGTGGATAATAGGTAGCAGAAGAAGGGTTGTATTAAGGATGAAGAGAGAAAAAGCTGGGACCCAGAGGTCCAGGGGGTAGCTAGGCGAGGCGATGAGCAGAAAAGTCGTCAGTCCCAACGACGCCACCAGATCAACCACTAGAACAACTATGAAAATAACTATTAAAACAACTACCACAAGTTTAAAGCTGTTTCTGATATAATAGCACGCCTGTCTATCCATAGTGCTATTTAAATAATCCTACGAAACGCTTAAAAGAATTAAACTTCTAGCTATAAAGAAGTTTTAAGATATTAAGAGGCTTAGCGTAGCTGGTGTAGTTGGTGTGGGTGAGACTGACAAGTTTTTTGCTATCCGCCTCTATAGTCAGACGCTTGAGTGTAAGACACTCCACCTTTTCTAACACCTTTCGTGGTTGAAGTTCAATTTTGCTGTCACAAGGGCGAGACTACAAAGGCACGGAATGTATATAAAAGGACCGTGGTTCCCCTGGATCCTGTAGCCATGCTCTCCATTCTGCATCCTCATCTCCAGCTCCAGTCTCTTCATCCTACATCACCTACTTATCCAAGGCACCCAAGCCATTAACACCATGCAGCTCTCCCACGTTCTTACCCTTGCCTTTGCGACCGCCGCCCTGGCCAAGGTCTACAACGACAACAGCCCGATCTCCGACTCGGTGCCGGGCCCCTCCAGTGCCGTTGTCATGCAAGCCGACGTCTTCGGGACCGCAGTCGGTATCGCGAGCGCTAAGCTCCGTGCCAAGACCCTGGAAGCCCGTGCATCCACCATTGTGGTATGCGAGGACATGAATGGTGGTGGCTCTTGCTTAACCATCACCGGGATTGAGAACGGCGTCTGCTGTAAGTCTCTGTGTCCTGGCAAAGGTATATTGTTGGTATCTAAGAAGAGAAAACAGACAACATCAACGGTATATGGAACGATTCCATCTCGTCTACCGACACTCATGGCGCCACTTGTACCGTGTTTGAGAACCAGGGCTGTAGCGGCGACCAGTCGACCGCTAATGGCAAAGTGAACTGGGGGCACATGAATGATATAATTAGCTCGTTCAGGTGCTTTCAGTAGTGCACGGATCGTGGCCTTAAAATGTGGCTGCAGGTTCTAGATTAGACTCAGCTAGTGGCTCGTGGGATGCTGTTCAACACAGTTTAGGTATATCGGGTTTCAATCAGCAGTGCTATACTTAATACACTCCGTTATCATAGAGAAAAGTCACCGATTGGACACTCTCTAGACTCTATCTATTACATGACGCCGGATTGTGAATTACCAAGACAATTACAAGTAAATGGGAGTTATAACATCTTGACGCGGGTGAGTGGATTGATGCGGCTAGCAGACAAGACTCGCCCGTGTGGCATTGCCGGACCGGGTTATATTTTAAGCTAGGATATTAAGTAAACGGGGATTATAGGGTAAACCTATATTAAGAAGATAAGGGCCTTCATAAAATTTTTATATAGCAAGGTACGTTATATAAATAATAAAAAGATTATTAATTAATATATTAAATTCTATATACTATCGTTTATATTTAACAAATAGGGGAGGGGGTAAAAGGTAGCTAAAAGGGGTATAACTACATTAAGTAGGGTAATATTATTTAGGGTTAAATTTTACTGGTTAATTGCTTCGTCTTCTTTTAAAACAGTTCTTTAAGGTAGGATTGGTGTCAGAATATAGCCCTTAATAAGGGGGCACCTACAACTACCTTTTGGCGCAGTGGTTATTTCTAACAATTGGGGCGCCGAGGCTAAAACGGAGCGCCGGGCGGTTAACGGCTAGGACCTACCCGTATGGCGCCGGACCCCGGTTTTAGTCAGCAGACACGCTCGTACCGATGTTGGCCATATTGCATTACCACCTTGGGATTTGCTCTATGTAGACAGCGTGTGGTTACAACGGATACCTAGCTTAGACTTGCAGGTTCCTACCCAGGATTTATTTCACCTCCATAGTGACTGTACCTGCCGGAAATTAAGAGTTTTGTCATGTACTCAGTTTTGGGCAGCAAATAAGGAGATACGTCAAACATGATGTGAAGTCATTCAATAGGTTGATGATCCCAGACGGTGGCCATCATGAAAACCTCTACCGCGCAGCCTCGCGGGCGCAAATGTAACTACTTGTTTACATAGTATTGCCTTAACTCTTCCAAGCCCCTCGATCCATTCACAAGCCATTCCAAGGCCCATATTGGGAGTAACCAAGTAAGCCACTTTGCATTAGTCGATTTTCCACCCCGCCAGATGCAACCCTTCGCTCCACCAAGGACATCGCTAACTATCTCCCGAGCTGTGATGCTGACATTTGCTCGGCCCTGAATATTCCCCCCCCTTCGCTCATCTTCAAGACGATCCTTAATAGGCTTATAGTAAGAGCTTGCAGGCAACTGGAATGGCTCGGTGAGTGCGTTGTTGAAAAAGTTGGTTTCCACTGAACCGATTATCGCAGTCACTACCCGTACGCCCAGTGGTTCCAACTCGACGCGCATCGTTTCAGATGTTTGCTTGACTGCTGCTTTAGACGTTGTATATATACCTACACAGGAGTTAAGTCATCTTGAGCAATCCACGATAGGACTAATTTCATATTTCATGTAAAGGTCAGTAGGTAGGTGAGGGTAAAATCGTACGTACCGGCCCAGAGGGTCGGGATATTCCATAAGACAGAGCTGCAATTAACAATGACACCCTGACACTGAATAATCAAGTCCGCAAAAGCTTGTGTGACGACTATGACGCTCCAGAAGTTCACATCAAAGAATGCCTTAGCCTTTTCAATGTCGGTGTCAAGAATTGGCGTGTGAAAGTCGCAGCCAGCATTATTGATCAGCATGTTGAGTGTACTGGTGCGTTGTTTGACCTTTTCAGCACACCGAGCAATTGAATCTTTAGACGAGACATCAAGCTCCAAGATTTCAACATTCTTCAGATCTCTTAACGTTTGCGCTTTGGAAGTATTTCGCACTGTTGCAAAAACATAGTAATCATTTTCGTGGAGGACCTTGGCCATAGCAGCCCCCAGGCCACCATCGCTGCATCCTGTAATTAGGGCTGTCTTTTTCAAGACAGGCATGTCATCTAAGTCGCTCATAGTTTCGGTTATAGACGATTGGTGTTTGAGGGTGTGAGGTAATGCCGTTGCACAGCAGAAGAATCAGCTCCGCCAAGAGACTGTCAAGCGCAACATAAGATATGATGCACCTCTAGGAGGGGTAGTCTATTCCGCTCTTTGCTTGGAATACTACAGTGCCCAACTTCTCCCCTCTTGCTTACCTCACAGCAGGTACGTCTGCGGGTTCGGGCATGACAACGGACCGAAATCTCCGTAATACCATACCAACAGTACCATTATGAGGGACAGGGGTAATTAGCTTATCAATGACTTCCAAGGTTGCAAGTCCAGAATGATTCCGATTCAAGCCCATGGGTTTGGGTTGTGGCTTGTGAGAAGTTTACTGGGCGCAGCACCTTGTGGCTCGCGCCCAGAGGTACCCAGCTCGCCAGGTAGTGTGGCTCAGCAACATCAGGAATAAAGTATCGTGATATATGTGAAACTTGTCACTTGACGAACAGATACCCAGGAGAAGCCATAAAAGTAGAGCCATGCCTTACATCTTTATATAAATCTCCTCTCTTGAATGCGACGTCACAGAAACCTAATTCATGTGCAGACTCAACGAGCGATTAGGCAGCAAAACCAACAGGCGAAAGCGGGCAGTGTGTCAAATTGATAGGTGGGGGCATGTTTTCACCACGCACCCATCTACTGTAGCTCTATCTTATGATTATCCTGCCAGTTTGTTATCAGATCCCAATCACGGCACCTGTGGTGTACGTCAAAGTCCGCTTTCACGCCCAAATCCGGGTCCGGCCGGAGCAGCACTGGCGTCACGTCAGCGGCGCACATGAGCTGCAGACGGAGCGCCTCGATACAGTGATCGACGTGTTTTCTATCCATATCGCTTTGGGGATTTGTGACATTGAGATCAATTATCCATGGGTGCTCTTGTACCCATTCAGCCATGTGCGTTTCGTAGTGGTCCTTCCAAGTAAACTGACGAATTTGGTTCTAGTAAGTAACACCCGACCTGTCAGCTCACCACTCACTGAGATATACGCATCATATGGGACTTCCGTACCAGGCAATGGAGGTGATGGAAAACCTCGAGGACACCAGCATATCCTCGGGCTGGATCGTCACTGACGACTGGCTTGAGGTTCTCAGTCGATTTATTCAGCTTCTCAACGACATTCTTTGATACTTCAATCATCCCCCCTAAAAGTATGTTCTCTATGTCAGCATTCATTATCCAACCAATAGAGACGATGGCTACCAGTATCATATGAACCTACGCATCCATAGAGCGCCCCATCGTAACTCCAATTCTGGTGTTGGGAGTCCTTGGTATTCCGTTTCCAACCCAAAAGCGTTATGGAATGTAGCGTCATGATACTGGATAGCACTGCTTTCTAGAGCTGGAGCTGAGTGGAGCCTAGAGTTAGCCAAACCGCTCATCATTGGGGATTATCTATATGCTTACAAGCTGCGCTAAGCATTCGGGCACATTCTACTTCACCAGGGTGTCTGAATAAGAGACAAAACAAAGATGCCGAACTAATCAAGGCTAACAGCGCCCAAGGAAGAAGTAAAGAGAAGAGGGAAATATAGCTCCAACGCCTCGAGGAGGGGTCTGAGGACAGCGCGCATTTCTTACAACATGGCTCCTGTTGTTCTATGAAATGGCGTCGCTCCTCATCCACGCTGGAGGAGATTGAATCGCCTGAGGGGTCGAGAGGTTGATAGCTAAGACGAAACTTTCCCAGCATAGTGGAAGAGAAAAATAATATGGAAAAGAAGAAAGGATGCTTTTCTCCATTGATCGAGGTTGCTTATAACTCTTGTCGTCACTTTTGCTACATTGTCCAACACACCAGAGGAGAGTACATATGAATTCTCCCCATCAGCGCAATCTAACATCTCCATTCTTCAGCGCCAGTACACTAATAAGCTGCATAACCTATCATGATGGAAATGTAGTGATATGGTTCGAAGAAGATGTTCGCTCTCCGGTTGTCCTATTGTGCTATCTCCGATGCAGCTGAGCTAAAGGTCCTACAACGTCCTCGTTAGGCAGGTGAAAGGGATCTACAGGTAACTTACCCTTATCGTATTGGGTTCTTAAATACTAGTCCATTCCCTCTATGGCATCAACGAAGGACTTCCTCACCCAACATCATCCGAGTAGAATCTATCCTGCATATTCTATATCGATGGAGCTGAATTTGAGCTGTCCGAATAAGTACTTACCTCGACATTATCTGTCATGACATCCTGAATACAAGATCTAGAATCACCCCCGGCGCGAAGCAGCCCCTCCCATGATGCAGGACATCACTATATTCCGTATGCGCGTGACTGAAGTGTTGTCGTCGGATCGTGGTGACGACTCTTTCACCTGCCAATCCTGGGCGAAGCTGAAGAGATACACTGCCCGACCCGAGAGGTTGGATATACAATTGGAGAGGCCTTGATCCACGCAACCGCCGCCGGAGACCGTAACTCTCGAAAGCACATTGCATTGGGCGAGACAATAATCCCTCATACCATGTAACGCACGCCGATGTCGCAAAAGAGCCGTGACGATAACGAAACTTGTTGGGTGTGATGAAGCCAGAATCGCAAGATTGTGTAAGAATGATGATGTGGTTTGCGCTATAAGAAGCAGGACGTCTGCGCATCTGGATGTTCATTCATCTCTGAAGCACAAAGACACCGAGCAGCAAGACATCTCGATATATCCTCACTGAATTCTCGCGAGTTGAACCGTTCACGACAATATATTCAAGATGATGAACCCGAATCTCATGCTCGTTGCGCTCGCCGCATTGGCCATCGGCCTCCCCCTAAACCAACTGCCCAATTTTGTTGGTGAGTCTAAAGAAAATCCGATACACTTTCATGTTTTCCGGGGGCCCCCATGGGAAGAAGAGCTGATGCTGACTCTGTTCTGTGCTGTCTAACAGAGGGGGTTGTAGAGCGTGCCCTCGAGGCCGATGTAATCAACAAGCCAACTGTTACTGTTGGTGTTGGTTTTGGCTACGGGGCAGTTGAGACAGCGGCTGCAGAGGCTGCCAAGCGTGACGTTGGGGCTGCCGATGTAATCAACAAGCCAACTGTTACTGTTGGCGTTGGTTTTGGCTACGGGGCAGTTGAGACAGCGGCTGCAGAGGTTGCCAAGCGCGACATCGAGGCTGACGCAGTCGACCCGCAGACTGTCACAGTTGGAGTTGGCTTTGCCTACGGGGCAGTTGAATCGGAGGCTGCAGAGGCTGCCAAGCGCGACGTTGGAGCTGCCGATGTAATCAACAAGCCTACTATTACCGTTGGTGTTGGTTTTGGCTACGGGGCAGTTGAGACAGCGGCTGCAGAGGTTGCCAAGCGCGACGTTGGAGCCGCCGATGCAGTTGACCCACAGACTGTTACTGTTGGAGTTGGCTTTGCCTACGGAGCAGTTGAATCGGAGGCTGCAGAGGCTGCCAAGCGCGACGTTGGAGCCGCCGATGTAATCAACAAGCCAACTATTACTGTTGGTGTTGGTTTTGGCTACGGCGCGGTCGAATCGGCAGCTGCAGAGCCTGTCGCCTAAATCGCAAAAAACCCGAAGAACACAGTAAACGACATAGTCGGTTTCTCACAACAAGTAGGGAACAAATGAATTGCCAGACCCCCCTCTAAGGTGCTTTTTCCTGGATGCGGTTGCTGGTGTTAGTCCTAAGGTATAAACGGTGTGGGGGCCACGGCGATGTCTTGTTGCCATCAGTGAAGCTTCGATGGCAATGGGTTTATATATAGGGTGGTACTCGGTCGTTAGGCGATTGTTTCAGGAGAGCTTCGGTTAGGAATCGGCTAGTTACGCTGGGTAGTTCAAGTGTTAGATATACGAGGTATACAATGTTGTGCTAAGGTTCATTTTGAAAAACTCACAACAGTACGTGACTTTGGATAGCCCACCACAACTATTATTTTATGGTTCACATGAGCCTTTTCATCTGTGCATTATGAACAGGTCGTCTCTTAAAAAAATGCTGGCAGTACCCGATAACCTGTCAATGGAAGGGTGTCGAGCTGTCTGCTCACTAGGTCTTCCAACAGTAGTAGTCGTCCTACAGTGTCACTGTCAGAATCGATGGGGTCTCCGTAAAACTTGGGGGCTTATGCAGATGCAGTTATTATGCCCATATCTTTTTTTTTTTTTTCAGCAGGCTTGATAGTGACTTGTAGCTTGATTGAAAGGATGTAACTACATTGAAGGGTGGTATTCCTTACACACATATACACGAAGAAAGAGAAAGAATGGATTAGAGAGTGATGAAGATCAATCGTCCTAAAATAAGCGAGTGGCGTACAAATCTCAATCAAATTTCTCTCCTGATTAAGGGGGCCGGTGTCAGATCTTGGTTGTAGCAGGCAATTTCAGAGTTCGCAGTTGGGTACTCCAAGATGATCTTTGAGCAATCTGGTTGCTCGTGTTACCCCAAAAGCACCATATGAGTCACTTCTCGTTGGTTTGGAGACCATCATTCGTACAGATTCAATGGGGGATAAAACTGCATGTTGCTATACTACCCACCATAATCAATGTGGCATAGCATTGGGTAGTATCAGAGAAGGTTTAGGAAACAGCGTCGAGTGCGCCAGCGTGATATGGTACCTCCTTACAATAAGGTTAATGTGTATCGGGCGATGTACTTCTTGCACTAGCCCTTACATTTTATCATTCTCTTTCATTCCGATTACATTACGTATTTGCAATAATGATTTGTTTGAAGGATGTAGCCTATATGAATGACTATTGAATCATTGATGGAAAGGTTATATATATAGTCTCGTGCAGCAGCCTGGGCAATATATGCAAAATGCGCAGCTTTATAGATGATGTAGGCGACAAGCGACTCGTCATCATCAAGCCTCCATCCATCTTGCGAAACGAGTAGCTCTCTCCTAAAAGTACGACGGACTACCAGCCCCATGATGACCGACAATCCACCTCCACTTCCAAGACCTCCCTCTCAGTTCCTCTCTCACCTTGCAAATCATCAACAAACTGAAGCACGCAAGCTCCTACAGCCGTACTTATCTTATGAAGCCTGGCTGAGGAGGGCCTTTGCGAGAGGAGATGCTGCAATTAACAACTTTGCGAACTTGGTTCCGATTTACAACGGCTGCGAGGAGGCGTTCAGAATCCGCAACCTCGACCGCGAGACAGCTGACAAGGGAAAGTATGTCATGTCACTGCCGGACAATGCACGCGAGGAAGATTCCACCTTGGCCATTACAGCATCTCTGGGAGAATATTGGAGAAACTTCAATGGGTTCTCACATGGTCAGTTGTCTTAACATATCCTCTTCTGGACTCCCAGATAATAACGGCACGTGGGATATAGGCATATTTGCAGATATAGGTGCGTAGAATGCCAGATCGAATAGCAGTAATTTTCTAAAGAATCACACGAGTAAATTAGATTGGTCAAACATTGTGGTCGCTGGGTCATCTGCGCTGCTTCCTTTGCTCTCTCGTCGGAAGGGCGTGAACTATCCATGCCTTAACTGCTCGCCAGAGAACTATTTTGAGTGAGAAATCTCGTCTTTCCTCTGGCCCTGCTAGGTACCAAGCTAAGTATTCCAGGACAATCGCAAGCAAGAGCGATATTGACATATTTCTCTATGGTCTCGACAATGAGGATGCAGCGATCACACTTATCTTTCAGTTAGAATCTATGGTACGAAGGAACCAAAACTTATGTCCTGGAGAAGGAGATTCACTGCGGTCTAAGAACGCGATAACGTTTAGATCACCTAAATGGCCATTTCGCCAGGTTCAGGTATAGAATAAGTACATCTTCCAGAAAGTATTTGCATTGATAACGAGTATCATATTACTAGATCATCCTCCGACTATACAGATCTATTAGTGAGATATTGACCGGCTTCGATGTGGACTGTGCTTGCGTTGCCTTTGATGGAACGCAAGTATATTCCAACCCGCGCGGGATCACCGCGATCGCCACTCGCACTAATCTCATTGACCTGACCCGTCGAGGCCCAGGTACGTGATTTCCTGCCCTGGACATATGTATATCATTCTGGTGTCTGAATAGATCAAATCAGCTTACGAGAATCGCCTGCGCAAATATCGGCTTCATAACTTTGAGGTGTTTTGGGGCCCTCTTGAGCGCGAACGAATAAACACCATGCTCTTCCAATCCCCCGCACGCCTGCTAAATGACACCCAAGGTTTAGCTCGGCTTCTTCTCTATGAACAAATGCTGCAAGAAAATTGGGACTGTCGGGGTGAAGAGCTTGCTTATTTGGGGCAACCCCAAAATAGCGTCGACGAAAGGGGTGAGTCAAGCCTACCGGTGCTAAGTGACTATGCCCTCTATGAGATTCCGTATGGCGAAAACTGCGCGGATGAGAGGTACGTAAGACAGTACTCTACAGTATCGTTTCCTGATGTTTGTCCCCGACGTATTGATAACCCTAGATCACACGAAACATTTTTGAGCCACCCTGATGACCCGTGTCTCTTTGGTACAATTCAAGAAGTGATCGAGGGTAGGAAGTCAAACGCTTTAGGAGACAATAGCCTCGTCGGAAAAGTTCGCTTCGTCCGATATGTCCCAGGTCAAGAGGTAATGGAGACTTTACAACCTCTGGCTAAGGATGATTGGTAAGATACTCTGAGTCCTTTGTTTTTCTGGTTCGCCATATTGCCATATGTGTCATATACCTTACCTGACTTGTCTAGGACCAATATGGCATATTTGACTATAAAGCCTAAAGCACCAAGGGGTAATGCGAGAGAAAGAAGAAGACGAAAGAGGCAAAAAATGCAAGAAGAATGGAACCAACAGAACTGTGTTAAAAGTCTGGAGACTGGTAACACAATATGATGCTAAGTATCAAGCCCAAACCCCCGATGGGCACCGTCTTTCTAGGCACTCCGAGTCGGCGAGCAAGAACTCACAAAATTAACGTCCGCCCGGACTACAAGGCGTTGCTTGTGCCAAAGGAGCTTTCAGCCGGTAAACCACGTGTACCACGTTTCTATGCATCCCTGCTGGGGAAGAATGTGTCATCAATTTTGAGTAGAATGAGTTGGGAATCGTTATAGATGTTAGCTCAACCAGGTGCTTCTGGTACGCTGGTGAATGTAGCGTATGCCGTGATAAGGCGTCCGTCAGCAGACTGAAAACCCCCGCCGGGCAATGTGTCACGCTCCTCTTGAATTATCTTCCTCTAACTCTGATAAACTCGTGACTTCCCTTCTCACTAAGTATGAAATCTATGTCTTTGGGATGGAATTGGCATCTATCAACTGTTTTGGAATGGCCATCCACTTAGCCCAATAATCTCCCAGGTATTTGGATATGGCCTCGATCAAGAACCGACCGCCTTCACCGAAGACCCAGAAGTCTCGTTCCTGGTGCAACAAGACCGCCCAATAGGCCATTATGACCAATGCTTCTGGTAACCGTTCCCTCAAGAGCTGTAAATACTCAGTAGAGATACGCACTGGCCAGGCTAGCACAAGATCGCGTCCAATCGGGGCAGGTACAACTGCACGCTGATCGAATATCCACCGCAATGCCTGGACTGCATCATGGCATGCTTGGGACGACGCCGGTCTGAGCCTATCCACACCCATCGTGAGTAGACCTGAAAGATGGTCGCAAATGTTTTCGGGTGGTGGTTCTACCATATCAGCGGCTTCTACCAGGTCGAGAATAACCCTCAACTCAGATTTCCTTCGAAGAATGTGCCAAGTGTGGCTTGTTACAATACCCACGCCGCGATAAAGTCCGGCGAATTGGATGAATTTGTCCAATAACTCCGGCAAGTCTGCTCGAGAGGTAGCTGTGTCGTGGAGCATATGCATACCGATGAATGATGAGTATAGAAGCAGAGAGGTGCAATTATCCTCCGTGATTTCGGGGCGCGTGGCATTGTAAAGCGCCAAAGCACGGGTCTGGAGCTGCACAGCTTGGTGGCGGTAGTGATGTTGCTTGGCGGGATGTAAAGCGAGTACACTGAGATGCAGAGCAGCGAAAGCCAGAACTGCGTCCATCAGATAGGGCGCAGTCAGCGCAGACGTTACTATCAGGCGCGACAGCTGGTGGGAATTTTCCTTGCCAACGACAAAGTCTTCTTGTAATAAGTTGTGCTCGACATGATGAAGTAGTGCTAAGTGGTTGAGATTGAAAATTTGCTGGGGCACCTCTTGCACACCCGGATTCTGAGAACTAGCTGGACTGCTGGCATATGACGGCGCGACCGGGGATAACTTTGGTGGAGGATCGATCGATGAGGCCAGAGGCGAGATGTGCTCCGGCACGTCGCCGTTGGTGCTGCTTACGGTCACAAACGAACATGAGCGCGCCGTCATTGAGCACTGGAAACAACCGGGTCGTTGCTCGTCGCATTTAACATGCCTCTGCTTGCATTGGCGACAGCCCTTTCGTGACTTATAATGCGCCCGTCTCGTCATGCTTCTAGGCGCCATTTGATTGACGAGGGGACAATAAACGGCAAACTAGCGTGAACAAGATGTTGGCTTTTTGCCATGGCAATTGAGGTTCCAAGGATTTTGGCCGCGCCGCTCGATATCATACACTCAACCCACTGTGAACGGCTACGTCAGAAACCACGGATACTGTATTAGCCAATTATCTGCCATCTCATTAGTTGCTATAAGGTGTATGTTGTCTTGACCATTGAGTCGGTCCTAGGGTCCTAGGAGAGGAAACTAGTTACCGACGTAAAGCTGACATTCGTGTCCCTTCTTCTCGTTCAAATTATGCATTGCTCCACCATATTGAGACACATTCTGTCGGACTCGGTCATTCCGGTTGGTAGCAGCACAATCTCCTTACTGCCTCAGGGCTCCAATATACTTACTGGCAGTACCGCTGTATTGCTTTCACTTTGAGCTTTTCTGAAAGCTGCTGCCTAATTCTATCTGCATATTAGGTCACCGTATGCGCTCTGTTCTGTTCTGTACTTGCTGGAGATAGTTTAGTTCCAGCTTGGCGGTCTTAGCGCACAAGTACGACTCGACTCTATCATTGTAAGCGGCATGTATTTTATCATGCAGGGACAGCTTCAAGCATTCACCAAAGAGAAATTGGGTTGAATCATTATTTGATTTCATTTGGCATATTGCCTTCAACATGGTCCTTTGGGGAGGTTCAACCAGCAGCTAAGTTGTGTACATTATAGCAAGATCGCGGCAGCGATGACACCGCCCATAGCGGTAGCACCGACTAGGACTTCGGTAGGTCTAGCGGCGGCCGCCACAGGTATTGATGTTGTTCGGGGGTTGGTATTATTGCCGGTTGGTGTAGCAGTCGGGTAAGGTGTAATTGTAACGGATGCCGTGCCGTTACCTCCAGTCGGGGTAGCGGTAGGTTGACATAGGCTCTCAGGGTTTGACACGATATAGTGGAGGTAGCTAGTGATAGAAGAAGCGGCCGTTCCGGTGGTAATGCACTCGGTAACGACCTGATCATACGTCGCGATCCTCTCGCCGGCGAAACTGAGGAGCGAAGGGCCCCAGCCTGAGAAGTCGGACAATGCCGACTGGGGTAGATCAACTGCTAGGCCGCAGAGCTCCGATACATAGGCTTCAGGGTCCCTTAGGATACCACCGGGCGCGAGAGTAGATGTTTCGTGTGTATCCAAGAAAGACTAGATCACGTCAGGAGCCGTAGGGGCGGGTCCTATAAGATCTGCCGCGAACTGGACACAAGTTGGAGCTGGGGTAAATTGCTGGGCGACGGACGTACCCGCACCAATGGCGACCAAGAAACCGAGAGTCTTAGTGGTGTACATGACTGTTGTTGGCGAAGACGCTACAATAAGGGACGTGAAGTTTCGAGACTACTGGCAGAGAAAAGGTATTCTTATATCCATTGACTTTCTTCTAGCCCCGGGGCTGAAGCCTAGACCAGGGGCAACTGTGCGTGATTCATCATGATACGCATTTACCGAATCTGTCAAATAGGATTAATTGCAGCTCAATTCCTTACGGAACACGCAGTTCGTCAACAACCAAAGTAGTGGAAGTTGGAACGAATAATGTAACCATTACCTAGGCAGGCCGGGGCTCATTCTCCAGAACTGTTAATTGGAGGATTACACGGCCTGGGGTTTATAGACAATTGTAGAACTATTGTACGACTCACTGTCTACTGCAAATTATCATAAACAGTCCATTTCGAAATTGTACAATCTCAACTCAAACAACCTACGGCCCTCTTGTATTACATGACCAAGCTCCATGGTGTAAACTACCTGGGAAACCCCTGCTGCCGCTAGATAAACATCACAAGAAGGATTCTACCCCGGCTTAGTCTAGTGACTATCTAAACTCAACGACCCAACAGCGATGAAGTGCTCTGAAGATCAAGGAATAGCTTACTAAGTACGTTGGTTTTTAAAACCCCTGGCTGGTTCTTGCAGCCTTCAAACGCTGGGGCCGTAGCTGTTTTTGGTTAGGGTCCAGCCGCGGTTCAGTAGCAATGCCGAACGCACACGACATCTTAAGACGGCGATGCCAGGCGAAGCCATACAAGACGCGCCTTAGGGTACTTGCCCGTACAATAGGGATAGAAAATCGGTTTAATACTCCCGCATTCACATCTACGATTAGTAGGACCAATTACTCTGCTAAACCTAGTCAGCAGAGAGAGCATTGTATACTTGTTATTGTCGCCTCTCTCTACTATCGTCTTAACTTGGGAATGTGTATAAGAGAAGTGTGTTTACTTTTCATCACACTTCGCTGTTGCAATACTACCATTAAGTTGGCCTATAATATCGTAGAAAGTAGCAAATAGGCAGAATTGGCATCTTTATATTCCATGCCGCGGGGGCTTATATATTTGGCTTGCGGCGTGGTGTGTTTGCAGCACTCCATTTCCCTACGGGTGTGACACCGGTAAAAAGCGCGAATCGATTCACCCATCTCATGTAGCCTCTCTTATTCGTTCGGACGGAAATGCAATGACTCTGTCTTGAACGAAGCATACCCGAGAGCGCCCGGGGGTGCTCGCTGCACATGCTTCCCTTTAAAACCCCGGCCATCGTATCACTGAAAAGTAGTTCTTGGTTGCTAGTGACACGGTCGACTTTTTACAAGGCTAGTATGCTAGGACAACTAAATTCGTAAGGAAAGACGACGAGGACGATGCATTCATCTCCCATATTTTGGTGTATGGTGCTGCTGCTCGCGACGCCCAGCCTGGCAGCCCTCAAAGTGGCAAGCAGTCTTATAGTCCTCGAATGGACGCCCGAGATTATCGCTAAGGAAGACTACTACAATGGAACCGTTTCCATTGTCAACGGCGGGATCCCAAGCTTGTTCAGCGACCCCAGCGTTGACATAGGCGCCAATTCCGAAACCCAGCTTCTTCGCCAATACGCCTCACACAAGAACCTTCGAACAATCCTCACGACGGTGGAAGTCTACTATCGGATCGTTGCGAGCAAGAAGAAGGGCATTGAGAAACTCGAAGACCTGAAGGGAAAGCGGATCGGCGCGTTCGCTTCGACGTCGTCTGAGTATTTTGTGCGGACACTTCTCGCGACAGTCGGCCTAGCCCCGTCCGACTACACTATCGTACCGGGGGTTGCTTGTTTAAAGGAGCCGTGTGGCTCCGGCACGTTCCCAGCCATGCTGAAGCGCGGCGCCATCGACGCCATCGGCATGTGGGAGCCAAGCGTGCAGCTAGGTGCCGAGGCCATTGGCGCCGACGCCATCATGTTTGAGCAGACGATCTACCGCGAGATCTATAACCTCGCGACTACCGCTGAGAAGCTAGCTGATGCAGCAAAACGTAAGGAGATAGTAGCATTCGTTGCGGCGCTCGTAAAGGCCGAAGACGTGTTCCGCATTGATCCGGAGAAGGTGGTGGCGAGGGCCGCGGCGGCTGTCAAGACGAACGCTACATTGTTCAGGGAGGTGTGGCCCGTCCATAGATGGACGGCGCGGAATCCGCTCGACCTCGTCGACGTCCTTCTCGAAGAGGACAAGTATGTCGCGCGTGCGGATGGCCGGGCCGTCATGTCGAGAGAGCTGCTTGAGAATCTTGTTGATAGGACTTTACTAGCGGATGCTTTGCTGCTCGAAGAACATTGATACGCATGTTGCACGAAAAGGGGCGAATAGCGTACTGTGATGTACAGTATCATAAGTAGCCGGCCCTTGACCCGGAATCTCTTTGTCAGCCTAGGGATTTTCGCATACATGTTATATGGTGATACTCTTAGTGTGTGTATCACGCGCGTTCACTGGCGCCATTATCTGAGAGACCCAAGGAGATTGAGGAGCTGAGCGGGAAGCCGAACAAATCCGTAGCCAACGATGCTGAGAACCCCAAGGTCGGCGACGTTAGGTAGGCAGCGTCGACGAGGCTGGGAAGTCTTTCAAAAGACGACTTGGACAGTGTAGAGTGATGCGATTCCGACTCGTACTAATGAACTGTACCTACAGGCGCTTCATCATCACAAGTGAATATCTAACGCAACCTTGAAAGCATGGTATACTTACAGTTCAGGTGTTGCACACTGATCTGAGGGCCTAGCCCATTTTGGCTGTATCTACGGATTGCTGTTATTTCAAAAGACTCATATATCTCTGGTAGTACATGTTACACCTCAACCGAGAGAGATGAATCTTCATACATCTTCCTCCATCTTCATTCTTCATTCTCATCTTTTCATTTGCGCCGTGCATGTGGCTGGAGCATGTGGCTGGAGCATGTGGCTGGAGCATGGCTGGAGCATGGCTGGAGAGCGTGCTGTCGGCGCTAGCCGTTACGCTAGACTTTAATAGGCCTAGATTCCTCTTATCCAGACTTATCCTCTTGACCGAGTCCCCGTCTTTTTTTCTTCCGCTGGGAGCTTGGGGCGGGCCCACACAGCACCATGCTCAGGGCAATTGGCACCGGTACTTGAGGGGTACTTGGACTCTAACTGACAAGTGAGCCTTGGATACTTTCCTCTCGACCACATTATAGGTGTGTGATCGTGTATCTGAGTCTGATCTGAGCCTTTGCTCCGGGCAGAGCGTGAGGTACCGATACATATCAGACAATTCCGTAAATACAACCTGCAGCGTCACTCTACGAAGTAGGTACATGTAAAACTTCACCGATTTATATCCTCGACTACCATCAACTAAACCCTCAACTTCCCTCTTCCCTCCCCCCCCCTCCCTTTCCACACCATTTCTCTACCGGCCCGCGACCACCCTCGAGCCATTCTTCCATCGTTCATTTACAATTGTTATCTCTTCTCTTCCCGTAACAGGTAGCATTTCGTCACTATGTTCGCTGCACGAGCTGTTTTCGCTGCCGGTCAGCGCCGCGCTTTCTCGGCCTCAGCCCGCAACGTAAGTCGCTCATCCTGCCAATGTCCCCCTCCACTTCACCCTTCCACTCCACCCTTCCACTTCACATCACTAGATCGACTCGATTGCTGACTTCCGAGACAGCTCTCCAAGGTCACCGTTCTCGGTGCTGCCGGTGGTATCGGTCAGCCTCTGTCTCTTCTCTTGAAGATGAACCCCAGAGTCACCGAGCTCGCTCTCTACGATATCCGTGGAGGTCCCGGTACGTACGGCAATCATACCCTCAGCCATTAACCTCAATTGGTGTCACATTTCCCTTTTCTTTCACTTTTTGCCTCCTTTTTCTATCTAACGAGCCTCTCCGCCGTGCAGGTGTCGCCGCTGATGTCTCGCACGTCAACACCAAGAGCACCGTCACCGGCTACGAGCCCACCCCCGAGGGCCTCGCCTCCGCCCTCAAGGGCAGCGACGTCGTCGTCATCCCCGCTGGTGTCCCTCGCAAGCCCGGCATGACCCGTGACGATCTCTTCAACACCAACGCCTCTATCGTCCGCGATCTCGCCAAGGCCGCCGCCGAATCCTGCCCTGAGGCCAACCTGCTCATCATCGCCAACCCCGTCAACTCGACCGTCCCCATCTGCGCCGAGGTCTTCAAGGCCCGTGGCGTCTACAACCCCAAGCGCCTCTTCGGTGTCACCACCCTCGACGTTGTCCGTGCTAGCCGCTTCGTCAGCGAGATTAAGGGCACTGACCCCAAGGACGAGAACATCACCGTCGTCGGTGGTCACTCGGGCGTCACCATCGTCCCCCTCTTCAGCCAGAGCAAGCACCCCGACCTGTCCTCCAACGACAAGCTCGTCAACCGGGTCCAGTTCGGTGGTGACGAGGTCGTCAAGGCCAAGGACGGCGCTGGCTCTGCCACTCTCTCCATGGCCATGGCCGGTGCCCGCATGACCGATGCCGTTCTCCGTGCCGCCCAGGGCGAGAAGGGTGTTGTTGAGCCCTCTTTCATCGACAGCCCGCTGTACAAGGACCAGGGCATCGATTTCTTTGCTTCCAAGGTCGAGCTCGGCCCCAACGGTGTCGAGAAGATCTTCCCCGTCGGCGATGTTGACGCCGCTGAGGAGAAGCTCCTGGAGGCCTGCCTGGTTGACCTGAAGAAGAACATTGCCAAGGGTGTCTCCTTCGTTGCCGCCAACCCCGCCAAATAAATTTCAAATTTCATGTAAACTTTAGAGAAGCAACAGCATTATAGCGGGGCGTCTCCTGAGATAGAAACTTCGTGAAATTTAAAAAAATTGGGAAAAGAAAATGGTTTATGGGTTCGGTGGCCGGGTGTTTTCTGGATGTAACGACCTGGCTACCGTGACTATTTAGCCATGGAAACTCTATGGCTTTGCCCGGGGAAATAATGATGGCATGAATGTTTGTTCCTCGTGGTAAAGCTTGAGTAAGTACAAGCTCACATCTCGAGATTCAAGCTTGATGAAAACCTGTATGATAGAGGAATGCACATGATACCACCTACTCTCTGCTCAATCGGAATTAAAAAAGAAAAAGAAAAATGTTTTGTGATAATTCATCGATCCGGTTATTGTACTTTCCGCACAAGTATCTGCTACTGTCCACTTGTATTCCGCCGGCTCCGAACCATCTCAGCCTTGCCCACGACAGCCTCCAGCGCGCCCACAAGCCCGGCCTCATCATAGCACAACATGCCGTCTACTCTGCGCCCGTAGACGCGGATACAGTCAACCCCTAGCGCAGCAAGCTCGGTCTTGTTTACCTTGGGCACGCCTTCGCCCTCGAGATACAGAAGATGTGTCACATATCTCCTTACTTGGCCATCCACGCTCCCTCCTATCGCATCTGCAGCACCCTGGGTCTCAGCACACGCCCGAGCAATAGCACGCACGAAATCCGTAGCCGTAAGCGGACCGCCGCTCGGTCCCGTCTCCCTGTCCAACGTAGAATTCAAAATCAGGATCTTCTGGTGCATAGGCGACAAGGCGGCGATGGCACGGCCAACGCCTCGTAGCACTAGACTAGGTATGAGCGACGTGTACAGCGAGCCGATGCTGTATATCACGCTAATGGAGCGCGATATGGCCGTGACGACTTTCGGGTTGGCGACGGGGTAGATCTCGTGGCCGTAGGGATTGATGTACCAGATGCGGGAGATGCGACTTGGTAAGTCGTTGGTGTGCGGGGACCCTTCTTTGGTGAAGGAGAGGTATGGCTTGCGGAGGGACGGGAGGGATCCGGGCAGCGTGGCGTCTTCGATGCGGTCGTGGGCTTCTGTTTCGCGGAGGCGGTCCTGGAAGGGGTTCGGTAAAGGTGAAGGTGAGAAGTTGGAATCACGTTTAGAAAGGGGATCAAAAGGCAATGTGGATGGTGACTCTGCTGTCACCGTTGCTATGTCGGGCAGGCTCGTCGGGGCCGAGGGATGGGATATTGCGTTCTGTCCTGTGATCTGAGATCCGTCTTCTAATCCTGCGCTGATGTGGTGCGTGAAGTTACTGTTGATGGCTGGTAGGGCGGCCACTGTTGATGGAACTGCGCAGATTGTTGACAGAAGGTAGATGGCCGATTCGAGAGACCCTGTGAAGAGTCGCGCACTGGTCCACACATTAGAGGACTGCATTGCTCTTGCAAGTTACTTCTATGAGGACGGAGATGAAGCCATTCGGAAGAAGAGACGAAAAGATAGGGAAACGCGCAAGTGGAAAAAAAAAAAATGACAACTTACCCCGTCAGAAACAGATTCCCAATACTAGCCTTAGCAAAATTGAAAACAGAGCTCGGTCTCGCACGCTTCACAATTTCCATGTTCATGTGATTAAATATAGAACGGATGAGTTCGCGCTTTTCGCTGGACATGTCAGCCCACAACTCGTGGCGACCCTCGACTATGTCCAGCCATTCCGAGCGAGCCGCGTTCGGGTCCGCGGAGAGACGGTGATTGAAGATAGACTTGAGAGCGACTCTTTCCGCGTCCGTGTCTGCGGGGGGGATCAGACGAACTAGACGGCCTGTTTTCTAGTGGTGAGCCTGTGCCATGGTTCGTGTTTGACGATATGCTCAAGATGAGGTTGAGTCAAAGTATGGATGGCAACATGTGAATATGAGTAATCTTGAGCGAAAGAACCTACTGCGCACATCACCAATACCTATCATAGAATTGTCAGTTACAGTGCATTATAGAATGAAGAATGCGAATATGATAAAGCAAATGAGACCTTCGTCCATCACATCACCGTGTGTCAATAGGCGTCCGTGAGAAAGGATACGAGACTTCGAGCAAGTAAGCTGTCCAACAACTCAATAAACAACAAAAATGAAGAAGAAAAAGAAGAAAAAGCCCGTTCCTACCTGGCCCTCCGAAAACACGAATCAACTCCGACGAACTGCCACCATTATCGCTGATGGGTATGACATATTGCAGCTCACAATTCCTGCTACGCCTCAGATTCTCAAAGACATCGACGAGACTATTCGTCGCAGTCCCGCCTCCGAAGACTACGATGCCGCGCAATGGCTTGACGGCATCCATTTCTTCTTTTTTGCTTTTCTCCTTGTAACTCGGAGAATAGAGGAGATAGACAATTAAATTGAGCTAGCTGCACGCAAGTAAGCAGGCAATGTTCTAATTCTACGTATCTAAACAGGTGACCAATTACCTACCTTTGCTACTCCGGGGCGGATAGCTTAACCTTGCGTTGATTCCGGTGTTGTTATCCGTGTGGATGATGGATGTTTCAACTCAAGGTTATTACCATCCTTGTTTCCCAAGAGGGTTACGTAAGGTCATACCAGGTTGATTACGTAAGCAGAATCTGATATAACGAAGTTGACACATAATCCAACCTGGTCAGTCTCGTTATTCAAGATAAGCGTCGTTCAGTGTGTATCCTGTAAACCTGAAAGCGAAGCGCCCTGTGTTGACTTGAATTGTGACATTCGTCTATATATATTCAAACCTCACCGGACACATCAACGCATGCCCCGGCGAAGCACATTACCTTTGTTGACAGCTGACAGCCCGATCCTTTCTAATCTAAATGCAGGCACTCTAAATCTAGATTATACACGTCTATGTTACAGTCCAATACCATTGGCTCCTGCTCACAGATAAACGTACCCTAGAGGAGCGACATACCTTGTGATTATGTGCCACATTTACCGGTTACCCCCTGCCCATTCTTGAATTTTCCGTTTTCGTTCCTCGACTTTCCTCTCAAACTCCTCTACCTGAGCCTGCCGCTTTTTTTCTTCTTCGGCGTCTTTCAGCGCTTGCTCGACTGCTTTACGTGCCTGCTCACGTTGCAGCTGGTCAGGTCGTCTATCAGCAATATCACGTGGACGGTAATCGCTGAATAACCGCTTGAGTACCACTTCAATTACCCAGCAGCCCACATAGTCGAGAATCATGACAGCCGTCATTGTCATCTTGAATTCATCGGTAAACTTGACTAGCTTCATCTGCTCATTGATCTCGGGGATGAACTCGGTTGAGCAAGAAAATGCAATGGCTGTCACGCCAATGATACCATAGAACATGCCCTTATTCTCAGAAAGAGCCTCTCGGAAAGGTCTGCCCTGGTAGTTGACGGCAAAAGTCGAGATCTGTTGAATGAGTTGCAATAGGTAGACGGCGCTGTTCAGCAGCGAAGGCTGGAATTCTGCTTCCAGGTCAATCATTTCGGAGCGTCTATAGCATATGATTGAGTTAGTAAGCTAGGACACGATTCAAAGATCAGATCAATGAATATAGGAGACACTTACGGCTCAAGTCGGTCACAGAAGCGAGCAATGTAAATGAGGGTGACAATATGGACAGCGAATTGACCAAGGATGGAACCAATGATGTAGAAGTTGAAGATATTCGGCTGTGGTCGTTCTTTTGACAATCCCTCAACAGACTTGGCCCTAGAGATGGATAAGAAGCAGACGCTCATGAGCATACCGCTGATTGTGATTTGACCATCGCCAAACTTGATACCTTCCAGGTAGAGTACACTTAAACTGTAGGCACTGATAAGGCAGTTGAGAGCCAGGATTTTGTACATCTGTATAGTAGCAACAAGTGTGCAACGACCTTGGCGAATGATGTTGGGGATGGCAATAACGTTCCGAAGCTTGCTCGTAAAAGGTGCAGCAACAGAGGCATCACCTAGTTTGAGTGTTGGAGCCTCATCCTCGCCCATCTCTTGCTCCATCATGGCGCTAGTCATCTTGTCGGCGAATCCTGCTGCCTTGTTCATCGATTGCTGTTGTCTAGTCAAATGAGTGTCGGCCTGAGCGGGCTGTTGAACAGTAACGGCAGTATCGACACCTTCGAGACTATTGCCGTTCAGTTTGGCATATTCCTGGACCGTAATGCCCTTCTTCGTCGCCTCTCGTTCAAGTGCTTTTTGGTAGTTAGGATTGGAAGGACCAGGTGGGTAAAGATGGGCGATCAGAACGGGTACGGGAGGCGCAGGTTGGTTAAAACGCTTCATAAGATCAACTTGTTTCTGATACAGTTCCTTCATCTTGGTATTGCGTGAGTGTTCGGCGATCCTGTTCAGGTCATCTGCCGTTCCGTTGAGCAAGGCGACACCGATATGGGCTTGTTTCAAGGCACCAACATCATTGGTGCCGTCTCCAGCCATGAGAGTGTAGTAACCCATATCTTTCAGGCCAAGAAGGATTTCTTCCTTTTGCTTGGGGGAAACACGCGCGTACACCCACGTGTGACGGAGCAGAGCTTTCCAGGCAGCACTATTGTCCTTGAATTGTGCCAGCGCATATCCTGTAACGCAGATATCCTTTGATTCGAGAATCTTAGGGTCGATTCGCTTGGATGCATCGACCTCAATATTGATCTGGTCGTCAACACTACGCCAGACAAGTCGTTGGCCACCGTCATTTTTCTCGGGAGCGTCCAGTATTAATACATCTCGGTCCACAATCTCAACCTCACGTGCGACATGCACAGCCGTGAGTGGGTTGTCTCCAGTAATCATAACCACTCGATGGCTACTCTCGTTCAACATCTGAACGGCCTTCTTTGCATCGTCTTTCAGAGGGCACTGGAGAACCAGGAATCCGGCAAAGGTCAGTTCAGCCTCAACTTTCTCTCGTTTCAGGTCGTTGATCTTCCCAGAGCCCAACTCGCTGTCAACAGTCAATTGCTTATAGGCGAGCGCAAGGACACGAGAACCTCGTCGAGTAAAGTATTTGTATGTCTCTTCATAGTCTTCCGGGACAGTTACCAACATCTTCATAATAGTCTCCGGTGCTCCCTTAACACCGACAAAGGTACCACGCATTTTCTGGCCGGTTGTAGGGTCTGCAGCATTGACCGTGGCCACGGAGCTTTGACGTTTTAAGGCAGAGGAGAACTGGAAGCGGCGTTTGATTTGAACAGTTCCAATCGTAGTCTGAACACCAGCAGCCGTCTTTGCAGCAAGAATGTCATTCTTGCCAAGACCCCATCCGAGAGCAGTCAATGTCGCCTTTTCCATAGGGTCACCTACGATATCGCCCTCCTCGAGCTTCACAAGAGCATGAGCGGTGGCAAGAACGAGAGTTGTTTCCATGCCGGCTTCCTTAACGGGAGTCATATGACTGTGAGCACCGTTGGCTTCTTGCGGCGTGTTGGTACCATCATGGCCAAGTCCTAAGCCGGCAATGCCTTCGACGACTAGATCTTCACCAGTTAAAGTACCAGTTTTATCGAAGCAAGCGATGTCGATACGGCCAGCGAAGGGAATGCGGAAAGGCTCAGTGCAGAAAATTGCATACTTGGCAAGGGCGGCAAGACTCGTGTTGACGGCAAGACTCAACTCCATGGGCAGTTCAGGCGGGACAACACTGGTTACTATCAAGATACAGTCGAGAAGTAGTTTTGATCGTTTGCGGTCTTTCTTAACGCCTTCGTCCCACACATACCAGGAGGCGGCTAGGGCGAAGACCAACAGGAACAGGATGAAAAGCAGAGCCTCGCTATTGTTCGCCGACACTCGCTCAGTAGAGTAGATCATGGTACGTACAAGACTACCCTGAGAAGTCTCAAAGCCAGTCTTCATAATGACAGCCATGACACCGTTATCGGGTGGAAGTGGAACGCCGGAGGCGAGCTTTGGTTTCTCCTCGTCGGGATTCCCATGCGTTACCTGCAGAACCTTGGTGCCTCCCCACAGAAAGGCGTTTTTGTCCAGCCCCTCACTGTCGATAGGTGCATCGCTAGGCCGTAGTTGAATTGAGTCCTTCAGTAGCGGGGTACTTTCGCCGGACAACATAGCCTCGTTGACAATAGCAGTGCCTTCGACTAGGAGCATATCACATGCGACGCCACTGTCTTCTTTTGTGCGGTTGACGGAGACAAGGTCCCCAGGCACCAGCTTGTCGCTCTGTATCTCAGTCCACTTGCCCAGTCTGTATACCCACATGTCGTAAGGCTTGATGCTCATGCCACGGAACTCGGTGAGGGTTCTTTGGCGTTGCCATACAACGGTGCTTTCGAACATGACGAGCATGAAGAGCGTGAAGAGAGAGTAATACCAATACTCGTCTAACATCCACAGGCCAACACAGAAGACCTGAAAGACGAAGAAGGGGGCGACTGCATGTTCTTTGAAAAGTTCAGTGAACGTGGGGACGGGAATGTCGAAGGTATTGCTCCCATAGTATTGCTCAAGTCTCGAGAGTTCTGCCTGTGTAGTGATACCTCGGCAACTCTGGAACTTGCCGATGTGGGGTTTTGGTTCAGCATCGATCTCGTAGGTCAGAGGGCTGAAGGTTTGCTTGACGGGGTCGTAGAGAAAGCGGCGCTTTTGAAAGAGAAAGGACAGATTTGTCTTATCATTGATCTATTGACACAAGCGCAACGAGCTGGTTAGTCAGGAATATTCAATGGGGGGAAGTATCTGCGTCTCGGGAGCAGAGAAATGAGATATGGATGGAAGAAGAAGAGACTATATCAAGGATGGGGGGCGGGAATGGATGGGAAAGGGTGGAAGTTGGCAGTACCTTGTCGCGAGAAATGGTGCAAATCTCAGCAGAGCCAGCGTTGGCGATGGGGATGATCTTTATGAGCTGAGCATCTTCAAGCTTCTTGGCCTTAGTTGCAGTGAAGGTGGCCTTGAGATCGACGCTCCAATTGGTGCTCAACCACACGAGAGACTGCAGGGTTATGATAGTGCCACACCAGACAAAAGTCCATTCCGAGGCGGAGATGTATTTGTGGTAGAGTTCGGGGGTGTAGTAGTAGCGGGCGAAGACGGGCCATATTACGGCGAAAGGCCAGACATAGGCGTGGAAATAGAGGGGAAGCGGCGACAACAGCTCGGCGCTCTTGATCTGAGGGTTGTCGACGAGGGGAGCCATGATGTAAACGATGTGCGACGGGTCTTGCGGCGGAGTGTCGGAACAGCGGTGCCACGGTGCGACGGTAAGACGGTCGTTACGTCGAGCGGGCGGTCATAGGGAAGTCAGAAAAGATACGTGACATTGGAAGGAAGAGTATCAAGGACGAGGTGTAGAGTAAGATGGGAGGGAGACAGGATGACGATGGCTTTGGTTGATCGGGGAGAACTACATAGATGCAGGTAGATAAGATTTGGACAGATTGAGTGCGCCCCAGGTGTGTGGCGCAAATCTGCTAAGCTACGGTAGGTACCTAGGTAAGGAATTGTCCCCTCAAGGAGAGGCAAGGGAGGCTTTGCGGACGGGGCCCGGGGACTTTTTGACAGTGATTTAATCCACTGCAGCCTGCAGGTGATCTGGGGGCTAGTACAACTCAGGCTTAGTGGATAGCACATTTCCAACCCTTGGAACGCTCACCTTCAAGTACTAATCTTCTGTTTGGAATACTATGACACCAAATCAACAATTCTTCTGAGTAAATGGACGAGGAGAATTCAATACGAACGACTAAAGTTGAACACGTTCCTTTCCCATGCTATATACCTTGGTACCGAGCTGAATTGTCAATCGCCAGATATGGCCGGCAGTGCCTGAATATCACTGAGCTCGTTATCGCTTTTAGTACTTTCAGATGGATAGTACCGTATCGCCATACTTGACGAATAGAGATTGAGTACTATAATGACACATGTGACTACCTGTACGAGGCGAAAAAAACATCTAAAGGAATCATCTCGCATCCCAACGTGAACCTCACACAAATTCAGGCCCGCTATCCGCTACGATGCACATACACAAGATAAGAATGAACCATCCAGAAAGGATTCGTCCACGAGATCAGCTTATACCTTGTGCATTCTTCCCCGAGCTTCTTGATTGTTGTCAACAGCGTCTTGGGCATCTCGCTCTCGCCCGGCAGATTGGCCTGCTTCTCGTTGTACTCCGTCACATACGCGTCTTCGAGGTTCTTGAGTTTGTCGTCCATGTACTTGACCGCCTTGTCCTCGGTCTGCTCAACCCGCTGCTTCAACTTGTTCCACTTGTCCGCGAGGTCCTTCTTCTTCCACCGCCCCAACGACTTGCCCCTCTGCTGACGGTTCCAGCTGGGCATCTCGTCCTCATCAAGCTCCTTGAGCTCCGCCGCCACCCGCTCCCCTTCCGCTTTTAGGCAGCTATTATGGTCGGTCCTCCATATACTTGAGTGCCGTCATGACGTCCTTGAGGTTTTTGACCACCCGCTTCGGCTTCGATTACATGTAGTTATTCATGGTCTCATCGGCATTGATGGGCTTGCGCTCCCACATGCCTTTCTTGGCCATGTTGATACCCAATTTCTGGCAACATAAAGTTGTCAACGTGCGCGTTGTCGATGCTCGAGTAGACGGGCATGATGTGGTCTATCAGGTCCCGGGGCACGCTGTCTATGGCAAATCTCGAGGCCTAGGGCACGTTCCGTCATAATTAGTTGATGGCCTAGCAGAAGCTTCGACTGATGTTTGGATCAGCGCCTGGCCAGAACCTAGAAAAAAATTTCTACAGCTCCCGAAATCTTCTTTCATTTTATCAAGGAAGATGGCAACCGCTTGCAGCTCCGGGATGTGCTCGGTTGCATAGATATCACCTACGGGTGAGCGGACGGTGGCTACGGCGCCAAAATCAAAGTCGTTACATGTGTCGGGCACCTTGTAGTCATAGGCCATGAGGTTGGTTCCTTTCTGTTCAAAAAAATTGCGTTAGAAAAACTAGTGTGGGATTATTGTCCAAAATGCGAGAAGCTTACGGCGCCCAGTGGTGAACTCGTCTCATATAGGGGCACCTTCAAGTTGTACGATCTTCAAAAAGTTACAGAGCGGCTGCTTTCGGGACCACGTTGAAACAACTAGTGTAGGTCGTATTTAGTTTGGTTGCCGGGGATCGCGAGTAAAATTTTTTCCCTTCAAGGCGTCGTCCAGTTGCAAGTTCTCCCAGCCTGGAATGGACTCGCACGCCGTCCCTTTACCTGACGTCTCTGAGTTCAGATAGGTGAGACTTCCGATAAGAATATGGAAGAATGGACCTATGGCCCGCTTCTCCAGCAATCGCTCGGCTACTGCCCGGTCTCATTGAATTATTGGTAGCCGTCAAAGACCTCGCCCGGCGGAGTCTCGGTCGACAGATCTGGACACGTCCCACCTGGGTAGATAGTGAACTCGACAGTTCCGGGCAACCGGTACTTTCTGGTAGCCCATTAGAACCCGTCAGCCTTGGCTTAGAGATCAGCCCCCGCCATCACGCTGACGCCGATCCAACTGTCAGCCTGTGCATCAACTCGGAACTCTTCCTCTAGCCAGCGATTGTTACTGTGGCCAGCATCCGCGAGAGATCGCTTGCGTTTCTTCTTGTCCAACACCGCAGCAGCTGCAACCTCATCCCAGTACCCCGGTTCGTTGCTGTAGTCGACGCGGAGCTGCGTATTGCCTAGGTCGCGAGGCACGTGAGCAAAGTCGTAGTCGGATGTCAGGTCACAGACAATACGCTGGCAGGCCGCAACAATATCTCTCCACAACAGCTGCATACCTGGAACAAGTTGCTGGGGAGCAATGGCAAGGGGTGCGCGACGAACCTCAGGGCGACGTACTGGTATTGTGTGGGTGCTCGAGTCGAAAGTCGAGTGCGGCTCATTATTCAGCCCCGGATGAAGAGGGAGAGGATGATGAGACTCCTAAATAGGATGTACCTAGAAAGTCTGGCATCTTTTTTTTACCATGTGATTACTAGTAAGTTCATGCAACACAAACATTTACCTACCAGATTCCTGTATGGCCGGTACCAAGCAACAACGTGTGCCTCCATGTGCATATATATACGGTCCGCTGGTGACAGTGTTTACAATCTATCAAAACGCACCCAACTTTATTTCACTTCTATCCCTTCACATCGCCCAACGGGTCACGGAATGGAACGCCTCCCCCCAGAACTAGTGGCCCAGATAGCCGGGTATCTCCCTGATCGACATGAGGGGAAAGGGATTCGGCCTGCTCTAGCTGCATTGTCACATTCCTGGCAGTATGCCGTTGAGACATGTCTTGCCGCGATACAGTGATGAGGATTGCCCCAAGTATGAGACGGCAGACGATACCTAGAGCCACAAACAATCATGTTTTCAGTCATCACATGTCAGCCCTGTTGCAAGAGTTATCACAATGGTCCGCTGGCCGCAAGCTGAATCTCATCATTAACATGCACTCGCCCATGGACGGTTATCACCGTGGGCATGATAAATTCGACCACGATCGCTACCAGGTTAGGTTGGGGAGGCGGGATGATCTCTTTCATGATCGATACCGCTACTCGTATATCCGCTTCACTGACGCGTTTCACGCTGTCGTTCCCTGTGTCACCACCTTCTATGTGCATTACGGCCCAAGGTCTCTGGACCCAGGGAGCCTGGTCGCACTGACGGCTGCGTTTCCCAATCTGGAAGGCATCAATTGGCTGTATAGAGACTCGGTCCATTTCCCGGCTCTGCGCCGCGGGCAGATGCACGAGTTCGCCAGCGCGGTCGCCAGCTTTCGGCCCCCGCCCGCGTGCAAGACCCTGTACATATACATAAAGTCACAGTGGTACCCACACAAGGAGAGACTCCCGGATCTCGGTTCCGGCGACGGTACGGTCTGCAGCGCACCACGCACCATGCTGGGCCGGAGCAGTATCGAGCGCCTCGACTACGAAGGACCTATCGACCCGACACTGTTCTGGGCTACGCAAGGAGCATCGCTCGACGCGGACGATGCTTGCGCCTGGAAATCCCTACGCGAGATGGAAATTTGCTTTGGCCTGGGTAGTCTCACCGGCCAATGGTTTTTCAAGGTCTGCCCGAGGACCGGTTCTACGACAAGGGGAGCGACGTCCCGCTGCCCCCGGATGCTGCAGATCTCCTCCCGCCCGGGTACTACGACAGCGACGAGCAAAACGCCGCTGCCGTCGCCGCCGCCAAGACGATTGAAATGCCCAAAGACGACAAGGGGCATATCGTAGCAGGGTGTGAGTTTCGCTGGTTGCCACGAGACGAGGCAATTCTCCCGCTGCTCGAGGCCGTTGCCCACCGACTCACCCGCACTCCTTCTCTTCGAAGGGTCTACCTAGAGGCGAGCCTGCCGCGCGGCAGCGGGTTATGGTTCTTCTCGTATCAGGCGCCGGGGGAGGTGAGCGCTTGGGACGAGTACGTGGAGCGCGAGGACCTAGCCTGTGACGATCCCATGACCCGTGCGCGTGTGTTTCTGCACGCTGCACGGAGGCCGAACGAAGAGACCGTCGCTAGGCTGCGGGGGATCGGCACAGCTTTGTATGGAGAGGATACGATTGTTACTTTCTTTCCGCTTCTTCGCCAATTTCAATCTGTCAAATAAATCATAATATGCTCTAATGAATAGTCTTCAACGGCGGGTGCTATGCTGCCAATACCGTCTTCAAGGTATTCCATTGTATCTGCGTTGCGCTTCTCGACACAGATGGAATGAACCTGTTACACTTAGGTTGAACCAGTTGTACGTCGTCACAGAAACGGAGATTCTTAACCCTACTTTTAGCCTATTAATCTACGAGAGTCGTAGCTTTTTACGGGAAACTACTGCGCTGCTTCATAATCGAGAGATGGTCTCGTAGGTGCTCGTGTAGGTTAGTATGAGCTAGACGGGAAGGCCTAGTCCGTGGAATTAAGTACAGACTTGGGTGAATAAGGTCACCATACCGGTAGTTTACTTTAATATAAAAACTCGTCACGCATTAAAACTACTTTCCGAGTACATGGCTTGCTCTGGAAGATTCCATGGCAACCTCAGATGTCTCCGCTACCCAGAACCATACCTACCGTAGGTCTTCCTTGGCATCCTACCAGCCGGCCTCGCCGGCCTCAGCCGCTAGCCGCCCGATCCTCCGGTTTGGTCTCGGCCCTCCACTCTTGGCCGGTGTCCCGGTATACATATCCACATACAGCCTTTTCGATCTAGAGTTTCAGTGAAGTTGTATACCTAGGTAGCTATAAAATATTCAAGGTGATCTCCTTCCGAACCCTGCGTTATAGTTTGATCTAATGTACACATGTCCTGTAATGTTAGTACCTAGGTAGTTTCTGAGAGATAATCAAGCTCTCGCAGTGCAATGTACCCACTTATTTGCCAAGTTCTGAGTACGATGAGATACTACTACGATGTCAATCGCATACAGTATAACGAAATCCGGAAAGTTGCTATTGCTGCCAGGTAGACAGGCGAGAGGTAGGCAAATAGGCACTTAAGAACCTAATGGGTAGGTACTATGTGCGCGTATGCACCCCGGCCTTGTTATGACCTGCAGGTGGGCACCTTAAACTGTCCCACTATAAATCCCCTAGCAGACCCTAGGTACCCGCCTAACTTTAGCTCTGTCCCTGCCCAGGCTCAGCTCCGCCCCACCCCCAATTGTAGAAATCGATAAGGCTCATTTCATCGCGACCTTCACATGCTCTCATCCAGCTCTAACCTCTCACAAACTCTCAGATCTCCCACTTCCTTGCTGTGACTTTTGAAGTCGTTCCATTGATACCCCCAAAAGCTGTTTCGTAACTTTCCCCTCCTCGTCCAAACTTTCTTCTTTCCCTACAATTCCCCGCTTCTATCCCCCCCTCTCTCTTTCTACTTTTGTTCTATCATCCCATATCAGGCTGGCAACGTAGCACTCACTCATTGCCTTTACTCCAATCGATACCTACCTATTCACATTAATCTCTGTTGCCCACGAACAATAGCCCAATTCATACCTACACTTCTCTTTTTCCACCCTTGAAAAGCAACCTTCCGACCGACATAGTATATCTTCGGGCCTTGGCAACGACGTGTCCTGCGTATCATATACCTACCTTCCTACCTACCTACCTATCGCCAATGGCCCTTTCCACATAACTTTCCCCAAACCCTTCCACATGGCTGATCAAGACATGCGCCTGCGGCTTGTTGTGCGTCGCAACGGACTTCCAGAGCTCCGCCTCATGTGGCATGTGCAGTCCGACAGCAATCCCACCATATCAAAGCTGCTCGAGCAGCTCAACGAACAGGTGCCGCTGGAGAGCGATCACTGGGGCCTCGAAGACTACGTCGTCGAACTACACGACGGCGACGGTACCGATTTTGAATGCTTGCACTACCAACTAGTTCGAAGTGTGCTGAAGCCCGATGACCGAGTCTTGTGAGTATCGTCACATACTATCCTCAACGCCTGACCGATTGACTGACTGACGGACTGACTGATCATCATAGTATTCGGGCCCTGGATCGAGACGACCACCACCGGCGACGCATCAGCGGCCGCCACCAGATTTCCTCCGATGGAAGACATTTAATCGATGGCATCCCTTTCGGCCGGCCCCGTCTCAGGACCGGTACCACTCGTCCGAATATCTACATCCCCCCGCTCAAGCGAGCTAGACTTGCCTATACTCAGCATGACGCCAATCACCACGCGGGAGATCTCGTCGCGGAAAATGAGGCTCCTCTCCTTCTGACGAATGGTGAATTATACGGAGATATGGACGATACAGATTCCGATGCTGACGATCCTGACTTTATGAATGACGATGCCCAGTCGAACACCTCGACTGATGGGTCAAGTATCGCGGGTGGAGAACGTGAAGAAGACTTCGAAGGTGATCAAGAAGCAGAAGAAGAAGGCATAGATGAAGATGAATATGGCGATATGGAGGAAGAACAAGACCAGGATATCGACCAAGAACTTCAGGAGCTTGCTATCGACAATGCTATGCTAGAAGAGGGTCAGCCGTCCCAGGTGCTAGGCCTCGACACTCTCGATAAACTGACTGCACTTCGTACGGTATTTCCGACAGCCCCGATAGATATATGCGAGAATGTTCTGGCAGCTTGTTACGGTGACCTCAAAACAACATACAATGTTCTATCCGAACCATTTACTCCGCAGATGACACAAGAAGCTGCTCTTGCCTGGAGGCCAGGGAATCGCAATCCATGCACCGACCTAGGGCAGGCGTCAAACGGGACTACTTTGACCGCTACTCAGCCAAGTGGTGCTGCACCCGCAACGAAGAAACGGAAGTTCCAGGGCCAATCGCCATCTGATGATTCCGAGAACGACGAATATGATAACCCAAACAATACCCTTTGGCGGAAGTATGGTATGTCGACACAAATACTGTCTTCCCTGTTGAATATTTGAGACAATTCTGACTCTGGCGTTTCTTAGATCATGCTGGTTTCCCTCCAGGCACCATCACCTCAGGAAAGGGATTGGCACACATGGCAGCCATCTCCGCTTCCTTTGACAAAAGCAAAACTCCTTTAATTACTGAAACCAGTGAGGCTACATCTACGACACTGAAAGCCTCGACAGTCGAACCAACTGGCAAGGAAGAGCGGGATGATACTTCGAGCAGTGAGGACAGCTCAGATTCAGATTCAAGCACGAGTAGTGACGAATCTGAGGATGAAGAAGTCTCGCGTGACGAAAATTCTTCGAGTGAATCCGATGCAGCCGATTCTGATGATATGGGGTTGGATGATAGCTCTGACTCTAGTGACGATTCTTCTAGTGATGCCTCTTCCAGTGAAAGTGATGAAAGCGATAGTGATAGTGCTCCTGAAGAGCACTCTTCCAAGGTGATTGATCGCATCAACCTAACGACAAGAGACGAGGGATCCATTAATTCTAGTGAATCCTCTGATGATGCTTCAAGTGATTCATCAGACGACTCGTCAGCTGATTCTTTGGACGAATCTTCCGATAACGAGAGCTCAGGTAGTGATTCAAGCTCGGAGTCAGAAGATGAGGCCAGTGATGAACAGTCCAAATTTGAGGCACTGGGAACAAAAATTATTGAAGCAACGTGTACGGCGCCACAGCTTCCCGATTCCTCTTCCAATCGAACGAAAACAGACCAGGCAACTATTCCTGTCCCTCCTGGGGCTGGGAAAGAGAGTACCAAACGTCGCAACGCTCGACGAAGAGCGGCTAAATTGGCTAAGAGGAAAATGCAGGAGAGTTCGAACGATGATGCTAGAGCTGCCGCCCCAGGGCACATTTCATCCAGACAAGTTGAGGCTGGTATCAATAACCAAGCCGCACTTTTTGAGGCCAAGCGCAAGGCGCTACTAGATGCGCTTGCAAATGGCGGCATCGAGATTGGGTCTTCGGGAGAGACGATACTTGATCATTGTTCGGTAGCGGCGGATCGTGCAAACCGAAAACATGCCAAAGATGTAGAAACCAGTTCGCAGCATGATCAAAACGGGGACCACGTCGAGCCAACCGAAAAGTCTCCGGTTGATGATCAGGCAGAGTCAACTCAAAAGAAACGTCGCATTGACCTTGGGGCTGGCCGCCGTCTAGTCTTTGGCGCACTCGGTCTTCGCAATCCAAAGAACAAAGATGATGAAGACAAATTGCGTGATCGACTACGAGCCGATGCTCAGCAGCATGCAAATCGATACCTCAGCTCTCAATCTCAGCCAGCCGCGGATGAAGTTGAAAATATGGATGAGGAGCAAGATCCTGACGCTTGGAAGCTCAAGATCAATTATCGAGCTGTCGAGTGCTGCCAGGACAATACCGAACTCAGTCCAGCCCCATTTCCATTCCGGCAGAGATGGGATCCGCAGCAACAGTATACTTTGGCTTCAAAAAGAGGCAAACGTGGAGGCAAAAGTAAACAAGCACAGCGAAACCAAGATCACTTTTATGAAGACAACCAACTTGGCAAGAAGCGGAAACGACACAATTCGTCCGAGCTTTTAGGAACTGAAAACGATCAGTCATATAGTGGAGAAAACAACACCACAGACGGGTTTGATGTTACACTCAACTACGATGATGCCGAGAGCCCAGCTCACAGTCACGAAAATAATGTGGTGAACGGGACTAGCCAAGCCACTGATCTAGACGATTTGCCCTCTGTACCTCAAGGTATGCCTCTCTAATGGGTGGAAAAGGTAGAGGCTCTTGTTCGAGCGTCATAATCTCCAATTCCACCTCTCTCTCTTTCCTATAAATTCCAAATTAGGTGCCTATCCCGCTCAATGCGATTGACTTGTTTGTTCTACAGATGTCTCAGTACTTCCCAGTTTGCGACCTGGAGAGGCGCAGGTGGGCATGGTGATCGCCTGGTTAAAATGGACATGCTCCTCAGCCACCGGTTGGCAGCCTCAACTATCTAGGGTTGCCGCCATCGTGGCCAAGGTTGATGACGATGCAGCGACACTAAAGGTCTGTTTGGCTAAAAGAGACCGCCATCTGAATGCAAATGAGAAGCGCTACGATCACACAACGGGCCAGCGAATATATGATCGATTTGAGGCACCAGACTTGGATGAAGAAGGCGAGGAAAATGACGACTACGAAGATGGTGTGGATGAAGGATACTGTGATATTTCCTGGGTATGTACTTCCACGGATACCTATGCTTGACATTTACAAAGGATATATGATGTGCCCAAATATGTTCGCTCAGAAACCCCGAGTCTCGACGTATCTCTCAAATATAACCCTTACTAATCAGCGTTTTGTAGGCTGATATGAAGGATCCAAGGATATTGCAGCAGCCGTTGACTCGGACGGTCGAGTTTGATCCCAATGCTGGACATGACGAAGAAACAGCTAGTGCTAAAGATCAGCCTACACCCTCGCAGGCGTCGCTCGTCACCGACCATCAGGACACAGATCCCATCGTAAACCCGGAGAACCCAACTGACTTGAATCCGATGCAAATCATCAGCGAAGTAGGCTCCCACGTTATTGACATCCGCAACTCAGCTAGTTCGCCATCAGAAGAAAGGCAGAACGAGGAGAGCGTAGAACGCTACGCGCAGGTCGCAAGTAATTCAACATCCCACCATGACGGGCAAAATCAACAATCAGCTGACATGAGCATGTCTGACAACTCTCAGATTAGCAGCCCTTCTCGACAGCTTCATGAAACAGCCAGTCAGGCGATGAGTAGCAATTCGCCCCCTCGTAGCTGGATTCCCGCTTCAAGTGTAGAATTAGGCGAGTCGCCGCCAGCCGACCCTTCGAGCTCCATACCTCTACCCGCACCTGTGTTATTCCAGTCACACCGAGAAGAAGACATTGAGAGTGACATTATCGCTGCAACCATGAGCTCTGTACAACACCAGATAGTCGTCCCCTCCTCGACCAGCAGCATTCATAGTGGACGACAGCCCGACTATGACATGGATGTTAACAATCAGGTCTCAGATCCACTCGATGTAGTCGATGACGTCGATAAGCAGAGTTACGATGATGACCAATTTACTCCCTCGCCAGATTGCAGTTCCTTGACCCCCATGCCCAGTCGACGAACAGCGACCCCCGACCCCGCTAACAACATAGCTGAAGATGAAGTTCAGAAGTCATCCCCATTCGTATCACCGTCTTCAAGATCCCTTTCTTCACTTAGCTCACTCTGGTGCACCGCTCCCACCTCTCACAATACCCAGAGCCCATCGAAGGCAAGGGATTCCCCCCTCATTTCTAAATCAAGCAAATCGCGAATCACTCGAGATGCAAATTACGAAGAGGCAATGCGCAAGCTTGACGCACAGCTCGACGAAGGATCTTTACCAATAGCTGCCAGCAGCAGTATCGAAGTGAAGAGGGAAAACCTGACGCAGTTTCGAAACAACCGATCTCTAGATGCCATTTCCCCGCCGCCACGTAGGAAACCCTTCACCATACCGCCAGGCAGTCAAGTTGTTGAGCTATCCTCTGATTCGGAGCCGGCTTATACCGAGCACTACGCCGATGACGAGATCGACGAGACTTATTCCCCCGAGTCGGAGCGTCTGCCCACAGGCGACGGATGGGTGAAGAAACATCGAGATGTGGAACGCCAGAAGACGAGGAACAGGTCGGCTTTTTAGTGGAAACCCGACAGAACTACGGCGTTGGGGTTAGGTGTAATAGGTTTGAGTCTCACGGCGGCTTCTTTTCACATGTTGGCGTAGGCGGGTTGTCAGATTTTGTTTTGGTTGTTCACACAGTGAGATTCAGGTTTTTTTGCCCAAGTTAGGTCCGCTCTAGGATAGGGTGGTCACGACTGGTCTAGTTTCTTGCCTGCTAGAGTAGGGAAGTAGAGTCTTCGCCCTACTCATCCTGAAAATAAGAAGTGCGTCAAATATCGACCTAGCTTTCCATAAGTGCCTATATAAGCATGCTTCACAACTCGTACTTTTCATGAACAGTCGGCTGTGTCTAATCTCGGCTATAACGCTGAATGCTCATCTATGCATAAGTCAACCTAAGTCGCAGTACACATCTGAATTACCAACAGAAGCCTGAGTATTCCGCTTTGACTGACGTCTCAGCCTTCTCGCATCTGACTCCCGTGCTATGTTTGGCCAACCAAAAAGCACTCAGTATGATCGCGCATCGTATACCTCTTCCGAAGTTTGCAGTTGAGATTATAAAGCTACTAAAAGCAGTCATGGTGAACGTCTATAAGTATCGCCAGTATGTAGGTATGGTATGGTATATGTACAGTTTCAGCTCTTGCCATGCCGTGTTCCAAGATTCGATGGCTTGAAGTTTGCCTCGACGCTCGAATGAAATAGCGATTTTGTTGGTACACATGAACACGACGATTTCCAGTCCTCTCCTGTTCTTGCTCTCTCTTTTCGTCACACTTTCGGCTGGGGATCGAGCATTCGATTCGACTTAGTGTTTTGCTCACGAGAAAACGCATTTGAATTGGCATTGAACTAATTATTGGGGCATATATTTAATTACTCCGCGCGCCGCCCTTGGAGGCCCGTAGCTCGTCCATTTTGGCCACGCGCTTCTTGAACTCTTCGTATTGGCACTTCTCGTAACTGTGGCGCTCATCCTATAAACATCCCATTTGACTTGTTAGAGGGATTGCAGATAAAGTAGTGAATGCACTTAGGAATGTTTCGGCTCGGGCAAGACACACCTCGCACTTCCACGGCAGGTAGTATGTGTCGACGCGGCATCGGTTGAGGGGCATCAGGAGGTTGGCACAGCTATCGCGGTAGGCTATAGGGAGCTTGGCATCGCGCATCTCCTCGCGGGTGGCCTCTTGAAGAAGAGCATTGCATTGGTCAGCTTCGCTCTCGGCGGTTGGATTGATGTGAGGCGGGGGGGGTGTTACGTACTGGCTGGCGCTTCGGACGACGTACTGAAGAGACCCATGACTGCTGATATGACGAGGACCTGAACGCAGACGTCGACGATGCTTGACGAGTAACGGCGGGAGGGAAGATGACGATGGAGGTGCGGTTGTAGTGATCGCTTAATTGAACGATTGGAACTCGCAGGCCATACGCCCAGGGATTGGATGCAGCTACCTATAGGCAAGGCTAGGTAGCTGATACCTGGCGTATGATTGGCTGAAGCTAGTGTGGCTCAGGCCACATTGAACTACATCCCTAGCCACAAGGTCGTGCTGATCCATCAATTAATTGTGGCTGAACCAAGATGGCCGCGCTACTCGGTCAGAGTAGCGATGGGGAAAACGAGACTGAGCTGACAAGCAGGTGGCGAGAATTGAATGAGAGAATTCCATGTTAGAATAAACCGGACGAATAAGGGAGCAGCTTATCTTGGTCGATTCAGCCTATTAACTACAGGTACTGTGAAGTAGCAGGTTGTTTGGCTTATGGTTAAAACGGCCGCTTGATGATTGGTCATTCTGTCGTCCAGAAGTAGATATAATGCTTAGAGAGTATCGCGGCAGTTCATGCCCCCGGGCAAAGTATATTCGCATATAAGATGCGCCCTACAACTCTTATAACAAAAAGTAAAGTGTAAATAGTGTAGAGATTATTCACTTCAGCTTTAAACCTTTGCTAAACCTTCAGGGTTCATCATGCTATGGATTACGTTTACTACTGCTATTACAGTGCTCTTTGCGCAGCACGCCTATGCCCAGGGGCGTCTCCTCCGATTTGTCTGTTCGCAGCTCGTTATCGAACGAATTGACCCTCTCGTCTCTCCCGGGATGGTGCCATCCCCTCACACTCACCAGGTCGTGGGAGGCAACTCGTTTAACGCGACGGTAAATAGTGTGGACTTTGTTTCCTAGCCTCTCCGATGTGTGATCTAATGATTTGCGTTCTCAACAGATGGATCCTGCGCGGCTTGATCCCGCCGCGGCATCTACTTGCACTACATGCTCGTACGCTGAGGACTTTAGCAACTACTGGACTGCTAATTTGTACTTTAAATCGCCAGAAAACGGTACTTTCAAACGAGTGCCGCAGATGCCGAACCCTACCTGCTGTCAGCAGAACGGTGGCCTTACGATATACTACATGCTCCCCTTTTCCGGTAACCAGAAGGTCACGGCGTTCAAACCTGTAAATTCAACTCCATTCTGATTCGACCTCTCTCTTATACATATAGCGAAATAGGCGATGCGGCTGCTATATTGTTGCTCGCGCACTGCACTATAAATTAATGGATCACTTGACAGGGTTTCCGAATGCTAGCAGGCGACCCGTCGCTCCGCACCGCTACGGGCAAAGACCCGGGTATATGCCACCGGTGCTTAGGCGCTAGTAACGGGTTCCAACCGTGCGATAGGACGGACAGTTCCGAGCTTCCGTCAAAGCCATGCCCTCAGGGGATTCGGTCGAGTATCATCTTCCCGACTTGCTGGGATGGCAAGAACCTGGACAGTCCCGACCAGTGAGCCCCCTGTGACCTTTTATCCCCCTTTTCGGGATGTCCATGGCGCACATATGGCCTCAATGGGCACCTTCCATCGCTATTCCCGTGAGCTTTCAAAGCCCTGGGCATCCTTGACTGTAACTCCCCATTATTGACTCCAGTGTTCCAATAGCAAGTCGCACATGGCGTACTCTCCAGGAATCTGTAGTGGAGGTAACTGCCTCGCTGGTGCCTCCTGCCCTAGCACCCACCCCGTCAGAGTTCCCGGAGTCATGTACGAGATCTACTGGAACACAAGCCAGTTCAACGACCCCAAGTACTTCTCAGCAGGCTCACAGCCGTTCGTGTATAGTTTTGGTGACAGGTAGTTATACGATCTATTTCCTGCCCCTTCGGAACTTTCTCACACTCCTTCATCGTCTTTTCAAAACTAGAAATTCGATCTTATGATACGTATTAATGATTGAGTCAATAGACTAGGCCACGGCCAGCATGGCGATTACCTGTTCGGGTGGAAAAGCGATGCCCTTCAACGTGGCATGGATGCCCTATCAGGACGTGACTGCATCAACGAGAAGTGTAGCGCGCTGAAGTCTCAATCATATAAAGACGCCATGGCGTGTACGAAAAAATCTGTCGTCGACGAGGATGTAGGCTTGGATGGGTGTGAGTAGACTTCTGGCCGTTGACTTGGGTACGATGATTTATAGCTAATAACAGAGTTGTAGGGATTCCCGCTCTACCTGGTGGTATGCCAGTGACCCAGTAATAGTTGCATTATATTTACCCTGGGTATGCACCCCACCATAAGAAAATGTTAATCTAATAAGTTTACAACTGTCCAGTTTTAACAATAAAAATTATGCCTTTTGAGCTGCGGAAGTAAACAGTGCACCCTGATGTATACTTTACTTTAGTGCATGCTTTGATGACCATTTAGAGCGTTCCAACTTCTTAAAATGCTTAAAACCAGTCTTTGTCTTTTTATATTCCGTACCTAAGCTCTTATACTTGATTAAAATAGCAGAGGAGTTTGACAAACACTGTGAGTAGAATATACCGACAGTTGCTTGGTCTTGTAGAATCATGACCGCAGGGTCTTTGTTCAACTTACTGGTTGCGCGACTGGTGTTCAGCGTTTTCGGCCGCTTCATTGTCAATATATCTTTTAGTTTGGACACGTAGTGCGATGTAGGTGACAACGATGTTGGCAAGAACTTCTGGTGTTGTGTCCTTGTCGTAGATGTTTAGCTCCCCATAGGCGACGACCCGGTCGTAAGCGTCCAAAAGCACCGGTCCCTGGAGCCCCTTCCGATGTGTCCACACTATAGGCCCAGCTGAGCTGAGGAATGGCAGATAAGGCCTTTAAATGATGCACTAATCTACGCAAGCTCCGGGTTAAGGTTAACAGCGTGGCCCGCGTTGGACTTGGAGAAAAAAAGGTTGAATTCTAGCTACGTAAAGCATATAGGGCCAATTAAGGCGTTGGATTTTGTATTGCTATCTTTACTATTACCTACTTTTTTTATATTACTATTCTTACTATTTTATATTATTATCCTTATAATATATATACTTTTAAAATATATATTTTATAATTTAGTTAGTTAATTAATTTAGCTATTATAATTATTTTATTTAACTTTATTTTTTTTTTACCCCTTTATTTAATAACTATAATAGTTCTTTATTATTAATTAATATATTAAAAGTATTATTAATTAATTAGGATTAATATTATTTTTACTTTTAAATAAATAATTAATAAATTAAAAGTAAGCTATTAATTAATTATTTATTATTTAAATTTTAATATTTATATAAATTAAATAATTAAAATATTATATTAATATGTTTAAGCTTTAAATCTTTTAAATATATAAATTTATTTATTATAATTATTATTTAATATAGCTTTAACCTTAACTTTATTATAAAGTTCTTTAATATTATAAATAAAAATAAAGAATAATAATATAATTAAATATTATATATATATTATTTTTTTAATTACTTTTATAAATAATTTTTATTATTACTTTAATAAGTTATATTATTTAACTTATATTTAATTATAAAATATATTATAATAAGGAATAATTTTAAATATAATAAAGATTTTAACCTTTAAATAATTTAATTTAAATAAAATAAATTAATTATAATATATTATTTATTTTTATAATTAAATAATTAATTTTAAAATAATATAGCTATTTTAATATTTAAATCCTATATAAATAATTTATAATAAAATAAATTATAATAATATAATCCTTTTAATATTTAAATTATATATAAATAATTTATTATTAAATAAAATAATATTACCTTTTTATTAATATAATTATTTTAAAATATAAATTTTAAATAATAAATTTAAAAATAAATATATAAATTATATTCTTCCTATTTTAAAAATATAATATTTATAAAAGTATTTTATATAAATTATTATTATTAAACTATTCTTTATTTATTTTATTACCTATTTAATTTAATATAAGGAATAACGCATCTCCCACTTGACCTGGCCACCCAATTGACCTGGCCACCCCACCAGCCCATACAAATAAGGTCGGTGCGTTAATCACGTGATAATTTAATAACTCTACGAATACTAATCGTATAAAATAATAAAATATATCATTAGATTCGTAATAGAAAGAGCTATTTAACAGTACCCTTTACTAACTTTTATGACTTATATTCGCAGAGTTATAAAGCAATACGCTAAAGTAAGCGCTAAATTAATCCTTGCTTAGCGCCCCTTTAGCGTATTGCTGAATATCTCGATTAATAAATTTTGTAAAAAATGGTAAAAAATACCTCTGGATTTCCCTTTAACTAACGGATTTAATGGTACTAATTATTAAATCGTACGATGAGTATTCGTAAAGTTATTATAGATTGAAATAATAGGATTTTATATAGGTTAAGGGGGTGGCCAGCTCAATTGGGTGGCCAGGTCAAGTGGGAGAT